TGGAGGAGGGGTATCCGTAACAATACAAAATTACGAGTTCTAAATATAACTAGGATACGACCTTGCCAAATAGTGGTACGTGCATAAAGTGGGGCCTTCGAACTAGGATTTAGATATAAGCTCGTCACTGCGGGGCGGAAAGAGGTTTCGACCGAAGGTGTACTAGTTTCTTATACAGTGGTGTTAATAAAAGGGAGAGAATGTCGGGCCCAGGGCCACATGGACCGGTCATTTCTAGAGACCCGGAAGTAAACACACTGTGGTGTATATCAGGGCTAATAATAAATACATTCTTGACCACTCGAATGAAAAATACCCCATGGTATCTCACCCAACAATATCTATCTTCCTGGGAGATATGGAAGATATCTACTGATTGGTACGGTATTGATGGTCTCTGGTCCTTGTTGTCCGGCCTTTCCCCGGGAACATTATTCCTGTTCTCGTGGGTAGTGGCTTCACAAATTCGCAACCGATGTCCGATTGCTCGCAGGAAGCCTCGCTGCCAATATCTTTCTCTTGGACTAGAGGCACGAATTTAGTTTAGGGAGCCAACTCCAGGGTTAAAAAAGAGTTATAAAATCCTATTTCTGGCCATTAACTTCCTGTGGTGTCATTATGGACGTGGCTGAAGTACCAGGGGCCCGATGAGCCAGAAAGTCTTGTCTAATCGTTGAAGAGAGGAGGGTGTGTGGTCTCTAAGGGAGCTTGCTACTGCGAAGTGTTCTCCGAGCAATGTTGTTATTTGCCGAATCGGTGAAAGATCAACCCCTCACCGGGCGTTTAATAGAGGCCTCCAAATAAGGCGTAGAAGTGCCTGCTAGTCGCATATGACCAAATCCTACGCTAAATAAAAAATCGGTTTTTGGTTCTGATTAAATGCCCGGCCGCATGTGTCGGTGACCTAGATGCCCTTCTGTGACCAACCGCTGTCACTCCCAACTGGCAACGTCCGTTAATGCATGTACTCCCAAAGGCCCGGCAAGTTTTTTTCAGTGTTAAAATAGGTATTTATCGTTCCTCCATTCGCCCTTGCGAATATACCTCTCGCTCTCGTGGTCATTCGCGTTGGGCTGTCCATGCCACGAGGGCGATTTTGTATGCAACACGACATGGATGGACGTGACCTACCCGGGCATTATTTTATTCCGATGACCCACTTTGGCTTACACTTGTTAGCTGGGCATCCGTCCGGTCATCTATGACATCTTTAAGGACACTGAGTAACGATGTATCAAGCCCTGGACGCTTGACCAACTTTCGTCTCGCCTGCGATCCGGGTACGTCACGAAAGTGTGCATACCAATGAGATAATCTATCGCGCGCCAAAAAACCGCGTCTGCTGGTCAAGGACGACGGCGGTCAAAAATTGAACGCGAGCGACGGGTATTTTTGACGATCTCACCAGTCCCACTTCAACTTGCCCAGATAGCTGCCAAGGTCGTAGTGGCTTATGGCGTCAGGCAAGTTTTGCCCGGTGATCTTGAAACGTCCTACTCCCTTTAATTTCTAGATCCGAGCCACCCCTGTCATCACGATAATGGTGCTTGTAGAAAGACAATGGAATTCCCGACCTTGAAAAGGGCTGACCCACCTGAATTACTAACAAAGAAGATGCCAGGGTATCTTCTTCCGTCCTCGGCATCCAACATCCATTTCGTCGACGACTAGGATTCGGCCTTCCCCGTATGCTAGGGGCTATGACCCTTTTCACAAGTATTCAAGTCATGATATTACTGTCAATTTGTTTAAAAAATGGCGGCATTGGCGAACACTCCAGGTGGGCCATCGAACATAGAGGGGACGATTCGCAGTCGCACTGATAAGTACTCGCCAAGAATGACGAAAAATATGACAAAATACCTAATTCTGCGGTGCCTCATTATAGCTGCTCCTGTCTAAGAAAGAGATGTGTTGTAGAGATGGATCGAGATTTCGTAACTCAGGCTGAGCTTGTTGGGTAGGAGTGAGATACCGGTGGGTTTCGGATGACTAGAGCTGTATGGCCGAATACCCGCGCAAAGCAACGATGTACTGGAATAATCGCAGTAGGAAGGAATCGCTATATTCTAGATTATTGAATCAAACCACATCAACTTATGGACACAGAGACAGCCCAGTTTCGGATTGCCAGCTGAATGAGTTTCCGGTGTTCAAAGATTTGACATTCTTCAGAACGGCCCCTTCTTTGAGCCTGGCTGCTCCGGTATTGCTGCTTGGAGGGCTCCAGCTATCTACCTGTGTCATGAAGTGAACTACAGATGGTAAGCACCACCCAAGCTACTGACCTGATCAAAGTATTCCGAGCCGGTTACCATGGACTCGCAAGAAATAGGAAGAATAGCCCTCGGGGGTATCAAGGGGTGCTAGATCAGACCCTTCAAAACAGATGCCAAGACGGCTCAGGGCATCACTGTACACCTTGAGGGGTCTACAACTCATGCAAGCGCTGGTGGCGCCGAAGGGCGATAATATCCAGTATACAGAGATTGATTGACTGATCGAATTCATATGCTGACCTCTCATCCTCGGTGGCCTGGAAGACTACCTTTTGCTATCTTTACAGTATGTATTTGTGGTGTACTATACTTTGTCCTAAATATACTGAAGGCTAATTATATCTAGCACAGTTGTAGTAGATGGTTTCATAAAACTTATGCATTCGCACAACGCCTCAAACTCCCCTGTATATTATGCTGATTCCATAAAACAACTCGGTCCTCCTAGAGTAAATCTTTGCTAGCATGTTGACACGTCCGGTATTGGTCTGGTATTGAGGCCATCGAGCTTGAAGTATTGCGTGATGTAATGTATCGACTTCTTCATAATCTCCGACCTCGTTGCATGGACGGCCACTGTGGGTGCCTCAGATCAAGCAGCCCTGAATCTAGGATCCCAAGATGACAAAATTTGCAGAATTGTGTTGTCATCTTCTCCGAGTCTCACGTTCGGCAGAGAGACCAGTTGAGTGAGGGTTTTTGGCAATGGGCAATCCAAGTCTCTCAATTCTTCTAGCGTATGAGAATAAACACCGTCATTCTGCATGAGACTGAGGGCGACTGGTAGCCTTTTTAATACTGAGCTTGGCGACAATAGATGGTAGGGAAGGTAGTAACCGAAGTCTCCGGGGCCCAATTTCAGGTGGATCTGTCTTAAGGCCGGCAATCCGATATTGAAGAGAGGAAGACAGTCCAAGGAGTTTGCCAATTCGAGGGTCTTCAACCGTGGGAATTCTAGCACCGTGTAACAAGGGTAGTTCTCGCGTGAATTGTAAAGCCGTATTTCTTCAAGACTCTCATTCATAGATTTCCAGTGATCCCAGAAATCCCAACCGTTCATATGTTTGGCAGTGAATCTCCGTAGCGACTTGGTAACACCCTTGAAATTTAGGTAGCCATAAAGGGGTTCATCAAGAACGCCTTCAATATCGAGCGCTAAGAGACTGGGCAGGCGGGACCAATCCACGTAGACATCGAAATCACCTCTGTGCGGCATATAATAATATTCGCCAAAACACAGCTTGAGGTTAAGAAGATCAGGGAAGTTTGGAAGACGGAAACTTCCGGGCTTGCATCCGAGGCCTTTAATCGCGAGAGAACGAAGATTTTGAAAGTTCCAATCCTGTCTCCAGACGACTGGCTCACTGCTCCACACTTTCAACTCACGGAGAACCGGAAAACCTGCGGCCATTTGAAGAATTTGACGAAGGGTTTCCTTGTCGAGATGACTCCCAACGCTGCTATTGTCAGACGGCCCATTGAGGTGCGTCCTGGCTGGATGAACATCAAGCGTACCTGAAATACTTGACGTTCGCAAATTGAGGCAGTAGTTCTATCATTTGAAACGGCACGCCAAATTTATACTTTAGTCTTTGTACAGTCGAAGCCCATGTCGCCAAAATATTCTGTGCAAGGCGCGGATGCAACTCTCTTTTGTTCAGAGATACCCTGTCAGAATCAAGCCTAGCAGATTCAACTCGTGCTGTCCGAAACAGCATTGGGGCAACGCTGTAACAAAGTGTCTTAGATGTCTCAAAGACATGCCATAGGTCTTCAGACCCTAACTGAGATTTTGCGCATGTTAGCTGGAGACGAGGTTACAGAGCTGGTCTTCGAGGATACCTGTTTGAAAATTTCATCAAGTAACTCCTGAGGCAATAATTCAAGTGTCATGGACATTATCGTTACAGAGAGCTTGATCTAGGTATGATGACGCGGTGGCAGTTCTATTCTCGAACTTCAAGTTTAGAAATATGCCAAACTGTGAGTCTGTTCATGGAGAAATCCAAATGGAGGAAAATATACCTAACATGGCAGCTGCAACAAATGTCTTCATACAAGCCCCAGGGCAATTCGTTTTTATGCTCTAGATGTATGGACCCAACTTATGGATAAAGGCAGCTCGGTTCCGGGGAATTAGCAGAAGACTACTCATCTGACGTCCCTGAGGGTATCCGGACATAGTCGGCTGATGCTTATTGAACATACACCGGGCCTTTCAGGCGTACGGTTTAGAAAACTCCAAGACAGGCGTGACTTGCCGGGTGAACGAGTATCTTGGTGTTGGAAAATATAATGTTATATACCCGATCAACTTTCTTCAAGGGCCACTGTTTGTTATCTTGAGCTTGGCTCCTCCGTTAGAGATCCTCAGCCGACTTTCATAACCTCACAAGGGATAGGGGGAACGGCCGACGAGGGTACCAACGGGCTGTAGATGATGGCCTTCAGCCATGTCGAGACAGCTCAGGGCGTTGATATGCGTACACCTGGGGAGACTGAAATATTGAAATGGCCGAGCTATGGGTGCCAAGATTAAGTGGCTGAGGGGATATTTGAGGGCTGCTATCTCTGCATGATGCACGGGCAAGTTGCGACAGTATACCCGTAAAAGAATATCTTGTAAAGTAGGAGATATGTGGAAGGAGATAGCAGAGATTATTGTGATTTCTTTCAGCTGACAAGGACTCAAAGCAGCTTTTTTTCAGCTCACCCCAATCGATGGTAGCCTTCACCAAGCATTCGAAGTCACTCCCAGAGCTGACTGCTCAAATTCCCTTTGTGGAGAACATGCGAGTAAAAAACTGGGAAGCTCGCCTCCACTGTCCCGCAGCGATCGTTAAACCGACGGGGATTCAACAGGTCCAAGATTGTGTTCGATGGGCTCTTGAGCATCGAACTAGCCTCACTGTCGTTGGTGGTGGCCACAGCGGCCACTGCCTACAACCCAATATTGTGGCGGTCGATATGTCTTATTTTGATCAGATTCATATCCTTCACGCGAGCAACAACGAAGCTGGGACTAATCCGGATCGTACGCCGCTTGTCGTCGCTGGAGCGGGCTGCAAGGCAGGCGATATTGTCCGTAAGACTATGGGAGCCGGCGTGACCGTGCCTTTAGGTGCCCGCCCAAGTACCGGCGCGGGGCTGTGGCTGCAAGGTGGCATTGGTCACCTGGCTAGAATCTATGGACTCACATGCGATGCCATTGTCGGTGTCGTTGCTGTCAGTCTTCGATCAGGTCTGGTCCTCTGCATCGGCGATGTACCCGGTGAACACCGCCCGATGGATGCTGTCCATCCGGAAAACCAGTCCGACCTTTTATGGGCGACAAAGGGCGCTGGGACGAACATTGGCATAATAATCAGCGTGGCCTTCAAAGCCTTTCCAGCTCCGACGTACCTGGTTCGAGAATGGAGTGTTCCGCTGATGGATTTTCAGCATGCGCAGCATGAAATGAGCGCTTTTGACCAAGCGCTGGCGGGGCAGCTACCAGAGAATTGCTCAGCAGATGCATATCTCTACTGGGAAGATGGTCGGATGCACCTTGGGGTGATGGTGTTTGAATGCTCAATACCTGGACGTGACGTGGAGCCTCTTTCACATGTTTCTCTTCCTATAGGCCCCACGTCCGGAACAAAACATACTCTGAGGGTTATGGATGGTGTGGAAGTTTTTGACGCCGAGATGTATATGTCCAGAATGCATGGCGGGCATGGTGGTAACAAGACCTCTTCGTTCAAGCGCTGTTTATTTTTGAACAGCATTTCATCGCCAAAGATCTTCGCGACATTAGTACGAGCTATTGAGAGTCGTCCGTCCCCATTCTGCTACCTTCATTTGCTTCATGGTGGTAAGGCGGTCAACAACGTGGCACCTGATATGACCGCTTTCGGGTGTCGCGGTTGGGACTATGCATGTATCGTGACAGGCGTGTGGTCTCTAAACGACGATACCGTGATAAATTCCGGAGATGTCGTGCAGTGGGTATACCGAGTGGCTGCGGACTTATTACCCCTGAGTTGTGGGGTATATGGCGCAGATTTGGGGCCCGACCCAAGAGACGTGACACTGGCGGCTAAGGCATTTGGACCGAATCTGCAGCGCCTAGCCTACCTCAAACATACCACCGATCCATCCGATGTCCTGACTTATACGTGTCCGCTGCCAGAAGTGCCAGCAGCACAGAAGCTCATTATTCTAGTCACTGGTGAAAACGGAGCCGGAAAAGACTTCTGTGCAAACATCTGGGTTTCTGTATTCACCGAGAATATTCAGAGAAGTGTTGTGGCACGCGCTGTAAGCATTAGCGATGCGACCAAGCGAGAATATGCCGTAGCCACCGGTGCCAATCTGGAGCGTCTGCTTCAAGATCGAGCTTACAAAGAGCAACATCGATCCAAGTTAACGCGGCTCTATGAAGACCAGGTCCGACAACGGCCGCATCTTCCCGAGGAGCATTTTCTTGATGTGGTCCACGAGGCTACAGATGTCGATGTTCTTGTAATCACAGGCATGAGGGATGAAGCTCCAGTTGCAGCCATGTCGCATCTAGTGCCTACCACTAGAGTCCTGGAGGTACATGTCAGGACGACTGACAGCATCCGAGAGGGCCGACGGCAGGGTCTCACTGATGATGATACTTCAAATTCGACTCCCTTGAGACACTGCCCAACCTTTGTATTCGAAAATCATCAAACTGGAGGGGAGGGGGCAAGAAGGTTTGCGGAGAGCAGATTGCTTCCATTCCTTCGCGAAGATTTTCAGTGGCTCGCCCAGATTGTTCGTTGTGTGCCCAACTTTCCGCGCCCAGGCGTCGAGTTCCGGCATGTCTTGAGCATCGCCGAGCAACCCGGTGGGCTGGCTCTGTGCACCTCTTTGATGCAGTCTTCTTTCGCAGGGGACTGGAATAAAGTTAATACGATCACCTCTTGCGAGGCTGGGGGGTTCATATTTGCTTCACCACTTGCTTCAAAAGTTAACATCCCTTTCACGCCAATCCGTGAAGCAGAAAAACTACCTCCACCCAACATAATAGTCCCTATCTCTGCTTCGCATATATCTGCCTCTGCATCGGGATCTCAGTCTGCCAGAGTAAGACACATTGGGATTTGCGAGGGTGCAATCCAGAGGGGTGGGTTAATCGTGGTTGTAGACGACGTACTCGCCACTGGGAACACGCTTCATGCTGTTTTACGGCTTCTTAAGGAAGCGAACATTTGTTTGGATCATGTCAAAGTCATGGTAGTCGTTGAATTTCCTGTTCATCGTGGCCGACAACTGCTGCAGGAGCGCGGTTTTGGCAAAGTGCATATACAAAGCCTCCTAACTTTCGATGGTGTTTAAGGAATGAGGGATGCGATAATAGTAGGATTCAAGAGACCATATTGTCAATTCTTCGTAACTTTGATGGGGAGACAAATTAAATGACCCTTACGATCCGCGATACAGTAGTGTATAACCAACAATCAAGTTCATCAAAATCTTGTTTGCCTACGCCACATTCGAGAGAGTTTCGTAGATCTTTGTAAAGCCACACGCTAGAGTAGCCTCGCGTTTATCTGACAATCACATAGCAATCTGTTTGGCCACCAGGCTATATTGGGACAGGTGGAAGTCATCAAGAATGATCTTGATAAGGTTTGATAAATCAAGCTTTTGACTATGGATCGAACGCCGAAGACTCTTTAGCGGACGTTGGCTACCTTGCACGGCACGCAAGTTTGAAAGGCGTGGAAGAGCTTTGCCTAGGCTACCACAAAGCACTGGCCACTCAATTCGGGAGATGATTGCATTGCCAGGTATCGATCGGTAGACAAGCAATTCTGTGTCAAAAAGATGATTTGTTGGCTTACCAACTAACTCACGTAATTTATTACAAGGTATCACGTTATAAGGGCCTAAGATCCAAGCGTCTATTATGATGACCTCAATGCCCTCACTTCCTAGAGCTTGTAATCGTAACGCATAATTGAGTGCCCGAAGTAGGTCGGTAACGACCCACTTGAATGGTGTGCGCCTCAGCATGCCCTTGGCGTAAGGTTAGACGCATGAATTTCCAAAGAATGTCGCAGGTTCCATACCGGCCAAGCATGAGAATCAACCCAGTCCTTCACGCTACAGGGGATCTCGAAATCCCTCTAACCTAACACATGACGATTGTTTTCTAGCCCCACTACCAAGAAGTTAGCCGGGAAGTTATAGAGAGCTACCCGCTTGCAAATGACGAAGGCTGTAAATTTCGTATTAATTTATGCACCTATGTATTCGGCTTATGAATCTACATAATGCCACCGGTATAGTAACTACAAGATGTTGCGGAACAGTTACGTAACCCATGTATTAAGGCAGACAGCGGTGCATAACCACGGGAGATATCCATCGAAGAGCATGGAACCCCCCACCCCGGCACCGTAGATCTCGGAGCCAAGGAAGCTCTTATTCCTGGTTCCTCGCAGATGTGCCATGTGGTATCAACTTCCCCTTTCTGGCATCCACATATCTCTGCCTTGCAACTCGTACGGTCGGTAGATGACAGTACATTTCCTATTGTCTGATGTGACAGAATAAGACAGTTGTGTTATTCAGAATCTTCCTTCGCCCGCAGCTGTTGATTGCTAACTGTTGTTCGCCGGTGAGCAACAGCTGCTGAGGCAGCGTAGGGTGCGAGATTTGACCAGATATTGCTAACGACAGGAGTCTCGATCACTGAAAGAGATGAGCTCGAACTTGTTTAGCCCTGAAAATGCTGATGGTGCTTACCAATACGAGTCGTGGCGATGGGATGAGTCGCCACAGTATGCGCCAACCCCAGGAAACTTCGGTCGTACCCCCTCCTCGCCGTCAAATCTAAGCCTTATCAACGCCAATTCTCCGTCCTTCTTTGAATACCCCGCTCCTCAAACAAGCGCCTTCCGCACAGATAAACTGCCGCTCCTTCAATACGGAGACTGGGTTGAAGGAAAGGCTTATGATGAGGACCCACCAACCTGTATTCACTATTGGATTGAGTGGAAGGTTACTCTCTAACACAAAGACCGTGATAAGGGATACAGAACAAGATCTGGTTCTTGCCCCTGGGTTTTATTGGAGGCTGTTCCTCCAACCAAAATTGAGAGAGAAGCTATGCCTCAAATATTCACACAAAAAGATTGCATTGGACGACACATCCATTGTGGTGACAGTTCCTCGGCGTGACAAACTTACTCGACAGTTTGATAAGACAGATATTGACTGGCCTGGTATTGAGAAACAGCTTCTCAAATGGGGTTATCACTTTCTTGCCGGCAAGAAATTGAAACTTATGATATCGTTCAATTATATAGAAGAAAACCAAGGCTCTACAGCTAGGCGCAAGGCGACTGACAAACGAGGCACTTCTTCTGCTACTCAGGGTATGCTTCAAGATCTTGATCGGGAGGTTAACACGGAGGAGGAACTAACTGGAGAGCCTGCGGCCTGGAGGCATGTCTATATGGTAATGCGCTGTCCCGGGTCGTGTGAGTTAGGGCCGCACTGTTGGCAGGATCCTTACGGAAAGAAACATTATAAACTGTACAGAGACGAACTTTTGAGCCTGGTCAAATATGTGAAGGGTGGGAAGAGATTAGAGTCCCATGAAGACGTGGCTCTAGGTGATGGGTTGGACTTAGACCAGATCGACGAATTAAGTGATCCCGAATACTTCAAGAATCGGGGAGTAAAATGGGGTATTGCTCGTCGATTCGTCAGGGATATTAGATACTGGGCAGGCAACTTTTATTATTCTGTGGATGGTGGGGAGTCAAATTGATATAATAGACAACCGGGTTGCCAATAGTCACACTCCATAGTCTATCTTCCTGTATGTGTGGTACGGCCGAGGAATGCTATATATAATCATCTATCAGCACACCTGCATGCCGAAAATGGCCTTCAGCACTCTGTATCCTTGAACCAACAACTCCATCACACCACTCGAGAAAAGCGTCAAATCCTTGACCTGGATTTTCTTCGTACTCATACCACCTTCGCTTGATGAATTGCTTGAGTTCAGCGAAGAACTCCTCAATAGGGTTAAGATCTGGAGAGTAGGGTGGTAGGTAAAGTAGCTTAACTCCCGCATTCAGGCACATCTGATTAACGCGCTATGTACGGTGGAAGGATGCATTATCTATGATAATTACGGATCTCGGTTCCGGCCATCGGTTGCAGTGGTGGAGAAGCTGCTCGATGAAATCCTCAAACATATTGGTATTAGTTGAGCCTTGAAAGACTCGAGATAAGAGAATACCTTTCTGAGTATAGGCAGGCAGTATCTGATAACGTTGATCACGGTGGAATTTAGAGATCTGAATTGGTGTTACACCAAGAGGGGACCAGCCAGTTCGCCGAAACCCTACCCTCTTATCACAGCCTGACTCATCCACGTAAATCAGCTGGTATGACGAATAAGGGGATAGACTATGCAGGTAAAAGTCTCGGAGATCTGCGTTTTGTTCCTTAGCTCTTTGCCGAGCTGCCTTGTTCGACCGTCCAATTGAGGCAAGTGTCTTGCTTAGACTCTGTTTGGTTACGTGCTTTCCGAAATCATCGTATATAATAATCACTAATTCATCCAAGTATAGAGTTGGTTTTTCCTTCAAGCGTTCTAACACAGTTTCAAGCATCGATAGAGTGATACTTCGAGGGCGTCCGACGCCGTTCCGGGGGGCTCTGACATTGCCAAATGTCTGCAGGTTCTGACGGATATATGTTACAGCTTGCTTGCTACAACCAGCGGCAAAGGCGATCTCGGCTCTCTTTGACGACCCGTTCTCGATCATATGCTGAATCAGTTCGAGCTGTGGGGCTTTCAGATTTGCCGGCATTTTTGATTAATGTGGGATGTAGCTCTGTGGTAGGGAGCGCAACCTACTACGTGGTGTTTACAAAACGAAGCTCGTGATCATCAGCACGGCCCGATAATGACTCCGGAGGTGAAATTACGTTGTGTCACGTGCAACGAACTTCCTGTGGAAGCAATTATATGAGGTGGACTATAGCTTATATAGCTATGGTTATATGACCTACATCGCGGAATGAGCCATGCAACTCCCGGAACCTACCGCCAACGTAGTGGGAGGTTCTAACAGTAGTTAAGGAACACAGCTTTTAGTTTAGCATTGCAACTTGAAAGCCGGTGAGCGGCTATATATTTAAAGAATGTACTACTACGTCTAGTCCATCGAAGAACCAGAAATCGAAAACAAGAACGAAATCACACAAATGGATCTATAGTTCGGTTTTCAAGTACCCCAGCGCCTATATAACCATCCTCGACTTTCCCACGTTAGTTAGCCGGTGCCATTCGACTCCGCTGACGAAGCGTAGGGCCCCAATATAAAAACACGAAAGGGATCGGCACCAGCAAAGCAGCGATGCAACCAAGTAGAGTGCCCGCCCACTGAACGCCCAAAGAATTGAATAGCTGTGTGGAAAAGAGCGGGAATGCTGCCCCAACTAGCGAGCGCATGATGGTATTGGCCGCAAAAGCGGCTGCGGCACTAAAAAACTAGGTCAGTGTTTCAGAACACAAGAACACGAATGTGAATGGGAAAGCCAATCATGTGGTGGGGTTTATACAATTGAAGGTAGCAGTCGAGAAGATAGTTGAAGCATTGCATGAAGATCGAGATGATTCCGAAGCCGATGAAGACGCTGGCAGCCGTGGGTGCCATCCAGTGGATGGAGGAAGTATAGCCCGTCCACCCAAACCTGAATATAATTAGTATAGCAGAGAGATGAAGGGTCAAGGAGAAACATACCAAAAAAGGCCCGTGGAGAAGGCAATACCACCAGCGATACAGGGGGGAAGGCGCCATTCCGGAACAGGAACATAATTGTTTGCCTTCAGCTTAGCCACATAGGAGTGCTGGAGAAGCATAATGACGCCCGTGGCAATCATTTGGCCGATGATCAGCCCGATAAAGGGCAGGCCGCTGTTTCCACCTTGCATTCCATGGATCTGCTCAAAGACAATGGGGTAAGCCTGTAGCAATCCGTATGCCAACCCATAGATGAACGACATGTAAATAGTCACCAGGAAGGCCAGAGGCTCCGTGAACAGTAGGTGGAAAGGACGTGCGATTGTCTTCGTGATCAAGTCATGGATGGTAATCTCGAGTCTCTCATGAGTGGCATGGATGGCCCAGTTACCCGTCTGCCGCCGCAGCAGCCTTGCTTTCTCTACCAGGACCATAGGAGCATAGCTCTCGCGGGCGAAACACACCAGCATGAGGGTATTAAAGAATCCGACGATCGCCGGGATGTACAAGGCCCAACGCCAACCAAGATAGCTGGTCACAGTGTAGCCTCCAATGAACGGGGCAGTGTAGGGTCCAGTGAACATGGCCAATGTGTACAGAGCAATTGCTGCCCCACGGTGGGTAGCGTTAAACAGATCCGAGAGACAGGCAGGGACCAAGGTAATAGGACTGGCGGCAAATAAGCCAGCGAAGAAGCGCCCAAGCATCAGTGTCTGTGTATCTTTACATGTTGCATCGGCGATCGTGAATATGCTGAATCCCAAAGTTCCAATGGTCAACGGCCATCGTCGGCCGGTCAGCTACCATGGAGAGGTGTCAGAGTGCTCAAATGGAAAATGCGCTGGAAATGAGTAATATACCTCAGATGCGGGAGCCCAAATGATAGGCCCAGCCGCGAATCCCAAGACAAATAGCGAAGTGCCTAAAGATGCTACTTCGTGGCCAAAATCGAACTCCTTCATGACTGACTGGGTAGTTGTAGCGAAAACGGCGCTTGTATACGAAGTCGTGAGGGCGCAGAATGTGAGTAGCGCGGTATATAGCACTCTTGACGAGAACCTTGTCAGCATGCCAAACTCTCTGGACAAAAATGGAAGGGGATCTTCAGGAAGCACCTTGCTCTCAATGCCCAATTGTGGGGGTGCATTGGGTCGTTCGAACCTTCTAACTCGACCACATATGCCACAAGGTCTGGCACGACTGGGGGCATGGGTTTTCCTGCACCCATAGTGAGAGTAAAACTCGGTTGGCCCTGATCACTGGTGTTGCACGTCATGGTAGGTGGCCCATCATTGGCAGTCCTTTCCATGATAAGGTTGACCAAAATTGTTTCAAAATCGCTTGTAACCTTCTCAATTGTTTTCCAACCACCCCAGGAAATTCCAGAGAAAAAGCGTAAACTTAGAACGAAGCTTTATGAAATGGTGTAATCGGGAAGTCGGCACCGGAAATGAAACCGTGCTCGATTGACGCACCAATGTTGAACGCATATATTACCCCTCTGTGCAACTGGTACTCAAATCGGTTGAGACGAAGGGATTCTAGAAACCGACTTACTCCTGCCGGCACTCATGAGTAACCGGGAAAAATGTAGTATACGCGTTGACCTCCCAGGCTCCGATGCACTTTACTTCATACATTGTTGATGTGAGTCGGACTCCGTGGGAAGACCGGCCCGGCTCCACGATGACCAGGAGGTAGATTAGAAACCACACTTGACGGCACAGTTGCCAGGTATCTTTGGCATTCTCCACGGCACCTGGTCGCTTGATTGCGCCGGCTCGGCTCCACGCCATCGAGCGAGCTTCGTCATTTCTCGGCATGCATGCATTGGGTAGCGAGTTCAGAATGGGCAGTTGACTACACTAACTGCTAAAAAGCTAGTTCTTCTCCTTCGATTACACATACCCTTCTAATAATTATAGTTACGTAAATACTATACGTGGAGCGACGTCGCGCTCGATGATCTGATTCTGACGCTTGGCAGTCTGATGTCTACTCCATCGTGCTGGGCAGAAGGTTGATGACAACTACACAGGTGTAAAAAATCTTAATGTTTCCTATTGGCGGTCCAATGCGCACTGTATTCTTCTTGAATGTTATTCAGATAACATAGCAAAGAAAGCCACCAAAGTTCACCACTATCTACGCTTCTCCAATGCCCTTTATAATCCTAGAGATTCCGGGAAGGAATGACAGGGAGTAGAAGCCAGCTCGCCTCTTTTCCGACCTCCACATTGTTGATCCCGTCAAAGATCTGGGATGCGCGATCATCAGGATGCTCGTGCGAGAACTTGCCCACGCCCTGAGTATCATGACCCGCAATCTCGAGAACGAGTGACTCGTTTGGCTCCAGGAATGTGTTCGTAGGCCAGACCTCCACGTCCAGCTCGTACTTCTCGTTCTCAACCACGGGCAGGACATCGGTCGAGAAGTAATCACGGTAGGGGAGGTACGGCCTATGGAAGCTGCTCTCGGTGTTGACCTTCCGGAGGGAGGCACGCAGCCATCCCTTGACCACCGGAACGGGATCACCCATGGTGCCGGTGTAGAAGATCTCGCGGCCATGGGCATCCAGTTTGCGAATGGTGACGAACACGTCGATGTCTGAGGGAGCCGGGGCGTTGGCTTCCTTGCGCGAGGCTGAGACGGTGAGATGGGCGACAATGTGCCCGGTGATCTCCAACGGGGTTGGGGTTTTGTATTGGAAGGTGATGGGTTCCCCGTTCATGGCATCATAACTCCGAGTCGCGGTGGTAGATGAGGGCACAGGCCACAGCGTGCTTTCCGGAGTGAGATAAAACTTCGTATACTGGGTATCAGGAATTGGCCAGTCGGCTTCAGCTCGCGATGGGAACTTCAGTTCACGCTCTGGATCGTCAACGCCACAGTCGCCCTTGCGTAAGCACAACTCTACTCGAGGCTGTTGGCCGGACTTCCACCCATCGTAGTCTTCATCCTTGAGGAATGCGTCCAGGAAGGACTTCTGCAATTTGGCCGAGTGGGGATAGTAGAAGGGAAGGTCATGGCGGCCAACAACGAAACGCAGAAACTTGTAAGAAGAGGAAGCCTGCGTCCAGCCGATGACATTGCCGCGCAAATGCAAGAGGATGCCTCCCCAGTTGGCTACACTCAGTAGTGGCACTTCGATGTTGGCGAGGTCAAAGGTGCGACTCTGGTAGTAATCTTCATCCATGAATCGGTGCTCAGCCGTATCGAGCGTCTGGTTTCGCCGGTTCTTCACCAACTCTTCCTCTGTCAGATCACCCTCCAACGTGTCGTCTCCCCACTTGCGCGCCGCACGACCAGGCATACCGTACTGGTTGGGCTGCACGCCATTGTGCCACCAGAAGTCTGTAAAGTCAGGGATATTGCCTCCTGTAGTGCGGGTATAGAATGAAATGGGACTCACCGATGAATCGGTCCGATAGAATGCCTCCGTGGCGAACGCGATCCCGGTAATAGTCGCTCATGCCTTCCCAGGGAATAATCGCGGCAAGGCCTTTCGGTTTACGGGCAGCAACCCGCCATTGTGTTCCAGCATAATAGCTAATTCCCAGCAGTCCAACACGACCAGACGACCATTGCTGCTCCGCACACCATTCCACCACGTCGAAGAATGCCTCGCTGGTTCCCCGAGACATCGTATCGAGCTGGCCCGGGCTCTGACCGGCACCGCGTTCGTCCGTGCGGACCACGATGTAACCTTGACGAGTCCAGAAGCCTGGATCGGGAGTTTCCCAGGAGGAATGAGCAGACTTCATTTCAGGGTTGACTTGGTCCCAGCTCTTCTTGAAGAAGCTTTCGTAGGGCACATCCTTTCCGTCTGGTTTCATTAGAACTCGAACCAATAGAAGCAATCGGGATCGCGCACTCACAGGGACCATAGGTCACAATAACCGGATATACCTTGGAGCCGTAGGGCTTGGCATCTTGAGGGAGATACACATTGCACCTTAGAAGGCTCTGCTCGTAGGTCTTGAGAGGGATGTCCACATTCTTCATGAAAATGTAGGGAAACCTTGCCCGTTCCACCTCAAGAAACTTATTTTCTGCCATCATGAAGGAACAGAGACGTCGATTGACTAGGCGCAGTAACAAGTAGACTCAAGAGAATAGACTAGCGGTGAAAGATCCCAGTCAAACCACTTACATATAGTTGGTGGTAAACCCCTCCTCGGGCTTGGCTTGACTCTCCGTCGGCTCTCTCGGGTCTCCACCACTCACCCGACAGCTACTTTTGCGGGGGTGAAACAGAGGATAAGGCCAGGCTATTGCTAGATCATCTTTCTCCATATCTTCAGTAGTACAGAATGACATATTCTTTGTACCGGTAAACCAAACTGTCCCCAGCAGCAGACATGGCGGCATCATTGGCAACGTCCACTGCCCACCAACAAGAGCCAGAACCCAACCAAAAGTTCTTCGACTTGAGTGCTGATTACGACATCCACCGATCTCCTGAAGAAGACGCCAAAGATTCAGTATCCGAGCCTCAAACCCTGACAGTTGCGGGTGTACGCCGCGAGGCTCAGCCGGTTGAATTTGATCCTACGTTAGCACCGCACCCTCTGGTACCGTACCTGGTTTCGAACCCCCTATGGTGGGAAACCCAACATCGTGCAGTCCCGAAATATCGTCCTGTCAATCGCTATCTGGACCGCGAACAGCGCCAACAGGGTCCATTGTTCACGGCTGTAGGGATATTCATGATCGGTGGTTGTTCACTCATCGCAGTAAGAACCATATCTGCTTCCATAGCCTCCAGACACTCGAACTAACATAATCGACCTGGGCAGAACTGGTCGTCAATGTGGAGAATCACGGCAGGGAGGGTCACTGACTATGGGATTGGGGAAGTCGGCGGTGAATGGTGATCAGGAGAATAATATTCCAATTCGTGTTGTTACATTTCTTATGGCTATTGTTTTTTCTGAGTTCACCTAGTTGTCTTAGATCTTATTTTAGTTTGTTTTCTCGCATGGCCGCCCATATTCCCTAACGAACCTTTTCTTATTAACCAAACATTCTACCTCGCCACTCTCTCTTGACTTTCGCAGCATTTTCACTCTCTTATCGAGACGAGCAAGGAGCATGGACACTGGATTCCTAGTACTCAGTGTACTTCAATTGGTAATGTAACGTCCGGAGATGATGCGTAAGTACTTGGATGAAATTAGGAGCATCTCTGAACTAAAGACGTTCTTTGTGTACAATCAATCAATACAAACTCCCCAAGAGCAAATCTCTCATACCCTGACTCAGCTGCTCCAAAGTAGAGACAAGTTATATTCATACTGCCGCGACAGAAAGGTTGACACAATTCCAAACATCCATTTAGTCCCATGATCCCAACTGGTACTGCGTGTTACACATGTTGACCAGCTCCCAGCATTCTCCCATCATAGTATTCGGACCCTGGTCTTCCGACGCTCCCGCCGCCCCAGCCACGAACAAGGAAGCCATCCAGTGGTCATCGGTGCCATGAGCTTCGCGGAAGCGCGGATGCTTCATCAGTCGAGAAAGCGCACGACGGACCTCAGGGCCTCGATTCCGCAAGATAGCATCCTCGACCGCCTGGCGGAACTGCAATGCCCAGGGTGCAGGAGCCACCGGCTGCGCAAAGTTATCACTGAACCGGAACATATGCTCCCAGTGGTTGCGATATAGGTTATGCACCGACCCGCCACTACCGATGATCAACGTATCCTCGTACCGCAGCGGGCGGAGCGCAGCACCCATCTTGACGTGGAAGTGAGGATCATAGCGAGCGTTCATCGACACGAGAGTTGTTGGCAGGGGCACGCAATTGGGGAACATCCGGATGACGATCAAAAAGGTATCGTGGATCCAATCGAATCGAGGCGCCGCCCGAGCGTTAAAACCGGCGGCCTGGAGCATATGCAATACACGTTGTCCTCCGTCCAAGTCCGGGGCCAGCTTATACGGTAGGTAGCGTTCATTTCGAACACCACCCATTGGGAGCTTCTTCGGGTCAGGGTTCATGCTGACCTCGACTGCGTCGCCTAGAGTTTCCCAGTGGGCACCCTGGGGAAGTGGACAGGTCAGTAGAAGTCGATAGGAGCTATGTCTCATGCAAAGAAGGGGGGTTGTAACCATCATGACGACTCTCTTGATCCCTCGTCGGAGGGCTTCGTTCCCTACCTCCTCCCATATTCTCGCAGGCTCCGACTCCTCGCCCAGCATCATGGTCGAGCCATGTGCGAACAAAAACACGGGAGTTGGTTCTAGGATGCATGGGTTAGGGTTCAAGAATCAGGTAAATGAGATGTAGATTTTGACTCTCACGGCCATACTTCCTTGGGATTCCATTATCGTTAGACAGGCAGGTGGGGTTGTTACCGGCACTGGAGAGAAATCGTCCCTGACAGTCAGGCCCTATGATATCCAACACTTGGTTATCAAACAAGATAATAGTTATGCCATTTGTCATCTGCCAAGTCATCTTTACCGATTATCTGGTGGATGTCTGCGCCAAGGGAGGATGGGGTACTGTGGGGTATACCTTCGTGGAGCCGAACCGATCTGGATCACAAGTCCGGGGCTGGGCAAATGTATGTATTGTACGATATGTTATACGTCCAGTGAGAGCTTTCCAGCTTCATTCATCGCTTAGTCACTTCCACCCCTTCGAGAAGACAATATGTCGTTGGCAGCAGTATACGATACGGTGCGCTCCGCCTGGATTGAGGGCCGACTGGAGAACGTTCTTCAGAGGAAGAAAGAGCTCGCTGGCTTGCATGCCGCATTGAGAGACCATGAATCGAGATTAATTGCGGCCTTTTCACAAGGTTTGTGTCAACCTGTATTCGTTGGAGCACAGATTCATTCACTAAAGCTTGTGATTCGGCTGAAAAGATCTTGACATTAGCGAAACCGCTGCGTCCCTAGAAATCAGTGTCTGCCTGGCTGCGGTTGACAAGCTATACCATGGACTGGACTTTGCTGCCGTCCTCGCGCAGGAGAAGCTGATTCAGGCTGGCCAGTCATCTCCCATAAATCCAGTGGCACTTGGACCTGTCCTAATCCAGGCCGCATTGCCCTGCCCGCTTTCGTCCACGATCTTTCCATTAGCTGCCGCAGTCGCTGCGGGCAGCTGTTGTCTGGTGCAGCTGTGCCACGCATCACCCACGATAAACGAAGCTCTTTCCGCCATCATTCGAACTAGTCTGGACCAAGAAGCGGCGGCTATAGTCGACGGTTCCATCTCTCCCGCAGCCTTGACCGAAATCCGCTGCGAAGCAGCGGTGCTACAAGACCCGGAAGCCATGGATGATTTTGCCAGCGCTCTGCGACAAAGCAATTCAACTGTGCGAATCTACACCCCAGTGACTGGGCTCCCTGCGGTGTTTGTAGATCGTAGCGCTCCAGATCTGAACACGGTTGCCACCTGGTTACAACAGTCGATTCTTAAGGTCCCGCGCCGGCATGTTGGACGCACACCTCGACTGTGTTTTGTCGACGAGTTCGTCCTGGAGAGACTGGTGTCTCTGTTGCAGCAGCTCTCGGGTCCGGTGGAGAATAATCAGCCCGTACCAGAGCCATCCGTCACCAAAGTGCTAGCTGATCTGTTGACATCCTCTTTTCCTTCGCTGAAACAACAGGATCTATGGGCTACCGCGAACACTCTATCGCCTCTGATAGCGCTGCAATTGACTGAGTGAGCTTGACACGATCTTCCTGACACATCCGATGCCAATGCGTGATATGGACGTTCATATTAACGTTTGATTTAGTTCAAATACCCCGGAGTCTATCGGCAAAGTTGCTACGGAAGTCACCAAGTCTTACTCTGGGATCCTCTTTGTTTCCGTCTCCAGTCTTGACCATGCGATCGACCTATGGAACAAAGTGTGAGTTTACCAATCCATGCTGTCTCTCAGGCCCTAAGACGCAATTAAATTAATTTCTTCCCATAGGCTCGACGGAAAGTCTGCCTCGGCGACCTACGTCTTTGGCGAAGGGAAAGAGACCGCGTATCTCGCCCAGTTCCTCAACACCGAGAATTGTTTCATCAACCACATTCCACCCGAGTCGTTCGGTAAGTAAATGGATGGATTCACTCGCTTCTAATGAACTCTCCGAATTGACTCCTTCTCTCCTGCTAGTCATGATGGCGCCCAGTTCCGGACATGACACCTACGGGCTGCCATTCTCGCCAGCCAATTTCTCGCGCAACAAAGCCATCCACCAATGGTCCAACCGGGTCGGACGTTCCTCTACAAACCGCCGTCTCGACTTGAAGGCTATTGCACAGCCCATCGGTGGTAGACTGTCCTATTTCGAGCAGGGTCTCATTGTGGGGTTGGCTACGGCGGCCTTCGCGCTCCTTGGGAGTGGGATTGCTGCTTTCAAGGCTTGGAAATATTTGTCTTAAGGTGGAAGAAAGCCGACACTAAGTTTGTTCGGGGTAGTTGGAGAGTTTTTGTATAGCTAGTTTCTCTCTCTCTCTCTCTTTTTTTCTCGTTTAACAGGTCATAACCTCAGCTCTAGTCCGGTCTCATGGATGCATCCTCTATATTTCACGAGGGTCATAGGCACTTGGAATTGCTTTTGCCTAAATACTCAAACACCCTTGCTAAGTATACTTCTTTATGACCTTTAATAAGGCACATGTGGTTCAAAAATGCTATTACTTCAGCCATTGAGGTGTGTTGTGAGCTTGCTTCGATTGAGAAAGATCGCTGGGTAGTTATTAGCTGTTGGTCCCTCACCGTCCGCCGTGTAGTTAGCTTCAGCTGAGTGATAAAACTTAAGTAATTGAAGCAGTTCCTCTCCAAATTCTCGAGTAGCCACGTTATTACCTCACCTTTCCAGGAAACATATGTTTCGTTAACAGTGCCACAAACACTTAATTGGATTGCGTCAATTTTGGCTGAGGCAAATTATTAACAATTGTCGTAGCATCTAGTTCTCTTCCAAATCGGTGGGACTCGGGAATATATAATAAGCGCCGCTTGGACTCCACTTATATAACTAAGTAGTCAGATACAACAACGTCCTCCCAGTGAACCCCACTTCATTTGAAACCACAGATGAGGAATACTAAAGACACAAAGAAACAAAAAACTCTCAAAACGGCTCAACCAGAGGCACAACCAGATGACTGCAGTCATCTTGCCCCAGGTGAAGCGTATGCCGACCCTTATTCGGCAAGCCGAGGTGATCATTCAAGAATTCAAACTCCATCATACTCATATAGTGGCCGGCTACTTTTAGCACCAAGGACTCCCCGGGCTGAAAGACCATCCCCGCCGGCCAGATCGGCACGTCCAGACGACGAACCTCGTCCGCGGCGACGACGGCTTCCTTTTTGTCGTGGCGATACTCGGGCCACGCGTTGGGATCTGCGGACGAGATCTTGGTCCCCGCGTGAGTGGCTCGAAGCGCGCCTGTGGGTCCGAGATATTTGAGGAAACAGCTGTTGCTGACCTCCTCGGGACGAGTCTTTGGCGGCGACAGCTGCTCCACGGGAACGTTCATGTGCTGCAGGATGGCCCCGGATCGGTCCATCTTCCTGAGTTGCACGAATACGTCCATGTCCTGCGGGATACTGGCGGAGACGTGTAGGACTACCTTACTGTAACCTAGTAGCCAGGTGGGCTTTTGGAATTGGTAGTGGAAGTGCAACTCCTCGGGGTTGTGATCGGGTTGCGTGGGGACAAAGTCGGACGCGTAGGAGAGCACAGACGCGAAAGAGGGTGGCTGAGGAGACAACTCACCTCCCTCCGTCAGATATAGCTTCTGGTACACTGTTTGGGGAACCGGGTATGCTGAAAACGGCTTGTTTTCAATTGGAGGCTGGTTTATGCAACGAGACTCGAGATCAGCCGAGCATCAATCAAGGAGGACGGAGGCAAAAGGGAGAAGCAACGTACCTGATTATAGGGCAGTAGGGATACCCGGACTCGGGGGGTCTTCTGCCAACCGTTTTGTAAATTCTTGGTGAAGTAGTCGAAGAATCTTCGGAGATCCTGGGTGCTCTCTTCAGAATATAAGTCGGACCACTCCTGCTTCGGATGCACCCGTAACCATTTATTTTCGCAGCCCAACGCATTGAACCCACCGATGGACCCACTGGTGTGAAGGGAGGTTGAGTAGCTCGCAAGCACATAGCATGGTGCATTCACGCGGTCGAGCCGGGCTCGTTTGTCCTCCCAGTAATCGTTGTACAGGGGAAACCGGTTCAGCATCTCGGTGATCGCCTCCACCTGTCCTCGACCTACCATGGACGACTCCAGGATTTTCCAGAACCTCTGATACGGGTAGGGCGTACCTCCACGACACAGCGTATCCTTGTAGAAGTCACTTGCTCCTTCCCAGGGAGCAAATGCAGCCAAACTGGGGGGCTGCTCCGCGGCGATAAACCATTGAGACATGGCAAGCCAGCTATTCCCAGCGAGAGCTACCTTTCCACTGCACCATTCCATTTGAGCCACGTACTCAATCGCATCATAGCCATCTCGGCCATCCTGAGACCCCAGCCAGGGAATCGTGCCCTCCGAATTCCAGGATCCGCGCAGGTCAACGTTCAGTACGGCATAATCGTGGCCCACCCAGTCTGCAGGGTCGAGTCCTTCGAACTTCTCAAATCCACTTAGTCTCTCTTCGGGTACTCCAAATCGTCCTTCGATCATATGCAGCCCGTGAGGTCCTGGGATGCGAACAATATCAGCGCCAGAACCCTCGACGGTGCAGTCTCGCTCACTCACCATTGCCGCCTTTACCATAGGGACTCCAAACGAGGATGGCAGGGATGTTGGATTTCCCCTTGGGTCGGAAGATATCGCAATAGAGCTTGACTCCATCGCGCATAGGAATGGCTACATCCTGGTCAAAGATCGTGGTGACAGGAAAAGGAGCGTTTTTAGCACTCCTGTGGAATCCTTGGGGAAGCTCTGTCTTGGATGGGTGAAAGGGAACCGATTGGCTTGCAGCGCTATCCTCCGGCCGCATGGTCGGCGCCAGGGAGACTTCAAAACCGGCAATTGAAAGAGTCATGATGGGGTTGACGACTTGACGGAAACCGATGTATAATACGGAGTTGGTTGATGTAAATCTTTTCGCCGAGTATCCTAGTCGACTACCTGCCTGCTGGCCTTGATTGTTTGTCGCTTTATAGTACTTCGCGAGACCCCTCATCCCCCGCTTAATTCCCCTCCCATACTACATCTCATATGTTAGAACAACCGAGTGGGGAAGTCAGTCAACCCGAACCATTGCCGAACAGTGCAGGTAGGGAAGGCCAGGTTCATGTGAGTCTAGCATCAAGGATACCTCTTCGAAACGGGCTCAAAAGCGGAGGTGGCTTTGATTCAGGGGGTGGGGTACGGAAATAATTCCGTACAAGACTCAAATCTAGGGTAAACGAACATGTGGTAGCTGCGGAATGACCTTCACAAAAATGAGGTTTGTGCAGTCGGTCGAGAGGAGGGATGGGTTTATATAAGGTAGGAGTGTGATCGAGGAACCACAAAGAACAAGGGATACCCAAGTCCAGTCTATCCGCACCTTCTCTCTCCGTTTTATTTGCAAGCCCCTCGTTGTATATCTCCCTCTTCCTCCTTCTCATCATGGGACTATCAGGCGATGAACCGCTTCGTCGCATTGTCACCACGCATCAGGACTCCAGATCCGCGATCCTGTTCGATAACCACCTCGAGCCAACCGAGGGCTTTGCTGCAAAGGCTGCTACTATCTGGATGACCAGGCAGTATCCAGCCGAGCTAACGAGCCTCGATGCGAGTACCGATCCCCGCAGTCGGCAGATGTACAGCAGGGGCTCTCTGATCCGCGTAGTGGACTTCCCCCCACACTCAGTCGGTCACAACCACCGCACCCAGTCTCTGGACTACGCCATCGTTATGGATGGGGAGATGGAGATGCAGCTGGATGATGGATCTAGGACCAAGGTCCAGGCTGGAGACGTTGTGGTACAGCAGGCGGTCAGTCTTTCCCTTGTTTTCTGTGGAAGGGATGTTCTTAACCGGGAGGTGATAGACTATGCACCAGTGGCACAATGTCACAGATCGAGTCGCTCGTGTGATCTTCATCCTGCTACCTTCGGAGCCGTTCGTTGTAGGTGAGGCCCTCCGCGACAAAGGAATTCCAGGGGCCTTCCAGGTTCTCCACTAGTGTTTTGACGTACGAGTCGGTGGTGTTATCGTGTGAATAGGAACGAGGGGTTATTGTTTTCAATGAGTTAAATGTGATTAATATATCTTAAATGCTTCAATATACTATATGTGGCTGTTGTCTATTCTGTTCTTATACTTTGACTAAATTATTCATTGTTATAGTTTTATTTCGGTGATGTGATATTCTTCGCAACTCTCTACATGGTTTGTGTAAAAGAAGTATAAAATGTACTGAATTACATAGAATATAGACATTCCTGTACGTCTAGCTAATCTAACCACGTACTCTGAATTTGTACTCAGAAGAACCATCACTCCTGGTTCTCACGGATCGCCCGACACACCAAATCCCTAAACGACACAGGCAATCAATAACGAAACTTGTCAAATCCATTGGCACAGGCCAAACAATACTCACGTGTCCATGTAGGCGCGAATGCGAATAATCCGATTCTCATCATTAAACTCACACACCCAGGCATACTCGTTTGTGAACGGCAGCCCATTCAAACACTCGGTATCTATGGCGCGCATCTCGACCACAGCCTGGTGGCCATCGCAGATGACGTTGCGGACTTGCAACTTCAAGGGACTCGCCCAGGTGGAGCTGAGACTCTTGGTTCCTTCGTGGAACTCGGCCTTGGACTTGTACCGCCCTGCGATGGGGCAAAACGTCCCTGCAGCAGGATAAAGCGGGCTCCGTGTAAGTTCTATGAAACTTCCGTGGGTGTTGTTTGTGTATAGATGTCTACCTTTCACTTCCCAATCCACATCATCAACGACATGCTGGAAGAAGGATGGGGCGTTTCCTTCCTCGAACGAAGCGAAAATAGCGCGGACCTGCTCTGTGGTAGGCATCTCGAGTCTTCAAGTTCGGTGATAAGAGTGGATTCTTTCTCGTAATGAACACTATGGTCAATAGTTAATTCACGAAATGGGGCTACTTTCAAAGGGCAATCAATGACTAAATCCAATATTATTAAGGGGGAGGGAGGGATAGAGAGCAAGGATAACCGAGTGGAACGACCCCGGCTCGGTGGAGACTGAGTGGGAGAGGGACAATCCGAGTGGGCAGCAGCCGTCAAGGGGTCAGGTATCTTCCCCTTATTTGTGTGCGGTGCGGCTGGTTCCGTTGCTGATATAATAGTCTGGTAGAGACTGAGATCCCTTATTCTCGGCTGTTCGAAAAGCAAGGATTCATTTTCCAGTCGACATGCCATTGAAAGTCATTGTCGTCGGAGCCGGCTTGGCTGGCCTTGGTGCCGCAATTGCCCTTAACCGTGCTGGTCACACTGTCCAGGTATCTTTCAATCGACCTATCGTTGGATATAGCTTCTGGAGCAAGGCTGACCCCGTGAATACAGGTTATTGAGCAGTCAAACTTCCTGAACGAAGTGGGCGCGGCTATCCATGTAGCGCCTAACGCTACTCGCATTCTTCGGGCTTGGGGATGTGATAAGGAAACCATGCAGCCGGTTCAATGCAATCGTCTGCAAGTGTGGGACTCCCAATGCAATCTGCGCTGGACCCCGATTGTGCGTGATAAGTCACAGCAAGACTCTCTAAGCGAGCGGTCAAAGCTAATGGAATTGGTGTCTCCCGGGCACAGGTGACCAAGGAGTTGCAACAAAAGCTTGATATCACAGACGATTGGGTTCTAACCCACCGTGTGGACTTGCACAATACTCTGCGCACAGCTGCTGCTCAAATCGTTGACGGTCGTGCTGTAGATGTCAAGCTGGGCTCTCGTGTAGCATCTGTGGTTAGTTGGCCGTTGCCCCTTCTTGTGACGGAATGACCCTAAGTGACATTATTAGGATGCTGAAGCTGGCGTGGTGGTTCTCGAGGATGGCACCACACTTACAGGTGACCTCATCATTGGCGCCGATGGTATTCACGTACGCCGCTGTCAAAATTCCCCTACTCTGGTATATTCTGTGCTCACCATCTAACGCCTCCCGTGGCAGTCCCGGTCCGTTCGAGAGATCATCGGCGAAGAATCTAGCAAAGAAAGCACGGGGCAGAATTGCTTCCGCTTCCTCGTTCCCATCAGCAAGATGCAGAAAGACCCTGAGACTGCCTCATTGCTCGACAGGATGGGTCTAGATGGCGTGCACGCCTTTACGGCCGAGGACCGTCGTCTCGTCATCTACCCCTGCCGTCACGGAGACTTACTCAACGTTGTGGCCATTCACCCTTCCGAACCTACCGGCGCCGTCAAGGAATCATCCTGGCTCGAATCTGCAAGCCTCGATCACCTCCTCGAGGTGTATAAGTCCTTCGGCCCCGAGCTGCGTCAAATGTGTGCTATGGCAGAGGATGTTAAACTGTGGAGCCTTGCTTCCCGCAAGCCTCCTCGGACCTTCGTTAAGGGAAAATTGGCCCTCGTGGGAGATGCTGCCCACCCGACACTACCGCGTAAGACATCCCTGCTCCTATTACTCTAGCTAGATTGGGTTGTGGCTAATACACTCCTTATTAGACCAAGGGCAAGGAGGCGCCCAGGCGTTTGAGGACGGCGCTGCCTTGGGAGCCGTCTTCCCGGGAGAGGTTTCCCCAGAACAGGTGGCGGACCGGTTAAGCGTTTATAATACGGTTCGCTACAAGCGGGCCCTCACCGTGATGTTCATGTCCAAGACTCATGATGAACGCCGCAGCGAGATGTTGGAGGAGCTCCGGGCCTACGTGCCGGATGCAGAACTGCCCGAGAGCATGTTTTCCTACACCTGGACATCTTACCCTGCCCGCGAGGCGCTTGTTCTTCTCGGGGCAGAGTGAAATCTTCTATGTATCATCTGGCCAACATATCCATGGCAACAAAAAAAAGTTACCAAGGTGTTGTTCCGTGGTTGTGAACGATCCCGACGGTTGCACTCGGGTACCACTCGGCTCAGTAGAGCTGCCGAGTGGTACCCGACAGACCCGATGCTGGTTGGAACCAACCCACACTACGTAGAGCCAATGGATTTAATGAAATTAGTCTCTGGAGGAGTTTATCCGCTGATCGCCACCCCGCCTTCCTCGTGCCCGTTCATCTCTTACGTAATGAGGTCGAAACCAACTGGCCTACTGCCGTCCCTGTCCCGATTGACCTCAAATTATGTGCAGCACAGCTTCCCAGACCGTCCATAGACCGAGACAGCGAGCAACCTGAGCATGCAGGCCACGGATCTGTATTGTGCCAGTTGCAATGCCTGGTTTCAACGACGGGAACACTACGAGCGGCATATAAGAATCCACACCAAGGAGAAACCGTTTGTACGGATAAGAGACTCTGTTCAACACCAGCGGAAGGAATGATATGCGATAGCTGATACAGGGTACCATCCAGGCGTGCACCGAATGCGGTTATCCCTTTAGTCGCGTGTAGGCTCTCTCCATCCCTTCCACAGATGTCTCGGACGACGGATTTGCTGACGTGGCATCTCCGCGGCTTCCCGTCGTGCGCGACTCCATCTGTAGAGATTCCCTATCGCGTCATTATAATACTGTTCATCGTCAAAGTCAAAGTGCGGAGGTCAGAGATCGAGCTGATGTCCGACGTCGAGTCGCGAAGGCCTGCAAGCCATGCAATGCGTCCAAGGTGCGGTGTGATGGACAACAGCCCTGTCAACGATGTATCAGTCATAACACCGATTGCTACTACGAACAAACCCAGAAGCGCAGAATTGAGCCGCCAATCTCTGCTGGAAGCTCGTCTGCATTCCCTTCTGCTAAGCGTCAGTCTCGCCGTACTCCTGAACCTGGGACTAATGCCAGGAGGGAAGTAGGACATCATCACTCGGGGCAAACTCCCTCCACTATTGACCATCGAAGCGTATCTGTCACAACGCCACATCTGGAAACCCCCGACCCTAGTGCAGGTCTACCAGATCTCTTGGATACTACCGTTGAAACTGACCAGGAGCTATATGGCGAAATGCCACTGCTTTCAGAGCTGGTAGACCTGGAGGGCCTCGTGGAGCCCAACTTGGGGCTTGTCTGGTCGGACATGTTCCAACCATGTCTCCAGGAGGATCTTACGGATATGAGGCTAACGTCCTTGATCGAGACTCCCCCGACCCGGGATATGTCGTTCTCTGCGGACAACGTGCGCCGACAGCCAGCGCTGCCACTGACTCCCTCCGCGGTGACCGAGATATATGACGGTCGGTGCTCTCCGAGGCCTGAACAAGAGGCGATGGGACCCCGAGACTATCATCCAACCGTCATCAGCGTAGACGCCCAACTAAGCTTCCCAGACCTTGGGGGAGTCCGCTTCAACGACATCGACAGCGAAGACCTGGCCCACGTTGCGGAGGTCAGCCAGACTGTCCTGGACGAAGCCACGCGACTCACCCTCACTCTCCAAACCGCCCCCAGCTTTCCCCCCTTTCTAAACTGGCAGCTTCCACCCCGGCCCATACTCAACAGCTGGGTCCAGCTCTACTTCGAGCACTTCCATCCCATCTTCCCCTTGCTCCACAAGCGCTCATTCGGCGGCCCAGCCACGCACTGGCTCCTAACCTTCGCCGTCGCCGCCATCGGCGCGCAATTCTCACGACTGCCCGAGTCGCAGACCTGTGCGCGCGCCATGCAAGAGCTCATCCGCCGATTCACCATCCATCTATGCGAGCACCACAATCGAAACGGCCGCGAGCTGTGGCTAACGCAGGTAGTCCTTCTGAACCAGATCGCCTTTCGATACTCCGGCGAGCGCCGCGCCTTGGAAATCGCCGAGATCTACCAGGCTCTTCCCATCACGTTGGCTCGTCGAAAACAGCTATGCACCACAACCATGTCCCTTCGCAAGATTTCCGAGCTCGAGTTACCGCAGAACCAGCGATGGCAGATCTGGATTCTTGATGAAGAGCGCCGGAGGACCGGAATTGCTGTTTGGGTAGGTTGCCCTCCCCCTCGCTGTTTATCTGTTTGACGGTGGCTGACTATTCCTCTTCCTGGTGCCTCCGGGCGCCTTGGAAGCATCAAGCTGCTGGACTCGGCCTTTCGCACTCACTTCGATCTCACGAGACTCATGGGTGATCGCGATATGCAAAACACTCTCCCTCAGCGGGAGGAGCTCTGGGAGGCGTTGACAACAGAGGCATGGGCTAGCCTTACACAAAATCTAGGTTGGTTTGACCATCCCCACGAACACACTTTCCATGCATCGCTGCGTGAGCAGAGTGAAGAGCGAAGAAAGGCTGGCTAACACACAACCCCCGGCGGCTTTAGGGACTCACCCCTCCAAAACACTGCCTCAACTCGCCCGAGACGGCGACTGGATCGCCGCGTGGAACGCGACAGGGACTCTCGGAAAGCATGCGATCCTTCAACTCCTAATCAACAGCATTTACGACCAGGCAGGGCGCAGCCCAGATTCCGCGTCGCGAGGCGGCGGAGGAAGAGGCGAGCCCCTGGACCAAGCAACAGCGGAGCAGGGGCTGCGCACGCTTCTCACCGTCACAGAGCTACCATCGACATCACCGTCGGAGGTGAAAGCCAACACGGCGCACCGGATCGGGATCCTAGGCGGGTTAATGATGTCGCAGGCACCGGGGCGGATGCCGCTGCTGGGCACGGCGTTACGGCTGGCCTATCGGCGGGACGACGAGGCGGGACGACAGGGGCTGGCGAGGGAGTGGAGAGCCGCTCCGCACGAGGGCCGTATGGCTGTGGTGTATGCGGCGCAGACACACTCGGCGCTGGTCATCGCCGTGGGGTCAGGGGCCGGCGCAGCGCAGCACTTCTCGTTCCCGGTGCTCCTGTTCCGCGCTACCCTGGTGCTCTGGCTGTTCTCCACGCTGGCGCCTGTCCCACCACCCGAGACTGAGCCCGATTTCGCGGCTACTCCTTCGGTGATTCTCGGCTGTGGCGGGGGAAGCGGTGGGATGTTCATGAACCAGGATCCGGCGGCGCAGGCGCGCTGGGTTGAGACGGGGTTTCCGTGTCGTCTTAAACTCGCCGGTATTGGCAACTTCATGTCGGCGACGGGCCGGGCCAGACTGTTGGAAGAGTCCTTGTCGGCGATGAGATCCCTGCGTGGCTGGGGCATTAATGCTATCTATGAACAGCTGCTGGATGGTCTACGGTGTCAAGAGAATTGAAGGTTGTTCCTGCAGTAAATTATTAGTGTGGGTGTGTGTATAATATAGTCCGGTGGGAATTCACTATTTCGCCTTCCACTCGTTTCGGCTCCACTTTGAATCTTCCATTTTGGTCTTTTTCCCGTTGCATTAGAAAGAAATATGAAAAAAAGAAAAGAAAAAGAAAAAATTAAAAAAAAAAAAAAAGAAAGAAAGGAACAACAGAGAAGAGTTGTCTGTCTAAACAATCTGATAACCACGTGCAACGCCCATGTCCCTCCAATTTATCACTCACCTGAGCGAACTCTTGTCATCCAAGACGCTCGCTCGAGTGACCGTCTTGCCACGATGTCGCATACCGACGAAGAACAGACCCAAGGCGACGAGCCACTCCGACCAGAGGATCGGCAGCGCTCGGTAGAGATACGGATTGCAACCGTCTGTCCAGATCTGCAGCAGAACCTCGTACAGCTCGTAGGCGGGGAAGGCGTAGCCGATGCGGTAGAAGCCGGGCGACAGCTCGAAGGGGATGATGCTGCTGGAGACGTTGAGGATGATCCAGGTCAGCACGAAGAAGGGCAGGAAGCCGGCAGGGAGGAATGCGGTGACGAAGTCGATGAACAAGAAGTGCAGGTGCATGACGAGCCAGATGGCCATCCAGCTGAGGGCGAACTGTCCGCCGGTCAGGGCCCAGCTCTCGCGGAAGGCCCAGATGTAGCCGGTCATGACGAGAGCGCCGACAAAGGTGTAGACGAGGGAGAGGGCTATGCGCAGCAGGAGATGCTGGCGGGTCGAGAGCCGGTCTCCGAGGGCGAATTGAGCGGAGAGACTGTTCAGCGCCATGATGAAGAAGAACTGCTGGATAATCGGCATCACCATGGACACGGTGTTGTAGTAGAACCGCACGCCTTGGTCCGTCGGCGCCACGTCCACCGCCGTTCCCCCGACAGGGAGCAGCAGCGTCGCTGCGATGGCTGGGTCGGTGAGGTTACTGGAACTTGCCGCTGCGAGGAGACTTGCGCCCTGCGTCTGGGCGTACACGGCTGCGGTAATTTGCACCAGCTCCGTCAACTGCGAGTAGACGCCCGTCGCGTAGGCCGAGTATTCGGCCCCTTTCCAGTAGTACTGCATCGCCTGCGAGCGATCGTAGGCCTGCGCCATCTCGGGCGACTGCACTGCCGCCGTCAGCTGCGTCGAGGCGTTGGCGCGCGCGTAGATCGCCCCCCAGTACTTGCTCTTGCAGACGGCTTGCTCAATCTCCCGCTCCGTCGGGTACTCGCTGACAGGATGTTGCTCGAGAGTGACGACTGCCGGGCTCTGCATGGTGCTGTAGGCGGCGAGGACCGACTCGCCAATTGCCCCCTGGTCGTAGTCCACGTAGAGTACGTGCATGGCGCTGTATCGCTGCGAGTCGTGGAACGCTGTTCCGTAGATATAGCACATGTTGGCCAGGAAGAGAAGCTGCAGGGCGATAAATGCTCCAGCGATGCCGACCCAGAACCGTCCAGGGAGCGTCATTTCGTATGATATTTCGGATAATTTTAGAGGCAGAGACTGAATGTGAAGTAAGGAGTGGCAGTGACGGCGAAGTCAAAATATGGCCTTTGTGCCAGAACAAAATGATGTAGAAGATCAAGAAAAGGTAGCGAAGAGTTTAAAAAAGAATGTATGCAGTAAGAACACTTCAGAGCCTCCGGAATCCCAGGATATATGAGAGAAGGTATTTAGCTCATCATGATGTAAGCCTTTACCTGCGAATGAACTTTAGGATTGCACTAGTTGCATGTTGAACCATGGCAACGCCGTCCGATCCGTAAATCATTAACTGAATAAGAGCAGAAAAAGATTGAACAAGACCCATATCGGCATGTCCCACTTCGGCCCGTCTTGTTCGATCTCAATATCTGTAGTGTTGCAAAAAGACTTTTCCAGAAGCCTGCGGAAAAGTCGGCAGTTGGGTGTGCGTTCCTGCACGTTGTGAAGAACCGGAATAAATCCGATATCAGCAACGCCCCATGACACTGGGCTCAACAGGGGGTTTACTCTTAAAAAACACACCCGCACCTCAGTTTGGTGCGGTGCGGTTGCGGATTCTGCAGTCCTAAATGGCAACCCTTGTTCTCTGTTCTGCCGATTTCACTACCAGTTGCAGGGGTTGTCCGTTCCCGCGCTACAGGCCGTTAGTGAGGATTAGAGATGATTAGGATTTGGGGAGGAGATTGGGAGATTGGGAGATTGGTTCCGGAGGGAGAGTGGAAACGTCTGCCTGAGAGGTCAGGCACCAGATATGTCTCCGGAGTAACATGTCTCCGGTCGCTGCCTCAGGCATTAACACTTTTTGCCTGAGGCAGCGACACGTGCCACGGGACGCCGCATGACCGAATGACGGCATGACGCCGGTCAGCCGAGGTCCAGCGCTGCGCCATTTTGCGCGCTTCACCCCACTATGGAGGGCATATAAAGACGGGGACTGAGGGGTTGCGCTGGCTGGACTTTGCTCGAGCTGCCGAATCTCACTTCCTGGCTCGCGTCTTTCTTTCCTCTGCACACATCGTGACCCCCTCCTCTCAATTGACCTCCTATCTCCAACTTTCTCTCCAGAACCATACAATACTAAACCATACTCCAACAACATGCCTCCTATCGCCCTCGAAGACCCTCCCACCACCACCACAACCACTCTCAACCCCAAAGACTTCCCTCCGCCCACTCACCCCGGCAAACTGCACGTCCACCGCTCCTCCAAACCCTTCGCGTCCGGCGCAATCTCCCAGACCAGCCTCCCCGCCGGCTCCCTCTTCGCGCCCATCACCGGCACCACCTCCTCGCACAAGGCCTACACCTCCGTCCAGACCGGCCGCGACAGCCACATCGAGCTGAACTCCGACCTGGTCTACTGCAACCACTCGTGCGCGCCCACGCTGGACTTCGACATGCACGCCATGCAGGTGCGCGTCGTCGCCGGCCGGGACCTCAAGGTCGGCGATCCGCTTACGTTCTTCTACCCGAGTAGCGAGTGGGAGATGGACCAGGCGTTTGAGTGCATGTGTGGGGCGGAGTCGTGTAAGGGATTTATTAAGGGTGCGAAGGAGATGTCAAGGGACCAGCTGAAGGGGTACTGGTTGAATCCGCATATTACGGAGTTGTTGGATGAGCGGGACGCGAGGGCTGAGTCGTCGGGTTCGGGGTCGGTTTAGATTCACTTTTTATGTTCTATGGTTTATATGCATTAGAGGGTTGCCGTTTGTGCTGGGGTGTTTTGAGCGTTTTTGTTGTGTTTACGTGCTATGAGGTGCATGGTGTGGTGCATGATGATAGAGATAGATGGATCATACAATTCCACGTGTATAGATGAGTCATGCTGTTGTACGCGGATTGCAAATTATCAATAAATTCAAGAAATAGCTTAAATGGGATATCAATTATGACCAGTCCTCAATGCATATCCATATCTAATCCCCCTCCCCCACCTTGTCCTCCTTCGCTCACCCGATAAATCCACCCCCACACCACACCACACCACATCCCGCATCTCCTCAATCCACCACCAATACGTCACATATCAACACAACGCCATTTGCCCAACACTCTCAAATTCACTGCAAACTCGTTCGCGGGGTTATTTAAGAGCCATATACCCAGGGAAGCGCCACCTGGACACAGACTATATAGATATTCTCTCCTTGGGTTTTCTCATTTGCATACAAAATTAGAGTTAATGCTCGACACGAGGCATTCCGGCTATTTAAATGGACGCGGATAGTCCGTGTGTCCACGTGCACATCCCGGACATTTCGCATTTCAGAACCCCTCGTCCACTGCAGATGCAGCGATCCGTGCGTCCGGAAACATGGACACATTATCATCGGATATATGGAAGTAGATTATCATGTAGATGAATGTGGAGGTGGTGGTATGATCGTTGCCACTAGTCTAATATATACGGAGTATATATTCGGGTCGGGGGTGATGTGAGCGCTGCCCGTGCTATACTGCCACATGCCGGTATAAATATATATCCCGATCGGGAAGGTAGATATTTGCATAGATTTCGAAGAGGACAGAGGCTAAAGAGGTGCCGCTGGCATGATGTCTGATGACATGGATGGACATTAGCGCCAAAGTATAGACATTCAGATGACTTTTTAAATGTTTGCTCACTATCGACAAATGCTGAATCTTAATATCTCTTGTCTTCAATTAATCCTGTTACTTAACACCTTACCCTTCCAGAAGTTTCCATGTTTCTAGGTAGCCATGTGACAATATATACAGTTAGATGCCCCTGGCCATCCCAAATTAGTCGTAATAGATCCGTCTAGGTTGTAATATTTCAAGAGCCAAGGTACACTTTTTATCCTGGCTTAGTATATTCTACGCATGAATGACAAACTCAAGTAGAGTCGATTATATCTATCTAATTATAACTATTCAGATCATCTAAGTCATTGTATCCTCCACGTATTAGCAGCACCCCTCCGCATTACATACCGCAGAGGGGAGCCACAGACAGTCCATCAATTATCAAATTACCATTAGGATCATAACCCTCATATCTCAAAACCCCGGGGCGAGCCGCTTAGCAGCTGAACTCAACCCACCAACCCGTCTCCTCATTCTGCTCCATGAAGACATATTCACCGTTGTAAACCAACTCCAGACGGAACTCAAGGTCCTCCTTGCAGTCGACCCCCCCGACAGGGCTGGACCGAGCACCGGGGGTATCGGGCCAGAAGGCGAAGTCCGCAGACGTGATCTTGGTGTCGCCGTCGTAGACAGCCACCCGCGAGTTGTTGCCAGACTTGAAGTTGCGCTCCTCAGGGATGTCCCAGCCAAGTTTGCAGTCCTTGGCCGCGGAGGGGAGCTTCCAGGAGATCGTCTGCTGCCATTCGCGGGCGTTCGACTTGCTGATGTTCAGGTTGGGGGTGGAGATGGAGGCGCCGGCGGGCTTGACGAAGAGGGTTTCCATGTGCGGCTGGAAGAGCTTGGTTGTTTTGCCGGAGGAGGGGCAGGAGGCGGGCTCTTCGGTCTCATCGTCGGAGGAGTCGGACTCGTTGTCATCGTCGTTGTCATCATCGGAGCCGTTCTTAGAGTTGTCGTCGTCGGAGCTGTCGTCCTTGTCGTCGGGGCAGCCGTCCTTCAGAGCGCAGGGGTCGACGGAGCAGCAGCCGCGGAAGTTGTTGATGTGGCAGACGTAGAAGTTCGTGTTGACGTCGCACTGAGTGTCATCGCGAGCAGTCAAGGTCGATCGCTCGGTGGTGGGCAGAGCAGCGGCGAGAGGAGCGCTGAGCAGGCTAGCAGCCATGCAAAGGACGGGTGCGCGGAACAACATAGTGAAGGTTGCTTGAATACAGTGGAATAAAAAGAAGAGTCTATTGAAGTGTATGGAAGATTGTTTGAGTGGTTTGGAGTGTGGAAAGATGCTTGGAAAGTGTGCTTGTGATGCTGATGATAGAGTCAATTCTACAGCGAGGACCTGGCCATATTTATATCTATCCGAACGACGATTCCCCATCCATCTTGTCTCCATCCAAGCCATCACCAGAAAGAAACCTACCCAAGACCCAGAATTAGGCCATGACGGCAGACGAGGCTCTGAACGCCGTGTCCGAACCACCACAAAGATGTTGGGAGCCGCCAAGATCGACTAATGCGAACCCACTTCTTTGTCCTGATCCACGCCCGCTCTAGAGTGCGGCTTTTGCTCAGAACCGAGCATTCAAGCCAATGGGCATTTTCCAACACTGCGCCTGGATCTCGCTGGCAGCCAAGACCCCGACGGCGGAGTAGGGCTGTGCTGATCCGGTGAGCCGCCTATAGGAAGCCGCGGAGTCAGGCATACCCGGTAGGGCGGCTCCACTTGGCTTCGTATGGTTAATCCTGATGCTATTATTATGACCAGCTAGCTAGCTTATCCATGTGTTCATCGTTCGTGGTAAATGAGCTCGGGCTGTGCTGGCTGGACGAATCGTGGTGTTTGGCTCGGGATATGGTTACATCCGTGGGTGTGCTATACGTGATCTATCTGATTTGGACGCCGTAAAAGTAAGACATGGTCGATATAGCTCACGGCTCAAAGAACGACCCCCTGTCAATAAGAGTATGAATAGCAGTCGGAGGCTATGCTATGCACGATCCCGATCGCAAGCCACGAGCATAGCTGTGGCTGTTTTTAGGCACCTCAATCATCGCGACAGTGCTGCCCTAGCAACACGGTTAGTATGATAACAAGTACGATGATACGGAAGAGCGGTGTATAATTATGGAGTAAAAGAACAGGATGCTACTTTCGGTAGTAGTCTGTTGCAATTAGCGCATCCTGTACGCGGGCTCGCAAGCCTCATTCTTTGCCCAAAATTAAGCGTTGTGGGTATTGTGGGGTTAGTTGATGTTGAATTTCCCGCTATACTCCGTCTTTTAGACGGATATAGTGGAGGTCACACGGGAAGAGAGCCATCATATCGATTTCCAACTGAAGTCTTTCGTATGATTGGCCACGTCGTATTTCGTCCAAGCGGATTTAAGGCAGCGTATGTTCTAGAATGTTTTCCTAAAAAATATGGACCTTCCTAATTGGGTTTCCTATGATAATCCTGAGGCCTGTAGTCTTGCTTAGTATTCTTTAAAGTAGTTAATGGCCATTTTAGGTTACTGATTATGATTTATGCACCCCGTTGAGTAGTCTACCTTCTCTATTTTGCTACTATTAGTTGCTCTCGCATTAAAAAGTCCAATCTCATCACGTTTTTTCTCTGGTTCATTTCGAGCATGAAAAAAGAAAATGATAAATAGAAAAACGAAAGGAAAACAAGATGAATCACTTTGGTGGATTCCATGACAGATTCTACTCCGGACATCCTACTCCGTACAAGCATGGAGAGTTGGGAACTATGGACGCGCTAAATCCTTTTCACAGCCTTGTCACCCTGGAGTAGCGCCAACACAATTTAAGTCTATTTTCAGCCTCCACAAAAGCCGCACTCATTGTAAGGTAGCACATAGGGTCCCGGCCCACAGGTAGTGGAGGCATTGCGCGTAGATTAATCCCTCTTTGAGGCTGTTTGTAACCGAGGCCAACCGATGATTCTTTTGTTTTGGTCTGGTGGCTAGTTTTGGGCAAGCAAGTCATTAATCGGCTAAAACTGAGGCATGCGAACAAGATATCATGGTTAACTATAGCTACTATCTTTATATCGCAATGGCTTCTCCCATATCTAATGGTTCTACTGTCATTGTCTCTATAGCTGGTTATTGGGTAAGATCAAAGAGGATCCTATTATTAGAGCGCCGAAAAGTATCATAAAGCCAAGGAGGATTGATGGGTAATTGTGGCTTTGTTATATGGTTGGTTATTGTTTGTGTGTGACTGGAGTTCCACACTTTCGTAGACAGCAATTGATGGGTGAGTTTCTATGTGTTACTTGACCATGACCCACCGGCATTTCGCAAAGGAAAAGAAAAGCCCAAAGCCGAAGTCCGCTTGCCTACCTCATCTACAACGATGCCAATCTCACGAGTTCGAATTATCAGCGCATGACCACGCCGACGCCCCCGATGCTGCCTTACTAGACGCGATAATGCTATTAATGGACCCGTAAGTCCCGGCAACCATTAGAAACGAGCCCAGAGCAACAACCGCAATGCTCCAGGCGGCCAGAAGCATCCATTTAGTCGTGGGCTGCTCTCGGCCCCGTTTCCAATTATCGTAGAGCCACATGCACCCCATTGGTTGGAAGGACATGAACGTTCCGAGAAGAGCACCAATCAAGGAGACGAGATCTCCAAAAATAGGAATTCCGCTGGCTATGAGATACGAGGCTATTGTGATCGCCAAGGTGCAGCTGAGCCAGGTCGCCCAGTGTACGAAGGAGTTGGAAGTGAGGTGCTTTGAGCCGCGCAGGATGCGGACGAAGATGTATTTGCTTGGGAACTAGGCGGGTTAGAATAGAGCGTGGAGGGGAGAGGGAGGAATTACGTGTAGAATGACAATCGTGCTGACTACTAGGCCAGGGAGGGAGATTCCGTACGAGACTTTCTTGATTAGGGCGCCGGCTGAGCCGAGGGCGGGCGATGCGATATAGGACCCGCAGTAGTAGTAGATGACAGTCCCGGAGGCAATGTAAATGGCAGTTACTGATCCTTGGCAGATTATTAGGGCTCGTGTGTAAAGCGAGGGGTCACGCATTTCGGCGGCGATGGGAAAGAATCCTGGATCATGGATGTCTTAGTATTGGAGCGTACTTGGGGCTGTGGTGGGATACGAGGTAAGACTAACCAGGTGTGCCAGAGTAGGAATATACGAGGGATGACACAGCGGATATTGCTTGTGTGAACGATGGACTGCCGACAAGTTTATAATCCGAGACCCAGGCGCCGTTTCCCTTTGGTGCCGTTGAAGGCCTGTCCTGCAGACCGACTGCGATTGTAACCATAATCACTAACACGCCGAGGTGAGTATTAGGAATCATCTTATCAGAGCGTCACCCACCAGCAGTGAAAATACAACCCAACCCGACCCAAGCGGTCCACTTGATCTTTCCTAGTGTGCGGATGCTGGCGAGACCAAATGAAACGATGGCAGCAACTGCAACGAAAACGGCGGTGCAGGCCCCATGGCTGGAGACAGCGTTTAGTCCGGTTGACGTACTTAATAGACCTGAACCAGCACAGAATATCCAGTCTGGCGTAGTGACTTGTTAGACGAGATCCCCAGAAGCTAGGACACGAGACTCACAAATACAGACACTGACACCGAAGACCTCACGGCCTATACGACCAACCATCAATTCACCCGCATCATCGATGCCATATACCTCGGGGTGCTGCAGTTTGAATTGTCCTATAATATAAGTAGACCAGGTACACATGGACGCAATGACGCAGAGACACACAGTACCCGGGATCAAACCCAGGGCGTTGAAGACTTGAGGTATAGAAAGAACGCCGAGGCCAAACTGGGTCTTCATCATGAGAGCCACTGTCCCTAGCCATCCGACCTATATATGCTTAGCTTGCGAGACAGGGTTAGTCAAAGGGATCTCACGTCTCTGTAGTTTGGCCCTTCTTCTGTGATTTCGCCAAATACGGCATCCTCTGCTATTGGCGGAGGATCCATGGGTTTGGACTTTTCCGTGCTGTTTCTTGCTACCCCCTCGACATTTTCCGGCATGATGTGATGTTATCACAGAGAGTAAATAGAATGAAAGGTATTGAACTATGTAGGGTGATTATTGGAAAGAGACTCGCAAACTGAGATATGGGAACAAGGCAGGCATTAATGCTGAACGGCCTGTGGATACTCTTATAATGCGGGGGTGAGACAAACTAGCCGACTCTGACGTTACCCGGGATGGCATTGGAGAAGCATGTCTACTTAGGGTTATCACCAGCGAGTCGCTATCATTAACAGCCCTCATTGGCATAGGGTCATGACGCAGCAGGTAAATAATCCCCTATCTGCTGCGGTTCTATCCAACAATTGGACAAAAGTTCCGCAGTCTCGGACACGGGACAGGAAGGTGGTCCTGTTTTCTTCTTACAAAGTCAGTCTGACATCTCCTGCTGACTTTCCTACGTCAATAAGTGTTCGCTGAGACGTGGAACACAGTGTCAAGATGATGGCTGTGGGCCGTACAAAGAATTACCCCGGATCCGCAGGCGAAGAACCCCGGATACAGGCATATCAGGCAGGAGTCTCCGGTCACGAAATAGAATCTTTCTTATTGGCTTGTGTCCCACTGTTTTGGATCCACAGGTCACGCTACGGCCATTGCATCCGACATATGCCGGGAGCTGAGTGGAATCGCTTCGAGGCACTCGTCATAGATAGGGGCCGACAACGAGATATCGGAGGGCTATCTGTGGATCTCCAATCAGCGAATCATTTCTAATACGCTCCATTACCATGATAACAGATTCCTTAGGCGCTATTCCTTCGATAGCTGCAGTGGAAAGGCTCGGAGATACCTGCCTTGGGGGTTATCATCTTAGCCTGCTCGTATCTCCCAGAATCGACCAATCAGCATCGCCTGTTGCTTCCCCGCAAATTTGGCGTTTACCCCGCTTAATCAGCCTGTGAGAGGAAATCGTGACAACATCCAAAGCCTTCGTTTCAAACTCGAATTGTCAATTGAAGTCCAAGGTCTCAAGATGTCGCCAAGAAATGCATCGGAAAGACGTTCGCTGAGAGCGAGCAAGCGTGTGACTAAAGCGTGTGTTTTCTCCCTGCACATTAAGAGCTTGACCATTGACAATCAATAGATGTAAGAGATGTCGCGATCAAAAGATCAGATGTACCGGTTCACATCCATGCGACCAATGCAGTAAGCGAAGTTCAACCTGCCATTTTGAAAACCCATCGCAGAAGGTCCTGGTTACTCGACGGTAAGTCAAGTGGTCCGGAATTATGGGCATGAGTCAATAATTCTTTTGGTCCAGATATATCAATGATCTTCATGGGAGACTGGCTACCTTCCAGCATAGAGCAAATCAGGCCACATATTCAAGGTCTACGCCTGTGTCTCTTGACAATCAGGCCGGCGAGCCTGATGGCAGTGGGATGAATGCCGATACCAGGCAGCTGGAGACTCCTGGCCGTACAGACAGGCCGTTAACGGTATCATCATGTGGGATCAACGATCATGAATCTGGTGGAGATGACGCTCTGATTTAAGCATACTGCCTACGGGCACCGGCCCGCCCCTGGGGTCAACCTCGCTTAGTCATCATATTCATTTCAGCAGAGCCTTCGGGCACCCTTGAATGGTCAAGTATCTTGGTTCCCACACTTCCTGCCCCAGCACTGCTGAACCGATCGTGGCTCGCCCTGTTTGGACGATGTTGTCGGTGGCATCGCTGTCCAACTCCACCCCTCCCGGGAGACTAGGCTTCTCCGCTCCGAGCCTAACCCTGGCGGGGATGGGCGCTGGTACAGTAGTCACCCAACTTGGTAAACCACCAGAGGTGATAAGTTTGGACTTCCCTTATCTCAGACTTGAACTTTAAGGGATCCGCACTAACAGTTAGGTGTGAGGCTATGGCAGTTTGGAGGGCTTGGCAGGGATGACTAAAGCACTGAATTACGTGATCTCCACGGATTCGATTGAAGGTCTTGATTTTCTAACTATGCGATATAGCTCGTACTTATGCAATCCCTGGAGCTTCAAAATGATGATCAATCAACTCAACAAAAAGAAGCAATTATGTTAAATAATTGACTGATCGATTATTTCGGCTGAGCAAAACGATGAAATGCCGGCTTAGTCAACTCCCACGGCCACACACCCCCTCAACACCTTGCGAGACCTATCTGCCTTCTTGGGCCAAAATGAGATCTTTGATGTTGACAAGATTCAACATCTCCATGAATTTGCGGTGTTTCTGACCCGGAAGAGCCTTCGTAAAACCATCAGCGATCATTCGATCGATAAAGATCCATTCCACGTGTAGATCGCCTCTCTGAACTTCCTGGCGAAGCCATGACCGATGAATATCAACGTGACGCAATTTAAAACATTGCTCAACGTCTTCTGAATTGATTAATCGAACGGTTTGCTGGTTATCACAGAAAATGATCATTTCATGTTGAGAATCGAACCCCATGATGTTGAAAACTCTGCTCCACCAATAGATGGCCTTTGCAGCCTCAAATAAAACAAGAAACTCTGCTTCAGTTGTGAAAATTGTAATGACGCGTTGTTTGCCTGATTTCCATTCAATTGAGCCGTTGTATAACTTGACAAGATATCCTGCCGAACTGCGGCGGTCAGATCGATCAACAAAAGCGACATCTGATCCGATTATTACAACTTCTTTGATGTTTGGATCGGCAGCATATTCAATCGCAAAAAATCGAATTGCGTAAAAATAGGCGATGACTCTATCCGCAGTTTGAATATAATCTGAAAACAGATTCTTCAACACTTCAGATAAACGACTTATTGCGTGTGCAATATCAGGTCATGTGATTATTGCAGAATACTGAGCGGATTCTATCTTTATACAATATTCTTTGATCTTCGCCTCTGATGCTTGATCCTCGTAAAACAAGAGATCCAGAGTACTCGATAGAAATGTATCTGGCCATCTTGTAGGATCATTCAAATGAAACTTCACAACAATATTCTCTAGATATGCATCTTGACAAAGCCAAAGCTTCCTGTGAGGCCTATCTCGAATAATCCTGACTCCTAAAAACCAACTCACTTCTCCCATTTCTCGTAGCTCATATTTCTCTGCAAGATCTTCCTTGAATCATCTAGCGGCTTCACGAACGATAAGAATAGATAAATTGATCACAATGATGTCGTCCACATATACCAACACGATCATATATTCATTCATGTAAAAACATTGCTCTTCGGAGACAGGTAGAAGACCAAACTTGAACAAAATGATGACCAAATCTTTCTACCAAAGACGTGGAGATTTGCGCAACCCGTATAACGCTTTCCTGAGCTTCCAAATCTTGCCTTTAGTATGAAAACCGTCTGATGATCTTGTGTAAATGACGTCGTCAAGCGTTGCATTTAAAAATACGTTTATAACATCTTTCTGATCGGTATCAAGATCAAAAGCTGCTACAAGTGCCATAACAACACGGAATGCTCGCGCGAACGCTGTTGCAGCAAAGTTATTAACAACTGTGTCCCTTTCAAGGTCTCCTCTCACGCAGATACGCCCTTTTGCTTTTGTGAAGTTGCCATCCTCATCGAATTTGTATGTGAAAACCCATTTAAACAAAAGAATCTGCAAATCTCGAGCTTCGTTGATTTCGACAAGATCAAAAACATCCATTGCTTTGAGATTACCTACTTCAACCTGCACAGCATGCAAGAATTCGTTCTTAAACGGATGCTGTAGTATTTCTAAATAAGAATTCGGCAATAAAGGAAGGTTGTTTCGATGCCATTGTTTTCTCTCTCTCTGTGCCAGATCCATAGCTATAAAAAAGGCCTTTTCGATCCTCGAGACTTCAATAAATAATTCTGATTCAATAATCATATGGCTAACATATTAAAGATCCCTCTTTGGCTTTGAAGCTCTTCTCGTACGTAGAATATTCTTTTCACAAGTTCCATCATCAATAGAACCTCTTCCTCTTCATCTTCCACTCCCTGATCTCGATGAACATTGTGAATCGTGATCTTCCTGTATCTCGAAATCGTTATATTGGATGGTTTGCTCAGTTGAAGGCTCAGAGCCTCTTTCTGCTAAGATAGCGGTCTATAGCGAATCCTGCAGAATCCGTGAAGGTGATTCATCTCGTAAAGGATCGTCTAAAGGCTCTAAAAATCCTCCTGGAATTGTATCGGTGCGGCTCTGGTCTGGGATCAAATTATCATGAAATTCAGTGTTCGGATCAGAAGTCAATTAAGATGTTGATAAAGATCCGATTTCATCATTTAAAGCGTCAATTAAATCTTGCACATTTTCTGGCAATCTCGGGGTTTTTGCAGACTCTATCTGGTCCGTCTCCTGTTCGAGAAAGATCCTTTCGCCTCTCGATAAGTCTAGCACCTCTGTAAATGGCTCGGGTGACATCTCGCTAATGAGATCTTCAAGAAACGGCTGCGTGAGATCATAGAGCTTTGTCTCATCGAACTCTACATCTCTTGTTTCTTCAACACGCTGCCTCTTCGGATTCCATATGTGCCAGATGTTTGAAACCACAAATCCTAAAAAAATACCTCTGTAGGCGCGAGGAGCCATTTTATTGCTTCTCTTCTGATCCTGCCTCGTGTAGGCAATGCAACCAACTGTTCGAAATCCTGAGAGATCAGGCTTTTGTCCTATAATCCTTTCATAAGGGATTGTCCACTGTAAAGCGGCAATTGGAGTGCGATTAGCAATATTTGCTGCTACTGAAATAACCCAGAGCCAGAGATCACGAGGTAATCTTGCTTCAATCATCAGTTTTCTCACTTTCATGATCAGTATTGACCCAGCGCGTTCTGCCGGACCATTTTATTCTAATGTGTTGACTACCAAATATTCATGTACGATCTTTTCAAACGCTTCAAATTGCTTGATCGTATTCCCAAGAGTTTGCTCACGATCGCTCTTGAAGAACTTAACAATGTAACCGAATAAGTTCTTGATTTGACGCGTAAAGTTAATGACCGCGTTAACACAATCGTTTTTCCTTCGATGAACGATAAAAAAATGGAATCGAATCATCTCATCATAAAAATGAAAGATCCACTGATCTTCATTCAATGCAGGAGTCATTTGAATGAGATCAAAATGCACACGTTGAAAAAGGTTTTCTGCCTTCATCATAGGACGTCTCGAGATCTGCCGTGAGGCGTTAAAGAACTTGCAAATTTCACATTTCTCGTCATTATATTGTTTTGCTTTAAAGTCGTCAATTTGAACGCCTGTAGCAGCCTCAGATAGATGACGAAGTGCATCCCAATGAAAATGAGCCATCCGGCGGTGCCATAAGTCGCTATTGCCTTTCAAAACATGAAATCTCGCTGATCTCCAGATTTCTTGATCGTTAATCATTAAAAAGCCGTACTGAATGCTGCTTGACTTCTCAATAATCCACAGACCAGATGAGTGTTCCTCCACATAAAAAACGATTCTTCCTTCCTTCAAAATCGTGTTGCGATTCATATTGAAATCGTATCCTGCTTGCTTAAGCTTTCGAGCGCTGAGGATATTCGTATGCAGATCTGGGACTTAAACAACGTTGGTAAGAGTGATCTCTTTATCTCTTTTCTCGCCTCCGCAGTTTGGCCGTATTTTCACGTTTCCAGTGCCTAAGATTTGGATAATTAAATCCCCTGCATAGAGTTGTCCATTTCTTGAATAATCGATATTTTCAAAACACGAGATCTCATTACAGACATATGTAGAGGATCCAATATCGATAATAAAACAATTTTTGAACGGAAAGTCATTCGAAACACTAAACGCGAACGACATAACATGATGATCTTGATGCTTTTCTTCTGCTTCCTTCCAGTTCTTCTGAATGATCGCTTTGACCCGTTGAAATCGTAGACCTGATCTTGAAGCGAAATCCCTGATATCCTTTATAACCTTTTCATCGGGCTTCCAACCTCTCAATCAAGTATTGGAATAAAGATACAAGCAGTCTCTATATCGATGACTTTCTCCACACGGGCAGGGTGGAAATTCCTTCTTCCTATGATCCTGCAATTCCTGCGTGTTTGATGTTGAATCGCTCTGACCGTTGAAAGTGGCGTACAAATGATCTGAAACTGTTGAATCGTCCCTACCGCTGTTGGCAAGATGGGATCGAAAGTCGCTTAACAAGTCAATGAATGACGTCTTCCTGATTCTCGCATAGTTTTGACTCGCGTATATAGCATCCACAGCTTCAATCGACCTTAGAAAGTCTCGCTATATATAATGATCCTGACTTTCAGACATATCGAGTCGTTTAATCACCAAATAAACGTGTTCGAATTCCTGAATCCATGCGTTGATTTTGCCTCGCCGTGGGGATTCTTAATGACTGCCTTATATTGCTTCAAGGCCTTATCTTCTAATTCCTCCGTTGTTGACTCATATTGCTGCTTCAACGCCTTCAATATTTCGAAACGTTTCTTTCTTTCAACAAGCGGTTGAACATATATAACAATTAACAATCTAATTGCTTCTTCAACCTTCGCGATGTTGTTTCTCGAATCCTTATAATCCTAAAGATCCAATTGAAACCTCCGATAATTCGACTCAGTGAGATCTTGAGATCTCATAAGCTTCATGGATGTCGAGAGATAATCATCTCCCTCCGGGTTGAAATGATCCCATATATCTAGCCGTTCAGCATATTCTTCAATGTTGAGGATCCAACTGCGCCAGTCATCTCGTCCCTTCAGGATGACTTTAACCTTCGTGACACTTTCAATATCGAATGATGAAATCATATCATCGAATTCAGATGTGTCGTCTTGCTCCCTGATGTCCCACCGGGATTGCCGTACTGTGTTGCTCAAGGCGGATTCTATATAGCTTCAAAAATGACCAAAGCGGTAATCCCTAGAGCGATTCCGGGCTCATAACTATGACAGTTTGGAAGACTTGACAGAGATGACTAAAGCACTGAATTACATGATCTCCACGGATTCGATTGAAGGTCTTGATTTTCTAACTATGCGATATAGCTCGTACTTATGCAATCCCTGGAGCTTCAAAATGATGATCAATCAACTCAACAGGAAGAAGCAATTATGTTGAATAATTGACTGGTCGATTATTTCGGCTGAGCAAGGCGATGAAATGCCGGCTTAGTCAACTCCCGCGGCCACACACCCCTACTGCTCACAAGCGGTGGGGCGGTTCCCGCATAGCCATCGACTATGATGGGCTGGGACGGCGAATGAGTATTACCGATTACCGATTACCGATACCCTCCGGGCTTGGCACTGTACCCTCATACGCTCCGTAAGACATATAGTGTAGGCCCTTATATTGACCTGCACCCGAGAGCCTACGCCAACGAGGGAAAATCTGGGCCAAGCGAGAGACGTAATTTCATAAACAAAGATCTCAAAGTACAGTACCGTGAACGAAATGCCGATGAACTGCAAATTGCGTACAGTCTGGTTTAGGTGACAAGATATCACCACCTCGCTGGTTCTCGTATGCTAAGCAACCGTTTATATAACTCCAAACTTCTTCCGCATCGGATCTTTCAACATAGGAGCCGGAATGGTCAAAATCTTGGCTTTAAGCACCCTAGTACTTCCCAAATGTCGCAACCTCAATTGCCTGGAGAAAGTCGAGTGAGTGGTTGTCTCGTGGCAGCTGGAGGAATAACGGATCGTAGCCGGACAGTTCCTGAACTAGGCTGCGTCAGTCACAACATCGTGATACACTGCTTCTGGGACACCTTACAACTCAGCTCCCTGTTCCCTCCCAGCTGCTTCAGAAGATCAAGAAGGCACCACGTGCTCCCACGCTCTAGTGGGTTCCACTTGATACTCAGAACGATCCCGAGAGACAAATCTGTGCCAGTTTTTACTATCAATATCTGGAAAGACATGATGCACAGCACTTCCGTAGGTAGGCTCTTCCCCGTCCTGTCCGCTATATTTCCACAGCTCTTCTTGAACACCGGGCCCCTGGCCTACAGCGAGGTGCTCGTATTTTGCTTCCCCTGCATCGTAGATGGAAACAAATGGGAAGTCGAAGTTGACGGTGAAAGGTAGCAGTGTGCGGATCAGACGCCATATAGATGATCTAGTGACAAGCTGCGATAGAAGAGCATTGAGGAACTTCCAGCGTTCTGTTATACCGCTCTCCGACGAATGGATGAACACACGATGATAGCTGCGGATCTCTTCCAGTAGGGTGTCGTCAGCTTCGATAGATGTTATAGCATCCTCGATGCGACGCAATCCCCACCTCAGAGTCTCCCGTCCCCGAGGTTGCGGCCAACGTGTCGGGGGTTTGATAGTAATGGTCTTTATCTCATGACCATAAAGTTCCTCCATGTAGTTAATAAAAGGCAACGATTTCACCTCTTTGTCACTGGTCAGGACAAATAAAGTTCTCAGGGGCTCGTTCTCAACTCTGTGTGAGGTACGCAAAGCCTTTGTGCATTTCCAGTCTTCCGGGACGTCGCTGGGACTGATGCGTCGTACTTGGCCGTAGTCAGGTTGCCGATAGAGGCGTAAATGACCATTGCGCCGCAGAGGATTACCCTTGATGGCTTGCACGAGCGCCTTGAGAGAATCGATAAAAGTGAAAAGCATCTTGTGGATGAAAAGATAGATCAAACGAAGGGGACAGGTTTCTGCGTGGAGGACTTCGAACGCGGTGGTATTCTGCTTTCTGCGACCTAACTACGGATATATACCCGGACTTTTCCAGCATACGTCAGACCTAGAGTAGATGATCCTAGGAGCTTCCTTCCTGTTCTTGAGATACCCGTCCCATTTTGTGACTTATATTCAGTCGTGCAAGGATGTCCGAGTGGACTAATCGGGGGCAATCCAATCAATAATTCAAACATTGTCTTCCCTTCGACCGCGGCTCCCCTTTTCCAACATCCAGGAATTTCTCCACCGCTTGATTCGCAAGTGGGTTCTACATACAAGCCAAGGGGGGCAGTCTAGTATCAAGAACAGTAAGTAGGCCACGAGAGGGCCTCCAGATGGGTGGCTCATGGTTCACCGATTCGGATTGGAACGTACAGTACTTAACAAATAAAGAGCAGTGTAATTAGGAAAGACCTGTGGCCCATATGTTACTAAAGGCGACGGATCAATGGTCAGGAGCGTGACTATACCAAATACACCCCCATGACCAAGTGGACTGTTCAAGTCGTTGGAAATGGTTCAGACACGGCCAAGCTCACGGAAATGGATTTCTCGCATTTTCAATATATCACGATGGAGCTAATATGTGATTACACATGGTGTGGGATTTGAAACATTATCTTTTAGGGTCGGTTATACACGTTCACCCCGAAAATGAGCCGTAATAAAGATTATTATATCAATCAAGCCATTATACACTATGTATTACCTTTCATTGAAAGCAGCACATCTAATAATTGAATTAGCAATCCACAGGCTTCCATGGTCCCTGGCCATCTCAGAACGCAGCATCCGACACATCTGGCTCACTACACTATCCCTTTCCTCATTAGTCTCCAATAGATGCAATGTTTGAGCAGTCATCGGTCCCAGAAACCTTATAAGTCGCTATTCGCCTCACTAGTCAGCTTCAGCGCTTTAGTCTTCGGTTCGATTTTGACGACTCGGAATCCAACATCCTCGAGTGTCTTCTTCGTCCACGGATCGGAATATGAGGGCAGTTTCTTTTTGGCATTCTCAACTGGGATGCTTTGGTTGGAGAAAGCGAAGAGAGTGGCGGTTTGCATGTCCGGGGCGCTCCGTTACCGCACAATTCGAAGAAGAATATGTTCCTCCCGGTTTGAGAGAATCATCGGCTAACGTGGAAACGCGGGTTGCTTGGTTGGTTGAGGACCCAGTGGAAAAATCACATGGTCGCATCCTCTTTTTAAAGCCTAAATTTTTGAAAGTTAAAAACCCCATATAACCGACCCCTACTGTCTTCTACTCTTGACCTTTCACATCAAACGGACGTTAACCAATTAACCGGCCCTTCATAACTAGTGAACCGTGATTTTTGGACAGTGTCGACATTTTAATGGAAGCTGCGATGAGTACTTAGCGGTAATATTAGCAAAGCGATTGGAGGAATACAACGTTTGCTCGAAGATTATTTTGAAAGACATTACCGTTTACTGTTCCATTGCCTAGAATTGCCCAGCGAAAGAAGTACGGACAGGGTCTACCTAGTGCTTTAGCGCGAAAATGTTTAATGCTGGTTGAGCATATTCTCTACTTTGTTCAAGTCCACATTTGCCCGAGTGATCTGGTTATTTAGCGCCCGGGGAAAACGTACCTAATGCAGCTGTCTAGTTCGCTCGGCGTTCAACAAGATCTCGATTTGCACGCTTCGGTCATTTCATTCGGTTCATGTGTTTTTGTGGCTAGTACCATATTTGATGGTTAATAGGCAACCCCAACTTCCCCCCTGTTTTATTACTTTGACTAAATGGTATCTCCATTTAGGGGCCCGATGGCTAAACGATCATTCGTGCGAACAATATTGGTCGGACAGAATTACGTATTTACCTGGGCATAAACACCCAATCCTTGATGTTCATACCGATCCCCGGAAGCACCAAGTACGATGGCTATACGAGACTTTTGGGATTTTGGCGGGAAATATTCGATACTCAGACAACTTCAATATCTCACACGGTGTTCCCGAACTGAAAGACAAACTTTGGTTGGACTACTCCAAGGTCACTGGAACGCTTGATTTTTACTGATTACGGGTTGAGACAGAAGACCCAGCAGTCTATAACTGGCGGTTCCCTAGTGGGAAAGCCAATCAATGTGGGGGAACCCGAATAGAGCGAATTGAATAAAATGAAGGAGCGTTTGCAAACGGCGAGGATGATGGTTACTTTTACGAGGTTCTGGCCCTGGCAAAGCCGGTGAAATGAAGGCCAGGTACCCAGTGATCCTTGCCGACCAGAGCTGGAAGGGAGTACCTGGGCGAAAGTAGTAATAGCTCCGCATGTTAACTAATTACATTGATCGGGGTATCTCGTCGACAACACGGCCACAACATGGAAAGATGAAGACGCCGCGATGTTTGTTTGACCAAGTTTACGATGGCATGCATCGCGACACGGTAGTGCTCAAACCCCCTAGCACACGGGGAAGGCCGAATCTTAGTCGTCAACGCAATGGATGTTGGATGTCCGGGCAAGATGGAGTGAGACCCGAGGGACCGATCGTCAGGAATGCCCCTCGTCAGCTTGGTTGTTTTGAACTGTGGCCGTCTTCCGATCAACATACACGGTTATCTGTGCGGATAGAATACCTAATAGTACGTAGCCGGGGACATTTGGTAGGTGGGCGCTCGCGGGTGATACACCTTAATGGAGGGCATGTCGAAGTAGGTTGGTCTGTCGCTCCTAAGAGAAAATGAAACGATGCCCGCGCAACATTTACATGCTCACTCATGTCGCGTTGCGGGTAAAGAATACGTGACTAACGAAGGGGAAGACGGTGCATGCGAGCCACAAAATGCAAACAACCAGCGTGATGGTCAACGTTAGTTGAAACATGCCCGGTAATCTGGACCATTTCTTTCCCAATGGTGGGCTCGTGATTTCTCTACCAAGTGAAACCTGCAACTTTGTCTATAGTCCATGACTGACAGCGAGGAAGATAAATTTTACTATATCATCAAATTGCTAGCGCTAGTAACAAAATTACTGGCAACAAATGTATCGAAGCAAGGTCTAGCGCGATGTGTTGAATGCTGCAGTGTCAAATGCCCAGAGCTTCAGGAAAAGGGGGTTGTTACATAGAACGCGACATTAGAAACGACATATTGACCAATTGACTAGATAATCAAACCTCATATCCGGAGGTGCAGTGTTTCGAAAATTAGACTACAGGCCAGAAGAAATGAGGATGCTCGTCCGTGCGATCTAGAGCATAGTTTCGGGTTTTTGAGAAGCGTCTGGAAATCTCATTGTTGGTGGACAAGCTCTGGTCATTAGCGAATAGAAATGGATCAATGAACAAGATGCCCGAGCGACCATGACCTTCTTCGAAGGGAATTCTAAAACAAGCCCGACGGATCGAATTGCCCAGATGCATCTTCAATTTTGGGGGCTGCGTACACTTCCTCCGATGGAACAGATGCCCTGTAATTTTTCGGTCACTGTCAACGTATTACTTTCAGTGGCTGGTGACGTGGCGGTGTTACTCGGAAAATGTCTCGTATTCTCCTTGTTCTAATGGGTAAGTGATGTGTACGCCGTCCATTGTCTGTATTACCGACTGTTGTTTTACCGATCGTATCCAAACAGCGGTATGGATCGCCGCCTGGGAATACGTACCAAACAGAATGGTGTGTATTGTATAAGGTTGATAGGTCTCAGTTTGCGGCGCACCGTTCAATGGCGAGTCATACGACTTGGCCAGTCTAAATGCTGTTACTGGAGCCTGCTATGCCACATTTGTTTCTTTGATTAATAAGCCACTGATTCCTAGGGGAAAGGAGGAGCGACTGGTCTACGAGTCGCCGGATTCCGATCAGACTAAGGGGTAATACGTTTTCATAATGTCGAGATTGTTTGGACATGATTTCGTATACGAGAATGCAACTCTTATAACATTCATTCTAGCCAAGGGTTTGCGATTTGGCGTTCACCACACATAGTCTTCCTGCCTGGGGATGGTCTTGTATTCTACGGCAACACAGCTTTGCGTTCTACCGGCCGAAACAACGAGCTAGTACTTGTACAGCCATGGAATTGTCGACTCGTCTGTTGAATAGGTACAAGAGAACTATATTTGTTAGCTTAAGACAGCACGACACGATAATACGACGCCCATACGAGCCTTGACCCTGGTGTCAGACGTGGCATGAGACTGCAAGCCTCTGTGAAAGTCTCAGCAAAGTAATTAGCTGAAGATTCAGGAACCTTGAGGTAAATTCACAATCTACTTTAGGGTCTGGAAACTATGTTAATCCTTCTTATATTGTTTCCCTGAATATAGTTATTTCCCTGATTTCCTTCGGGTCTCTAAAGATACGGGAACTGGCTCGTTTGACCGGCCACGACGAATAATGACTAGGACGCCGGATATCAGAGTGGAAGATCTCCCTGAATTATCGTCGTGTCTTCCTTTGAGATCTCGTATGACGTTGCATTGAAGAATCCTGCATGTCCATCCAGGCTTGTCGCAAGGCAACGACAGATCTTTCGGGAAAATGGGGCATAATTTGCCTCCAGGTCAGTTTTTGACTTTTCAACCGCCAAAGCGCCCTTCTTTCTCTGGGGGCTAGTAAAGAGTCATCTTTAAAAATGCATTCCGTTTTCCGAGGATTCGAAGAATACCCAGATGTTATTCTGCCTGTGGTTGTGGACGTCGGCGGTGGGGCGGAATATGCGGGAGAAGTGCTGGAGGATGGTGTCCGATCGCATAGAGCTGCTGGTCCATCATCTTGAGGTACTCCATCTTCGAGGTTCATGCCATCAGCCCAAGAAAGACCTGCGTGTGATTTTGTCCGGTCTAGCAATGCTGTGGGCTCGACGGCTCCGGCGTCCAGATGATCGTTCTCATGGTCACTAATACACCGGGTGCTAATGCGGTCGCAAGACTGAACAACGGTATTATCGTCGTGATGAGCGTCTTCATCACTGTTCGAAGATGAGGGCAGATCATCAGGAGGGTCGGGCACCTCATTTGCTAAGGTGATACCGCCTTCTCCCGAGACCTCTGGCTCAAGAAGCCTGGGGTCGATGAGGTCAAGATCGGGAGTCGTGCGGGCGGAACTGAGCGGGGAAGCTATAGTCGAAATTTCACCCACGCTATTCTCACTATCTAAATTGACCCTGGTATGAACGCTGGCGTTGTGGTCAAAGTCGGCATGCTCCCGGTTTACGACCGCAGCCTGCGCTGCGTCATGAGATGGTAGATGGATCGCGGTAGGCGAGTGAGGCTCAGCGTCAGCGGCAGTTGGTTGATCAAGAGGAAGAGGTTGATAGTGTCGAAATTTGATACTCTTCGATGCTGCTCCTTCATCTTTGATCCCAACCCTCTTTTGCTGCTCACCGGCCCCTCGTTTTCTCTTGACAGCCGGTTTGGGCTCCGGCCTCAGCCATATCGCGTTCGTCAAGCCATGCGCATCGTGCAAATGACGACGAAAATCGATCTCCGACTCAAACAATCGTGAGCAGCCACAAATGGGATCCGTACTTGGCCATCTCATCTTCTGAATGTGCCTCCTTTCAAGATGCCCTCTTAAGCCGGCACTGTGCAACCAGTATTTCACTCTTTCTTCAGGTTCAAGGGTCTGGTCCCACAGACAACAAGGGCAGTATCCGGGGCGGATTACCGTATTGCGGTAAATTATTACCTCGCAGTGTAAGTTATCCCAAGATCGGAGGTGTTGGCCACTGTGGTGATGCCAATCATTTTCCTGGAACCACGACATGCATTCGTAACAATATCTTAGCTGGTAGTCAGCTATTCCCAGGCGGTGGGCGGTAGCCTTGCGAGCACAGTCGTGAATGTGACGACTTCTCTTTGGTTTTGGCAATCTGCATTCAGTTAGTAGAGTATCCCACACATTGTTTCGGATGGCACTCACGCCTGGATGTTTTCCTGGCACGTATCGACCGGGCAGTGGCCATTGATTGGAGATTCTCCGGGGAGATAAACCACGTCGTAATCACGGCGACACTGTGTAAGCAATTGATTCCCGAACAGGAGCTTTTCTTCATGACTGAGTGGCTCAGCAGAAGACAAAGACTCCGCAATGCATCCCATTTCAGGCATGATCTGGGTCAGAGCGCGAGTACATGCATTGCTCTCCAGTGATTCGTAAGGGTTCTTGCCGCGGCTTAGGATCCGCCAATCGCGTCTTTCCCGAACCCACTGAGCCTGGTAATGATGAAGCTCCGAGAGTCGAATGCTAATAAGGGCCTTCCTATATTCATTCTTTTCGAAACTGACAGCATCAGAGTCCGCCTTCGCACCTAACTGTTCAATCCGAGCCCGTATGGCAACCAGCTCCGGACGCTGCAGGATGGCTTCCTCCACTTCGGCAGGTAGTTCGTGCGGCAGCCCAACCTCCCGGAATTGCCCGTATCCTTGAAAGTAATCGATGTGATAAGTCTCTTCCTCCTCGTCTAAAACATCACCGACGGTATCGATCGACGAACAATGGGCTTGATAGTATGTCGGATACGTTCCTTCATTTTTATGGCCGTAGATCTGGGAGACAGGTGCAGAACCATGTCTTGCTATATAAATTCAGTGACACTTTCTTTAAAAACGAGCCGGAGGTACAACTTACATTCGATCTTCCTGCCAAGCGACCGACGAATATCGTGTATCGTGGCACGTTTCGAATATCCGGCCATAATAAGGATCTGACGGAGAAAGGTACAAAATCGCTGCTTATCAAGCACCGCCTCTTGAGGGCCCTGTGCAGTGACATTTCTGAAAACAGGTCGATCCAAGGCACTATCTTTCCAGCGAAGCGGAATCTCCGTGTATTGTCCGTCACGAAGGTCGTATTGAGCCAAGTCTTGCATTGATTCAATACCAAACAGAGCTCCATCGTGCAGAGCAATCGTAAGAAGAAAGATACCAGTCGCAAACTGCGGTCGATTGTGATCTCGAATCCCAATTCCAAACCTGGCAACCAATCAGTAACTGCACGTAATCTCGAAGAGCCGAACTGAAATTCCGTACACTGTGTAGTTCGGGTCACGATGGTTTTTTAACCACTTTTGATCGATCCGCCATCCTACCTTGTAGGGCGCATCTGCAGAGCGGAATAGGACCAGGTCGATATGCTGTGAAATTAGCAAAAGCCTGCACGAGTCGAAAATATCACAATCTAACCCTCTTACCTTGTATCGGAGTCCTCTCTCTTTCTTGTGTTCCGCATCCGGTATAAGAGCACCGATCCTTGCTCCAGTGAAGAGGAATACCTGCAGTGCAAATACGATGAAGACTTTGAGAAGGCCATGAAGAAAAACAGGACTATCCCGTGCCCATATGGAGGAGACAATGTTTCGAAAATCGTCTCGGGTAAAGTTGAATTTCTGCTTTTTGATATTTTCGATGACTTTATCCGCCGGCAAGGTCTTTTTAATCCACTGTTTGAAAGTCAGTCAAATCCATCGCAGGAGGGTATTCTACATACGGAATATATCTCGGTCCGGTCTTCATCCGGAATTTTACTTTTCGTAGCTTCTTCAAACCCGCAAATGAATCTCTCGGCAAATGCACAGGTGCTTCTCACCGTGGGCTTTTTATTTGCACTGAGTCTGCCCTGATCCTTAGCAGAGTCTATGTACCAACGAATGAAATCTTTGATGCAAACAATATCTGGAGCAGGGACGCCAATTTTGAGGACATAACCAGATGGTTCATAGTTCTCTTCCACAAGATACCTGATGAACGTGGTTAGCACGCGCCCTTTCCAGTTTGCTGAGAGGTCACTCACTCCGTGTATATAGTGACACATTGGCGCTGTAGGTGCTTAGTCTTATCCAGGCGGTTGTTTTTACCCCTGATAGCGTCTTCTTCCTGGTGGGCTCTTGAAATATACCCACAAGCAAGACGACGCTCACGGCGTCTCTTCCGGGCATCTTCATCGCACCAAAAGGATCTTTTGCCCATAATCAGTGAAGAAATCAAAACATGAGGAGTAAGTGAGCAGGTACTGAATATGCACGAGGCAAGGTCAAAAGAGGAAAGGAATGAGATATTGGCTGCTTGATCAGCTTGCAAACGGGATAGAGGCGTTCTTTTATACCTTTGCCAGAGCTATTGTGATCAATGATGACTTGTGCTTAGCGGATTTCGCCACTTTAGAGCCTTCCAACACCCCATCACAATTCTACATGCATCATATGCAACGGGCATTTTGGCGGAGGTGGGTATTGTAGAGACGGTCAATTTGGCATCGTTGTCAGGCTTACGGTACAGAATATTGAGGGATGAGTAGCTCACTGCGCACGTGACCGATCACTGATCCCGCCCTGAGTAGGACCTGAGCGCTCACTGAGCCTTGACCGGTGATGAGAAATACTCAGTGAGCAACCCCCTGAGCGCCCTCATTAAAGCGGCCCCATCCAAACAGGGAAATTCATATGAATTCTAGAAAATCAAGTCTGTATAGTGACATACATATATTTTCTAGTAGGTAGGAGACTCAAATTACTTCCTATTATAATCATAATCAATTCCCAGTTATTATTCCAGCACCAGACGCCTCCGTATCCAAGGGAAATGTGCAAGCAGGCGAGAAACGCCGTTTGACCGCCCTGACTCCTGCCAATGCAAAGCAAATGAAGTATTGGCAGATCGAGCTAAATCCAATTTGATGAACATGCGAGAAGATCGAAGATCCAGAAGAAGATGAAAAAGACGAGGTGCAAAATGTATAAAATCCAAGTCTCCACCCGTTAGCGAGTGGAGCTGTTTCGTCGTTTAGTGAGCGCGTCGATGACTCGAGTATAGAATTTCGATGCTTGCTGGCGAGCAAACGTAATGTCCACGGTGAGGTATTCCGGAAGTATGTCTACCAGGTCGCGGTCCCGGTTCTCGTCCAACAGCGGGATATATTGGAATTCGGCGGTCTCAAAACTGGCGGCGGCTTCATCCAGAGGGACGGCCAACTTGAAATGAAGAGCTGCATGCTGGTTAGTAACCAATATACTATCATGATAAGACGGGGTGGGAGTTGGCTCGAGATCCAGAACACTTACTTCCGTTGATACCAGTCTGAATACAATCGTACAGGTTGTCGGTTTCTCTCCTCTTGACGTCGCGGATGATGAGTCCCGTGAGATCGCTATACAGATCCTCCTTCAGTTGCGCGAACTGGGCCGCCTGCGCAGCTTCGGCATTGGCCGCGGCGTTGGCCCGGTTCGCACCACCGCCCTTGATCGCGCTACCCGGTACCTTGATTGCGGCGTTTTCCAGGCTTGCGGCGGTATTCCGGGCAGCAGCAAGCTTAGTCTTGAGAGCCTTGGCTTCTGTTTGGGCCGACGCCACTTGGGACGAGGCTTCTTCGGCTTGCGCTCTGAGCTGCGCAATTTCGGCGTCGCGTTCCTTCAGCTGTTTCTGCAGGTTTCGACTTTGCTGGCCTAACGCTTTCTGTGCTCCTAGCTCTTCCTTTAAAGATGCAACTACATTGTCCGATGCTGGAAACTGTGTCAGCAAGCACGAGATGAGATGAAGAAAGAGAATACACACCGGTCTTCATTGATTCACACTGTTTCCGCAACTTGTCCATGTTGGTATTTGCTTCCACAATTCCGATCTCCTTCAAGGTGCGATATCGACTCTCCAGAGTATCGCATTTCCGTGTAAGTTCACCGATCCGGCGTCGTAGTTCCGGCTCTCCGCCATTCTTCTCCTCCTCCCCGGCGGTCCCACTTCTGCGTTTTGACGGGGAGCTAAGCAGGGTCGATTGCCTGCGCTTCGTGGGCGAGGACGAAGCCGCACGCGGCAGCACGGGCTCTTCCTGCAACATCGTCTCTTCCACCACCTCGGGTACGTCGGGCCCCTCGTTCTCAGTCTCGGGCGCTTCGTTATCGGCCTCGGTCTGCATGCGGGTTTTCCGCTGCTGTCTCTTCGGCTGCTCTGGTTGCTCTGCCTGTTCCTTCGCTTTTCCTGGGGATTTTGTCTGTCGCGTCACGGTGGGCGTGTACTCGAACTCCCCGTCAGTCCTGAGCTGATTCCCCGTGCTTCCCTTCTTCCCACCGCGTGCACCTGCAGACTTTGCAGGTTTCGCGCCTTTTTTGGGCTTGGGAGCATCCTGCGCGCCATCTACCTGGCCAATGGCAGTCGCGGTATTGTCTTCTGCTTGCGCAACTCCATCCTCCTCTCCTGCATTGTCTGGTTCTTGATGATTTGTCGTCTCCTGCTCTTCCGCTGCCTGCACCGAGGTTCGAGAGCCCTTTGGTCGACCTCTGCGCGTAGCTCTCTTCGTCGTTGGTTCTGCGGTCGGGGCGGGGGTCGCCGAGTCTGCCTTCGTCTTTGCAGGTGGTTTGGCTTCCGTGGACTTCGAGCGAGGTCTTCCTCTAGCTTTCTTCGTAGGCCGTTCCTCCTGGGTTTCGTTGACCTGCAACTCACCCTCGTCATCGGACCCGGGGGCCACGCCGGAAAATCTCGTGGCACCTTTTCGCTTGGGCATATCGAGCGGATTGAGGGTGGTATATATAGATTGATTGATACAAAATATGAGACAACTGGCGGTGCTGCGTGGAATAAACCGTGCAGCAACAATTGCGTGCGCCCTAGCTAAGAGTAAATACCTCAGCAGAGCATGACGGGCCGGCGCGTCAACTCCACCAAACAACACCGGCGGTGAGCATGTGACCGAGGCAAGCCACGGACGGGGTCAAGCGCCACACCTGTTCTCGCCGACCCCCGGCTGGTTACATTCTTCTCTATCTCTTTATCGATCTCCTCTTATCCTGTTGCTGGTCTCGGGGATTTTTTCTTACCGGAGTCTTTTTCCAAATATCTTATTGCTATTTGCCTCCCTGTGTTAATCATTACCAGAACTTACCTCCAAATACGTTCCATCCTCGTTCGCTGACTCCGTCATGGCTTCCGCGCGCGGTCCGCGATGGCAGCAATTCCTGCAAGAGTTGGTGATGGTCGCTGGCACGGTATGTCCTCCTGCCCTCTAATCAGTAATCGGTGATTAACGCTATGATTCCAGTCGGCTTCGGCTTATTTCCTTATTCGCTACCTCCTCTCCCGCCTTGATTTCGACCCCGAAAGCCAGAAGAAAGAAGAACAACGACGCAAGTCCGCCGCCATTCTGCGCAAACTAGACGGAGGCGAAGAGTCCGAGGAAGATGCGCCGCGCGGCGAAAGAAAGAAAGACCGCCGACCGAAGCGAGGCGACTTGGTTCTCAATCAGTATGAGCAGGCCATTGCGATGGATGTGGTGGCTCCCGACGACATCCCCGTCTCCTTCGAGGATATCGGTGGCTTGAGCGAGATCATCGAGGAACTCAAGGAGTCCGTGATCTACCCCCTGACCATGCCGCATCTATACCACTCCACCTCGTCGCTCCTCACAGCCCCCTCTGGTGTTTTGCTGTACGGCCCGCCTGGATGCGGGAAGACCATGCTGGCAAAGGCTCTTGCGCACGAGAGCGGGGCATGCTTCATCAACCTGCATATCTCGACCTTGACCGAAAAGTGGTATGGCGATTCAAACAAGCTTGTCAATGCGGTCTTTTCGCTGGCCCGAAAGCTGCAGCCCTCCATCGTTTTCATTGACGAGATCGACGCCGTGCTGGGAACCAGACGCAGCGGGGAACACGAGGCGAGCGGCATGGTCAAAGCAGAGTTCATGACTCACTGGGACGGTCTGACCTCTGCCAATTCCTCCGGCGAGCCTCAGCGTGTGGTCGTGCTGGGTGCGACCAACCGGATCCAGGATATCGACGAAGCCATTCTCCGGCGAATGCCCAAGAAATTCCCGGTCGTTCTACCGCCGGCGCCGCAGCGTCTCCGGATTTTGAGCCTGATCCTCAAGGACACCAAGGTGGACCGAGAGAATTTCGATCTCCACTACCTGGTCAAAGCAATGGCTGGCATGTCGGGCAGTGACATCAAGGAGGCTTGTCGTGATGCGGCCATGGTTCCGGTTCGGGAGCTCATTCGACAGAAAAAGGCGGACGGTCAACAAATGGCATCCGTCAATCCCAGCGAGGTCCGAGGTCTTCGAACTGAAGATTTTTTCACTCGCGCTGGCGGCGTTCGAGTCATCCCACCACCCAGCCAACTACAGGCACAATCGAGCAAAGCTAGCTCCGAGAAGGAATGGGTTTCGGAATCAGAAGGCGCCTCCGAAGCGGACGCGCGACCGACTGCAGAGATGATTGAGCCTCCGGAGTGATTGATTCCCATGTGCAATGTATAACCTGACACTCTCCTATCTTGTCACTTCTACACTTCTATCCGACACCTGAGAATCGCCCGCGTCCTCCTCTTCCTCTCTTCTGCGCTCACCTTTCCATTTACTGAGTATAATAACCGACATCTCCCCACCAGTTTTTCTTCTTCTCTTTCAAGGTATACGACTGGGTTCTAGTACGGCTACGAGAAATGTTTTTGTCTATAGAGCACCCGATCTTGTTTTGTCTCACTGTATTATCATTAGATGGACTATTCAATGAATGATATTACCTTCCGATACGCCTAAATCAAATGTACAGTCGATGAACGCCTGATGCTCCTGTTCCGAATCCTCATTAACGCAAGGCAATCAAGCCGGACTCAGTCTCATAATCTGAAGGGCGTTGCGGGCCACCGTACGCAAGGATTTGATACTCAACTGGAACACATCGTTGGGGTCTTTTCCGGGGGTGTCGACCTCCCCGAACAATTCGCCACGGGTGAGGTTAAGACTTGCCGCCGCGTCTTCTTCTGTCTCGGCAGGGAAAACAACCTGTTGCCGTCAGTAACCTTGCGGCAGAAGATGAGCAACTCACGATTCAGGGAACTACACGTACCTCGCTTTGCCGTTTGGCCGGCGTACCGGTCAGGTCGCGGCTGTATACCTCGATGGAGCCTTCAACCTTGGAGTCGGCGGTTTTGGTCCATTTCAGCAACATCACGACCTTGACATACGGTTTCCCACCGAGCAACCACAAATCGACATCATTCCGCAGACGTGAATAGGCCTCGTCCCATCCGGTTTCCACCACGACGGAGGGCAGCCGCTGAGCCCCGGGACGAATGAAAAGGTCCGGTTCTTTACACGATTGGTCGTATGGGGGCTTGAACGTTCGAATGGCTAGATCGCAGTGAGCGGCGAGTCTTTCGATGAGATGCTCGTGATGGGAAAAGAACACTTACGCATTCCCACCTTGGTGCGCAGCTTCTTCAATTCTTCAAGTGTCAATTGGCCCGACACCATCCAGTTGTAATTCTCGTTTTGTACCCAGAGTTGATGGCAGGCGTGGATGGCCGTGGGCATGAGTCGCACCCACAGGACCTTGGTGACGGAGTTATAGTGTAACCTGATCGTATCGGCGACCAGTCAGATATTGCGCACCAGAGGGGGTTCGACCCAACCAGGGCGATTACTCACCGAGAGCAAGCGCTTTCCTCGTCCTCATGGACATTCAACGACTTGACGATATGGGACCCCCAAGCAGGTTCGACGCCCGTATAGACCAGCTCCTTATGACGAGCTCTTCGGATCACCCCCGACACGATCTGAGACAGTAGTTCATTTTCCGTTTGAAAGGCTGAAGCCGGTGTCGTGATCTGCTCATGCGCCGGACTTACCATGTAGGAAAGATTGGCCATGATATTGATATCGAGGACTCCAACCAGTGCGAGATGCACAGGGCAGAGATGGAAGAGATGATTGAAAGGTGAAAGAAGGATCGACAGACTCCTTCATGTTTTTCTTTTTCTTTCTTTCTTTCTCCTCTTCTTTCACTCCATTCCCATTTTATTCCGGGCGGACGAGTCGCATAAATATGAAGGCGAATGACGTACGAAGGAGCGAGGCTACTACCTAGTTAGGAAAGAGTACCTGCGGGAGTAGGCGATGACGGCCTTTCCGTGGATGCGCCATCCCTTCCAGTCGACCACGGCTCGCCCACACGGTAGGGTATATCCGTGGACTGCTTCCCCTTCGACGAGACGAGCCGAGTCGGTTTAGGAAGCAGTGAGCTTGTTGCTTCGGCATGCTCCGCCGAGCCTCGGGTCTAGATCGAATAGATCGGAGAGGTCATGAGCTTGCGCCTTGCCTGGGGGAAGCTAAAGAGCTTCTGATATCTCCGCCACTCTGCGCTCTGTTGCCACATCTCTCCAGAGTCGCTCTTTTACCCAGACCGGCAATTCCTCTGGCAGGCAACACGAGACCCTACAAGAAATACTAATCATCATCACGAACTGACTAGTGACTAATGCCAATCGCATCCTTCGCTTAAAGCGGCACCCGCAGGCTTCCCGAACGGGAAGGAGAATCGATACGTGGCGGGCGATACCTCGAGGGTACGCAGGGCGGGAAGGAACCTTCACCCATCACCAAGTACCGGGCAAGTAGTGCGTACCGAAACAAGTATATACTCTGTATTCTGCAGCTATGAACACCGATAGAAAAGAAGTAAAAACCCATTGGATGTTGGAAAGGGAGAATTCCCGGCGTGGTCAAGTCAATTCACCCCCGTAAAACCACCGAATCAGCGCTGGGAGGTGAAACGGGCGCTTTCCCCCCCCCCGCGGGCTGTCAGAGCCCCGGGGGTCGTCATCAACTGAGGCTAAAACCATCCCTCCCCAACCACAGTCCTTCGTTCTTCCAACTTCCTCCATACATCCTGCTCTTTGACCTCGTCCACCCCCTAATCAATCCTACGCCACCCGATCCAATCTCTCCTCGACCCCTCGGGATTGTTACCCCCTTTGCCCCTCACCGTTCGCATTCTCGCTGCCATTCACCCACTTGCCCCGTTGAAAGGACACGGATGCGATCTGGAGCCTGAATGCCGCATGGTCTGTTGTAGGGACCCTCCGATGGCAATTTGCCTAGGCGATCGCACACCCTGAGTTGAATCTCCTCCCCCTTTCGGAGGAGTCCAGTACTCTCTCCCCCCCCCCTACCCTCCATTCCTCCCCGAGCAGCAATACCTTCTCCTCCTCCGCCTCCGCCTTCTACTTTCTTGTCGCCAGGGATGAGTCTCCAGAGCGGGTTTACCGACACCTTAAGCCCTGGGACGACCAGTACAAATACCAGTCGCCGATCGACTTCCACCGTCCGATCACGTACACGCCGCTTCGTGCCCTTTGCCGATGACGACGACGATGAGAATGGGCGACAGCTGCAGTCCACCGGTCTGTCGGCCATGTCGTCCCGCGACCCGTCTACGATCCGGTCCCGCGGCACCACGCCTTCCCCCTTCCCATCTCGAGGCGTCTCCCCGATTCCCAAAAGCCATCCGTCTCGTGCCACGCAATCTCCCGGCCGCAACGGTCTGAATAGTTCGCTTGGGGGCTTTTACCCGTCGGGGAAGGGTCAGGTCAATTTCGCCGACTCGTCCCGGGCGGCGGTGGATTTTTTGGACTCTTCGTGGTCGTCGCTGCAGAGCTTGGCCTCCTCGGTGCTGGGGAGTGATATCGCTCGGCCGGCCACGAATGGTTCCGCTCGAGCACATGCCCGGAAGCCGTCGCGGCCGGATCCGTATATGAGGACGGCGTCGCGCACGGCGGTTCCCGCCGCTTGGGGTCCGTCCGCGCCGTCGGGGCCAGAAATCGGTGTTGGCACCAAGGAAGAACGACAGGCCTTGGTGCAGGCGAAGAAACGGGAGGCGTTGCTGCTGGCAGATACGGCCGAGCCAGGGAACCCCAGCACCCGGCACAAACGACGAGACTCCAGCGACCAAACGGACCACTCCGCCATTGACCCGGAGCAGGACGAGGAGGCTTTGGCTTACATTCATCATGTACTGGCGACGGATTCGATCACGGGAGTGACCATACGATACGGCTGCCAGCCTGCAATCTTTAGAAAAGCGAACGGGTTCTGGCCCATGGACAGTATTCAGGGCCGCAAGACCGTTCTGCTCCCGGTTGACTCCTGCTCGGTCAAGGGTCGGCCTGTCAGCCCTCCGGGACGAGTTAACAACCTGCTAGATGACGAGGAGGCTCGACGAAAGTCCTTAGAGGATCCGAACGGTAGCTCGATCGCCCCGGTGTCTGGTCCGGACTCGCCTCGCCCTTTCGAAGATAACAAGACGCAGGATGCGCCAGAGGAGGCGGAGGGCGATCGCCTCTGGAAACACGAGTCCTGGGTACAGATTGACGGATTCCCAGCGCCCGTGGAGATTGGTCGGGTGCCTCGCCGCGCTTTGGGGTTTTTCCCGCGCACGCGGCGAAAATCGGTGTCCTATACAGATTCCGGATCCCCGTCAGTGTCGGGGTCGGTACGGGACAGGACTGCCACTCCGTCTTCCTCGTCGTCCCCCGTTGAAGCCGCCTGGTCACCAGCTATCTTCACCCGGCCGCACGCGGATTCGTCGGCATCAAGGGGCTCCTCTAACTACAAGCCTAAACACCGCCATCAACGCCAGCGCAGCAACATGCAGCTCTCGGCACCCGGTGTCGGGACCCTGGACCGCGACGTCATGGCCCCGGGCCCGGCTCAGGATGGTCTCAGCAAATGGTTCGCTCAGCATCTTCCCAATCTCGCTCCGACTCCGGCACCGCCAAATTTCGAAAGCACGTCGGAGAACGCGTCGACGGCCAACTCGAACACGCCGACGACCAGTCTTGACAACATCGGCGGGGCCGTCGAAGGCTGGGTCAGGAAGATGACGACTCGGGCGAAAGCGAGCTTCAATGAGCTGCAGCAAGACGCCTCGTCCCCTGCCAGCAGTGGACTAGGCCCTGGAATCAACCGCCGGGGAACCGGCGACTTGATCGAGCTCAATGACGGATTAGAATCCAGGAGTAACTCGGGATTACTAGGCGAGACGCGATTAAGACCCGAATTCAATCGATCCGGGTCCAGTCTCCACACCGGAGCATCTGTGAGGGAGCGGTTTCCTAGCCCTGCCAAAGGAACGAGCAGGACTCGTTCTTTTGGAGACCGTCATAAAGATGATTGACGGAATTGCATACCCATAATGCGAACACACTTCCATACCCCTGTCTTTCTCTCTTTTCCTATCTCCTTTTTCCCTTTGCTGTTCATCATATCCCCTGATTCCAAAATTTTCCCTGGTCATCAATTCGGACAGCAGCATGGCACTGACGTCCGCTTGATGTGATACTTTCCAAAGCCTTGTTCGATATACGATACTTTGTACGCTTGCAGCATAGCGTGGCGCGACAGAACACAAGCCGGTGGTAGGAGGCTGATACCAGTAATTGGCGGTTGATCTACTCTATAATCGCGGTTGTTTGGGACCACTGCATTTTCCCCCTGTCTTTTTGTCTCTATTTCTTTGTATTTATGTACTCAGCGTGTGTTACTCCGGCGGGGTAACTAGATATACCGACGGGCAGGACGAGGGATGTTTTTAGAGGGCCAAGTATAGCGGAAAGTATCCGATAGATTTAATGTCATTGTTTATACCGAGGGACCGATCTTTGTCACGGAGAAATTCCACCTTCTTCTCCACAGATGCCTAGCCTCTAGTCCGTGATGGCGTCGTGGAGATTTATTTCCACCTATAACGAGTTCATGACGGATCATATAGATCAGGTTTAGTTCCTGGGATATTCAGCTCCCCCACAAAGTATGCATGTTCCCCATATATTTTATTCCTCCAGAGTCAGATAAATACATAAGACTCCTAACTTTTAGCCATCCTCAGCCCCTTGGATCCATTGACCCAATGTCCCCGTCATTCATACCCCAGTAACTCCTCATCCCCCTTCATTTAACATGCTTCTCGCATCTTCCATTCTCGCCCTCTCCCTACCCCTAATTGCATCTGCGCTGCCTTCTTCTTCTTCTTCCCCTTCAGCGTCATCTGCAATCCATCCCTCTTTGCCCAAAGTCACATTATCCCCAACTAACTCGAATACCCACCCCGTGGTCTTCCAAGGCCGCTCAATCCCGGAATTCAAACAGGATGTCTTCCTGGGGATCAAGTACGCTGACAAGCCGGTGCGGTTTACGCCTTCGGAGGTGAAGAGGGAGTATAGTATGTTTTTTTCTCCCTGGGATAATCTCGTTCTGTGTATTTCTGCATGTATGTGCTGCGTGTTTTATCAAAATTCTATACACATGTATCCAACACTATCAAGAAGAAGAGAAAAGAAGGGGAGAATAGAGTAGAAGAAAGCTAACAATCATTGATACCGACAGAAGAAAAAGCCTACAACGCAACAACCTACGGCTTCGAATGTCCCGGCTACGGATCCGATCAGACGAAATTGATTAACGCTGGTATGATCCGGCAGAGTGAGGATTGTTTGAATCTGAATGTTATTCGACCGTGGCGGGGGGAAGGGAATCCATCGTCTGCTCAGGATGAGCTGCTGCCTGTCCTGTTGTGGATTTATGGCGGTGGTTGGCAGCAGGGGGCTACGGGGGATCCGAGGTATAGTAAATATGTTCCTTTTTTTTTATCGAGGATTTGCCTGCCTGTCTGCCTTACATATCTGCTTGATGTCGGACTCTGTGGAGCAAATATCATGTGTACTGTATACCCTATGCTGCTTGGCTGACTCTGTAATAACCGAACAGGTACAATATGAGCTATATCATCCGACAAGGCGCGGAGAGCGGATCCCCCGTGCTCGGGGTATCGATCAACTATCGATTAGCTGCGTTTGGGTTCCTAGATTCCGAGGAGGTTCGAGTATGTTGTCCCCTCTTCTTTTCATACCCAATCGAGCTCTGATCTACCAAGACGAAGGGAAGCTGACGAGAAAATGGTATAGGAATCAGGAAACAATAACCTCGGGCTGCGTGACCAGCGCGTCGCTATGAAATGGGTCCAGGAGAATATTCGCGCCTTTGGTGGTGATCCGGAGAGGGTTACTATTTGGGGGGAGTCAGCGTATGTCTTTTCTTTATCCCCCTCTCTTAATGAAGGGTGTAGAAGGGAAAATACTTAATGCTCATGTTCGTGCTAACGTCAGTATAGAGGAGCGTATAGTGTTGGAGCGCATCTAGTCGCCAACGGAGGAGATCATGAAGGTCTCTTCAGAGCTGGTAAGATCGGTTTACACATTCGTCTCTCCTCATGTCTTGAACTAACGCCAGAATCCAGCCATCATGGAATCCGGAAACGCAGTAGGCCCGCCCTGGAACGGCACCGACTGGTATCAGCCAATGTATGACCGAATCGTCAACAAGACGGGGTATGCGCACACCTCTCTCTTTACCCTCTTATACCCTTTGTCGATACAAGTAAGCGAAAAAAAACCGTGAAACTGTACTAACAGAAACAAGCTGCGCCAACTCATCCAACACGCTACAATGCCTCCGAGACCTGCCCTATCAAACCCTCTACGACAACGCCTCTGAAGGGCTCGAATGGTTCGGTGCCATAGACGGCACGTTCGTCCGCGAATACCCCCAGATCAGTCTCACGGAGGGTCGATTCGCGAGGGTACCGATCCTGCTGGGCACGAACACCGACGAAGGAACGAGTTTCGGTACGACGGGCACCGATACGGATGAGGAGTGTGTGGAGCAGTTGATTTGTATGTTCTATTTCCCTTATTTCCCCCCTTAACCCGAATTGTCTGAGCTAGGTAGTGGGTTCAGTTTCGAAGGGATACAGGAGAACTGATTGATTCAAAAGCTTCGAAGCGATGGGTCCTCGACCGGACCCAAGCTACCAAACTCCTGGCTTTCTACCCTGACGACCCGGCTGTCGGTTGTCCCTATGGATGGGGCAACAAGACCTGGCCGTCACTCGGAGCCATGTATAAGCGGTACGAGTCGATGGCGGGGGATATCACCATGGCGGCGCCGCGACGACTATTGGCCGCGACGATGGCCCAGGCTGGCCAGGAAGTATATAGTTATCGATGGGACGTGGCGGCGCTGAACTCATCGAGTACGATTGGCGTGGGACATTTTGCCGAGGTGAGCTACCTAGTACCTTACCTGCAGGGACTATTCATCAATCTGTCCGTAGGTATATACCAAATATCAGTAACTGACATCGGTACAAGATTCCATTCGTCTTCGCCAACCCCGACCAAACCATGACGCCCCTAGGCGACGACCCGAATCGACTAGAACTAGGCAACCTAGCAGCGCGCATGTGGACGTCGTTCGCGACGGACTTGCACCCCAATGGCCACGGCGGTATGTTCTCCTGTGAGACCCTGTCTATTTCCCCCTCTGTCTGGCTTTTCCCCGCATGACGGTGGAGTTCCTGCTTCCTGGCTGTTAGCCTGTTACACTAAAGGACACTCTAGTCCTAGGTAGGTAGGATATGTATGAGCTAACGGGTGGAGTTACCTATGCATGCAGTGCCTCAGATCGCGTCATGGCCGCGGTATGCGCCGCACAAGCCGTCGAATTTCGTGTTTCGATTGCCCCGTCAGGAGAGTTATGTTGAGGCGGACACGGATCGGGAGGAGGGGATGGCTTATATTAATGGGATTGCGCGGTGATTTCCGACGGAGGTTGGAGGTTGGAGAGAGGCTACAGAAGGGGACTAAATGACTAGGATCATGCAGTCATGGACCGACAGGATGAACTGCAATGCATGTGATATGCAGGCTGTCGTGATAGGAACCGGTTATCGGGGGATTCATCCATACTACCAACCTACAGACTTACGTAGGCTAAATTTCCATAAGGCTTTCAATATTCAGAATGATAGATTGTCATAATCCATGAATAGATCAGGATAGACCAAAAAAAAAAAGGCAGAGGGCCACCGATTTTGTTACGTAGTAATAAAACACTCATTAACCAAAACTACCTAGATCCAGCTCATCTGATTTAGATGGACTTGTTGTTGATGCCGAGCAATTGAACCTCGCTGTGAACGGGACGGTTAGTACATGTACATTGTCTCCTCGGTCATCCTCTCCAATATATCCTCGAAACTCAAACTTGAAGAAGAGAAAGTACTTACAAAACAAGGGTGGCGTTAGGAGGGATGAGACCGGGGAAGCCACTATAAAGAACAGTCATCATTAGCATAACCACTCCGTCGGACTCCAATTCGGGAGCCCAGGACTAAGTAGACAGGAAGGTGAACATACGAGGGACCGTAGGCGTAGTCACTGCCCCACTCGTTAGCTTTCTATTTCTTGGAACATGGGGGGGGGGACAACAGATACTCACCCAGTGATGGTCAGGATGGCCTTCTCGCCGAGGCTCATGGTAGGGACACCCTCATCCCAACCTGTCGAAATTGATTAATCATCGAGAACAGAGCTAATGGAATCATCAATAAAAAGCATGGGGAAGCGTACCCTTAATGAGACGGCCGATGCCGATGGCGGTCTTGAAGGGACCACGGCCGACGGAGCTGTCGAACCTGAGGGACAAGTTAGCACCAGGGTTCAGGATGATGATCTGGATCTATCTGCCAGAAAAGAGAACGGAACATACTTGGTGCCCATCTTCTTGGGGGCGCTCTCGTCATACAGACATCCGGTGTAGTGCATGGTGATGTTATCGCCCTCCTGAGGGTAATCCTGCTTGTTACCCTCGGCGAGAATCTCCTTGGTGACACCCATGATGGATAAGTTGTTGATAGGGGGATTTGAAAGAAGAACTAAAAGACGATGAAAGATGAATGAGGATGAAGAGAAGAAAGCTGAAGATGAGGGGCCGCTGAGAGAAAAAAACGTGAATAAATAAGAACCAAGTGGGGTTTTGTACCGTATCTTATCGGTACCACCCGCGTATTGTCCGTACCGTATGTATTCTAGGTACGGTGGGTACCTCTTTTCTCAGGCACCAGGGGAAGTATACAGGATGTCAACTACAACTGTCCGCTCGACTATAGATTCATATATATGCAAATGTCTACGAGAGCACTTCACTGCCAAAATGCTTCCTGCTTCACCTCCTTCACGCTAATTGACCGAACCTGAGTGCGAGGGAATCGCTCATCCACCGCTGCTCTCTCGGCCAGCTCCAGATAATGCAGCGTCGAGATGCCCACGCGCTCGATGAATTCCAAAACCCGGTGGAAGTTCAACCCAACCTGGTCTAGTCCGTGGCTGTCGTCGGACAGACAGAACCGACCTCCTCGCTTGAGGAATTCCTACAGATGGAACCTCGTTAGACTTTCCAATTCTTGAATCTTGAATGAGAATCAATAGAATATGAGATAAACTCACCTGACAGATCTCCCCGTTCGGATACGGCTCACTCATCCCCTTGCGCAGGGCCGCCGAGTTCAACTCCAGGATCCCTCCGTACGACGCCACAAAGTCCAGATTGCGTAGGATGCGCTCCCACACCCCGGGCCACTGCCGGAAGCTGCGCTCGGGGTCGTCGCTCTTCAACCGGATCAGGTCGAAGTGACCCACGACGAGCGGCTTCAACTGCCGCAGCATATCCAACTGCTCATCGAAATACGCCTCGAACAGTTGCTCGTCCGTACCGCCGGCCAGGTCCCGTGCCTTCTCGTACATCGGCCGATCGTAGTCAATCGGCACCGTCAGCGTGTGATGCACCGAGCCCATGAAGAACTCGAAGGGGTGCCGGCTTAGAGACTCCTCGACCAGCGTGCGCGATTCCGGCCGAATCCAGTCGATCTCGAACCCGATCAGGATCTGGATCTGATCGGCGTACTTGGCACGCAGTCGTTGCGCCTCCTGGAAGTAGGCGGCTTCGTTGGCGACCATGCTGGCCATGGTCGTGTTGGCTTCGATCTGGCGGGATCAGTTAGATTTGAACCACAGGTAGGGAGGGAATGCGCACCTCCTCTGGGTAGTAGTCTTCTGATCCCCGGGGCATATGCTCCGTCAGGCAGAAGGTCCTGAACTTCTTGGAGATGGCCAACTGGATCACCTCCTCTAGGGAGTCTTTGGCATGACCGGGGCAGAACTGGCCCGAGTGGCTGTGGTGCGAAAACGGCATTTTCTGAAGAGGTCAGTAACTGCCACACGGTATATCATAAACAGGTTAGGGTAGGTAAAACCCGTCTTCGCCCTGATATGAGATCGCAGACAAGAAGACATGAACGCCGCACTTACTACAGTTGCCCCGCAATGACTCAAGATAAGCAGGTATACGTAGGTAAAACACTTAGGCACAAGTACAGCAAGGCAAAATCAAGTCCAAAATTTCTATAGGTTCATGTAAGAAAGGCGAGATGCTGCGCAACGAGCGTGACCTTCGGGTAGACGAAGAAAACTGGTCGTGCAAGAAAAGATGGGAGGTGAGGATTAGCGGGCACTTCCGGCGGAACTCTGCTGACCCATAACAAATCATCAATCTTCAGGTGCAGCGCAAGGCCAGAACGGCAGTCCCTACCTACGTGTTCCACCCATACCGCATCTTTGTATCAAATTGATGTACAAATCAACGGGTGTTTGAAATCCTCCCTGAGTCCTCGTAGTTGCCCTCCACTCAGCTGCTGTTCGGGTCCAGGGCGCGCATGGGGAGTACACCCATTGCGTATCAGCAGCATTCGATATTCGATAGCAATGGGGCAGTTCCCGTGGGCTTTATGTGCATGGCCTGACTGGCATCACAAGCATCCATGTCCCCGTTCCTAGATCCGGTCTTGACAACTTATGCGGAGGGCTCACGAAAAGGAGCTGCTGTGCCTCAGACCTGAGTGCGATTGCCGTATATAAAAAGCGAGAGGCTCACTTCTCTCACTTGAAAATCCCTGGATATTTCCTAATAGATGTGTTGTCCCGTATATCCCATCGCGGGTTCACCATCCAATCAACCAGCCGCAAGAACCGTAGCAACCACATATTCCCCGTCATGCGAAATTGACAACTTGCCCACTTTTCCCCCCTCTGGCCCCAAGTACACGATCTCCGGTCGGCCTTCCTGGTCGGCTTCGCCCACGCGTACCATCACATCTTTCCATCCCGTCGTGGCGGCTCCCGAGGGTGCGGCTTTCCGCGCGGCCTCTTTGGCGGCGAATCGGCCGGCGAGCCAGCGCGTCATGTCGGCCGTAATGATAGTAGGGGGTTCGCGGGGAGGAACTGATGCGGTGGATGCGGAGGGAGGGGTGGTGGTTCTTGGGGACAAGGCGAATCGCGCGTGAAAATCCCGCTGTTCTTGTTCGCAGAGGATGCGGCGCGTGAAGCTGGCGAGGTAGCCTCCGCGGCGGTTGAGGAGACGGTTGATCCGGGGCAGGTGGACGATATCCGTGCCAATGTTGAGGGCGAATGGGAATGGGAGGGGTTTCATGGTGGGATTGGAGGTGGTAAATCTGTGGTGAGATAGAAGAAGATACCGGAGTTGAAGATGAGGATGGTGACGACGACCAAAAAACACATCAACCCGTGACTAAGCAGTGTTACCACATTGATAACTATGGATTGGTTTGCAATTGTTACATGATACGTAAGTGCAATCCATAATGCTTTACTCATGTGCGTCCTACGTTGTCCATCATAATTTCGTTGACTACGTCAAGCCCCTAACGCGGAGTCCGGTCCATAGACCTACGTAGCTTCCCTGCAGTCCTACGAGAAAATCCCAGTTCCGCCACAGTTTACCAGCAATAGAAAGCATAACTTCAATGCGGTGTATACCTCTATATGTACAGATCACACACCAACCATCACTGGCACGGCCAGAGCCGTCCTAGTGAGTCCAATACATGCATTACTCCGCCAGGATTCCAGTCCCGGGTCCCCTTCGATAGTTGTTTCCTCGTCACATAGTCGACAGTTGCGTCTCGGATGGATGGATCAATCTCATGTCCAGGGCTCGTTTGCACCGGGATTGTCCTCGGCTCATTCCTCATTATTGACGGAGCTTATTTAATGGTTGCTTTTCTTCTCGTCCCCGTTGACACTCTTCAAAAAGTCCCTGTAATGGTGCTGGTTAGTATTTAGGTCTTTGGCGATACGGGTCGAGCTTCCGAAGGTTGATTTTCTTCGTCTGCCCCTAGATGCGGATCTGGTCTTCGTTCCAAGCTCAAGAATCGCACGATTATCGTGTATTCCGAAGATGAACAACCCAGAGACCAATCCAACGCATCACCTTTTGAACCGCCCGAATGCATAGGTAAACACGTACTGGATGAAAGTCTCCTCGTCCTTGGAAGAGGCCTGGATGGGGGGAGCAGCCTGCTTCTTCTCACCACCGCCACGGGTAGCGAGGTAGACACCGCCGAAGAGAGAGCCCAAGACGCCCATGGCGAGCTAGAGTGCGAGGAGAAAGATGTCAGTCACATAGAGTGCTTGGTGGTACCTTCGGCAATTGCGAGATGCTAGCCGCGGAGAAGAGTTTTGGATCAGGGGACAGAGAGCGGGCGAGCGCGGGGGACACGTACGACGTGGGAGCCGACCTTCTTGCCGGCGATCTGGTAGTAGACAACCATTGTGACGGATCAAAGGGGGGAAGTGATAAGAAGAGGGAGGAGGGTCAGTGGGATGAAGCGGTGCAAATGAAGGTACGGGCGGGAGCACAACTCGTTCGGGTTGCGATGGAAGTTGCGGCGGCTCTTGGTACTTTACCTTTTTGGGAATGGTCGCGGAGTGCTAAGTCAGGCCTGACTCAGCCGATGTCAATGTCACATGACATCAGAGGACGTGACTACACGTGACTATTTCCGAGGAAACCCGGTCACGCGGAGGAAGTCGGAATGCAACCGGGAAGTCGATCGGCATCATCATCATCATTAGTATCATCATGATCGATGTGACTGGAAAATTATACTGTGTCCCAACAGAAGAACAGACTGACCGAGTGTCGTCAGAGAATAACAACCAGGAACATCAGATGAGCATCAAATCTGGCGGTGTCCAACGAACGAACCTCGGAGGGAAATGGACTCATCCCTGGGACTCGCTGGCAATTCCCCCGGCTATGCGAGCTGGTCGGTTAGTCGAGATTCTTACTAGGTAATAACTACGGATAAACTACTCCATCATATTAATATGCCGTGTGCTGCTCACGCGCGCAGCTCCATGGCTGTGCTTTCTCTTCTGGTAGCTTCGTAGCTCTTCTTCTCCTTCTCCTTTCACCTTCACCTCTCTCTACCTTTGTTTTCATTCCTCTCTCTCTCTCCCTACATACCGGTAAGCTGCTCCTCTCACGTTTCCCTCACATTAAACCCGTCTGTTTTTACTCACTCTATTGAATTATAGCTCCGTCGCACATCATGTTTTGGGGTTCGCGAAAAGAAGAGGAGACCCCCGAGGTGGCTCACCAGCCCATTCCTCGGAGCAAGCTTCCTCCTCAGCTACAGCAACTGGTGGATCGCGACGATGCGTTCTACGATGACATTTACTCCTCCTAGTACGTGGTGTGCTGCCATTGCTGTTCTGCTGCGTTGTGCCTTTGGGCCCGTTGGGCGCGGGGGAGTCCTTAGCTTAGGACCTTAACACCTGCTGGCCTTTCTCCGCCGCTTCCCCCGCAAATGTGCCACTGTGAATCCCCGCAAGACGATCGCTCTCAGGGCCGCAACGCACGCGCCCACCGCCAGTTCCAATTTCACCACATGTCGAAGGTGAAGACAGCTAACCATCTATTTTCAGTTCCGTCGACTCCAAAGAAACCCCCTACCGGTACGCCGGTTACGCCAATCGCCTGCGCACCGTACTTCTCTCCGCTCATCGCTATGTCGCCTACACCTCCGACATTGGCGAATCCTTCCGCCCCGTCGCCCATCCCTACCTGGTGCGCACGGCCTACGGAATCTCCTGGACCTATCTGATCGGCGACGTCGTTCACGAAGGCTACAAGGCCTACCTGCGCAACCGGCGCGTACTGGCCCCGCCCTGCGAGGCTTACAAGGACGCCAAGGACCTGTCCCAGCAGGAAGTCGTCAAGGGCATGGCGACGGGCAACGTCGCCGGGTCCCTGCGCGAATCCTCGTCCTCGTCCTCGTCGTCCAAATCCCTCACCGGTAGCCCGTCCGATACCCTGACGCCCTGGCCGACCACTGAGATTCCGCTCATCGAGGACTACCGTATGGTCATGGCCAAGCGCGCCGTGTTCCAGAGCATCGCCAGTATGGGACTTCCGGCATTCACGATCCACTCGGTGGTGAAGTACTCCGGACGGATGTTGAAGAACTCCAAGATGGTGTTTTTGCGCACTTGGGCGCCTATCGGAGTAAGCAACTGACCAACTCTACACCCCTCACTCTGCGGGGTTTCATCCCGCCTTTCTTTCTTTTTTCGTTTCCCCGGAACTAATCCCCCCTTGCTCATTCCAGCTCGGTCTCTCCGTCGTTCCTTTCCTCCCTTACATCTTCGACGAGCCGGTCGACGAAGCCGTCGAATGGTCCTTCCGCACCGCTCTCCGCGCCTACGCCGGCGAAGACGCCGTCCGCCCCTTGCCGACCACCGCGCATATCCCCGCCGACGACGCCACCTCTCTCAGCCACTTCCTAAAAGTCCGCGAAGAGCAGAACGCCAACGTAGCTATGGGCGCGGATGCCCGCTCCGCTGCGGCAACTAACCTCTCCTGGGACGAGTACAAGGAGCAACGTCTGCAGGCAAAGGAGCAGCGGAAACGAGACCGTGAAGGACGCGGTGAGAAGGGCGTGTTGGCGATGCTGGGGTGGAATAATGGTGATTCGAAGGAGAAGAACGAGTAAAGATGGTGGAGACTCGTTTCTGTCGAACATTCGTTTTTGAGATCTTTTCTTTCTCTTCGTTTGCTTTGAACCTCTCCTTTCTTTTTCTTTTTCTTTTTCCATTGCATCTCATCTCATTGCACGTTTCACTCTGTACATATTGTCTGCATTTAGCGCCTTTTCCTACTTTTCATTTCCATCATTGCCTGATTTTTGCTTCCCGCCGATCCTTTCATTTCGCATTCGGCGCCGACGTGAATTACACAGGTGTAACCGAGAACTAGAATAGCAGTACGCAAAGTGACACAAATGAACCACACCACTCCGAAACACCGGACCAAGTAAACCACTTACACAGCCATGTCTAGAATTATGCAGGACGAATGCAAGGACTGGGATACGTGAACCAGTACTGATACCAAGCCAAGATAAAACAAAAACAATATTTCACATTCATTCAATTCAATCTCCGCGCCACAAGAACACGGCTCATTCGCTGCTCTACTTGCAATATACATCTGTATACAATAAAAAGATCGACAAGGACGGACAAGAGGGAAAGCGGAGGCAAAAAAAAGGGCAGTGCAGTATAGGACATCACTCGTCACAGATACCTACCACCCCACCATTAGGGCATAGTAAGAAAAAAGGTCCGAAAGGGAAAACAAGGACGGTATAAGTAATGATTGCGGTGCGGGTGCAAGTCTTTCTGCGCCGAGTCACCATCAAGGAAAGTAAGAAAGGAAGAAGGTTGAAGGGAATGTAAAGGGATAAGAGATGTAAGGAAAAAAAAAATGCCAAAACAGATGGGGAATAAGAAGAGAAGAATATGTTAGGACAATGTAAAAGAAACAAGAGGCGTCCTCAAGGGACGCCAGGCAATCCAAATTGAATACAATCAGAAGGTAAATGAGACACGTAGATAGATTCCCGGCCACTATGGGGGCGAGGAACTGCTGAAAGAGCCATTCTTCAATCGGGCGAGCTTGCTCTTTCCTTTATACTTGTATTCCATGACTCCCAAGCCCGTGGAATCCACCGTCTATCTTTTTTTGGGTTTCTTTTTTTTTCTTGATATACCCGATTTAAGCTTAGTTCCATCCAAGAGAGTTTTCTGCCATCACGGGTGCACTGATCATTTGCGTACGGGCGCTTCCTCCTCGGCTGACCTGGCTGTTGCGAGACATGCGGCCACCGGCAGCGAAGACCGAACCGCCACCACGGCCCTCACTCATCTGCTCAACGGTCGAGCTGGATCGCTGGTGCAATTGACGCTTCTTCCGGTACCGACGAGCGACCCAGAACATACCTGCACCATAGGCAGCTGCACCGGCCACAACGCCAACGCCAATGCCGACAGAGCTGGGGCGCGCGCTTGAGCTGCCGCTAGCGCCTCCGTCGCCGTTGCCACCTCCATTATTATCTTCATTGTCATTGCCATTCCCGGACCCATTGCCGGGTTTTCCGCCAAATCCGGGGGGGCCAACGCCGTTGGGCCAAATACTGATGGTGGGGTCAATCATAGAGAACAGCGTGTTCACAGACTCGTCAGGCTCGTTGTAGAAGTTCGAAACGGGGTTTTTGACTTCAAGGTCGAGTTTCGATTCAAACTTTGTACTGTTGGCGGGGAGTGTGTTATAAAGATACGTATTATTTGAAACCCAGGCATAAACGGTCGTGGCAAGGTAGCCATTCATCTGCAATGGTTTGATTTCAGACATCGAAACCTGCTCACTAGAAAGTCCCATAGTGTATTGGAGACCTTTCGGAACAAAGTGGAAGATTTGGGTTGATGACAGCATAGTAGTCGCAACAAAGCTGTAGCGAAGTCTCTCGTCGAAGCCAAGACGAATCAAGACACCATCCTTAGGTTTGACACCTTGTTCTTCATTCGGTGCGATATTCCCAGGAAGTTGTACTTGCGTGCTCGTGGAAGTTGCAGTCGCGTGAGTAACTGAATCGTGAGTCGTAGGCGTTGGGGGCTCCACGAGAATAGTAGAGGGCACCCAATCATCGTTGTCACTGCTTGTGCTGGCCTGCGTGGTGGGCTCGGGTGTTGGTTCTGGCACAGGCTCCGGCGTAGGAGTTGTTTCAACAGCTGGTTGCGTGGTGCTTGGGGGCGCCGGTTGTTGGGTGCTGGGCTGCGTAGTGGTGGGCTGTGGCGGTGGCTGCGTGCTAGGTTGCGCGGTGCTTGGCTGCGGCGGTGGCTGCGTGCTGGGCTGCGTGGTGCCTGGCTGGGACGGCTGTTCTGTGCTTGTAGGAGCCGGTGCACCGGTAGAGATAGGGGTCGCCGGGTTAGTAGAGCTCGCTGAGGGAGCTTTGGAGCTAATCAACGCAGTCGAAGAGACGCCAGCAGATCCAGACTTTGTACCAGTGGGAATGACGGGCCCGCTAGTTGTTGCGGGCGGTGCAGATGTGCCAAGCGAGGTCGATGAGCTTAAGTTGGCTGTTTCACTCTGGGAGGCGGTTGCACTTTGAGATCCGGTAGCACTTTGGGAAACAGTGGCGCTCTGAGATTCGGTGACATCATGCGTTCCCGTCCTACTATCTGAGGTAGATCCTCCAGGAACAATAAGGGCACTAGTGGCTGAAGAGCCAGAGGGACCAGGCTGGAAGCTGCTCACTGGAGTTCCCGTAACCTGTGATGTGAGGCCCAGAGCTGTGCTCAAAGCCCCGGGCACATCAAGAGAGCCGCTCGATGCCGACGGGGTCACAAGCGGGACGCTGACGGGAATGGTGGGGAAGATACCGCTAGAACTGGTGGCATCTGAGCCAGTGCTGGCACCACCACTGGTCTTTGTCTCAGTAGGAGTGGAAGCTAACTCGGTTTGGCTTGGAGCGACAGACTTTGTCGGACTAGGGAGATCAGATGAATCGGATTCGGTTGAGCTGGTAGTGCCGGACAGGAGATCTGACACGATTGATCCAACAAGGCCTGCCGAAGGAGTAGATGACGGCGCGGCCTCCCTGGAGTTCGACAGACCAGTCGAGCGAGTTGCGGCATCCTCAGAGCTCTGGGAAGGGAACGCAGTACTTGAAGTCGACCCTAAATCAATGATGGGAATTGAGCTAGGTCCTGACTGGCTTGTTGTGGGGGCCAGATCGCTAGAGCTCGGAATATTCGAGGAATCGGAGTGACTGGGAGTCAGAGTAACATCGGCAGAGCTAAGAATGTCGGTGGGGCTCTGAATGGATGAGGAATCCGTTTGACTCGGCGTTAAGACCGAGTCAGTAGAGCTGGAAATAGTCAACGAGTCCGATCTACTGGGGGTGAGAGCGACATCGGTGGAACTTGGAACAACCGAGGAATCCGGCTTGTTGGGAGTAGAAACCGACTCGGTGGAGCTGGGCACGCTATTAGAATCGGATTGGCTTGAAATGCGAGGCGAATCATCAGAGCTGAAAGTGCTGGATGATTCAGATTGAGCCGGAGCAGAAGCCAGGTCAGTCGAGCTGGAAGATCCACCCAGAAGATCCGACAACAAACCCGGGACCAGTCCCGGGGTTGGAGTAGAATATGGGGTCGAGGGCGAGGTCACTTCCACTGGAGTGGCGGGGCTTGTCAGGCCGAGTGTAGCATCATCGGATCTCTGGGAGGATGTCGGAACATTGGTAGTCGTCGCAGGATCGATTATGGGAACTGAACTGGCCACCGGTTTGGAGATGGCTGTGGTGGTCTCACTCGACAGATCGGTCGGGGTAGCAGGAGCCACGGGCACGGCAGAGCTGGATGTTGTCCCCCACAGGCTACTAACAAAGCTGTCCCATGCGTCCGTCAGTTTTGTCCCGGTGCTAGACGGTGTCGGAACAGCCGGTACTGAAGGAGACTCCGTCACACCCTGGGTGACTTCCGTGGGGATTGCAGGCTGGGAAGATGCGGTTTCCTGGCTGGTTTGGCTGGGAGTTGCAGGTAGCGGAGAGGTTGTTGCCTGGCTGGGTTGACTGGGAATTGCAGGCTGGGAAGAGGCGGTTTCCTGGCTGCCTTGGTTGGAAGTCGCAGGCAGCGATGTGGTATCTTGGTCCGTGGGTTGGGGAACGGGCACCGGAGTAGATTCCTGGGATTGCGACGCCGGCGATACCGCAGGCGTGCTAGCTGGGGGAGGCGGCGGTTGCTCCGTGATAGACGTCGCACTTGTCGAGGTCACGGCACCAGGCGTCGCAGCAGGCGGGGTGCCTGTAATGGTATGCGTGACCCCATTCAAATCAACCGAGAGGGTGATAGGAATAACCACCACCGGAGGAGATGGATCGGCCACCGGAGTCGTGGTCACTACCTCTGCCGTTTCGGTCGGCTGCGGCACATCGGTATTGAGTTTCGTTACCAGCTCGGAGGTCTGAGGATTAGCCACCGGGGTCGAAGAAGCCTTGTAGTTGATCTGTCTCTTGAATTGTTTCGGGACAAACCGAGGCTTTAATTCTGGCTCGAAGGCTGCACCCTGAGCTGCGACGAGGTTCAGGCCTCCCAGAGACAAGAACGCCGTAAGCACGGCTGCCGTAGGCGCATGCATGACGGGGTGAAAAAAGAGCGTAGTACCTGGCGAATAAAGGAACGGCTAGGGATCAAGGCGATATATAAAAATAAAAGAGTGAACGGACAGCGCGAGGCTGAATCAAGGACCACCAAGCCAAGCAAGCGATGAAGGATCCGGACGTTAAAAACTAATATCAATTATCGAGCTCCGGATTCATGAATTCGGTGGCTGGAGCGTGGTCTGGCAAAGTTGATCCGCGAGCTGACTTTCTTCCCTTTTCTTTGCCGTCGGGGCGAATCACCAGTATAATCGAGTTCCGACGAGGCCAGCAATAGAATCGGGAATTCTCGATCAAGACGTCCTATCGAGATGAAGGCGGGAATCGAACGGTATGGGAGCTTGAGCGATAGGATCGGACGATAAACAAATGCGGATCCAAAAGAGCGACAGGGTGCGTGGATGGCGCAAATAATCCAACGGGTAACCCTTGACGAAAAGATACGGACAAAAACACACTAATAACGAGCGTAGGTGCTGTAAGGAGCGAGCGACAAGATCTAAAACCAGAAAGAGAAAAATGTCAAAAGAAAGACCGTGGCGGGGGTGGGACGGGGGAGGGTGGTTGTTATGGTGAACCGGCGCGGGTGGGAGATAGCGATCCGGTAGGTGAGTGAGTCGTACCTGAGCGCGACCGTGGGAGGGGAGTGGATGCAAGGAGAGCAATTGGCGAACAATGATCTGGTCCCAAGGGTCGCTGACGTAGAATGCGCGTTCAAAGATGGGCTACGTCAACGCCAGCATCGAGATGGCGAAGCATCAGAGGGGAGGGGGAAGCGAGAGGGAAGAGAGGAAGGGAAAGGAAGAAAAAGAAACAAGAAACAACAGCAATTCCAGAAGCAAATTGAAGGGAAGGAAAGAAAAGAGAAGAAGAGAAGGTGGAAAAAAGGAATGTAAAAAGCGGGAAGGGAAGAGAAGGGAAGGGGAGATTACTTTGGCTGCTTTACTTTGGGGCTTTGGTTGGTTTGGTTGGTTTGGTTTGTTTTAGTGCCGTTTAGTAGAATTGGGTCGGGCCCCGTTGGGTTTAGCGCGGGAAGATTGGGAAAAGAATTGCAAACAAAAAGGGGGGGAGAAATTTAAAATAAAAAAGAAAAAGAGGGGGCGTCCGCCGTTGGGTGCATTAATCGCAGCCAACGCGGACGGGCTTATCCTCACGCACCGGCTGAGATGGTCGATGATGTGGATGCTCCGGTGGACTTTGGCCCACGTCCATTGCGTGGGAGAGGGGATCTTCTTCGCCATGGCCTCATCAGTGCGATCATGGATCATGTAATTCTGGGTCTCTCTCTTTTTATTTCTTATTCTTTTTACTAATTCTATTCATGGAATACCGTCCCCCGTCCCTCCATGCACACAGAATGAATTACACGGAGTAGGTACCGTGGAGGTTAGGACGGTCCTGCATATCCCGGGGATATATGCACGTACCTCCCAGACTGATGATCTGAGATATCCTACAGCAACTGGAAGTATTGGATACGTATGCTTAGACTGCCCGAAGCATCCTCAAATCCTTATGAACCCCACGAGTTGTCCCAGATAAACCAACCCACTGCGTTAGTTGTTATGATTTATTCCTTAGTTACGGAGTAGTTGAGTTAACTAACTACTGCTGTTCTTACCTCATCTAGACGTCTCAAGGCAATCTTGCCACGCACAGAGTTTCCATTCTATCCTTTCCGTGAGAAACTATTGACAAAGCAGGGTAGTACTGCAGGTAGTGCCTACTAGTCCCGTCACCACCGAAGTCACTGTCACTCATGCCTCTCTGCAGAGCGCAGACTGCAGTAGCGAGCAGACTACTCCTAGAGCGCCATCGGAGCAGATGACCCTATCGACTATCCGGGTGTAATAGGGATCGACAAAGAGAGGCACTCCGGTCAAAACTTCGAGTGGCACGAATTCTACCGGATGGCGTCCACCATGCGGGACAGGGTGCATTATCACCGGAGATATCTCAAGTCGGTCGATAGCAGGCCAGCAACAGATGCGCACGATCACGACCATTGAAGGAACTATTAGTTCCTGGGACTAGGGACCCCAAGTGAGGATTTGGCCTAAAATCTGATGGACTGGATAACGTGCAGGGGCAGGTCAATAATAACCCAAATAAGCCCATCAATCGCAAGCCATATTAATGTGCTCGATCCCCCGGCGACGGTGCACGAATCCAAAGTTCAAGGATATTTCCCCCGAATCCTCGGTAGGCAGTACACCGTAGTGGCTACGGAGGAGTCGATCGGTTGCAGTTGTGCGGTGCACATCACAATTCCGGGCCACCGTACGGAGTACAGGACAAGGCAGGACATAATTCTCGCAGATTCCCGTCAAGGTTCGGACCATTGCAAGGCCTAGACCGACGGCGTCGGGTTAGTGTGCGTGTTCCTGGCAGTGTGGAGATGGTCTAGGTGCGTGGCGATACCAATGGCCCGTCAGAGTCAGCGAGTGGCTGTGACAAAGGGATCAACAAAGCAGTTGGGCTTACTCTATTTTTTTCTTTTCCCCTCTTCCTGCGTTTTTTCCTTCCAAAATAGTTCCACAGAACATGTAGCATGGTTCGTTTTGTAGGCACAAAGGAATGCCCGGTCAGCAAGAAGCGTCTTCCTTCTCGACTGCTGTCCAAAACTACGACGAGGACCGGGAGCGAGAAGGTTGTCCACATTCGGCTTAGTCTTGTCCCTGACGGTCCCCCCTTTTTTAGAGCCAAGTGACCATCCGTCTTGTCTCACCATCACCGCTTTCTCAAATGTCAGTCACCCACGGAGTGGTTATCCAACATCCCGATAGTGTGTCTGTCCGCCGGAACTATTATTATTCTATCTCCTTAGAGGGTCTTTTAACAGGTTCATTTCTTCTAGTCACTGCCGCTATTGACCTTAACTACCCGGGAACTGTTCCTCGCTTTCTCAGAGGCAGCGACAGCACCGGAGATGCTGACCCAGATGTCAACAGTCAACCTTTTACGGAGTATTTACGAGGATTATGGCCCGAAAATCATCCACACATACGAGGTCTGCCAGTCTAGCTACGGGGCTCCGTGCTCTCTGTCAGAGACTGAGGTACCACGTAGCTTAGCTCAGTATCCCCTACGACTACGGAGGACCTACTATGGAGTAGTTTAATGCACTCTTCCTACGGAGTGCGAAGCAATAACCTTCGCGTTATACCTTCCGAAATATCGGGCTGGACAGTTAGTGATCTGCCGTGACATAACCTGGAATGTCTGCTTGACGGAAATTCGAGCTGAAACAGCCTTCATTCCATCCCTTCTGTCTCAACGGTCAACGCGCCTGACTTTCGGAGAACAAGGGAGGTCAACACAACATGGCACAGCATTCCTGCTTGGTTTGAAGATTGGTCTTCGATGGAAGCTGCGTCTTTTCTCTTCCACTACTCCGTACTTCCTCTAACTACAGAGTACCCAGGGGCGTCGTCCGAGCGATGTCTCTTGGCTAGAGCCACACGGCGGAGCCACACTGTTACAGTTTGCGAAGGCCGTGAATATCCGGCCAGCTAAATCGACAAGTCACTTGCTTTGATAAGGCCGATGGAGCACGGACTCGGACCGTCGTATGTTCTGTGACGTCCATTCTTTTAGGACGGCTTTGTACTATCTTTGTACGCACTACTCAGGTCCGAGGCATCTTCCATCATGGTCTCATCATGCATTTGACATTTGTACTCCGTACTTGCATCAATACTCGATCCGCGAGACGACGCCGGACAGGACAAAGTATATCGGGCAACCGCGATGGTCTGATAGGCTGACCCCAAAATTGGGACCGACCATCAAAACTCGCGAGGTTAGGCGAAACCTTTTCCACATCCCCCTTTCTAATAAAAGGTGCGCCTAATTTAGTTCGCTGCTTCACCTCTACCACGGACTGGCAACCGCGCTATTCCTGTTCCTGACGAAGGGCTGGTCGGGGCTCCACCGACTTTTCGCGGTCCATTGGCCGGTAGCCGAGCTCTTGGCAGTCGGGCAGACAGCGAGGTAGGCAGGTACGAAGTAGATAGAAAGCCTTTCCTATACCTATTCTATATGGAGTAGAAGGTACAGTAACCTCCGGGTATGCAACAGTAAGGTCATCTTCATTGGGAAGTCGCTTTCGATGCATGTTCAAAACCTAGAGCTTAAAAGAGTACCCAGCAAGGATTCTTTCACTAGACAAATATATATCCCCTACATGCATGACCACCGGATCACATATTTCCCCTGGATGCTTCAACACCTACACCGTAGGACCTCTTTATTTGAAGATGAATACACCAGACCACTCATTTCTCGCCTCCCTGGTAGTCAACACCATCGACAGGGCAGCCCAGGCTCTCCTACAGCCGAGAGGCCCGACCAGGGCGAGTGACAAAACCGGAACACTCAATCTCGACATCCGTTCCAAGAGGCAGTGTCTTGACCGCCACACACGTACGTGCCTAGACAGAGATGTTAGAATAAAGGTCAAGGGCCTCGGAGATGTTACAGTAGGTCAAGGTACCGGTTTAGGATCAGCGAAGAAAGAATTGTAAACCTCGTTCACCGCACCAAAATCTCCCATATCTGCCAGGAAAATGTTCACTTTCACCGCATCCTGAAGACTGGATCCACCGGCTTCAAGGACGGCTCCCAGGTTCTGGAGCACTTGTTTCTGTCCCATGGTGCATCAACAGAGTGTGCTCCAGTTGAAACATATAAGGAATTGAATAAATCGAGACTCACCGTTCGGTTTTGGATTGATCCCTCAACCATCTTCCCCGTGGCCGGATTCACCCCCACCTGTCCCGAACAGTAGACGACGTCGCCGACCACGATTCCTTGTGAGAGAAAAGGCGGAGGCTGGGGAGCCTTGTCGGTGCTGATAGAAATCCGTGCTGCCTTGGACATGTTGTGCTACTATTGCTTATGGGACTGGAATATAATTATCTGGCAGAGGTCATTGAAGCGGAGATGGCTTAGCGTTGACACTCACGGACTTCACGATTTCTCCAGGCGGGGAAGAGTTGATTGCCCCACTGAAACCTGACTAAGAACGGAGTCCACCACGCGGCACTCCAGGACAGCATCGAAGTCCCGTATACAGACGCAAGATCCAAGAAGCAAGCTGACCACATGGTAGATACCTCAGGCCACGAGTTCGTTGGCACGGTCAGGTGATGTCCCGTCGCTTTTCCCACCAAACACAGCTTCGAAAAGCTTCAAACTCCTTTCTCTTTCCAATCCTTTAGCCGGATCCCAATTGTATTCGAGATATGTATTCCCTTCCAATCGATTCGGTAGAAATGCGCGCAGCTTTTCCATCGCTTCTCCTATATCCACCTCTGTGGCTACTAACACTTACGCTGGGCTCATGATCTCAAATTGTAAGTAACCACGATCTAATTAAAGAAATCCCTCGCAATCACGGACGCACTATAACAAGAGTCTAGGAGATCTTGCGATAAATGTATTCGAATCAGCCCGCTCACCTTGCACTCCGGTCTGAGCCGCCCTTGGCATTCAGCCGTGCCCAGCCCCTCCTATATAGACCAGGGAATTAAGTCGATCGATACTCAGCCTTGTTATAGCTGCAGTAAAAATGACCAGGGATTGGTCAAGAAGTGCAACCGACGTTGGGGTTCGCTGCATTGTAACATTACCCATGGCTTTAAGCGCCCACTAGGCGCTCTAGCCTTCAACCCCATCACGCCAGATTCCAACTCATTGACCGCAATGAATCTGATAATTATAACGGACATGGCTGAACGTGCTTGCAAGGCACTCATCTCTATCTTATCCAATTTTTCCCAGCATATGCATCTCAAGACTTTCAATGATATCTATCGAGCAAAGAATGGCCGGCCTCACCCAGAGCTTTCGACAATTGCTCTCATGGAACGGAAAATCAGGCTATGCGCCGCCGAATCGAACATCACAGGAAGCCGCAACAGCCCAATCAAGGGGTCCGAGAAAAGAAAGACCCATTAAAAACACTGCGTTGCATACCGTTCGAGATCTTGCCTCGCAAGACCAGGGTAGCGATGGTGTCACTGAACTTTGGGTGCCGTTCGTCTTGCGTCGAAAAGGCATGGCTCTGTTCTTGGGCGTGTTCATCGCCCTTCTAGTCACTTTGGTATTTTTATACGTCTTTTCAAACCAAAACCACGGCCTTGTGACTGTGAAACAAGAAGACCTGCATTACTTATGGACATATGGGCCTACTGCAGGTGGGAACGCTCCTAGAAGCACATGCATTGTATCCGATTTTGTGACTGATGAGCAATACAGTTTTCATGGTCCTCGCCGCATTTTGGTCTGTGGTGCAATATCGGGCAATGCAGCTAATGCCATGGTTGTTGATGCTGCGCAGCCCACGATGTCCTTCGGATGGAATCTTACTTGATTATCATTCAGACTGGGTCATGATCAGTCTCTACAATTCTATAAAGCGGAAGCATTTTTTCATCACCTTTACGATCCTGGGCACCCTTCTCCTTACCGGTGCAACGGTAACTTCTACTGGCCTACTGACCGTCCAAACGATGCGCTTTGACCGAGAGACTTCGATGCGCGTGCCCTGGGGCTTTAGTGGCTCTGACTATGACCCCAACACTGTAGACTCCCGCGCGTATGCAACGCAGATGGCGGTAGAGCTATTCGATGGATCACCGCCTCTTGGCCTTCAAGAGAATCATGCCTTTTCTCCTTTCTACGCTGAGAGCGGACGTGCTGGGGATACCTTCATGTCCAAGAATCTATCCCAGGCTACCGTGGATGTTTTCACAATGGAGCTTGAGTGTGAAGATACACCTATCTCGACCCCACAGAGAGACGTTATTGCAACACACCCGAAAAACGAAAATTGCTCGCATAATTATGGCGGTCCGAATTTTGTGAAAGATCCGCGAGATCATGAGTATAAACTATTCATGAAGCTTTCCGGATGTGAAGGCCAAGAGGCCTTTTCAAGCTCGCAACCCATACGAGAGATCGATTGGCGTATATGGGTGCTGTTGAGCCATCTCGAGCCTAATGCGACCATTGTGAACACAGGGGGATGGTCTTTAGCGTATGGGCCTGATGGGCCTTACTACAACAAATCGACTGCTTTTGTTTCGTGGAGGATTCTATCAAAAGTGTGCACCCCACGGTACAAGATTCGCAAAGCTCTGACCAGTATATCATATACCAACGATAGCAGCCCTACTGTCGGCACGATTGATTTTGACGAACAGGGCAAAGCAGATACTATTCCAGGGGTGTCAGCTAGTGATATCTTGTATGGAGTATGGCACTCTTTGTCTGTTTCCACAAAATCGGCTCAGACCCCTGACGCATTACTGCTATCAACCGAAGAGAACGGCATGGCGCAATACTGGGACACGGATCGCCTTCAGCGAGAGCTCAAACAAAGGGTATCCACTATGGGGGCTCAAGTTGCTCGTCAATATATGCTAAAGTCGGCTGATATTGTAACCCGTGGGAGAGCCAACGGTTTGGTAAAACGGCTTGTGGTACGGGAATTGGCTTTTGCGCTGGTGACGACAATTCTTGGGCTTCTCATCGCCATTGCGAGTGGTCTTATCATCGTGTATCTCCCGGTAGCAGCCTGCCCTCGTGACCCTGGTTCAATTGCTGGCTTGGCGACTATTCTAGCAAGAAGCCCGGAGATGATGGAACATCTGACTGACATGGGCCCTAAACCGATCTCTGCAATTACGGCTCTGATATCTGACCAGAAGCATGGCGTATCAGCTACGCGTGAAGGGGATTTTGTGATCACTACGCAACGTGTGCCGTCTGCGAACAGGCGTCCATTCACAGGCAACGACCAACTCCAGTGGTGGCGGCCCCTCTCTGTAAGAATACCGGTGCGCTCTTTGACATTCGGGATTCCCTTGGCTTTGATATGTACCCTTGAGAGTCTTTCTCAGCATTCAAAAAGATCCGGGGGCATAGCTCCTATTGAAGATGAGATCTCGCCAGTGCGATACACATGGACCTATATTCCAGCATTGGTCATGCTCGCGGTGCGGATCCTGTTTCACGATCTTGAATCCTGTGCCCGAATCTTCCAGCCGTACAACTGTCTTCAGCGAGCCCACGCAGTGCCTCGGATGAGTATCCTGGAGGATTACAAAGGCAAACTCTCTCTAGTGGTCTTACTAGATGCGGCACGTAAGCGGCATTGGGCACTTGCGGCTGCTGCAATGGGCGTGCTGGTGTCATTTGCTCTCCCAATCGCCGTGGCCGGCCTATACACCACCGACACTGTGATGCAACCGAAAGAAGTTAACCTCACCCGACTGGACCAATGGAGGTTCAAGGACTTTGAAAATTACCCATATACACGCTATCGGGCCAAAGGAAATCTGCTCGGGGGCTTGCTGCTATATCTTGACGATGTCTCCGAGCCCCAGTGGACGTACCAAAACCTCGCTGTTCCGAAGGTTGTGCTTTCCGATTTATCGATGGACCCAGGATATTTTGATGCTCGCTTACCTGCGGTGCGTGGCAGTTACGCTTGTCAACAAATTCCACCGGATCAGATCACTTGGGAGATCAAGGGATCAAACGAGCATTTAGAGGATGCGGATCCTTCATCTCGCTCGATTTATCCCACTTACACAAAGCAGAAGGCGTGTACAGGCTTTGATCAAGTCACTGAGGTGCCTTTTGGTGTCGAGCTTCCAGAATCCGGAGGTTATTTCGTTGGCGTGTATATTACGGGAAACGAAGACTGTCCGCAATATATGGAGGTTTTTGGTAAAGCCAATGGTACTCGAGAGGAAGATATAGAGGACTTTTTCGTTCTCGGATGTTCGCAGCGCCTGGAACAGGTGGACGTGGACCTACGCTTGTCTCTCCCTTCATATAACCTGGATCTCTCAAAAGCACCAACTATTGTCGCAAACTCAAGCAAGGTGCTTGTAGAGCGTTGGCTCAATGAAACTTTCCACTGGCCTGTCTTACCCAACACAACCGACGCCTTGCTGGACTTTTCTATGGGCAACAACGAAGATAAGAATCTGTCGATGTTGGACCGCACCCTTCGCGCTTCAATATACGGAATCAACGGGACAAAGAATCCGGATGACTACCTTGACCCGACCATGTATATAGAGAGAAAAAACTGGGTCCTCGGCACTGTGACGGCGCAAATCCTAAACAGCCATGCCCGAAAGGGCTTGAACACATCGGAACAGTATGTCGTCGGCACGGCGAACCTGTTCCGACCGCGTCTATACGTCGTTCAAAGCCGCATCTCCACTTCCATTCTCGAAGGGGCCCTCGCGACTATGGTCCTCTGTGGGGCAGCAGCAATCACGCTTATGAAGACCCGGCATGTTCTCCCCAAGAACCCAACCACCATTGCCGCAGTGGCCAGTCTCCTAGCCGGGTCGGAAATGATGAAAGAGAACGTGATCCCGAGGGGCTCAGAGTGGTGCGACGACAAGGAGCTCAAAAAACGCCGGATCTTCGAAGACCTCACATTTAGCATGAAATGGTGGCCTGGGCAGGAAGAACCACCCGCCGACGATGACGAAGGAGACGGGACTCGCTCGAACGGGGCAGTGAGTTCGATATCGAGAGCAAGCTCCCGTTCGAGATCGGATGAGCTTACTCTGAGGGAGAGCTTGATCTCAAGAGAGAGTTCACATTCAGATGTGGGCTCTACTTTGAGGGGCAGTTCTGTTTCGAATGAACATCGTTCCATCGGGGAAGGTCACCTTCCCAACCAGGCTGTTCAGGAAGAAGCGCTTTCTCTGAACGGGGTTCCGTCGAACGAGGCGCTGGCGGTTAACGCCCTCGACCAGGATGAAAATCCTATTTCGGCTCAAGAACGTCCCCGAGACCGATTCGGAATTGACGTGGATCAGCTGGCGGTATCGGTGTAGGATTGGGACTTTCCGTAAGAGATGGAACGAAGGAAACCGACTTTTGTTATCTGCTGCGTTTAATGAATATGTTAGATACTATAATGATACTCGCGGACTTCGAATCATAGCATGACAACCAACGACCAAGCTATCATACATCCTCACTTTTCATATGCAAATCTATTCTCGATATATACTCGTCTAGCAGAAGGAAAGAACAACATATGTATAAACACCCCTCTATGGGGACATATATGTGCATGTGCCACAAAAAGGCACAATCACCAACAGACCAACAAGGTATAAAGCACAAACACATATATATGAAAACACAACATCAACATCTATAAACAGCCACAAACAGACAGGCAAACACACAGAATAATCATCACATATTATCCTCCCCCCAATGACTCCTCGCCTTCATATAAGCATCATGATCCCCCTTCCCTTCTTCAGCGGACATCCCAAGTCCCAGACCCCGTTCGACCCACTCCTTGCTGCCCATCTCGGAGAGACGGGAAAGCGCCCGCGCGAACGCGAACCGCTCCTCGTCGCCGCTGAAGATCGAGGTCGATTTGAGCGCCTGCATCGAGAGACCCAGGTCGTCCATCATCATGCGCATCGCGTCGGAGAGGTCGCTGCCGTCGGACTCGTCGAGGGAGTCTTTCATTTCGGTTTCCGAGATGAAGATGTTGGTGAGGGGGACGGCGGAGGTGAGGACGAGTTTGGCCTGGTTGGTGGATGTGTGTGTTAGTAGTGGAATCTTTTTGGGGAGTGTAGGAGGGGGGTCTAGAGAGGTATAGATGAGGGGGGAAGAGGAAAGCGTACCCTGCTTTCGTAGACGGCATCGATGAAGGTGATGAATCGTCGGGCCAGGTCTCGTTGGGTTAGGTTCATGCCCGGCACGTCGGTGACGATGAAGGCGTCGTAGTTGCGCACGAGCTCCAGGTAGTCGGCTGCTCCGGTGGCGCGGCCGATCAGCTGGTCGAAGCTAAACTGCGCGGCTCGGCCACTGGCCAGGGGCACTTCGATCTTGCGGCCCCAGACCTCCTGGGTCGCGGCGTGCGGAGGGTCGTTGATCGGGTCGCCTAGGAATTCAAACCACTTCTGCGCGTGACGCTCCGCGTCCTCGTTCAGGGGGTGGTGGTAGACGCCGGATGGAGGGCGGGGGATCTTTCGGTAATCGGTGGGCGAGTTCAGGTTAATCACGTCGAGGGCGGTCTTGAGCAGGTTGATGCAGGGAATGAACGACTCGCGCTGGATTCCGTTCTTGTACAGGTCATCGGGGTGTCGGTTGGACGTCGTAACGAGCGCAACGCCGTGGGCCATGAGGGACTCAAGCAGTCTTGGATAAGTTAGTCAAGTCGTCCGGGCTAGTTTGACTCGGAGTTGGGGCTCACCGTCTCAGAATCATGGCGTCGGCTACATCCGTACACTGGAATTCATCGAAGCACAGTACGCTGGACTTCTCCGCAATATCAGCCGCCACGAGAGGTAGCGCGTCGAAGTCGTTGCCGAACCGCATCTTCACCACGTGCACCCGCTTGTGGACATCCTGCATGAAGTTGTGGAAGTGGATCCGGGTCTTGGACAAGATGTTGGGCGGTAGAGTCTCATAGAACAGGTCCATAAGCATGGTTTTCCCGCACCCGACATCCCCGTACATGTACAGGCCCTTGGGAAGGGATTCGGGGATCGCCAATTCCTCCTTCTGTTTACCCCGTCCGAAGAGGGAGCCCAGAAACGACGCCTTGGGTTTCGGATCTAGCGATTCGACGCTCGGATGAACGACCGGGGGAGGATTGTAATGCTTCAGCCTTTCGTACAGGTCTTGGAGTTGCTCGATGATCTCTGCAAGTGCACACCACCGTTAGCTCGCCTCTCCTCATCACTCCTCAGACCCAACGCGGGAGCACATACGTCGTTGATAAGGGTCATCCCGCAACCGACCCTGCTGTACCCGTAGATCATATTCCTTCAAAGGACCGCCCTGCAGCCCAGCTGCGGCGTCCGCGGTTTTGTCCTCGCTGGCGTTGGCCGTGGCCTCGGTTGCGAATTGTCGCACGTACGGGCTAGGCTGAAGCCGTTGCGCGCTCAACCGACCGGTTTGCGGTATCGTTGCCCGACAGGTCCGCAGGTAATTCGGATGCTGGTGCACATGCCGCCGGGATTCCCGAATGTACACTCGTTTCGTCCGCCGAGGAGTGGCACGGAGCAAAGATGCGTTGCTCGGCCTCAGCGCGCCCGGCAAGATGTCCGCGCACAACTTCGCGGACGACCCGCTTACCGACATTTCGACACGAATATGTTCAAGGACACCTAGTGTGACTTCCTCGCGCTTCAGATAAACACAAGCAGTTGTTTGGCGGGGGAGGTTGCGACAGTGTTGTTATGGGAGAGCCGAGGTCGGGAATTTTCGAAGGACAAGACACGCTCTTCTCCCCGGCCGGGAATTATTCGGCGAAAGGTCAAGTGCGGCGGCCACGCGGGCGTGAAAAGGCGGGGAAGGAGATGGTATGCGTGCAACCAATTCAAGTCCAAATTGCGCAAAGACAGGATAGAATAAACGCGACACACGTTGGACCTCAGCGAAAAGGGAGGGAGAGAGAAAAGATTAAAAATGGATCGATTTAATTTTGCGGCAAAGAACCCAATTCCGCGGCGAGCAAAAGAAGATCCGATGCGGGGTCATGTGACCGGGGATCCGGCACCGCCGTCGGTTACTGTTCTATACAAATGCCAGTCCCTACCTAGAGTCGTTGGACGAAGAATAGAAGATGAAACCCACAGTGGGTGTATATGCAAGTGGAAACTTATGTACATGGGATCAACTGTGCATCAAGAAGGGTATGGAAATCACAATCAGCCAGAAACGGCCCACGGAACAAAACCAGATCAAATGCAGAAAAAACAACTTCAAAGAAATACATGATAACATAACGTTTCGGACATCTCGTTCTTAATCATCCATCAATCAAAAAATCAATACCAACCCTCGGGAGGGCTGGTCGTTCATCAGAGGAAATTAGAGGCCGTAACACCGATGCACCCGTGAATAGAAAGCCGTGGCAAAGAATCAGGCAACAAAAATAGAAGAAGATAGGAGAGAGAAGATATGAGTACGTGGTGTGGGCGACCAACAAATCTATCGCAAAAATGTCGAAGGAGAATATGTTTCTATGCAGAACATTGTCGGCGTACGCTTCTTTAGACGAGGCCGACGTAAAGGGTAAGTTTGGAGTTTCGTTGGATGGCAGTGTCAAGGTCGTTGTCGCTGACCAGATCGACGTATGTGCCGGAGGGCTCATCCTTGTACTGCACGGACATGCTTTCGTGGATCTTCAGGCGATCCATGAGTTTCTCCTTGAGCTGCTGAACACTGATGTCGCTGGGGACTCGGATGGCGATCAGATCGTCCTGGAAAAACACCTTGACTTTCATGGCGCCGCTACTCGAGGTGGTGGACACTTGGGTGATCGAGCTCGGTTGCCGGTTCATCGAGGGCGGACCGCCATTGCTGGCTGACAACGACGGCTGTCCCCGCTGATGCGATCCCCGTTCTGCGCTCAATTGAGCCTGGGAAGACTGGCGGGAGGCGCTGCGCGACGGCTCGTGAACCGAGGAGTGGTGGGAGCCGCCGGAAAAGCGCGCGTCCTCTCCGAAAGCGTTGGGGTCGATTTCGAAATCGCCGGCTCGAGGAGCAAAAAGTTGCCGGACTAGTTGACAGCGGGCGATGTGTGGCGGCATAGAGAGGAGCTTCTTGATGTACTCGTCAAGGTTCTGTCGTCGACCGTTGGAAATCGCGTCAGTGACGTGCGTGACGGGGCCCGGCATAAAGGGCAACGTTCGCGCTTTGCCTCGGTTACCAGCCTCTTCCTCAAACTGAGTCAGAAGGGCGATCTGGAAGTCGTAAAAGTCGTGGTAGTAACGAGACAGCTCCCAGCAGCGACCGTCTTCCATTTTGGCCTCGATGATATACCAGTACTTGTCGTTGTCGAAGCAATACCGCGGGATCGACGCGGCTACAGGAGCCATGAGGGATTGGTGGTGGTAGTTCTGCGGCGGGGGTTGGGACATGTGTTGCGGCGCCACCGAGCCTTTGCTGGCGTTACGGTGATGGTAACCCTGGCGTTTCTTCGATTAGTACATTTGGACCACCCGACGACCCTCAAAATCCCTCCGATGGCGAACCGCATTGCGACTTACATAGGAATTGCCGTTCTGGCTCAGATGGCCCATGCTCTGATGGCCAACGGACATCTTTTCGACGCCCGAGGTGACGGATTGCATGGGGGATCCGACCGTATCAATCTTGCCTAGGGTGATACTGCTGTTCTTGTACTCGGCAGTCATTTTCTTCCATTCCTCGACCTTGGGCACGCCGGCACGCCGGACGGCGTCCAAGGGATCTGTGACGGCCTGGCCCGACTGCATATCGCGTAGTTCGATAAATGATACGGGGATCAGACCGGGACCACCCAGACGACCGATGGGCTTAGCGACGAACCATTCGGGGTTAGACTGGGCAATGACGATGATGGCTTCACCGGCCTTTGCGTCGAGCTCGTCGGGTCGCTCCGCCTGGAAGTCGTATTGTACAATGCCGTAGACCATGGGGCTCGAGCCCTTTCCGAAAGCCGACATCCTGAGCGGGTTCTGCTGCTTCGGCGGGGAGACAAAATCGGGTGCAGGAAAGGCGGCGGGAGCTCGATCTGAGAAACCGGAGTCGTGAGGCTCTTTCTTCTTATGAAGGTCGATGGAGCCACCGCTGTCTCTTTCGTTCTTGCCAATGACCTCAAAGAATGACACCGGTACCAACCCCCTGGCAGTAGGGATGAGGGGATTGCACGCTTCGTACCAATCCAAGTCGTCCTCCCTGCTGATAACGTGAAAGAAATCTCCCTTGCTGAATGCCAACTCCTGGGAGTTCCCGGGCTCTGGTTGGTAGTCGTAAAGAGCTTTGATGACCTACGTGCAGGACAGGGATGGGGTCAATAAATGCGGGTTTAAGACGGGGAAGGATGCAGGCCGACTAAAGCCGGGTGGTTGACGAAGAGGGAAAATAACACAAAATACACGAAACACCAAAATTACCGCCGATGCAAGACCGGCAGAAGAAGAACAATAGAAGAGAGACAAGAGAAGGAGAGAATGAGAATGACGATGGACGAGGGGGTGAAAGGATGGCCGGGAGAAGAAGAGAAACAAACAAACAGAAAAGTAAGGTTTCAAAAAGGTTACAGTAGTTAACAATTAACAGAAAGGGAAGGGGAAAAAAGTGAAAAAAAAAAAAAAAAAAGAAAGACGCGCGCCTTACGTACCTTTTTCGGAGGCAGAATAGCAATGGCGGATTTTGGCGTAATGGAGAGGTGGTGGGGTTTGGGTTCCTTTTCCCCTTTGAGAGAACGTCTGATAGCCTATTGGGAAAAATTGCAAAGGTTAGGTTATAAAAGATTCCAGAAAACAATCCAATGCGGCGTTAAAAGAGAAAAGGATCTCCAACAACAAGCGACAATCGAGATAAACGAGGGGCGGGAGAAGAGGGAGAAGGGAGAGGGAGGAGGGCGAGAGCGCAAGATGAAACGAGGGGCGACGCTGCGAACAAAACAGACCAACACACACCTTCATTCTTCAGGTGAACCAACTTCTTAGTGGCCGAGGTTTCACTTTTTTGCGCGTTTCGTTTCCGTTCCAAGAAAGAGGCAGGAGAATCAAATCAAACAAAACAAAACCCCCCCAAAATGATACACCATGCAATATAACTCTAAATAATGTATCCGCCGCCTCCAAAAAGGAAGGAAAATAGAGGGCGACGGAAAATTAAGCGATAGCGATATCGCGAGGTATAGAGACAGGTAGACACAATAGAATAGACACACAGGGAACTAGGTAGAGAGTATGAAAGGAATAGAGAGCGACCAGATCCCAAGAAAATTAATAAGAGAAAGACAGAGGGACAGGTATGGATATGAGAGAATGAGAGGGATGGAGAAGGTGGGGAGAGAAAGGAGACAACGAAAGAGGAGGAGAGAGAAAGAGAGAAGGAAAAGAAAGAAAAGAAAGGAATGAGAGCGATGGGATAAGGAGTGAAAGAGAAGGATGGACGGTGGTGATAGCCCAAGTCAAGTAGGAAACGCAGCAGCGTAGCAATCCGATGGAAGTACCAATCAGTGGTGGTGATGATAATAAGAAAATGACTGGGACTGGATCACGTTCTTTTTCCCTTTTCCCTTCGTTTTTGCCTTCTCTTTTTTTTATTGTTTTTTTTATCTGTCCCTTAACCTTTCTTTTTTTTGTGTCTTCCAGCTTCTATTTTTCTCTCTCTCTCTTCTTTTCTTTTCTTTTCTTTTTTTTTGGTCCTCGTGTTTCAACTACAACCACGGGTGAATCAGCGTGGTCGATCAGAAATCTCGCGACGACTCAAAAAACAGAGGCCCGCTTTGTGTCTCCCCCCTGAGATTAGCTCCGTTTAGATCATGCGCAATCCGTCCGACTTTGACAGGTTCCAACTCGGTACCGCGATGCCTGCCCGCCTGTGTGTGTTCTCAACTTCTCAGTTCTCACCGAGTCTGCACCGATGCAGATGCGGTACTGGGATGCGGCAGGAACCACTTCGATCGTCTGTCCGTTCTCTCTCGCCGACCTCTCCTTGCGCAGGGCGACAAAGACGTGAGGTTTGTGGGTGGCTGACGGTGGGTTCGGGATGAGAAATGGAATTGGAGAGATGTGAAATTTGGGGGGGGGACCGTGGGGTTTTCCCCTCCGGTGGCGGGTGCACAGCGCCTGCCGGTTGGCTGGTCCAAATGGCAGGGAAGAGGTAGGAGAGTTGGAAGGGAATGTAAGTCAGCACTCTGTATGGCCTGCACAGAGATCCAGACTGATGTATCTGTTGCGGGTTGCTTCTAACTATCCAATTTAATTAATTATCCATTGACAATGACTAGATGGAGATCAATTGCAAGTGATAGATCCAGAAGACTGACAGATTGATTAATTTGATCGATCGGGGTACTTATCTCCAACGTATCAACACTGTACGGAGAACTCTGGATAGTACCGTACCGTACCAGGGGAGTAGTGGAGCTTTTTTTTTCTTTCTTTTTCTTCCTTTCCCTTCTCTCAGATAACTTGGTTCCCAGTCCGGTGGTTGTAGTGGTTCAACGTGGAGTTCCAAAGGATTCTAGTGAGGTTGGAACTTCGTCAGAAATCATGACATCTACGCAGAAAAGCAAAGAACCAAAGCTCAATTAATATGGGACGCTACAAAAAAAGAAAGGAAAAGATTTAAGCCTAACAGCGATCATCAACGACCGAAAAAATAATGAACCTACCCAGGCTACCTTACGGGCGACCGTTGCATGCCTAAAGCCGGTGCTTTACCATTCCTTGTCGGGTGCTGCTCCCCGGCCAGTGACGAGCCGACAAGGCGGCCTTAGACTGTTTAGGGCCATTCCCGCCCGGCCCTGTTGGCGCCCTCGTCCCACTTGGCGAATCCCTGCCGTCGGGCAGCAGCCGTTCTCCCTTCTCGCTTTTTTTGCTGCCGCCTGCTGCCCTCCTTTTGCTTCTGTCCCTTTCCCCCTTTTTTCTCTCCCAGAGAATCGGGTAGCTATAAGCCATACCGGCTAGAATATCATGGAACAACGATAGAATAACGAAGAGGAGGGAAGAAAAGTTGAGAGAGACAAGTACCGTGGTCCGTTCGCGCAGCCAAGACACGTCTACGTACGTGAACCACCCTCGGTGCCCATAGGGAGGGGCTGGCTGTGGATTGCCACTGGCGATTCGAAAAAGTCTGGAACCCCAGACCAGCCATTACTCAGACTGGCCGGGTATCAGCCCGGTATTTCTCTCGACCAACCTCACCTGCAGCTGTCGACAGGATCCATACCACTTGCCCAGTCTTCCTTTCCGTCGTCCATACAAGCCTGTGCGACACGCTGTACCTTGCATGATTTCTCTCCATCGCATCGCATCTCTCCTGCCGCTCGAATATGCGCGCAAGATCGTCATTGGCCGGATGGACCTGATAACAAACAGTTTCCGTGGCTTGTTGGAGTTTGGAGAAGGGCAAAGTTTATTTGCCCAAAACGTGGCGGTTACCAGTTACCAACCCTTTCGAGGGAAGTGGAGGGCTGGTTAGAAACGTCGATGAACCTAATATTAGCCCTCATGGAATATTCTGCGCTTGTTCTGTGTCCACTCAATGAGGTGACAACCCGGGGAAACGTCATATCCTTGGGCCTCTTTCCCACGGCTCGGCAGATTCTGTCTTCTCTCATGCCCGAGCAATGGGCGCTTAAATTTGGGATGGGATAGCACGGACCAATAGGCTTGAGTTTGTTCTCCAGGAAGCTGCTGGGTGAATATGGTAGTCATATAGTCTGGACTCGGTGGGAAGATGAGGAAGGAGCAGTAGACAATCTCTCTCGCAAGACATCATTCTGGAGACAATTCTTCGTACATGATGAAGGAGGCAACCTACATCTTTATCACTGCGATAAAACCCCGATTCTCATACCGATGCATACTACATTCCATCTGCAAAGAATTGTGCCCGATCTATAGAAAGCACCGCATGTATACTTGGTCCACTACGAGGTGGCGCTAGGACCAAACCAGCCTAGCGGGCATCGACTGATCAACGCCTGAGGAAGTCATCGTCGTCGCTGATCAGCCTTTGCTGCTGTCCTGACAGAGATCCACCCTGATGAGCAAAGGATCGCCCTGGGCATCAAACGGCGAGTCTCGACAAACCGCAACTGGTCGATACCGAACCGACTTCAGGTTCCGTGGTACACGCAACGCATGGACTGCATCCATGGTTATCGACCTTCGGTTCCATTCAGTGCTGCTTCTTCGTCTAATCCAGAAGCATCGGCTATTATGGAGTTCCTGGGGCGCTGGATATCCAGTGAAGAAGTGTAGAAGGACCCTTCTTACCTCAAAGAAGAAAAAAGCAATTTAAATTTGGTTACAAAAGAAACACGAGATTGACCGGGAACCGGGTCCATGCGCGTACATGTATGCACTGTACATCTCACCTAATCGGGCGGACACCGGGGGGCGCCCTTGACAGCAGGAGCTACGATTCTCCGTCACACGATCCGTCACCTCTGACGCCAGATCTACACCAGACACATCCTACCCTGTCTTTCCACCGGGCTTGGGGCAAATCTGCCCTTGGGGTCGAGAACGTCTAGATCCAGCACTCGCATATGCCCCTCGTACTAGGTCCGTCTGCCTGTCGGGATACACCCAGCAGCTCCCCATGCGGACTTCCGCGCTTCGTTTAAAACCACTCAGCTGGTCCGGCTTCCGCTCGTCTGTCCTCCACTGTCGGGTCAGCTTGGGATGCAGGAGCCCCTTGCAGTCGGTCATCTTGTTGCAGATCAGCCAGTGGGAGCTGTAGCCGAGCAGGTATACCTACCCTAGGCACATACATGTATACTTACTGTACTTACGTACGAGGAACGCCTCTTGCGGTATGGGCGCTATAAGCTGAACGTAATCGGAGAGTATGCCATCTGTTGTCCTACTAGGATCTCGTGATTTGGCCTAGGCTTTGACGCGAGGTACAAAACCCAAGCGGAGCTCGTAAATCGACTACGCTACACCACAAAGAACTCTACTCATGGAAAACACAACTTGAAGAGACCAGAAGTTGGATTGCCGAACAGATCGGATATTACCGTACAGATCAACAATACCCATGATCAAATCATGAAGACCGTGCAGAGAAAACCAATAGTTTCGGGATTAAGATGGGTATATAAATTCCTCGAGTTATGAATAAAAGACATTAAACGCCAAAAGAAAATGAAAAAATGATAGGGTGGAACGAGGAAAGTAGTGAGAGGGGGGGAAAGCGAAGAAAAAGGCTTGTGATGCATGAATTCGAGGAAAATGAACGGCAGAACGGGAATTTGACTGCGGAGGTTGACTGAAGAGAAATATTTGGGAACTCAGATTTGTCCCTTGATATCAACAACTTGATGAGCTTTGGTCTTAGCGGCCTCAAAAAGCTGGCTGGCTATTCCCCCGGTGAGCAGCTTCACAGCCCCATCCTTCTCCTGAAGCAATTCTTCAGAAGTGTTGTCAAGAATGAAACGTGCGCTCTGCTCGTCGGACTCGAAGCCAAGCTCTTCAGTAATGAAGCGAATTTTTACATCGGGTTTGTATCTGTTCAATTCAGTGTTAGCAGATCGTAGAAGATTGACCGACCACAGGGCGAAAAACTTACGCTTTACATATGGCGGAAAGTGCCGAAAGGCGCTCTCGATCCACAAACATGTCCATAAGGTAAGCCCCCATGTTGGGGGTATCCAGGTAAAGCTGAAAGAAACGGTGATAATTTCCAAGAGCAAGAGCCGACCGGACGTCCAAGGCATGTTTCACAGCAGGATCCCGCTTGTCTGCTGGGGTTAAATCGGCCAAGGCGTCGTTCATGGCCGTCCAGTTGCGGGTATGGATGAAGTAAAGTATACGATACGCCTTGAATTCCCGAGGATGTCCACCAAGCTGCTGGGTATACAGCGCTCGCAGCTGGGTTTGACATTGATTATACTCACCAAGATCTCCTTTTTCGAGAGCAATCCGGGCATGAATCTCATAAACACTGACAGTAAACTCGTTTCTGATATGCTGGACGGTCAGGTCCTGTCGCAATGATTTGAACTGGTCACATATATAGCCGTAATTGTTGTCTCGTTTCCACTTTTTCTTCAATAGGTCCAGAGTCTTGACCAAGACTTCAAGAGGGCGAACAGTATCGGGATTGGGCGCCGATGTCAGTCGGAAGTAATTCTTCTCTAGGTTTTGACATCTTCCGACGACAGGGCCTTGATCCGGACTCGCGACGGGAGATTCATCGCGAGATGACGATCTGTTGGCGTTCCAGGGGCCCTCGAAACGTTTCTTCCGCAGTTCCAGGTTAGTTTTAGACTTACTAGGGTTTTTATGATCTATGCGTTGTCGTTTGTCTGTTGGAGAATAAGTGACTCGATCTTCAAAATTATTGTGCTTGTTAGTTTGCCTCCAAGGTGGGCAGCTGTCTGCGTTGTCTTGGAATTCGGCCGACTTTCTTTTTCGCGAAACGTCATCGGACTTGTGAGAAGCCAATCTGGAGGCCCCCCATGACGATACACTCGGACTGGCCAGAATCCTATTGCGCTCATTCTGGACCATGACCTGTGGTAGGGGGAGGGAAACCCAGTCGATCTTGTCGAGCATGTTACTCTCCGCTGCGTCGGTAATGACATTCTTTAATTTCGTCTCCATCTCTTCCCTGCTCACGGAAGCAATTGCATTTTCTGGCGTGAAACTTCGCTGTACGTACTGCCGAACAGGTGCCGGCCATTCTACTCGTTTGCGGGGAGCCGAATCGGTATTTGACGAGGGAGTTGACTCAGGTGGCGGGTTGGTTGTTGACGTGGGGGCAAGGCTACGGCGTGCTTGAACCGGAATATAGGCTGGTGTTGCTAGTCCCAAAGTCAGATATCTCGCACTCATAAAAATAAAAGCTCAGGAAAATGGCTTACCATGCCCGGAATATGAAGGTACCGTAGTTGTGGCCGAAGAAGAGGCACGCCATGGCGGGGGACCGGAACTCATTTTGGAGCAAGATCTAAGTCAAGGGGAAGGAAAGGAAAAAGAAGAAAAAGAGAAAAAGGTAGAGAAGACAGAGTGTGGTGAGGAAGGCACGATATGAACTACGGAATGCTTGTTTGAAGGACGAGAGGCCAAAGTGTTAGTCCTACGCCGAGTAGGTTCCACCACGAGATGAGAGACGTAGGAAATAAGTATTCTGGTCAGATCGACAAAGACAGAAGTCCACGTTGAGGTTTGGAGCCAGTCTTGGTGAACGTACAAAGAGAGGTAAGTAGGATAAAGAAGTGAGGTTTGTCTTGAAAGGAGTTTCGCTTAGTGCGCCGCATTTCGTGGCGGAGATTTTGCCTTGGCGTCCCGTGAGGGTCTCTCTACCGCCTGCCGCATCAGCCCACTTACGTCAGCCATGTCAATGGGATTTGCCATTCAATCTCCCCGCATATCGCATGCCCGCTACGCCTGATCTCTCTTCTATCTCTTTTCTTCCCCCCACAGACCTGCCTGGTGGAGAGATGCTAGTTGATCTTACTAGATGTTTTTCAAGCCTTTGGATCTAACTACTGCGCTCCGCCCCTTACTGTTGCCCGATGAGACATTACTCTTTGTTCAGGATGCGGTGGGGCTGTATGAAGGGTGAGTGACCGGTTATTCCTTCATACCGCGGATACTATCAAGAGCTATGCTTTTCTATGGAGATCTCTGGTGGACTGTTCCATTGTCTCTTACATTCCGTTGCCCTTCACGTTATTCCATAATGTTCCATACTGAGCTGACATTGAGCATCTTGACGGGAAAGCAAATACAAGATCCCTAATTACCAGAACGGCCATGCATACCTCACATCCCACAGAGTCTGCTATGTTGCTGTTGAAGATCCACGCAAACACTCAGTTGCCGTTGACTTGAAAGAAATAGACCGAGCAGATTACCAAGTACGCAACAACCTTGCATATGTGTTGTGACCCGAATACCGGCTCACTAGTGATAGGCCGGCTTTCTGAAATCATCTGCAAAGATCACAATATACCCCAAACCACTCAAGAACGGCCTTGACAAATCGAAAGGAGCAGGAGCCAGCCCGTCGCGCTCTCAGCCTTCAAGGTCCCACTCGACTCGGTCGCAATCCCCCCTTCCTCAAGCATCGGGCCCGCAAGTAAAACCACCCTCGTCCCAGCCCGTGAATGCTAGCTGGGTCTGTCCCATATGCTCGTTTTCCAATCCTGTACCCTCTAACTTTGACCCGTCAACTGCGACTACGTCAACTAGTATCCCACCTTGCCTAGCATGCGGTATCAAGCCTCCCTTCACCACCATCCTAAAGGCGGCCATTTCCGCTGTGGCTAGCCGAGAAGGACCCGGGACGAACCATGGTATCCCCCGACTAGGGCACGAGGCCTTGGACCCAAGCAGCAACGCAAGGAGTACAGTGCCGGCTTCACAGGCAGGAATTTCTATCTCATGCCCCAGATGTACTTTCGTAAATCACCCCTCTCTCCTAGAGTGCGAGATTTGCAGTGCTCCACTGGCTACTGCGGGCACATTAAGACCGGCCGGTGGCGATGACAATCGCGCCGAATCACCGGCACCATTCTTCGAGCAGGGAACTATCAAGAACACGGAAATCACCGACTGCATTAAATTGTCCTTCCGAGGTGGTGGTGAGAAGACTTTTCATGAACGGTTGAAGGGAGCCTTGATTCAACGAAAATGGCTTTTGTATGATGCTCCGCCAGTGCCTCAGCAGCCTGCACGATCGACACCATCCCCTGGATTGACCGTGTCAGCCCCTGTGGATGGAATCGTTCCCGTGCAAACTCGTTCACCCGCCGTAGGGATTGCAGGGCTTGAACAACGAGGGCTCGAGGCCCGTAGGAACAACGAAATGGTCATTGGGAATGCATTTGAGGACCTCGAAGCCCTCATGGCATCTGCAAAACAGATTGTCGCACTTGCAGAGACACTTGCAAGGGAGTCTGGGATGTCCAATGATGAAAATTCCTTGGAGGCTAGTACTGTACTTTCGGAGTCAGCTGCGGCACTGGGCATGATAACAACAAAAGACATGCTCGGTTCTGGCGCCGAGAATCTCTACTTGTCGGAGCTATCCCGGAACCTTGCTGAATACCTGACCGACGACCGCAAAGGAATTTTACAACGAGAAGGGGGTATTATTAGTCTCATTGATCTCTGGGCCATCTTCAACCGATCTCGAAATGGAGTGGAGCTGGTCAGTCCTTCTGACTTCCAGAGAGCTGCAGAGTTGTGGGAAAAGTTGAAACTACCTGTTCGCCTGCGTCGGTTCAAGAGCGGTCTACTCGTCGTTCAAAGGTATGATTGGAGTGACGAGAAGACTATTCGACAGCTGCAAGAATGGATGGTAGAGCTTCGGCAGATCCCTCCTTTGGAACCCGTGGCCTGGGATTGGCATCTATTTGGACGCGCAGTCACTGCACAGGAGGCCGCACAAAGATTCCAGTGGAGTGTCGGGGTTGCCGCCGAGGAACTTGAAATGGCCGAGGATAAAGGCGTTCTATGCAGAGAAGAAGGCATTGAAGGGCTAAGGTTCTGGAGCAACTACATCACGTCGGATCCAGTCTCACAGAGCCTTGACGATTTAGGAGTTTCTGGTCTTGTTCTCTAAGGCAATAGACATTACACTGTATTTATGACTGGGCAAATAGAGCAAAATCCTGTTATCTGCACCAGGATCGGTTACGCTACATAGTTCGAAGTAACTATAGTATAGCCATTCGAAAAGTTGTCTGAGGTAAGCCTGTCTCTCGGGCTCGTCGGACTAACCCATTCGGGCTAGCTGTGGATAAGCTTGGAGACCCACATTCAGATGACCCCGCAAATGACCAGTAGGAGCTGCCTCCGCTCTCCGCCTGGAGAGGAGAGGGAATGCCTTATCTCCTTCTCATTGACCTCTGTCCAACTGCCAGCCTGCTGCATCCCTCGAAGACTGATCATCTGTACCCCGATACCGTTCCTGTTCGGAACTGAGATTGTGCTCGCCTTTACTTATCACTCAGGCCAGTGATGTGATCGGCCCAATCCCAGACCGTCCAAAACCGGTCAATGACTTATCGCCCCCCCTTCGTTTGCTTGTTAACAACTTAGTCGAATCTCCTCATCATTTTAACCGCCCTAAATTATCTCACAATGATAACGAACGTAAAAACCCCGATATTTCCCGCGATCATATCAAGGAGCGACCGGAAGGGTCTATATCCTACCGCCAGGCGCCTGAAGACATCCGTCCAAACCCGCAAGTTATGGAGAGAGGCCAGCCAGACGCAAGACAGTTACAAAAACCGTGGGCAGAAACGAATGAAAATCTATCGACGCCTTGATTTGGTTAGGTTGTTGGGAAAGCCTTCTCGCCCGTGGCCGGCACAGATCTATAATTGTCATCATCGATGGTGGTACTGGGGGAAAACCTGGGAACGACCAAAGCCCACCATTATCCCTGAGCACCACCAAGGAGATTATCCCCCAAAAATCTTTCGGGGTGATCAGGGAGCACATATACAGAAAAGGATAGCACAGCTCAAAAAGGAAATCGAGACCGATCCTTATGGTGCATTGTTTGGAAGAAGACTTGAACCATTCAGTGCACTGCACAAATTTGAAGATACTTGTGCAACCCTATATCGCTCATTATTTGGTCTCGACAAATTCGAAGAGACCGGGTCAACGGACACAACGGCACGTTCAAACCCATCCAAGAATAATCCTACAGAGAGTCGGCAGAGAAAAGGACCATCGCATGGAGAACCCGGAACTGGAGGCATTGCAGATACCCCCCACAAAACGAATACCAGTCGATATGAATTTGACCCCATTAGTGGTCGAATGGTACCCAAAAAACACAAAATGACTGATTCAAGTACCGGGCAAAGAGCCGCCGGTGGGAGAGGATCAGCAAAAAGATCTTCCAAGGACCCTGAAACACATAGGAAGGGCACTGGTTATTTGTCTTCCATAAGCCGGACAGACATTAAGTCTAAAGCTGCACCAGAGGGGATTGCCGACTTCGGTAGTTCAGACAGCGCCCCACGGAAACCACTGATGGAAAAGGATCCCAGGGGTCAAGCCAGAACAGAAGAAACCTCCGTGCCTTCCAGTGAAACGAACGACAGGCTATCTGAGCCTCCATCGGAAGGTAAATGGATAGGTAACCCGATGAAAACGTCAGAAAATGAATTGGGTGATCACGGATCCTCTACTGAGGTGTTTTCCGATACAGTTCATGCTAAGAAGGCCGAGCATGAATCCCCTGGGCCCTCAAATGCCGCTTCTCAGCATGATTTGTCGCCTAAGGACTCCAAGTGTAATAACCCACAGTACTTAGAAGCTGACATCAAGGATACAGAGGAGAAGGCGGAGGACCTGGACCTCTTACAAGCTAGTGACATCCGTTCTCGCTATGATTCTAGGAAGCTCGACAGGAACCTCAACATGCAAGATCAAACGGGAAAGGAATCGAGTGAGGTGTCAAACTTATCTGCGGATCTGACAAGCGATCTCTGTGCTCATGATGCCTGCAAACGATCCGAAACCCATGAGCTGGACAAGCATCTGCACACAGAAGCCTCGAAACCGAGTACCCCAAGTCAAGAAGCTTCAAAGGATATTATAGGGCCTCAAACCTCCGCGCAAATCGATCCCACGCAATCGTCTTCCTTAAAAGATCCTCAATTCCCTGAAACATACCGAGTCTTAGCTTACGACCACTCTACCCTCCAAATAACACATGCAGAGGCGAGCACCTCTCTGCATCGAATGAACGAATCACGCCATCCTAGCGAAATTCTCTCACAGTTAGACAACCCGGCAAAGTTCTTACCGTGCTTCGAGAGAATGCACGCTGACGGCTACGAAATTACATCGGGTGGCGGGGATATACTGGTGTTCAGAAAATTATCTGGAAAGCCAGACTGTACTGGGTCTGCTCTTGGGCAACTGGCAAGTGAGGCACAAGAAATAAAAGCACAACTGAGAAACGAGCCCCTGCTTAAAGAGGAGCCCATCAAAGAGCCGAAATCGGTCTCTGAACAACACCCAAGGTTTCGTACTAAAGATGCCGGCTCTGCCGACTTGCCAGGGTCATCTGCGTCGAATGGAGGATTCACACGGAGGGACAAAGCCAATTCCTCTAAAAGCGAATCCACAATCGGCAGTGCTGCTCGCAGAATGCTCATCAGTGGTGCAGCAACGGCAGCAACGTGCTACGCTATTGGTGTTGTGGTTGAATACTTTCGCACCGGTGGCGAAGACGGATTGGGCATTGATGCATTTACCGAATTTGAGTCTGAGAGGCGTCGGAGGGATAAGGAACAGTCTGTCTAGCTTTTCTACCGAAGACTGTACTCTTTTCTTGACCCAGTGCAGGACCTGTTCCAATGATATATTCTCCTCTCTCGTCGAGTAGTTCAGAATGGTCTCTTCACTATTCGCTATTCTCTCGTACTGGTTATGCCCCAGAGTAAACAGCTTTCTTTCTCAGTAAATTCCTTGTACTTCTCCAGTAATCATTGCTAATCGTGCACTATCCAATGACCGGTCGGTATCGGACGAGCGATTAATGTGAACGCTATTGTTGACCATCGCAAATCACATCATCATCATCATTCTTTTCGCGTTCTTCATCGAACTTATCTTCCCAGACCCATTCCCACCAAGCTTGACGAGAATCTTCGAAGCCTCGGATTCGGTCACTGGAAGAAGACCGCATAGTGTCTCGAGTTCGGGCCCGTTCTTGGTCTTTCTCAGCCCTCTGCCTCTCCAGCTCAGCCAACTCTTTCTCCTTTTCGGCGACATCCTTATCTTCCTTTGCAGCTTGGATCTCGCCTTTCTCGTCTTCCGAGTTGGGCTCATCATCCTCATCGTATGGAAAACGCCGGAATGCATGCTGAAGAATACCGCAACGAGCTTGTCCACTCATCAGGTACATGGTCAAACCAACGATCAACCTCACTGCAGCCTGAAACTCAGACTTGATCCACAAATCATACTCGTGACTTCCTAGAATCCGAAACACGCGGAAATCACGCTCCCCGTCCGCATTTGACAGCTTATGCCATTCAATCCGTTCAAAAAATCGCTCTACGTTTTGCTTAGAGTAGAACCGTTCACTTTGATTCTTGGTGAAAAGCTTTGTCGAATCCGTATGGGGCGGAGAAGGGTTATATCTACCGCTCCAGATTCTGGAGGTTTTGTAGCCCGGGAATATGGCACGCAAGATGTGCAACCGAGACCCATGCAGACCGACCAGGAAGACCTCTTGGTCGGGGAGTTTGTCACCGGGTGGATGCAATTTATGGATATGAAGTAGCAGATTTGTTAAAAGAAGTTTGAACTTTCCTTCCAGGGCCGACTCGAGGGACTGCTTTGCGTGAGTTGTCTGCACAGCCGGGAAACGTCAGTCAATCAACCTCACAGGCGGACACTGGGAGATTCTGATGATATAGGGGCTCTTACCGTTGAAATTGGTACAATCGACTTATTGGATACACCGGGTGGATGTGTGTCGACGCAAACCCATCCAGCTGTAAGCGGGGCATCCTGATGCTTCTGACGATAGCCGGTCCAGTATTCCATATGGCAATTCAACAATCTCGCGCTAGCAGATGTCAGCACACAAACATTATCTGTTGGGGAAAGTCGAGCTAGGTCACCGGAGGAAGAAGTAAGTGAGATGACTGTCCATCTCTCGCTTGATATCCAGCAACTTCAGAACCTCTTCAAGAAGAGCGTAGACTACCTGACCCTGTGCTCTGGCCGCGTCCTCAAATATGTATTTGCGGCTGTAGCCTTCGATGCTGCGATCTCCATTCTGGTACAAGCCCTTCTTGAATTGGGGCACCTTCTTGAGCATCCTAAACACTCCGCGGAAACGGACGTCGACTTTGGACCACTTGCCCAGGTTCACCTGGCGAGCATCTTCCACGCCTCGTAAAATCCAAGGAGTACGCTGCACGACGGCTTCAAAACAGTCAGCAATTTCTTTCGTTCAAAACTTTCAATAGTTGTGAGGAGGGGATGAGAGTGAGCAGGGGAATCAACGCACAGGATCGGTCAGCCTTTTGAAGATACTTTGCTGGGATGATGTCTTCCTGAGGGCTGTTCAGAAGCACTTTAGCCTTTAACCCATGGACTTCAATGTCAATGGGTACGCTTTTTGCCACAAAAGCAGAGACATCCGGACTTCTCTTCATAAGTAGAGGGCAACGGGAGGGACTTCTGGGCTCGGGATCCATTTTTCACGGTCGCGAGCGAGGTGTGCAAAAAAGAGGTGTAGGTGACGAGAGAGGAAGAGAGGAGGAGTGAGAGGGAAGTCAAAGGTAATGGGTTAATGGCTTTGTCCGATGCTAGTGGCATTGAGCCTTCAATTGCTTTCAGGGTGAATATAAAGGAAGAAGCCGGGTTATGAGGTGTAGAAGTGTTTCCACGAGATTCTATTTCTCAACTGCCATAATAATAGCAATTGATTCAATCGGTGTTTGCTATTGAGTTAAATGGTCAAAAGGTACTACTTGTTTTACTGCTGTAAACCTCCACGTTTCATGTCGAGGCGAGCCCAGGTCAATTTGCCTGAATCTCTTTTCAATTTAAGTATGCTCTCTAGGCCTAATCCAAGCATCAGTTGCACATTCATCTCAGAAGCCAATAATCAACTGTAATAGAGATTCTTATCAGAACAATTCCCCAACAATCGAGTTTTGAGGATTTTGCTCAACTCTATACAGATATTTTATATATTGAAATCAACCATGGTTCAACCGGGGCTTAGCACCAAATTTAGCATTGCAGGCTGACACATGAGTGTGGGTAACAGTTATAAAACCTGCAATATAAACAATATTACCTTCTGTCATCTGGAATTGAGGAATGTTCAATGCTCACCTGATTGGGGGTCAGGTGCAGCCGGTTCTTAATTAGGCTTAGTGTACCTCCACAACCCATTAACAGCGGGCCGTCGGTTTATCTACTGCTTCCTTCATCTTCATTATTCTTGTCCCCAATCTTTGATGGCCATTCAACTACCAAGCTGAACGACCAGATCCAGTGTTTATTCTCATTTTAGATTCTGCGACATGGAAAGCAACCGGCACAAGCGGACTAGGGCCGGGGCTTGTGCCACTTGCCGGTGAATACCCACTTCCCCGACCCCTCGCCATGAATGCTTTGAGGCAACCGTGAGAATACTGAAAGGCTATCGGTTAAATATAGTGTTCGAAAACGGCGGTGCGTCCCTGCAGACAGGGGAGCTACCTGCCGGCTATGCCAATCGCTTTTGATCCCTTGTAGCCTCAATTCCGGGTCTAGCATACGCCTTCCACCCCAAAATGGCCTCGTAGGCCCCTCTAAAGTCGCAGCAAGATTGCCCAATGAGGACCGATTACAGAACGAGGGGGATCAGGGCCATGTCTACTTAACTTTTCAACAAGAGCCATCTTTTCTCAGAATCTTAGCTTCGCGTGGATTGTTCTGCGAATTGGTTCCGCTTTACTTCCGTTTCATCCACAATATTGCGCATACAATGTTCCATGTGCCTAGTTTTATGCGTCGACTGAACGAAGGCAAAGCGTCTATGGTGCACGTCTACGCAATGTGTGCTCTTGCTGCCAGGTACGCTTTCAACTGGCCGGAATAAAACTTTCTGCTTCTTGATAATAACACTGATCGAACAGATATTCCAACAATCCGATCTTTGATGGCATTGCTCCTTGCTTTCGTGGGAAGGTTTTTGCTTCGGAAGCCGTGCGGCTCTGTCAGCAACACATCGCCTCTCCTAGTTTGGAAACCGTTCAAGGTTTCATTCTAATCTCATATTTCTTTGCGGGAGAGGGAGAAGTACAGGCGAAACACATTTATGTTGGGCTTGCTCGACTGCACGCAGAAGCTCTCCCAATTCCCAACATTTCCAATAATTCGAATGTGGTATACGAGGAAGAATACCGTCGGACCTGGCTTTCGGTCCATATTGCCAACCATTGGTCTGCTTCCGATATGTCCATCGAGCCAATGGGCTTTGAGAGTGGCCCACAGTTTCCCCCAGCAATAGACGACGTATCGTTTCATATGCCATGTCCACAGCCTTCGGGTGAAGGTTATATCTCAACAACCCCCCGTCGAGACATGTGGGCCCAGATGGCGAAAACGCTCAATATTTTTACCGAGATAAACAGATTACTGCGGAAACTCAGTCGAGGTGCTATTTCCTTCGATGACTACTGTACCCAGGCCGCTGTTTTGGAAGGACGCCTTGATCAATGGGCAGCCAATCTACCATCAGACCTGCGTTATAACCTAACCAATATCATACTCTTCGTCGACCAACAACTTGGCAGAACATTCCTGTCCATGCATATTGGCTACCATCATTTTCAACAAATGCTTTCATTCCCATTCTTAGATGCACGAGCGGCCCGAAATACTACAGAAAGTGCCGTACGGCATGGAGCTGTGAAATGCAAGCATAGTGCCGAGTTAGTATCTGAGATCTTAAGAAATTCTACCGAGATCAAGAACTGCGAGCTCGACTATTTCATCTACGGTCATATCGCCGTTGTTAGCTCTTGCGTTCATCTCCATACTCTACTGTTTGGTAGTATCCCTCTTGAACTTGATATGGCACGACAGCGGCTGCTCTTGAACTTTCAGTACCTAATGAGTCTCAAATCATACTGGCCTGTTGTTCAGTACTCGGTAAGTTCCCCTCTTCTCCCATTCATCGGAGAAACAGTCCCTCCACCCAGAAAGCTCCTGACTGTACAGTCACAGGTTACTCGCCTACAAACATTCCAAAATTTATGCAGGGACTCTGTTTCGGATCCTTTTGCCATGGATAATTGGATGGCTCGCTTCTTGACCGAGCATTCCTCAGTTCTTTCAGAGCGGCAGCTAATTGTACCGTATTCTTCTGATCTCCAAATTCATCCATCAATTGGTCACATCGCCGATTATAGGGCCATTGGTCCCGCGATAATGCCATCGTCCTAAAGGCTCGAATTTTCTACATGACTGCGCCGCTCAAGCTAGTTCCAGGCCCAACCCTACGTTGTAGGACATTGATACAATCGCAAGTTACTTGACCGATCAAATTCAACTCGCAGATTACTATAATACAAGACATTTGGTTACTTATTGGAGAGAAAATAACTTCAACAAAAGAAACGATAGCGCTACAGGAAAGCAGTCGAAACTGACGCATTTCACAGCAATATCAAGCCAAGAAGGAGGGCCTATATCTTTTAGTTCTTCTCTCTTTCTCCTTTCCAAACCCCAATTTCCAATGGGAGAAGTCGTGGCTCTCATCCGAAAATTAGACAACTCTTTCTACATGAGAAGACCTGGGATCACTCGTCTCCAAGGTAGCCTGCTTCTTGGAGGCTTCTTTGTCGTCCGGGTCATCGATTTGCTTCGGAGGATCCGTTGCGAGAGTATCTCCAAATAACTCGGCGACTTCTTCCAATGTCTTGCCACCGGTTTCCGGGAGCAGAAAGAAGTACACAAAGGCAGCCACAAAGTTGGTGGCAATGAATAGCGCGTAATATCTCCAGCTGACATTTTGCATGGCAGTCGGCGTGATCTGTGATAGAATGATGGCTGATACTGATTTGCAGAACACCGCCAATCCCATTCCGGTCGACCGAAGGAAAAACGGGAAAAGCTCGGAAGGTACCACCCAGATGGTTGCGTTGAAAAACACAGCATACCCACAGGAGTACAGGAAAATCATAGCGATTGCCGCGCGTGCACCGTTGAGGTTGTCACTGCTTTGGTCACCGTACCTGGCAGACAAAGCCATACAAATAGCAATCATCACGCACAGAAAGATCGAGCCAACCCACAGCGTGCGTGTGCGAGGCCATTTATCGGCAGCGAAGAAGAGATAGATGACCTGACCAAGGACACCCATGATGCCATAGATACCACTGATCAAGAGCGAGGTCTTTCCAGTGAAACCGACTGTTGCATAGAAAGTGCTTTGATAGTTTTGAATGACGGAGGAACCGCTGAACTGGCCCATGATGAGGATGAAGCAGGCCATCAGGGTGCGGTGCAAATAACGAGGCGAGAAAAGGCTTGTGATGGCTGATCTGAAGCTTGTCCCTTGTTCGGCCTCCGCTTGTATCTGCTCTCGGATTTGAGCGAGTTCTCGAGAGACCGGATCTTCGCCGTCCTCAGAGACATACAGCTTTTCTAAGACTGCGCGCGCTTCTTCGTAACGTTCCTGCTGGACCACTTCGGTTATATCAGTATTAGGTGGTCTGAGATCTCATAACAGAGAACACTTACGCCAGCGTGGGCTATACGGAATAAAGCAGCACCCGACAGTCAAGGCCATGGGACCAGGAATTTGCATGGCCAAGGGAATACGCCATTGTGCATCGTCTTTGGCATATGCACCTCCATAGCCGACCCAATTGGCTATGAAGAAACCAATCGCAATCATAAACCCCTGCAGACCAACGATCATTCCACGTTGCTGAGGAGGAGACACTTCAGCGATATAGACTGGTACAACCGCCAAGAGGATTCCACAGCCTACTCCCGCGAGGAACCTTCCTGCGATCATCATCCCGGCGTTGACGGCGGCAGTCTGCAGAATAGCACCGACGATTGCTATACAAATGCATTCAGTGAGCAAGACGTCCATGCCTGAAGAAGGAAATGTTGAACATACCAATCACTGCACTAGCACAAATGGTCCATCTTCTACTGAACTTGTTGGCTGAATAGCCTGCGGCAAAGGTGCCGATGGCCTGGCCAACATTGTATAGCGACACGATGGCACCTATTGCATGAATGAGCCGCTGGGCGCGTCCTATCAGGTAACTAGCAATATCATATGACTCACCCTCCAAAGCAGCATTCTTTCCGCTGGGACCGAACATGGAGTATTTGAACGTGTCATGGCCTAATGTGGTTGCAATAATTCCTGTGGCAAGTCAGCCTGGCATGAAAGAGGCCGAAGCCGAATCACTCGAACCTGAATCCATGCCATATACAAACCCTCCCAAAGCTACCACCAAAGCAATCACCACGACATAACGCGAAACCATTGTGCAGATAGGGACAGCGTGTATTCGTCGATTGGCACTCTCGCACCCTGGAGACCCTTGATCGTCCTGATTATACCGGCGTGCAGGGCGTATTTATAGCGCTGATGATGAGTATCCGGTCTATCAACAACCCGAAACATGGAAGAGCCGACAAGCAGACCCGGAGACTCTTGCACCACCGGGGAGGACTAGATTAGGGCTCAATAACCATGCCAATCCCCGCATCCCCCCACAAAATGCGACGAAGCCAAGACAGAGCGAGCTTAGCGTCTGCCGGTATGGCTCCGAACCACTCGTCAGACAGGCGGCGTTTATCCAATCAGAGCCCGAAAACGCCGCTGCTTGATCTCGGTTAATCCAATGAAAGCCACTGCCAAGGGCCCACAGGCACCTGGACGCGAGACAGCAAAACGTGGAGAGACACGCAGCTTCAAGAAAGGAGCCATACGCGATCCTCAGTCATGAACCAATCGAAGAATTTCTTCTCGGGGCTTCGTGGGAATACTGTGCGAGTGGGGTTACCCCTCCGCTTCCTATAAAGGGCCACGCACTCAGGACGAAGGGTAGTTATGGAAAAGCTGAAGCCATACCGGCTTTCTGTTCTCTACATCTGTTTCATACAAAGGACCCCCAACACATCATGGCTGGGCAACCTAGGGTTGCACCGCCATCCGTCGAGCAACATCCCACTGGCTTTGGGATCGGAACAGGAGCCCCGCGATTGTCCTGGCGATTCCTCAATACACCCGATGACTGTCCGCGAGGATGGGAACAAACTGCATACGAAATCCAAGTCCTCCGCTCCCCCTCATCCGCCGAAGAGACATACTACGTGACAAGTGATGCATCGGTGCTCGTGCCTTGGCCAAGCGTGCCATTGAAGTCACGAGAAAGAGCTCAGGTTCGTGTTAGAGCCTACGGCCGCGGTACGGGGCAGTCCGAGCCTGAACCCACGAGCTGGTCTCCCTGGACAACGGTTGAAGCTGCGCTGCTTTCCAAGCCCGACTGGAAGTGCCTTCCGATTGCTAGTTCAGTGAAGGAGGCGAACGACGGCCCTTTACGTCCAGTGCGGTTTCGCAAATCGTTTACGCTGTCCGGGAACGAAGATGTCGGAAAAGCTCGTTTGTACATTACAAGTCTCGGGGTCTATACAGCATTCATCAACGGGCATGCTGTGGGAGATCAATGCCTGGCTCCCGGCTGGACAAGCTACAATCATCGCCTGAACTATCAGATATTCGACGTCGCGCCCCTCCTCAACCCCAACGGCCATAACACCATTGCAGTAGAAGTCGGCGAGGGTTGGTATGCGACCCGCCTGGGGTTCCGCAACGGGCGAAGCAAACTCTACGGAGATCGACTTGCCGTTCTTGCCCAACTCGAGGTTCAGTCAGAAGCGACCGAGGCGATGTTCTCACTGGCCACCGACAATACTTGGTCTTGTACCCCGAGCGCCATTGTTAGGAGTGAACTATACGACGGCGAACTGTACGATGCCCGGAAAGAAGATCCTCATTGGAAAGTCGACTCCCCTGAAAAGACCAGTACATCTTCCTGGTCTTTTGTAGAGGAGTTAGCCTTCCCTACTGCAACTCTGGTGGCACCAGACGCGCCACCTGTTCGAGTGACGGAGAAGATCAAGGCAGTCTCCACCCACCAAACCCCGTCGGGGAAGGTCGTCGTTGATTTCGGTCAAAACCTTGTTGGACGACTCCAAATCCGATCATTGAATCTACCAGAAGGGGCCAAGGTGACATTCACGCACGCCGAAGTCCTAGAAAACGGGGAGCTTGGGATTCGGCCTCTGCGAAACGCAAAATGCACCGACGAGGTCATCTCTTCTGGGAGCGAACTCACAGATTGGACCCCGCAATACACCTTCCATGGGTTTCGATATGTCCAGGTCGATGGATGGCCAAAGGACCAAGACTTGCTCGCCAATCTGATCGCTTTGGTAATGCACACCGACATGACCCGGACTGGCTGGTTCTCATGCTCGCATCCCATGGTCAACCAGCTTCATACCAATGCATGGTGGAGCATGCGCGGCAACTTCCTGTCCATCCCTACGGATTGCCCTCAGCGTGACGAGCGTCTCGGGTGGACGGGCGATATCCAGATCTTTGGCCCTTCCGCTAACTTCCTCTACAACACAGCCGGCATGTTAGGGGGCTGGCTGGAGGACGTAGCGGCGGAGCAGCTGAAAGAAAAGGATGGTTGCGTTCCTCCGTTCGTGGTCCCGAATATTATCAGCGAGAAACTATGGCCACATCTTCCTCAAGCCATCTGGGACGACGTGGTTGTTTTGTCTCCGTGGGATCTCTATCGCTCGTACGGGGACATAGACATCCTCCGCCGGCAATACGCTAGCATGCTGGCCTGGGTCGACCGGGGTATTCAACGGGGCCCCGATGGGCTTTGGGACCCCGAACTTTGGCAGTTGGGAGACTGGCTGGACCCGACCGCACCTCCGGTCGAGCCAGGCGATGCTCGGACAAATGGGACATTGGTCGCTGATGCCTACCTGGTACATGTCACTGACACAATCTCCAAGATCAGTGAAATCCTCGGTGAAACAGCAGACAGCGCCCGGTACAAGGCAGACTACCAGCAACTGAAAGCCAAATTCCAAGCAAAATATATTGCACCCTCTGGTCTTCTGGTGGGAGACACACAAACGGCGCTGAGTCTGGCGATAATGTTTGATCTTCTCCCCACTGCCGAACAAACCGCGACTGCTGCCTCTCGCCTGGTGAGTCTGGTCCGGTTAGCGAAGTTCAGAGTGGCGACCGGGTTTGCAGGAACCCCGATTATCGCGCACGCCCTGACGAAAACTGGCCACCACCAGGTTGCGTATCGCATGCTGCAGGAGAAAAACCGCCCCTCGTGGATGTATCCCATTACCATGGGCGCGACAACTGTTTGGGAACGATGGGACAGTATGCTCCCAGACGGGTCTATCAACCCAGGGGAAATGACGAGTTTCAATCATTACGCCTTGGGATCCATCATCAACTGGCTTCATTCCAGCGTGGCAGGCGTGAGTCCCATGTCCCCTGGATGGAAAACAGTCAAAGTCAACCCGATCCCCGGCGGCACGATCGAATCCGCTGAAGCCAAGTACGATACCCCCTATGGACGACTAGAGTGCCGGTGGGCCGTTCAATCCGCCGAGGATCGGTTCGAGCTAGAACTGCTGGTACCTCCCAATTCCCGCGCCTGGGTCATCTTGCCGAGCGAAGAGACTTTGAGAAAGGGCACAAAACAGCTTGACGACAATGACGGTACTTGGGTTGGCTCTGGGCATCACAAATTCTCGCATCCATGGAAATGGAGTAGCTATCGCAGTAATTGGCCCCCAAAGCCGATTATTCCGATTATGCGAAAGCCGGAGCCAGAGAACATTGCCTGATCGGACGGCAGGGTCCATGAATTGGGGACTCTTTGGTTTGAGGAGAAGACTACGGAACAGTGATGATACGAGGTACCGAATGGTTCATCTCGTTAGAGTCAATAATGATAGTTCTTGTTTTTATTCTAGAGAGCCCGTGGCTACCGTAATAGCTCAAGATTGTCCTGTATGCGTCCATAGAGTGAGACAGACTTGAGAATCGAAGAGTCGTACATTAGTCAGAAGTACTCTGTAATTTCAAGAATTGACCTTACCAAAGCTGCTGTTTACGTGCCCTGGCGAGACAATGAGCAAATGACGTCATCTATCCAAACCGGGCTCCACGTCGCAACGTCATTTCCGCGTGCGATCAAAGAGACACCGACGAGCGGAAAGTATTTCCAAGCAAGCCCCTGGCTTCGAAGTCGAGACCGACGTGTGCTTACCAATGTTTAGAATCTCCTTTCGCACGATTGGCTCTCGGGCAAGGCCGCGAACTTCTCGAAGGGCTTGGTGCTCCGAAGAGGTCTCAACTCTCAAGCAACCTGACAAAGAGTGGGTCTGATCGACAGACCCAGACAAACCGGTCTGGGTGTTCATTGCCCAGTCTACCGGTGACATGATCAAGTGGATTGAGAACAGGTGCATCATGATCCGTGGGCTTTGGGATGGTTGCCACTTGTTACTGGATGATCGCCCAATGGTAATCGGACAGTTGCATCATTGTCTTGATGCTGGCATGCTCGTTCCAAGGATGTTTCCAGTGTACCTGGAGAGAACTATTGTGGAGTTGACTCCCCAAACTGGTTAGCATTTCCCATTCTTCGGTCCATGATAGTTCCAGGTAGTATATAACTTGGATTCGATTGCCCCAGCTTCGAGATGGTCGCTCCTAACTCTCATTTCACATTGAATTCTTCCATTATGTCTACTAAGCAAGGCGATCTTGAGCGGGACACCGTTGAGCTCTCGGGTGCTCAGCATATGACGACGGATTTTGGTGTGAAGATTTCTGATCCCGATCACTGGCTGCGCGTGGGTGATGCAAAGCACAATGGCCCGCCTTTGTTGGAGGATTCGCTCGCTCGAGAGAAGGTAAAGTTTTCTCTAATCCCCATCGATATCACCAGCTGCTCGTACTAAGAACCCTGGCGATTAGATCATGCGTTTCGATCATGAGCGCATTCCCGAAAGAGTTGTCCATGCCCGTGGAGTCGGCGCTTTTGGTACTTTTCGAATGAAGAAATGCATCAGCGACCTCACCACCGCCGGAGTCCTCACCGACACATCGCGAGAGACGCCTGTCTTCACACGTTTCTCCACCGTCCAGGGCAGCAAAGGCAGTGCCGATACCGTTCGAGATGTGCGTGGGTTTGCTGTCAAGATGTACACGTCCGAGGGAAACTGGGACATTGTCGGCAACAACATCCCGGTCTTTTTCATTCAGGACGCGATCAAGTTCCCAGATATTGTTCACGCAGTTAAGCCAGAGCCCCATAACGAGATCCCCCAGGGCCAAAGCGCGCATAACAACTTCTGGGACTTTTCGTACATGCATTCGGAGACAACTCATATGCAGCAATGGGTACGTATCTGCTCTCTGATGTTAATAATAATCTCTGTCTTTTGTCTAACCTGCATAGATCATGTCCGACCGCGCCATCCCCCGCTCTCTTCGGATGATGCAGGGCTTCGGTGTGAATACCTATTCGCTTGTAAACGCTGAAGGCAAGCGCCATTTCGTCAAGTTCCATTGGACCCCTGAATTGGGAGTCCACTCCTTGGTTTGGGATGAGGCGCTCAAAATCGCTGGGCAGGACCCCGATTTCCATAGGAAAGACCTCATGGACGCGATTGATGCAGGCCAGTTTCCCAAGTGGAAATTTGGTATCCAGGTGATTCCCCAGGAGAACAAGGACGACTTTGAATTCGACATCGAGGACGCCACGAAGATTTGGCCGGAGGAGCTGGTGCCTATCCAGTACGTCGGAGAATTGGAACTGAACCGAAACGTGGACGAGTATTTCCCGCAGACAGAGCAGGTTGCTTTCTGTACTAGTCACATAGTTCCTGGGATTGATTTCTCAAACGATCCCCTCCTCATTGGGCGCAACTTCTCCTATTTTGACACCCAAATCTCGCGCCTGGGTCCCAACTGGCAAGAACTGCCAATCAACCGGCCAGTGTGTCCCTATATGAGCTTGGTCAACAGGGATGGTGCAATGAAGCACCGCATCACCAAAGGCAAGGTGAATTACTGGCCAAACCGGTACGAGACCAATCCCCCCGCCTCCCCATCACAGCGTGGCTTCGCCACTTATCCCGAGAAGCAAGAAGGCGTCAAGGCCCGCCAGCTTTCGGACAAGTTCAAGGAGCATTACAACCAGGCCCAGCTTTTCTTCAACTCTCTGTCGCCCATTGAGAAGATGCACGTCGCCAAGGCCTTTTCCTTTGAACTCGACCACTGTGACGAGGAAGTTGTCTACAAGCGTTTGTCGGAGCGTCTTGCCGTCGTCGACCTCAATCTCGCGCAGACCGTGGCAAAGAATGTGGGCGGCGACACACCGACCAAGGCCACGAAGGCAAACAATGGTCAGACTTCGAAGGGGTTGAGTCAATTCGACTATCTCTCCAACGGTCCCCAAATCGCCACGCGTCGTGTGGCAATCCTCATCATGGATGGCTTCGACCACGCTGCGTACACGCAGATGAAAGAGACCCTCCAGGAGCACAACGCATTTGTCTTCACCATTGGTTCGCAGCGTCAGGGTGTCACGGCCGAATCAGGCGAGAAAGTCATCCCCGATCACCACTTCCCCGGCATGCGGTCGACTCTATTCGATGCGGTCTTCATCCCTGGTGGAAAACACGTTGGTGCGCTGGCTAAGAACGGCATTGCCAAATACTGGATAACCGAGTCCTTTGCTCATCTCAAGCCCGTTGCCGGTATCAACGAGGCAGTTGGTTTCATCCAACGGCAGATCAACTTGGATGCGGTCAAGCACGCTTCGTCGGCTGGCCAAACCGTGGAAAGCTATGGCGTGGTGACGGGACAAGGAAACCCAGCAGAGCTTTTGAAATCGTCATCCACAATCGGGCCTGACAGTCAAGGGTTTGTCGATCGATTCATCTGGCAGATTTCCCGGCACAGGAACTGGCAAAGAGAGTTGGACGGATTGATTGATGAGGTGGCTGCTTGATTATGACAATGATTAGATGAATATGTATATAGAGCGTGATAGTTTGCAAGATGACATGATCATCCGTTTATTCCCTAGAACTCCGAAAATACTGCTGCATGTGATGTGCAACCCCAACCATGGTTACTTCTGGGCGTTGTGCTCAACCTGTAATCTTAATCATGTTAACGCCTTCAGCGTGCTCGGAGATGATGGAACTTAACCGCAAGCAAGCTGCATTCAAAACTGACCTGGAGACAGTTCCTTTTCATTTCGGCCTCGGTCTTTTGTGGTAAATAGGATTTGTTCCCTGTTGGCTCCTTGCTTAAGGGATTTCCAGATTGTTCACATTCCAGTCGAGTTCCACCACGCCCGACCGCTCAGGCCTCAACAAACAAAGCTCGAAAGGGGCTGGGCGAGAATAAAATAATTCAGTTTTTTCTTGATTAAAAATAAAGGAAAAGGAAAGGCCGAAAACTCTGCTGAATTCCGGAGATTGACGAAATCCTAAGTGAAGGGCTCGACTCCGGTTCTCTCCATCTCTTGTCAAACCACATGCAGCGAAAATGGCATTCAAAATATCGCGCTCTCAGCGCTTAACTGCTGTTATAGGGATTGCTTCGGTCTTTTTCGTTGCCGAGATATCAGGTGTGCCTTTTTCGTTCTTCTGTTTCTTTCCAGTCGCAATCGCCGGGATACTGAACCCTATCAATGATAGTTGGATTCTATACACATTCTATAGCCCTGGTGGCCGATGCCTTCCACTATGTAGGTGGAACTCTCTCAAAGGGACCTGGTCCTAACAAACGCAGCTTAATGACCTGGTCGGGTTCGTTGTGGCGTTGGTGGCACTCAAGGTGAGCTGTTTTCGAATTTCCTTGAATTGTCCTGTTGATCACCTAAATCGCTAATGATTAAACTATGTTAGGTATCGGAGAAGAATGAGTGGCCAAAGTCACTTTCCTTCGGATGGCAACGAGCACAATTATTGGGTGCCTTCTTCAATGGCGTACTTCTCTTCGCCCTTGGCATCAGCGTCTTCCTCCAGTCTATCGAGCGTTTCGTAACTCTACAGCGTTGGTTGCCTCATGCGTTCGTCCGCTCCCCTGCTAAAGGGCTTTTAGGTGTGGAAGATCCCAGACTCATGCTCATTATGGGATCCATCGGACTCGGCCTTAATCTTGTCAGTGCAATATTTCTTCACGGTAATTTATGACAGACGCATTGAGCGAGCGACAATGTAGTAATGGAAAACGCAGAACACCATCATCACGATCATGGCCATCATCACCATGGAGACTCACAGGTGCCTGAGTTCCCAATGGCAATTGAGGGGGGCAATACCCACTATGACTCGAGTTTCTGTGCGGTGAGATACAACTTCATAGGATACATAACCCCATATATATGTCCTAATTTTCTGTGAACTGTTATAGCATCATACCCACAAGCACCAAACGCAGGCCAATCGACCAGTGGCCCACGGACACGACCTTGGGATGATGGGCGTCTTGCTCCATGTCATCGGGGATGCCATTAATAACATCGGCGTTATGGCAGCCGCTTTGGTTATTTGGCTGACACATTACGAAGGACGATATTATGCGGACCCGGGAACCAGCATGGGCATTGCAATCATGATCATTTTATCCTCGATTCCATTAGGTATGTGTGACCCGCTCTCTGTTCCGCCACGGTAGTACTGATTCGCGGGTCAATTAGTCCGCCGATCAGGTCATATCTTGTTGGAAAGTGCCCCAGACGGGGTTGATCCCGCGGATGTCAAGCACGATTTAGAAACGGTATGACATGGCACTCCCTGGTGGTGGCCCAAAGCTTGTGGCTCGCTGATGTTTTTCCGAATCTAGATTCCCGGGGTGCTGTCCGTTCATGAACTTCACATCTGGCGCCTCAACCAGCAGAAGACTCTTGCATCCGTTCATGTCGTCGTGTCCGATCCTTCCGTATCTCAGTTTTTGAAGCTCACGAAGATTATCAACGAATGTTTTCACGCGTATGGGATTCACTCGGCAACCTTGCAGCCGGAAACCGCACCGCCGGGAGAAGTCATCATGGTCGGACAGGAAGCGGAGAAAATGGAGACGGTGGCAATAGAGACAAAGATGCCCGAGAAATGTCAGATTGTCTGTGGAGAGCTGTGTACGGTGTTGACATGCTGTGGGTAGAAAGAGACGAGGCGAGAAGAAGAGGTGAAAGAAGGAAGAGACAGAAAAGACCAGAGAGGAAGGTGTGTCATTGAATTCTACTTACAGGGTCACGCTACCTAGAGTCACCAGACTAGGTAAGGTATAGGTACAGGCGGTATGTCCTCATACATCATTAGTCAATACTGTACACCACTCCCAGATAATCAATTGGGCACCCAAAAGAGGAAGGAGAAAGGCGGAATTGATTCCGTGGGTGCCTTACTTACCCATGCTTATATGCAAGATGTAATGGATTCTACGAGGAGAACATTCAACTTATTTAGTGAGACTACCGAGGATAGTTCGCAATCACATCTCTCCCCTCACCACGTCTCTACTCCCAGGGAGCAAAGAGAGCCCGATAGGTTTTATCTTATGTTTCTCCGTGAGGGGAATGCGCCGATCGCCTCCAACGCAGATAAGAGCTTCTCCACATGGAGTGTGCCCAGCCAGGCTTGATGGCATTGATTGGACTTCTAGTTCCGATTCCGACATGACACTGAGGCACCGATGAATGCTACTGTCACTTGTCCCTATCGGTCATGGCTATTCGGCAGTAGTTCCGCGGTCCAAGTTGGAGTAACATAAAAGGCGTGTCTCGTGCTACCTGGCTGTTTTCTCCTTGCATATCCCCTCTTCAGACTATCAGCAAGACCACTCATCCTTCATTGAGTCTAAAATACATACCATCATGTCTCCTCAGCCCTGGGAACCGCAAGCTCAGAAAGCCCGAGACATTCTCCAACAGTCTATCCCGGCTCAATGGCTGCTCCCTAGCGATCAATTGCCTCCCGCAACCCAGAAAAATGTCGAGGACTTCCCTCGAAAGAGCGGTCTTCTCAGCGCCCGGGAGCTCGACATCACTGAAAAGACCGCGATTGCTCTTATGGCAGATATGGAGGCCGGCATCCTGAGCGCAGAGGAGGTGGTGATTGCCTTTTTGAAGCGTGCCGTCTTGGGACATCAACTGGTCTGTAGATGAGGCGGGGCGAGGGTTGCGTCTAACATGTGGCACTGACAAGTATCCAGCTCAACTTTGCCACTGAGTTCATGACAGAAAAGGCCATATCGCGAGCCAAAGAGCTGGATCGATACAGGCAACGAACAGGAAAGATCATAGGGCCACTGGTATGTCCGGACACTACTCATCCTTAGTGTACCCAGAGTTAAAGAAATTGCTTTTCAGCACGGAGTCCCAATCAGCGTGAAAGAACACATAGGATTTAAAGACCGCACATGCAATGGCGGCTACGTGGCATTGTCCGTCTTCCTCGTATGACACCAATCATAGATATACTGATCTGACGTGTTCCACGCATTTAGAGTGGACCACATAGCAGCGCAGGATGCACTTCTCTTACAGAGTCTGGAGAAGGCGGGGGCCGTATTCCACGTCCGCACGAACCAGCCCCAGTCTCTAATGGTAATCGCATGTCCTGATCCTTATTCAACCATTACCTCTAAACTGAACTTATCATAGCATCTCTGCTGCAGCAACAACATCATCGGGACTACAGTAAATCCATACAATCGCACCCTCAGCCCCGGTGGCTCGTCAGGCGGCGAGGGGGCTTCGATGGGATTCAAATGTGCACCCCTCGGTATCGGATCAGACATTGGGGGTTCGATCCGAGCCCCTGCTGCATTCTGCGGAGCCTACGGGTTCCGGCCCACGGCGCACCGGATCCCGGGCACTGGGGTCTTCCTCCCGGGTCCTGGCCAAGAGTCTATTCTCGGTGTCGTCGGCCCTCTGGCAAGTCAGAGCATCGAGGACTTGGAGCTCTTCCAGCGGGTGGTCATTGACCAGGAACTATGGGACATTGAGACGTCCCTGGCTCCAGTCTCTTGGAGACGGGTGACGCCGAGCAGGGACATGACAGTCGCCATCATGTGGGATGACGGGTGCGTAATCCATCTACTAACGTCATGAAACCCCCAGAAAGCTGACAGCAGCAGATGCGTTCGCCCGCATCCACCGGTAACGCGAGCCCTCAAGCACGCCCAAGAGCAGCTCCAGGCAGCAGGCATCAAGGTCGTTGACTGGGAGCCCTACAAACACGCCCATGGCTGGAACATCGTGGTAAGCTTATCATTTCAGTCAATTCACCACCAACGACCACACTAACAACACACCCCCTCAACCCAAAGTCATCCCTTTACTTCTCCGACGCAGCGGCCAGCCAGCGCGCCCTCCTCGCCCAATCCGGAGAGCCGATCCTGCCCCTAACCGAATGGGCCTTCCACTATAGCAGCGACAAGCCGCTCACGATAAACGAGAACTGGGCCCTCAACGCCGCGCGAGACAAGTATCGGGACGAGTATCACGCTCTCATGAAGGCCCGCGGGGTGGACTTTATCCTGAGCCCGGCGTACGTCGGCACCGCCTCTGTCCTGGGCGAGTCAGAGTACTGGAATTACACGGCGATTTGGAACATCCTGGATCAGCCTGCCGCGGTGTTTCCGAGTGGGTTGGTGGTCGATCCGGTGTTGGATCCGGTTGATACGAGTTACTCGCCGAGGGACGCGACTGATGCTCGTGAGTGGCGGAAGTACAGTCCGGAGAGGTACGAGGGCGCGCCGGTGGGACTACAGTTGACGGGTAAACATTTCAAGGATGAAGAGACGTTGGCTGCTGCCGGGTTGATCTCAAGAGTTATTCAAGGTCAGGAGGAGGTGGTGTCAAAGCTCTGAGTTTATTGACAAGCATTGCCAGGCTAGTTTAGGATAGTAGGTTAGGGCCATTGAAAAAGCAATACATTTACATATCCTATCATTATATCCATCCAATCATCAAAGTACATACAAGCATTCCGCGTCCCATATCTCAGATCATTGCGGTATTTCCCATTAAGAACGCGAACGCCAAAATTCAAGGTCATGTTGTGAAGAAAAAAAGAAAAAGAAAAGAAAAGGGGTTTGGGTGAATTCAACGAGAAGGCTCCAGTCAGGCAAATCATTTCTTCCAGAACATAGCTTTGCCCATTCCTCGTTTCATGGCCCATCTAGCTTCGGTGAACTTGTCGCGCAAATTTCCACCTCCGCCATAGTTTGTTTTGCTACCCACGGCACTGGAGTTGGCACTGGCACTGGCGTGAGCTGAAGCAATATTGCCGGCTTCGAACTTGGTCTTGCCCTCGACAATCTTCTGCAACACGAAGAGGATGGCATATGTCGTGGACCCGATCACACGGAACAGCGCCAAAACGGCGACGGACCAGAGGATAATCGCCAGGTAAACATTAGTGCCGCCAGAGTCGACGCCATAGACCTCAGACACGGCCATAGCCAAGATGAGGTTCGCGACCATCCAGATGGACACCATGTACGTACGGACGGCTCGGTAGTAGTCTTCCTGCAGCTGGCTTTCCGGGACCGGGGGTTCGGGAACTTCGAGGCGATCACGGAGGTTCCGCAGCGCAGCATCGTATCCACTGTCAATATCAAGCTGCTCCGAAGGCATTTCGACTTCGACGATTGAGCCGTTGATAATCTTCGCGGCTCCCAGATCCGTGTTGACGACGTTGTCACCCTTGGTACCCCAAGTCACGTCGTGGGTATTGCAAAAGGCATAAATCTGCAGGGTACACACGTAACTTGGCATAAGAGCAAAGTATTGGGCCGACGAGGTGAACATGTGCCATGGGTCGAGGTAAAGGAAGGAAACGAAGAAGTAGAGACCTATGGTCGAAAGCATTGAAATTACAATGTTCACCATTAGTCCATCGCTCACTTCCAGGTCCACATCTGCTCCGAATTTTGACATGAGTTCCAAAACGATCAGGTACAGTGTACAGAATGCGGTATAGATCATGATCACGCAATAGACGATAATTCCGGAGAGATACAATTTTTTCGCGCTGCATTCGAATCAGTGGACTGTTCAATGTGGACGTGTATCTGATCGGCACTCACCCTTGAGGTCGATTGCCCATGGAGATAATGAACTGTAGGCACATAACCACCACGCAAGCATATCGAAGCACTATAAAAATGTATTTGCCCATGTTATGGCCAAATGGATCGATTTTCTCGTCCGAAAGCGACCCGGCAATAAAGTAGAAAGCCAAATAGAAGTTTGCCTAGAGGGATTAGAACATGCATTCAATCTATGACTGAAAATCCATACCAATCCGAAATAAGTAAAAAGCAGCTGGAGGAACTGATAAACGGACTCGATCTGAAGCAAGATCTTGCGGGGCAGTGAGTGGTCCGTCTTCCAGAGCTGCTTTCCGTTGACAATGGAATAGACTGCAGCGAAGAAAGCTCCGTTCAGCCAACGTCGACGCTGCGAAATGAATTCAGGAACAGTGTCTGGAAACATCGTTAATAGGGGAGTCTCCTAATAGTGGGAAAAACTTACCTGGGACATCGGTTTCACCAACGGCACTCTTAACAAATCGCAAGACCCATCGCTCATCGCGCTTGGCCACTAGCTCCCAACAGAGGATTCGATCTTCTGCCAGGTACATGTTGGCCGTAAAGACATCCGCATCTTGGCCATGCAGCGTTTCACCCTTGAAGTATTGATTCAGTGGCCCGTTGCCTTCGGCATCGTTCTGCAGCGCGAAGAAACGGTACGCACTAAGAGCACCGGGAAGCACAGTGATATAACCAAAGACCGACTCCAAGGGTTTGTCCAGAATGTTCGACATTTTATACTCAAAATTCTGACTCGCCACCAGGGGATTCAGCAGACCCAGCATACCTTTACCTTTGCCTGCCTTGATCTCGCCAGCCGCCCCGGCAACGTTGGAATCCTGGTCGAAGGCTTTCCACAGGTGGTACAATGCAGTCGGGTCAGGCTTTGTGCCGACATCGAGAAGAACGCAGATGTTCGGCTGTAGCGCGCGGCCAACGGCATTGAAAAACCACCGGTGAGAGTTCAGCTTCTTCTTGTTATGTTCCTTCAAGCAGAAGATCACCTGACATGGCACGATGCCCTTTTCTGCTCCCTTGAACTTCAAATCGGCGTCCAAAGATACCTGAGTCGTGTACTCGTACATGTGGGCATTCACCTGCTTCTGGTTCACAATGTTCTTGGCAATGCCTTCTTGGTAGACACCCAGTGCAGCCAACGCGTTCAAAGTTCTAGGATGCACCTTCTTCCGGCCATCAGCAATCACGCAGACCACGATCTTCTTCCACCCGTCTTTGCCCCAGGTTCGTGATTTGGAGCGGGAGCAGAGGTGACTGATATTGCGCATAATACCATGCATGGTCCGAGTGAAACAGATCTCATCCTCGTTGTACATGGTAACACAAATGAGCAGCTCCGTTTCACGCATGGTACTGCCGATCTCCTGACGCAATTTGTAGCCCTTCTGGGTGAAGTCGTCGGGGTCGCAGGTCACCGCAGTGTACCGCATGTGCGTGAATTCTCGGTCGTCTCGCCGGGGCAAGAAGCTGTGCAGGATCGTTGGGATTTTACACTCCAGGATCAACTCACCGTTGACCAACTGGACTTCCTTCTTGACCATCTGGGCATCTCGGACACCGCGGCGGCCTTGCTTCTCGGGCGCGGGGCCATAGTGCATGTTCGGGTCGACCATCTCACTCGCTTCGTCGTCATCATCCAAGTCAACCTTGGCCATTGCGTCCTTTTCGTCCGTGATCACGGTGGATTCACTCATGAAGGAGTGGACGCTCGCCGTATGGTTATGGTGAGCCGTTCTTCCCCCACCACCAAAGACGTCGTCAGGATCCACTCCGTCGCCAATATCGATACTAGCATCCTGGCCCCCGGACACCGACCCCGGGCCAGCAAACAGTGGCGCTGGCGGCAGTGGTCGTCGAGGGCTGCCACCATATCTCGAACTCGGGGTGCCTGGTCGGGGGCTGCCATTGAGATCTGCGCGTTCGTAATGCGAGCCAGTGACGGACGGTGGTCCAGGGGGTCGAGTCCAGTCCGCGGCGCGGGTTGGGGACCAAGGCCGCGTCGGGGAGCCTGGACGAGACGAGTAGTGAGGGACGTTTACCATTGACGCGGAAGGGGGCGGGATGTTTGGGGCATTTCGCAAGCTCGAAACCGGTCGTGAGGGGGACTCGGGCGGGTCATATTCCTGGTATCGCGCCGAATATTGAGTTGCGTATTCTGGTCTGTTGCGGGGGATGCGTGCGTTAGCTCGAGGTCTTCGATGGCAGGGCATCGTGGATCAACAGTCATTTCCACACGTTATGAGTTTCGCGGCTTCAACGTGCGCAGCTTCAACAAGATGAGTAAACAGGTCAAGGAAAGTAAGTGGAGGAGAGAACACGCAGACATTCCCTAGGCGGAGCTGTCTGGGGATCCCACTCTGTGAACTAAGACTATCAAGGGGGTGGGCGCGAAACATATGGGTAGGAACGTTGCAGGAGATTCCAAGGATTGACCACTGGAATCCTGGGTGATACGACGCCAGAGACATGACAGAAACCGGTTTCACCACGACTTACCGAGCATCATCCTCATAAGTCTGTCCGTACTGATACGTTGTACCTCCACCGCTATGCAGCGTGCTTTCTACATCACCACTTGTCGGAAGCAGTCTCATGGTTGGTCCATTTTGGCGAGTGCGCGGCGAATCATTATCCGAAAGGAACGACGTCGTTTCTCCGTATCCATAAGCAGGCGGTTCGTCTTCGTAGTTGGGTGCCGGAGGATATATGCGAGACGGGTTGGGATTCATATCGGCGGTTGAGTCTTCTGATACCTCACAAGGACCGCTGAGACAATCTCAGCCCGAAGGCAGACCGATTGCTCTCGACCGTTATGTTCTGGACAGCACCCTCATAGCGTCAGTTCAGCTGCTCCACAATCCATTGGCCAGAGGGGGGAAAGGCTCAAGAATGCTGAGGTCCGTAACTTACAGGTGCTTTGGAAGAATCGCTCGTGGGGCAACCAGTTTGAGGTAGAGAGAATTAAAAGTATGGAATCCAGCAAGAATGTATGAGTAAAGAAATGAGGCCAGTCGTCACAATGTCCGGGTAGAGAGGATATAAACAATGGGAAGACAAGCGACCGAGTAGGCGTCGACAACCAACAACCACTTGCCGAGTGTTGACCACTAAATAAATAAAGGCCACCCCTGCGCTTGGTCCAGGGGATAGTACTTTGCAGAAGGAGATTTTAGGCAGATGCATACACGGGCGCTTCAACTCGTGGCAGTCATCGAATTGGGGCAGCGCGGAGGAGAGTGTTTGCATGTCGCCGGGGCAACGCGTCCATCGGCCGGTTTGCGGGAGCCGGCGGGGCGACCATCCCTTGCGTCTTGGTCTTCTTGGACCTGGTCTTTGCGGAGTCTGCGGAATTTCTTCTCCATCCTAGTCGGCCGCTTCTTAAACTGTACAGGCACCATTTTTGCCCGTGTAAGTTGAATGAGCACGGGAGGTTTAAGCACATGGTTTCCGTTGACGTCAGAACACTGGGTTTCAAATTATTATGTAGACAATGAACAATAAATACTAACGAACCCGCACGCAACCACCAAGGGATGGGGAAATGAGCAGCAAGGTACGGATGAATACGACCCAGATCAAAATCAAACAAAAACAAAACAAAAAGTCTGTCAGGCTGAGCGAGTCACAGCTAGCTCGCTTCGATCCAGAGAAGAAAGAACACACCACCTCCATGCTACTTTCATTATCTTTTTAAGTAATTAAATGTGGGGAAAGAGAGGGAGGAGCAATTTCCACCTGGGGACGGGACTTGGCTAGGGCAATATCAGTATCTCGGATCTCCTCTGGTGCATCCACAAGGTCCATTAATTAGTAGCCCATCACGCGGTCGTGGCCGGTTCGTTGAGCAGTGGCTCCCGCTCACGATCAGTGGACTCGGTCTGTCCAGTCTTGCGGAATAAAATGTTGCGGCCAGCGCTCCGAGTGCTAGTGATGTACAGGGAAGTGACCAGGAACACGGCGAAGATGACAAAGGCGAAGATCCACTGCAGAGCGATGGTCTTGACGGCGATTTGCTTCAACGCTAGGGCTGTGGAAACTGGTTAGCGCAGTGTCCACCCATCTAACAACCAGGAAAGGGGAATAAAAAGCAAGAGTACATACCAAGGGTCAAAAAGCTCAAAGAATAACCCAACATGTCATCCTGGGCTGTTACGATGTGACCCGCTCCGATCACGAAGATCACCCAGATGAAAACGTTCGCCGTAATCCTAGCAGGTAGAGAGTTGCTCTTCACGGCAACCGCGCCGTTCCAAAACAGGGCCATGAGTGTCCAGGCAAAGGGGCCCGCTACGGCAGCCAGATGCACGAGGCGTGGTAAGTTGCGATGGCGCCAGTAGGCCACATGCTGATTGACGAAATGGGCTATCAGGATAATCTCGGAGCCCCAGAAGTGGTTGCGCGTCCACAGGAGGATCCAGGCGAAGACAAATAAGTTATTCAAGATGAAATGCGTGCCCACATTTGCGGTCGCCGTCACGATAGCGGCATCGCGATGAAAGAGATGATACACGTAGCTAAGCTGAGAGAGAAGAAGAAAGATCCTGGGTAGGAATGGGTGATATTAGCGAGGTCTAGCAGAGGATGAACAGAAGAAGGCTAGGTTTAGTTACCAGAAGATCCCCGTTACGATCGTGCTTTGGCTAAAGGGTGTAATGTGTCGATTTGCTTGCTTGAAAATGGAATGGCCATGTTTGACATCATGAGGGGCATTGACTGTGTAGTAGAGTCCAACGACTACGACCAGCAGCCATGACAAGGGGACCAGGACGCGGTAGGAGCCCAAGGTATATCGGTCGTGCGAATCCCGGCGGGCGAAAGGGTTATCTGAGGAGTAATTATTACTTGAAATAGATACATATTTCGATAAGAGGTGGAGACACTTACAAGATGCCATTTTGATTAGACGGTTCAATCGATGCTGTCCAGAGAGTGTAGAAGGGCTGGAGAGCGCAGACAGAGCAAAGAACGGAAGGCGGGGGGAAGAAGGAAAGGATTGTACAACCAGGACTACGAAATGATGTAACTTACTTATACTGGGGGCAGTGGGAACCTTGACAGCCAGTGAATGTGGGGAAACAGTATGGCAATAAGCAGAACAATAATGAACATAATATAATCCAATCCAGTGCTTGGATGGGGTGATGTCATGATCGAATCAGCGCCAAATCCGCCTTTTCCTGGCGCCGCCACGAGAGGACGAACGGTCAGGTGCTCCCCCGATGCGGGGGATAACTTTGGCTGGGAGTATCTCATTGATCAATTTACATGCTAGTAATCCTTAACTTTCACTCTGTCTCTCTTCCTCACTAGACAGGCGTTTAAGCGATGCGATTCCGTCACAACTTCCCCCTTTACACAATATGTTTCACGGCCTCGACGAGCCGTCCGTGGATAGATGTAGGCGCTATAATCATCCCGTAACACTCCGCCAGGGTCCTGCCCAGGCTGCAGTCAACTGGATTACCCGCCAGGTCGCTAACCGTACATCCAACCTCCTCGGCAATCAACATTCCTCCGGCGTGGTCCCAGATCTTGGACCGGTACGACGCTTTGCGCGGAATTTTGATCAAGGTGTTGCAGCCCCCAACGGCAATGGCGATATATCGAAGCTGCGCCGCCCATAAATCGGTCGTGTGGGGCCATGGCGCGTTGATATGAGCTGCAAGGCGAGCGTGATATTCGATGTTCGAGGACGTGGAAGCCGCGCAATCCACAAAGTCCAGATCCTTGTACTCCGTGATTTGGGCTTTGGTGTCGAGTTTGTGTGCGGGTTCGAGGGCTCCCGTTCCCATCTTGCGCATGTATGCACCCTGGCCGGCGACGGCAAACACCTGAGATCCGTAGCCATCCCGATCCACTGCATCCTCATGAATACGGCCCGAGGCCAAGTTGAGATTCGGACAACCCAGGACCCCAACCCGTTGGCGTCCATCCTCCACCAGTGCCAGGCAGACCGCATATTGTTGGCCTTCGATAAACGTCGCCGTGCCATCCACGGGATCCAGGACCCAGGAGCGACCCTTGGGACCACAGGTTCCTTGAGCCCCCAAGTCGATCAGCCCGAGCATTTCCTCCTTCGAGCTTGGCGTATGGAGCAAAGCTTCGCTCGCCTGGTCATCAAGATGGGTAGACGAGACCAAGTCCCAGGCTCGGTCAAGTAGGCTCGCATCGCGACGAAGAGCCGCCGAGTCTTCCTCGCCGACAATGTCGTCCTCGGGAAAGACGTGGTGAATCGCGCTGATGATCAGCGCTTGGGAGGCAAAGTCGGCCACCGTCACGGGGGTGGAATCGCTTTTATCAAGGCTCCCCTTGTCGACGGCCTCGAGGACCTTTTTCGTCAAAAGCGTGGCCCTCTGGATTGCCAGGCACGCAATGTGAAGTTCCTTGCTGTAGGGGTTGGTTGGCTCCATGTTGATTCAGACACCTCTACTACTGGCCAGCAGTTTCAGTATTGGGTTGCTTCTTCAAATTAAAGTGAGGTTAAGCCCAATGTTGAGCGCAATAGTCGAACTCTTGCGCGGTCTTCTTCCTAACAGCAATCCAGACTTTCAAATAACCCTTCAAGCTAGTGGTCCGAGACGAAAGATATACCAAGACCTAGTCTAGTGAACACCAAGTTAAGCACATGGGATTTCTGTAGATCTTTTGATCGCACAAGATCCAATTTTGAAGGTGGGGTCTAGTGTGGGTGACTGCCGAGTTCTACTGCTATAGATCGAGGCTAGGCCGCTTGGTAGATCACAATACTCGGTTCATATGTTCTCGTGGTGGGGGTGCAGTTGATTGATGTGCAAGGCCACTGCCGGCAGAAGAGAAGGTGAATCACCAGGAATGACACAGAATGAATGATCTCATCGGCAGAGATTTGCTGAGAGTGTCTCGTTCGAGTTTAGTGTGGCTCGGTTCGGCTTGCCTGATTGCCTGACCGAACAGGCAGACTTCCCGCAGAGACGACGTCACCAAATTCATACGTACTATATGGAGTCTAAAAGGAAACACGACAATCTCGACAGTAACCTATCTCGGTCCTTTAGATTCAAATCATAGCCAAAAAATCACTATTTAGAATATCCCTATAACTTCTCCTATAGTACTGATCATGACCTAAATTCCCGGAACGCCGTGAAAGTTTAACATCATCCATGCATTACGTCAGGCGAGCGATCAAAACGGGGCAAATGCCAACTCGTAGGCGAACCCAAGGGTCAGCTTTGCATGTTGAAGCATATGGTCGAAGCTCAAATATTTGATCTTGTCATCAGTCGTGTGGATTCGTTTGTTGCTGTTTTCCATTTCGGATTCGGTTGCCATCGCTGCTGGATAGCCATATTTACTCGCCGATGTGTGGTCAGAACAAGCGTAGCCGCACTTAGTGTTGATGAAGCCAATATCGCAATACTAAGCCGACCGTCAGCAAGCAAGCCTTAAATAAGGGTGATCCCCACTTACCGTCGTGACTGCGTCCTTTAGGAATTGCGTTAGCCCTTGATCGACGTAGTCGACCATTATTCCCACGGCCTCCTGGCGACCGGCCTCAAGAGCTCCCTGGGTATATCCTGTCATGTCCTGCTGAAGCATGGCTTTGATATCACGTTTGTCCTGTTTATATTGGGAGAAGATGGCTTGAGAGCCTAGCATGCCGCCTTCTTCCGCCGAGTACCAATGAAACTCGATTGTGTTGGGCGCCTCCCCTTTGATAATGGGGTCTGATTGTAGAAGACCTCGCAGGGCCTCAAGTATGGTGACAGTCCCGCTGCCATCATCATCAGCGCCTGGTGCAGCCAGGATCGAGGGAAGAAACAAGTTAATGCTGTCCTGATGAGCACCCAGCACAACAGTCTTATTTGTTTTACCCGGGACGCGGGCAATGACGCTGAATTGTCCCCAGGGATGGGCGAATTGATCAACAGTGGCGCCATGCTTCGCGGCCCCGGAGCTCTTGATAACATCTAGAACCTGGTTATAGAGCCATGTTGCCGATTCAATGCCTGTCTGGGATTTGTAGTAGCGGGTATGAAAAGATGTGAATTTCTCCAGGTTGTGTTGCATATTGGCTTTGGATAGATCTTTGATGAGCGTGGTTACTTCGTCGGTGTGCTCCATCTTCGACGGGTAGCGCACATAGCTCGGTGCGTGCAATGTAGGATAGAAACCGGCATTTCGCTCTGTTGTAACATCGATGAAATTCACGCCATCCTTTTCGAGAGAAATGGTGATTAGCCATAGAAGATGGTAATAAGACAACAACAATAATGAAGATCATAACCAAGCAATCCGCGAGATACTGGAGGCTTACTAATTTCAAGGCCCATTTTTCTTCTTCGGTCACCCATCTGGTCTGATAAGGAGCCAGCTCAATCAAGTATTTCTCTTGGTTGTGGTAGATGTGCGGATTCGTCAATGGTGCCTGGGGAATCACAGCAGCCAAAACCCCCGTGGAAGCTGTTGCGCCCAGCGCAAGAGCGGCTCCGACCTTCATGATGGGAAATGGCGGGAACTGCTTTCAAAGATTGAAGGGCTAGATTAGGGTATCCAAGATATAAGTACTGCAAAACCAAGTAAGAAATCAGATTGTAGGTAGATACTGGGTGTAAGAGATGGATTGTAAGAATGGGCATGAACAGCTCCGGGGATGAGCAAAGTGATGAATCAGTGAGGGGGAGCCGTTGGAGCGAGAATTGGAGAAGGGGCAAAGGCAGACGGGAGACGCGGGCGGGGACAGGGGTTGTACCGTTGTTCTCGATCAAGAGACGACGTTGTTGCGTCAGAGCTGCGTCGGTGGGCAATTAATTTATCATCAAATCAGGTAGGAACCAGATGCATTAAATAGGAGCTTGGGGAAGGAAGAGGGTAAGCCTAAGGCACCGACAGCACTAAGAAGTGATCACTTCGTACTCCGTATGCTCTAGGTTGATGGGATTAGTTCGCTAGCCGCCCCGGTGGAGTTGGTCCTTTCCCCGTAACACAGGTCATACTTGACTAACTTGAGTCCTTTTTCTCCAGAAACGCATTTCCCTCAACCGATTTCTCCAGAAGCGTTAGAGCTTCTCCAGAGTCTAGACTACGGAGTATAGTTAGTGACATTGTTAGCTCAGCCCCATCTGTGTGCTTGGGATATTTGATCTTCCACTTTCCAGGCTTGAGTCCCTATGTGGCTGTGTCTACGGAATACATCAAATGATAAGAACCCCAAGAAATCGATTTTCTCGGACGTCTTGAGGAGTACCAATACACTCCCAGAAGATCTTGTCAACCCAATTTCCCAGCATGAGCGAAAGGCATCATTGCCATCATTTGATGTACGACCGTCAATTGCTATTAATAGCATTCAACAAGACACCAAAATGTCAAGGCATCCTTTGAATCCGTATCAGGCAACCATTTACTGAGTACGGTGTACCCATGCCTCTTCCTTCATCCATCAAATTGAGAAGGATCCTGATCCACTCGGTAGCCGGTGCGCAGAACCCTGTCTTGGCTGATTTCATTGTCAGCCTATGAGTGGGTCGAATCGGGATCTTCAACCTATCCCCAATTCTCGTGTTGTGAAGGAAGTTGTCGAACTAAATGAAACAACAATAGCCCCGAGGAGGCGGTGTTGTATAGCCTCTAGCCTTTTACCGTTCGATTCAACAAGAACATAAGACATCGGGTATATCGTAGCCTAGACTCCGCACAGCTTCGCCAACTTACACTACGGTGTAGAGACTCACCCAAGGATCCTTCAATTCCTGGGCTCGTTGGTGCGGTCTTTCGCACTCCAATTGAGCTAGCTATTTAGCTTCTGAAAGCCGTCTTTCGCTCTGGGTCTCAATAAAACGCTCAGTTACTCCGTACCCATACGGAGTAGTCATGTTACCACTGTGGATTGTGGCCCATGATTTTCAGTGAGGAGTGTTACCGGATGGCAGCTCTTGAGTCGCCAAGATGCCGATGGGTTCTTGTCACAGTGAATCACGATGGATCATGGATCTCCCCGATGACTCAGGCACCAACTTGGCCATACGAGTACCAGGTACGGTCTAACCCAGAAGGAGTAACTAGGGCTAGGGCTACGGGTCCCCTTCCACCAATGAGACTGGAACTCAACGGCGCGTGGGCCCGTGGATGAGTCAACGGCGAATGCGCGGTTCGCCATCGCGCTTACAGTACCGGTAAGGATCGGTGATCGTCGGACGCGACCGGACGCATCGCTATCTCTTCTTATCTGTCCCCTTTCGCCCATCCCCGCTCGCTCCCTTGACTTACACTTCACGATCTACCCTCCGAAGAACCGGTAACTCTATACGTTGTTGCGCCTCTTCGCGTACTCACTCCTCCAACCTATCTCCCCGAATTGCTCCCCACTGCGTGGTTGCGCCATGGCCATCCATCCCAGCCTGCATCCTCAACCAGAGGTCCAGGGCCATCTGTCCCCGCAACAGACTAGAGCCATTTCCGCGTGGACCGAGCAAGCGACCGCGTCTCTTGAGAACTTGACTATTTCTGAAACAGTGCCGGCTGCGCAGAACGTCACTTGCTCGGAGTCAACGCACAGTGGGGGCGCATTGCGCGGCGCCACAGTTTCGCTGTCAATTCCTCTAGATGATCCAACGGATCATCAGCCTACCACAAGGACCAGAGTTCTGGCCCCGAATCAGACACAGCGGGCTCCAACCGTCTCTTTTCGGCGCCGCGAGCCACTCCGTCGCGATAGTTTGAAGAGACGCGAGGCGTTACTCAAAGGGAAGGACGGAAGCCGTCGCAGACAACGTTGGGAGAACGGTACGTCTTGATCAACAGGGCACACATTGGCCCTTGGTGGCGTAGCCTGAAGGGTTGCGTTTGTCTCTGGAGTCACTGACAAGAGCATTCTTACTATGAAGATCGTCTTCTGCACAATCCCTGGGCGGAGCCGCCTTCTCCCAAGGACTGGGACATTCGGCCAACCTATACCCGACATGACCCCATGCCGTATTATTTGGCACCCCTTTGGGACGTCCATTATGCGCACATGGATCGCACGTCGTCCAACCAGACGACCAAGGGCACCAGAAACGAGATCTATCACATTCCCAAAGAGCTTCGCTCGAAGTTAAAGCACGCGCGCGCCGCACGAGGGATGCTTCAAGACCTGGAGGAAGATATCAGACAGTTCATTCAGCGATGGAATGAAAAGCAACGTCTGGTTCGCAAGGAGGGGTTGGCAGATGCCCCTCAAACCTCCGATGAGGACTCCGAGGACGAAATTGTCTTTGTAGGACGAAACGGACAAATGCACGATTCGCCCGCGCGTAAGCAGAAGCTGCAGCAAATGAGTCAGGCTATGATTGCTCATAATGAGCGCGATGGCGAGAAGATGGTGTTTGAGAGCTTGGCCGATGACAGAGCTGCTGCTTTCGGGTAAGTGTATCAGCTGACTTGTCCTGGAATGATTGACACTGACTTGGATCAGTCGCTGGCTTGTTCATTCTATTGCATCTTATTATGGGTTACATACTTGGTCTGTCACGGTGGGTGAGCCTGCTCGCCGTGAGGCATACGTCGGATTTCATCCCCCAACCGGTGGCAGTCGCGCAACCGGGCTGTTCGGGGATTCCACTGGCTCGGGAACGTGCCGCCGTGAAGCTCTGAATCAAACCGAGGATGAGCTTCCTCGACCACTGTGGGCACAGGTATAAGCCATGCCGGCTTCTTGGTCCATCGGAGTTTGTCTGGGAATATAATCGGGATCTCTTTTAGGGTAAGGCGGATCTGTAGTGCATTTTCCAACATACTCACTGTACAATAGACGGAGTCGGGTTTAAAGGCTATGGTTTAGAATCCTTAGAAAACTGGTTTGTTTCTCCCTCTCTTTCTCTCCCATGCGTCTATTATGTTGTCCTGGGTTTGTCTCGGTAGCGCAGCAGAGCGGCATCGCAGAAACGCACAATACTATTAGCAGCATGAAAAAAAAATAGAGGGCGAGGTTCAAGACATGCCTATCAGAACCTGAAAATAAACAATTCTTGTTTTTCTTTCAGAGCTTCTATGACATCAGACCCATGCCCCTCGCGTCATTCGTCGGAAACTCTCGCGTTAGTACTCCGTAGGGGGTTGGTTTATAAAAAGAAAAAAGAAATAGAAGAAAAATAAAGACCTAAATCAAATATGAATGGGAGGCAGCAGTGACGTGAACACCTTTGGGGGATGTTAGTTCTCTACAAAGTTGCATAGTGCCGTGCAAGGGACTCGAACGGTGGCGGGGACAAAATCGACCGATCTAGAAGACGCATGGATGCCTTGATCGGCCGATTGAGGGGCTCCCAGTACTGAGTACGTACTCTGGAGTACTATGACCCGCGTGGTCACCATGAACAAATGGTCAAGGACCATTGCAAAGCTCCTCTGTGAGGCGGTCAAAAAGCAAGGGTCACCCATCCCCACCGTCTCCATCGACCGTGGGGTTCGTGTGGGAAATCAGGATGCTCTTGATGCCTGAATAATATGTCAAACCCAAGACCCGATACCGGAGACAAAAGGATTATCACTGGAGCCATGTTATGAACATCTCACGATGTTTAAACTACAGTGTACACTTGAGAAGTTCGTGGTCCGTTGTCGGTTTCGGACCGATCCGAAGTTGTCTCCAGTCAGTTCCATGGTTCTATGCTGAGCCGGCTTGGGCTGTCAGGCATCGACATCGCCAGGAGATGGGAAACTTGATAGAGCAGGGGGTCGAAATACTTCATCAGTATAGGCATTTCTAGATCCCTTTGGCGCCCGGTGAAGATATGCGTGCCGAGTTCAGTTGCATGTGAACAGTTGAAGATACTTCATACTTGCATGCAATTTCCTGCAGGGGAAGCAATAGGTCAAGATTATCCTAGCATGTATGTAGCCTTGGGGGATTCCATCGCCCCGGGATGACAGAAGTACCAACGCACGAAAAGAACGGGCAGAAAATGACACGATAGGCTATGCTTGACTCCCGGAATGGTCCGTCTGAGGGGGTTCGGAGGATATCGACCTCGCTCAGTGGTGGCACTGCCGGCGTCAGCCTGCGTGGTAAACGCCTATCGCATCCTGGGACGATCTGGAACGAGACGGTCAGGCGCATTCGTGTTTTGGGCAGAATAAATTTGCATGGTAAGAGTTGAGTCTCATGAGAAATTAGGGTTTTGGAATTCAAGGCTGGGTTCGGAGTAGGCATATAACGAAAGTCAAAAAAAAAAAAAAAAAAAGAAGTGAAAAACGAGATGAAAATGAAAACAAGGACTGATTGATGAAGAGAGAGAGAGAGAGAGAGAGAGGTACACAGAGAGTACATACGTAGGGGTGTAAACAAAGCAACGGGAGGGGGTGACAATTCAGTCATGGAGACATCGACGTGGCTCCCTTCTCTGCTCTTTTTACCGGCTTTCCCTCCCATCCATCCATCCATGACTTATGATTTCTTCTTCCTTTCCTTCTCCTTCTGATTTGATACCCGTTCCTACTTCCTGCGCCACAGAACCCTAGCCATTTCTTTTTCTTTTTTCTTTTTTTCTCTCTTCGGTCCGTGTCTTCTTCGTGCCTCACCCGTTAAGCCCTGGCCTGGCGTCATCTGCTATGTACACTGGCCACCCCCTTCACATTCCCCTCACTCTCTAGAACCAGACAACTGTCCCATATTTATGATCTTCCTGTTTAGTTCCTGCTCCTTCCCTCCAGCCGAGCCATATCGTATGACCACTCACGGATCTGGCCTCGAAAATTCTTGCCTTACCTTGCCCCCGTCAATATATCCGGTCGATTGCTACGTCGTACACGGCATCGGTCGGAAACAGAGCGAGACAACCACGAGATGGGGCTATGATTTCCCTGCCAGACTGATCGGATCTCGTTCGCTTTACTGATTGACTCCACTTTGTTTTTCTTTTTCTTCTACCCCCCTCCCCTACTTCCACATACATACATCCCTGGATATCTCCATCAACCCCAGTCGGAGTAAATTTAGCACTATCTCGTGTCCGAACTAAGACCACTGCCGACACCGAAATCCGCACCCGCGAAGGACTGAATACAGAGTCCCCCATTCTTGCAATCTTACCGGGGTCTGCATATCCCATCAGTTACTTTTTTGATAAAACATTTTTTTTTTCGCTTTTCACATCACATTAGCGCCGCCATGGGAGCTTACAGTGCGTCCTCATGTCAGAATGGCTCGAGGACTGGAGGCAGCTCCAGCTCTACCAACAGCGACGTCTCGGATCGTTCGAAGAGCACGGTCCCTACGATCTACAGCAATCGGCCCACTTCGAAGCGGAGAGAGACGACCGAGCTCGATGCCAAAGATCCCAGAGACTCGGTATCAACCTACGCATCAACGGCACCTTCAGTCGAGGACCTCCCGGAGAAGCCACGCTACGCGGTGACTGATCGCAGATTGGAGGTCTTCCCCACCGACGTGGTCCCTTCCAATCCGTCCACGTTCGCCGACTTGTTCCCATCTTCGCGACGATTACTTATCCGCCACGACGATGCGACGCTAGATGGGAACATGAACCTCCGGGTAGACACCGTCGTCCCGCGACGAGGAGGGTACCAGCAAGAGATTACCCTGTTTCATCTGCGCATGTATGACTTGTTCTCCAGGAAGTTTTCCTTTCGGCGCTACTGCCGAGATTCGGGGCGCGAGGTGTGTCACTCGGAGAGGAAACCTCGATCGTCTCGTTCGGACAGACGGCCGGTGTTTCGACGTTCTTGGAACAGTGTGTTGGCCAGCTTGCGACCGGGATCAAGTGGCAATGGCTCGCTGCCCAATGCAGAGCACAAGCGCCAGGATTCCGAGTATAGGTTGGTTGGTGACGAGGGGTATTTTCAGGACAAGGATCTAGACGCCAAGGGCGGTGCCGATCGACCCGTCACACTTGCTGACAATACCCTGCTGGAGTTCTCCAACTATGCGCACGTAGAAATCAGAAGACGAGGCGCTGGGGTATCTAAAAGGTACGAGTACGAATACTGGTCCACGAAGTACCAGTGGAGACGGGGATTTCGGAAAGAAGGCGATTTGCGAGAGGTAACTTATCACCTCGTCGACACGCGGACGTCAAAGCAGATCGCTCATATCGTACCGGAGATCTTGACGCCCATGGAAGCGGTTGAAGAAGAGAGTAAGGGAGGCTGGGTCCCACCGTCTTCGATGTGGATTAGTGATGCCTCTGTATATGAGAAGATGTCTGACATGGCTGAGTACGTGTTCCCATTCTTCCCCTTTTCATGGCTTGATGGAAGACAGTCACTAACTGCGCATACAGTGTGATTGTTGCGACCGGACTGATTATCCTAGTCGATGACTGTATTCGTCGACGCTGGCATTCGAACGGACATGGCCCCCTTCCACTTCCAACACGATCTTCGATCACCAGGGGGATGGAGACGATAGGAGCTAAGCGCCTCATTGATGAGGTGTTCCTTCGAAGGGGATCAGCCTAGAGATGGGTGGGGATTTGAAAAAGATGTGGATAAGAAAAAGGCCTTGTTCATCTACAAAGTACGTCGGTCTGACGTGACAATCAGCTCGCATGACTCGTATTATTATTTTTGTTGTCCTTCTTTTTTCCCTTTTTCTTTTTCTTTTCTCGATTGGTCTCACGGTCATGGTTGGGCGGTGGCTGGATTTTCAGGCTGGCGTGAAATTCAGTAGGGACTGTGTAACGGCGGTTTACTTGATGTTGATATTTCGTGCATGCGACTTGGTTCTTTCCCTTTGCAGGTTTTTTTGAAATCTATTTTTGGCTTGAACCATTGGGTTCTTTTTTTTCCCTCCAATTGATTGGATCAGATTGATTGATTTACTTGGTTTCTTTTTTGGCAACAGTCAACTTGGAATAGGCTCGGTGGAGACACTTGGATAAGCGCTGGATGTTCGACGTTGACTATGGCACGCAGCACGATGCCCTGGCAACTCAACCTAGGACAAGAACAAAAAAAAAAAAAAAAAAAAGAACCCAACAAAGGCAATGGTTCATCGTGATGTCAGCCTAACTTAGGCCCCCCTCGCCCCTGGTTCTGGACCGGATTCCTCATCCTCGAAGCCGTCTCATGCAAAGAATCTGGCTGGATGGGGAACGGGCGTGCTGAATTCCGATTCGGACGAGGACTACGGGGGACAGCATGATTGGCAGTCGATAGGGACAGCAATTCTGTCTGTCTTCTAGCTGTCGGAGTGGGCAGGGCACGATTAAGCTTGTCCTGAGGTCGATGCGGGGCAGATCGAGGCTCGTCCCCAAACGACGTCGCGTCGAATCAAGCGCCGCTGCGCCGCTTCGATGGCAGTTCGTGGATGCATCCCAGCTTTCCCCGTTGGCGTCGTTGTTTCTTTCATGCCGCTTCATGCAGGTGCTAAGTATTGCTATATGGTTCCTTTCATTAGCCCCCCCCGTCATTTTCTAACGCCTTCATGCATTTCTTTCAAATCCCCTTCACGCTCGTGCCGGCGCCGAAGAGGTTGAGAATGCAAGTATGTATGCCCAACACGATGCCATAGAGAAAGCAACGAATCATGACCGATGTCTCCCCCGGAAATAGATTGGGTGAACCAAGACCCAATTTCTCTCTTCGCTGGCAATCGGTATTTTCCTGCAGAAGGCCCATTTCCCCCTCCCTCTCGGTGTACGCGCTGGCCGTGCCAAACTCCCATTGAGCTTGTTGATAGTGACATCGCCAACGAGGCTTCCCCCCTCTTGGTCTCCTGGAATTTGCAAATTCCCTTTCCGATGGCAATTGTTCATGCAGAGCGGCCCGGTTTGTGGCCGTTTGGCTCTAGGGCTAGAAGCTACGGGGAACCTTGAGCTATGTTCCGGCCCTTGGATTTATGATGGAATCATTGATGAGCTGGCACCCCAAGAGGGCCCGCTTCCAGCTCTTCTGAGGAGCCTTACTGGCTAATGTGAGCCAATTCTGGCTTCAATTCGTCGCTTCTAGTCCTATGGGCCCCTCTCCGCTTTTGGGCAACTAGACCACCCCTCCACAGTACATTCCTTCCAGAAGAGATTTCTCGTCTTCCCTTGAAGAGCGGCCATGAGGCAAGAGGCTGGTTCGTACCCGATGGCAAGCATCGGCTGCGAGACAGGGAGAAAAACAAAGGACGACAAGGGCTCTGAGTTGTCTTCAAGGGTGGAAAAGTCTCAACCCCCTGGTGCCACCGAGACAGGCTTGTCGTTGTCGCCTTGTTTCCTTGTCGCTCAATGAATCTGGCGTACGTGTGGAGACTAGTGACCTGCTTCCCTGCTCATTTCAGGCGTTTCTTCAAGGGTACATTCTCAGTCGGCGTGCGCCGGGCCGTTCCAGCTTGCAGCCTCATAAAAAATGATCCGCATACTCTCCATGCAACTGGCGTTCCTTGAGTGGAGGATAAGGGAGGGGGTAATTTTGCTGGCGCTGTGCGATGTCCACCACGACATGCATAAGCCTGTCTGTTAGGTTTGATGGTTAGGTTCCGTGTTTGTCACGCCGAAACTGTCTTGCTTGCACAGTGACGATTTGGGGTTAAGAGCATGGCCCACTGTTTATATGACCGAACTCCCCGCTTCCCCTATCTATCCATCGAGGTCATTTCGTGTGCGAAGACATCGGGATCCATACCCAATCCTCAACCGAGAGCAAGCAATTGCAACACATAAAGATAATAGTCTGTCGAAGCCAATTATAAAGAGGAAGAGAGTGTGTGTGAGAGAGAGGCCCGCGTGGTTCATTTTTCCTCCCACTTTATTCGAATTCTCCTATCAAACAATTGATATTTCTCTTTGATTTCATATTTCCTCACGCCAGTGGTTCTGAAGACATCTACACCCCGTCAAAGCTCCTCAATACCCAAAGACACATTTTTATTTTTTACTCGTTTCTACCAAGAAGATCGCATCCTTCCAGAATGTCAGCTGCCGCCCATTCTCCAGGTAGTCCCCGGCTCAGTTGGCAGGAGCAGCTTCAAGGTATGCCCCACTTTCCTGCAATTCCTTCAGGCGTTATCATTCCATCGTATGCTAACTTTGCCCCCAAGAGCACTGCCGTCGTGCGAAGATTGGGGCCCCCGTGTTCAACATCATGTCCGAACGTCGAGGTATGCTTCCCCTAAGACCCCCTCTTTCGCATTTCCTATCTGGTTGATGTTCAATTTCCCCCCTCTGTTGAACGTTGCTCATTGTGTGTCTCGGCACACTGAGGGGTGGAGTCAATTTTGACCTTCACCGACTTTTGGACTGAGATTCTGCGGTGCCTTTCACTAACTGGTCTTTCGCTCTCTACAGGAGGTCGCACAGCTTGGTCTAGCACCGTTACGATCAACGGACACAACTTCGCCGCACGGATGTGGTACGATGGCCAGTATACCAACAACGCAAAGGAAGATGTCGCCGAGGTTGCCTTGAAGAATCTCAACCAGACTCCGAATCAGCATCCTACCCTTTACCCGGGCCAGCTCTTCCCTTACCAGCAATCGGCATCTACATTTCCCCGGCGTTAGGACACCTGTTGTGGGATATTGTATTCTTTAATGTGGTTTAATATCATGTCACCTCTCTACCATCGGCCTTTCACATATTATGGACAGCAGCTGCCAGGGTCGATTAACTCAACATTCCATCGCTCCCTGACTTTTTGTTGCGAACAGCGTTTCCCGGATTGAACTCGATTTTACGAGCCTCGCAGACGTGTACAACATCTTCGGCTGTCGGCATACAAGTCTCCTATTCTGCGAATCTTTTCCCTCGCTTCTTTTCGCTTGTTTGGGATTCCTTTCGGAGAGGAACAGACTCGACGACGAATATTGTTATGTTACGGACAATATCCAACTCAAAGAGCGTGGTGCAATTCTGGTCTGGCTTTTTCTTCTCTTTTTTCCTTTCGTTTTTCTTTCCCCCCTTGTCCTGATTCCTAGAATCGAGCTTTTTTCGGTTCGACTTCAGGTGACGGTTCCTCTAACACAGATGCTGTATGTTTTCTTTCAGCTTTGTTGCGTCTTTTGACGTTCAGACCCCCCTTCCATCTCTATACAACAGCCCATATGACGGATCTTATGGCACGATATCTTGACGACAGTGAATTTATGAAGCGTATGGAATTGAGTCCCGACAGTTGGATCTATATTTTCTTTTTTTGTGATTTGCGCAGGTTCATATGCACCTCGCCAGTTTCTCGGCGTGTCTGTGGATGGCTTCCTTTTTCTTGTCTCCCCCCAATTTTCTCTCCCTAATATAAATAATCGTTGGATCTTGTTCATCTCCCGTGACAAGTATACACCGACGGGGTGTCCAAAGCACGTTGGACAGGTGAACGCCGACGCGGGACAGGCGGTCTGCCGCGGTCAATTGCAGGCGCTAGAAAAGTTTTCGCTGCAGTTTTGCGTTCGATTTTTGGGGTCTGAGTTTTCCCGAGAAATTGATTTGTTTTGGTCAAATGTCTGATGTAGCTGAGTGTTAATAATTCCGAAGGGTTTTTGATTTATCTATTGCTCCTTTTTGTTTTTCCTGCGGCTTTTCTTCCTGGTTTCCGAGCCCCTCAATTTGACAGCGACCATTGATTCCCTTGACTGCAGACCAAGCAATCCCGTATGCTCAACGGAGAGAGCCTCCTTGATCTTATGACGGACCCGAGTCTTTGGAACCAGGTGCAAGTCACTGTGGTGAGCTTAACCTTATTTCGCTGCTCACGTGCCCCCTCCGTTCCATGGTTCGTCCAACTCGCTAACATCCCGATCCTCTCGATCAGGAATACAATTTACGACTAGTGTTTCCCACCCCGGTTCCAGTCCCATCGTCTAATACGCAAACTTCTCCCCTACCACAATCCGCTTGTTTCTCCATGCATAATAAAGTCGCAACGCAAGACACCCCACGCACACCGCAAGGAGCAACGCCGCATTGGTCCAATGCCCGGTCGGATAGCCTCGTTTCGCTTCGTTGGATTTGTAGATCCACACGCCGACGATCTGTCCCGGTGCCCCGAAGGATACATTGAGAGCAATTGCGAGTCCTGTTCCCGCGGTGGACCGGATATTGGCGGAGAGCCAGCCTAGTAGAGGCGGGATGCAGGCAAATGCGCCGCTGGTCGCTACGATGAGACAACCGTATCGGTGCTGAAAATGGCATCAGTATTCCTGATTCAGGGGAATTGGTCTTGGCGGACATGGGGAAAGAAAAGCGGAAGCAGATGCTCACCAGGTAGGCGTCTGCCGGGAGCACGGCAGAGGCTAGAAAACCCATGGCTCCGATGAAGGAGAAGATAGCTGAATGTAGACCCCGACTGCATTTAAACGCCTATGTCAGTGTGCCATGCTTCGAAGTGCACCCCAGCAAGGACAAACGGCCTACCTGTTGAAGTAATCCGCAGACCAAGCGACGGCGGTGGTTACTACATATGCTACCGCCCACGGCGGGACGGTCATGAGTTGAGCGCGCAGATTCGCATAGCCGAGGCCACTGGTGATGGCCGGAGAGAAGAGCGACAGACTGGAAAAGGGGGCTGATATACCGAAATACACCTGGCACACACGAGGGTTAGGCAACGCGGTCGGAGGGAGGGGGGGGGGCGCGCTGACAAACACGCGGGACTCACTGCGTAATGGGCGTAGAGGCGCCAATCTGTCAATACCCCCTTCGCTTCCTCCCATGTCATCGCCTGTGCTTTCCCCTGGGAACCTTCAAGCTGGAGCCGTTGTGCTGCTAGATCTTTCTCCTCGGGGGTGAGCCATGACGCCGACTCTGGATAATCAGGAAGAAGAAACCAAACGAGGAAGGCCGATGCGCAGGATGGAGCACCCTCGATGATGAATAGCCAGCGCCATGCTGACAGGCCGTGGACTTGGTTCATATGTCCCACGCCGTAGGCAATGGCGCCTCCGAAGGCGCCTGCTAAAGTGGCCGATGCCAGGATCAGGGCCACTCGTAAGGAGCGCTCCGAGTTCCGATACCAAAAGGTCAAGAAATAGACGAGCCCTGGGAAGAGTCCGGCCTCCATCACTGTGACTGGATAAGCAGGGTGAACGCTTGCTGGGCCACGAGCTCTACGCACCTCCAAGTAAGAAGCGAATCCCGGTCACCTGGGCGTAGTTATGCGCACCGCCCAGGCCCATTGTGCACGCCCCCCACGATAGCATGAGGAACGCAATCCACCGCTATGGTCAGGTCAGCCAGCCTCTTGATTCGATTCTGGGAGGGGCTTAATGCCTTACACTTGGTCTTAGCTTCTTCAAGAAATAGTTCGAGGGGACCTCGAAGAGAGCGTAGGCGATAAGAAACACCATGAGCGCAATGCTAATTTCGATTGATCAGCGCAGAACGCAGTCTGGGCCGGGCGGTCTAACTCACGTGTATTCGTACGAGCTCATCTTCGTCTCTGTGAGGAGATCGTTCCCCGTATCCTCGTTGAGGATCTTTGCATTTCCTATTCCACGGGCGTTGGTCAGTCAACGCCGCCAAATTCGACCCAGTTGCAACCCACCGATATTGGATCGATCCAGGTAGCAGAGAAGATAGATCCCGGCGCTCAATGGGAGGATGCGCAGGTCCTGTTTCCAAACCAGTGCCCTCTCGCGAGCCTTCAGGTCCTCATCGTTTGCTAAGCCCTGAGAAGTGTTAGGGCTAGCCATTGCGCAGCCAATTCAAAGGCGAAGCTCACATCTAGAGATGACTCTACGTAATCTGGATTTCCGGCTTCCTTGGGGCCTTTTTCTGACGCACTCATGGTGGTGGAAGCTGCAGGCCAAGGGGAAGCTTAGCAACACATTAAGAAATTTTTAGGGTGATGGGCGAGAACTCTCGCCTCTTCTCCGCATAGAGAAATCGAGCTAGCGAGCGCCGGGGAAAAAGGGCCCCCTGCGCGGAGATCGGTCCAACTCCGATGGGTCTGCCAGTTGAGAACCCGTGACCGGGTTGGCCTCAAGTGCGGTGAGCCACTGCGTTTAACGATTGGACTCGAGAATTCCTAGTTCATACATAGGCCGTAGTGATACTTACTCTCTAGATTGTGGGGAAAAAACTGGAAACGTCTGGGGAAGGGAAGACCCGTACGGATGTCCGGTACCGTACCGTACCATACAAGCGCAACCGCGGTGGGAAGCGCGACTGCATACAGGGCAAACAATGCAAATAGTGCAAACCACCGTGATTTATCGATAATGGATTCCCTTGTTGTTGTCCTACTTTTTCTTATCGCCAACGCAGCCCCTCCAGAGCCTTTCCGTGAATGACATGCCTTCGGCCTTCGACAAGTCCATGGTCTTATAGGCTCCCGACACCACGTCGCCTGCAATCAGGGATCACAATCCCTGCTCCCACCTTCAGCAGGACATACAACGCCGCAACCATGCCTACTACTACTTCCCCACCGGCTCCCGCCCCGCGCAAGCCAATGCCCTCCGCGTTGACATTCGATCTACACGCGAAATGCTCAGTGAGTAGGGTGCTCGACTGCGGGCGAACCCGTCCTCTGACCGCACCGTTCTAACATCATTCACCCGTGTGGTGCTCATAGACAACCGGAGCTCGTGCCAGCACGCTAAAACTCCCGCATGGCTCCGTTCCCCTGCCGATTTTCATGCCCGTCGCGACCCAAGCGTCCCTGAAGGGGTTGACGTACGACCAGCTCAAGGAAACCGGGTGCATGCTGTGTTTGAACAATACATACCATTTGGGACTGAAACCCGGTCAGGAGGTGCTGGATGCCGTGGGCGGCGCACATAAGCTGCAAGGATGGGATCGGAATATCCTGACGGACAGCGGCGGGTGAGTTTGTTCTATCTCGTGGCGCTGATGGATCTACATCAGCCAATTATGCTTCAGCCGTCGACTAACAACGGTCGCATGCAGCTTCCAGATGGTTTCGCTACTGAAACTGGCCAAGGTGACGGAGGAAGGCGTGCGGTTTCTCAGCCCTCACGATGGCTCCCCGATGTATGTGATTTGGGTTGGCTTGATTGCGCTCAGCACTGTGGGGGTGGATCAAGGCTAATTCGGACGTCCAGGCTGCTCACCCCCGAACACTCCATATCGTTACAGAACTCGATCGGCTCCGATATCATCATGCAGTTAGATGATGTGATCGCCACTACCTCTCCGGACCACGCCAGAATTCACGAAGCCATGGAACGATCTGTCCGATGGCTGGACCGATGCATTGAGGCCCACCAATACCCTGAAAGGCAGAATCTGTTCTGTATTATCCAAGGAGGTCTGGACCTGGAGTTGCGCCGGCAATGCTGTGCCGAGATGGTGGCCCGGGATACGCCTGGAATCGCCATTGGCGGTCTTTCCGGGGGTGAGGCGAAGGAGGAGTTCTGCAAGGTGTATGTGCCGTTTTGGCAATGATTTGGATTCGAGCTGATGTCATTGCAGGGTCGGTACATGCACAAAGCTGCTTCCGGAGCACAAGCCGAGATATGTGATGGGTGTGGTAAGTTGACCAGGTTAAGTCCATTGTTCGACACATGACAACTGACGAGTTATCGTTTGACAGGGTTACCCCGAGGATCTCATCGTAGGCGTTGCCCTCGGTGCTGACATGTTTGACTGCGTGTGGCCAACAAGGACTGCCGTAAGCTTACTATCTACCTCGAGCGAATTGAGGAAGCGCTAACCCAGACCTACACAACAGCGATTCGGAAACGCGGTAGTTCCCAGCGGAAACCTTAACCTTCGACACATATCCTTTGCGGAAGACTTCAGACCGGTGCAAGATGGATGCACCTGTACGATATGTCGGCCGACGGACCAAGGCGGTCTCGGGATAACGCGCGCATATATCTACCATTTGGCCGCCAAGGAGACCGTCGGAGCTCATCTGTAAGATCTCTCGCCCTTGCCTTCCGTTCTGTACGGCTCTAATCCATACAGGCTCACGATCCATAATGTCCATTATCTGCTCTCTTTGATGGGATCTGCCCGCCAGTCCATCCTGGAGGACCGGTTCCCGGCCTTCCTCCGGCAGTTCTTCCACAACCTCTACGGGGAGAAATCGAAATATCCGGAGTGGGTAGTCGAAGCACTTCGAGGGGTGGGGGTTGATTTGATGGAGGATTAGTTGGATTGAGATCATTCCATCACGTGGACTTCTTTTCTTGGTTGTCATCCACGGAATTACTCTAGTACTGACGCATAGCGAATTGTCGCGACAGCGAACCCACCGGCAGTTTACCACTACTACAAAGTAACAGAATTATGATAAAGAAGGCAGTACCGCTTTAGGATATACATGATAGCTGCTTCCATAATATAATTGGTTGGTCTTCTCTTTCCAATTCCCAACCGCTGGAACTCCAGTATTTTCCATAGTAAGCTGGTAAACCGGTAGTATTTTATCGCCGCGAAGGACTGAAATAGACGGACTTTCTATATAAGCTAAGCTACCGTGCGATTTGAGCTAGCTAACGACGTAACTCGCTCTGACACTTACATAGGTTAAAATCGAGAATAGAATCATTCCGTCTATACTTGTCGGGAAGCGTAGCTCTCTATATACATATAGGCGCGCCCACATTCTGTGCCAGCAACAGAGGCCTTTTATACACCTCACCTACCTACTTTTTCTGTGCCGGCTATTATTAGTATTAAAATTGTTCGTATAAATCTCATCTTGGTTGGGTCGAGAGGGTCTGTCGCCTCTTTTTGTGTCTGTATAAGTGAGATAGCTGAGTTGATGGTCGCTATGGGGACGCTCATAACCCGGAAAGTTTTGACTTGATCTATGTGAATGATAAGCTTGCCTCCACTATATGTCTGTTTGCTTAGGGTCATCCTGCTATGCGCTATATGTACTGTAAATGTAAGACGAGTTGATATAACGATTGTGACTATAAGATATGACCGCCGATAGACGAGTGATAGGTTTAGTTAGAGAGAGTTCTCGCACGCATGTAATAGAGGACTAACTAACCGTACGGCCTGAGGAGATTGTCAGGCGCAGACGAGTACACTCCTGTGAAGAAAAAGAGCCCTCGGTAGCTGCCCTAAACCGTAGACGAATAATACTTATGTCTCTCCCGTCATCCCACCTAGTACCTGGGATCTCTGCGGAACTTGCTTTTGCTCAAGGCATCCAGATCTTCTACAATGGCCAGAATCCAGATGTTAGACCACACCCTCGCCATGGAGGCTGGGAACATCCTCGATGAGGTTGGGGTCCCTACCGTGCTATATGGAGAAGTATACTTGGGTAACTAAGCACACGGTTACTATACATGCAAATCGCACTTGGATGTTTCAATACTAGGTAACAAAGGCCTCCCCGATCTTCTTGGCGTATACCGTTGCCTCCAAGGCAGATCCAAGCTTGACGGAGCCCCAGGCCCTCCAGCCACGATTCCGGGCTGCAAGGTCGAGTCATACGGCATCATGGAGAGCCGACATCATGCTACCTATCTATATCGAAACCAATGGGCATGCAGGCAAAGTAAGCATGGCGCAGTTTGACACAGTCCCATTGGATGCTTCAATTGGGACAAGTCTGATTGGTGAGAATTATTGTCAGTGGGGCTTAACCAGCGAATCACAGTGCCGCAATTGTTAAGCATTCAAAGGTCGTCGGCGGCCTATGAAGTCATGCCGAACAGTATAAATAAGGCAGGTTCCTACCAGTGAATCTACCTGAATCTACCTGAATCTACCTTCATTATTTCCCAAGCTTCTTCTCTACTGTTGACCTTTGTGTTCGAATCAAACTCTCCCGTTTCCATCTTCACGACCGTGTTATCTGCCTACATATCCATATCCACCTTCGGGGCCAATATACTGCACTAGACTTTCAATCCTCGACTTCAACGCTTCAGCACCATGGTTCACCCTACCTCGACCTGCTGCAAGACCTCTGGCGACGGGAGCTGCGTCTGTGCAGCTCAGGCCAAGTGCTCGTGTGGCAAGGAAAACGCTCTTCACTGCACATGCAACAAGGCTGCCACCGAAAACGCCATCTCGGGTGCTCGATGCTCATGCCGTATGTTTACACTCCAATCCGGGACCATTTGATCAGTTTGAAACTAACTCGTGTCGCATAGGTGCGCGTCCCGCTGGACAGTGTACTTGCGAACGGTCAACGACCGAGAACCACCCGATCACCGGCGAGGCTTGCCCCTGCGGGAAGAGACTCCCCAGTATGTGCTTTTTGCCCTGGACAATTTGAGCCGAACCTGAACTAACCACTACTAGCGTCCTGCACCTGTGAGAAGGCTAGCTCCGTCGATGCAGCTGTCGAGGGCATTGAGACGGACTTTACTACCCGAGCTTGATTGATTGGGACTGTTTCTTCTTTTTAGCTGGGCACTTGGGGGCGTCTGGATTTTCGGACGATCTGTTTATGCATGGGTATGGGCGTGCGTTTCGGAGTTCAGGTTGTGGTGCGGCTGCAAAGACCCGTTGCCGGAACGGTTGACTGTATTGCATAATTATGGCATTGTTGCTAGTTGCATTCTCCATTGATATTTGTGGTTCTGATTGCTCGTTTTGGATCCTATCCTGATGCGCAACATCTACCCCTGCGCATCTGCGGTAGATTGACGTACGTGTAGTACACAAGCATATAGAGGTCGCGCTCGTGTCGCCTGTTAACTTTGTCAATTAACCAGATCATGAATAAATATGGATGAACCCGGCGTGGTTTAGTAGACCTACAGTACAGCAAAAGTCCCCCTGACATAATTGAGTAGCCTGACGTATGATATAAGTTCTATTTGACTTGGTTTTGCAGACTTGCTATAGTTTAGTAGGACTCTGGTACAGTATACGCCTTTTGCTTGGTGGTACAGAAAGGTTGTCTAGAAAGTGTAAAGAACTAACGTGAGAATCAACAAAAATGATGTATAGATAACGATCGGTATGTCGAGCACCGCCACAGCGTGTCAACGTTGTTCCGTGCACCGCCACCCTCGTGCGCGGATCGGCCGCGGAAGTGGCTCGGGCCTTCGCTCCCTAAAACAGCCATAGTACTTCTCTAAACTGAGCTTGTCCACTGACCTTTGAACATCTGGATCGTTTCTCTCGTTCTTCGGTCTCGGGACAACCTTCTCGGTCATTGTTCACATTATCTCTGTTTCGCTGTGTCTTCGGATTCCCCACCGTCAAGCTCCCCTTATTACTCCCCCCGCCGAAACCGATCGCTCCGCCCCTGGAAAAACGATCCCCACGCCCATTCCACATCATGTTCCTTTCGCCATAAACGGATTTACCAGAGGGCTGCAATTCGGGGCATGTTTGGATGACGCTATATTCCACCAAGTGAATCCCACCGACGTGGTTTCTATGCGCCTAAGTGTTCGAAAGTGAGGAAGAACGACGGGACTAGAACCCCCCTCCCCCTTTTCGGTTGCGAAATACCATCAGACCACCATCTCATCTCTTTCGTCCGTCGCAAGCCTGTGACGTCTATGCTGTATTGGTCACCATGTCGTCCATGCGAGGACTCGTCCAATTCATCGCTGATTTGCGCAACGCACGCGCGCGCGAGTTGGAGGAAAAGCGAGTGAACAAGGAATTGGCCAACATTCGGCAAAAATTCAAGTCTGGCAGTCTCAACGGATACCAAAAGAAGAAATATGTCTGCAAGCTGCTCTATGTTTATATTCAAGGGTACGACGTCGACTTCGGTCACCTGGAGGCCGTCAATCTGATATCCTCCCCCAAGTATTCTGAGAAGCAGATCGGATACCTTGCCGTAACCCTGTTTCTGCACGAGCAGCACGAGCTGCTGCATCTGGTCGTGAACAGTATCCGCAAAGATCTGCTGGATCACAATGAGTTGAATAACTGTTTGGCGCTGCATGCGGTGGCCAATGTGGGTGGCAGAGAGATGGGCGAGGCGCTCTCGGATGACGTTCATCGCCTGCTGATTTCCCCGTAAGCCGTCCTTGATCCCGGGGTTTCATTTGATACTGATGTTACGTGTCAGCACTTCGAAAGCCTTCGTGAAGAAAAAAGCGGCTCTTACTCTCCTCCGGTTGTATCGCAAATACCCTGGCATTGTGCAGAATGAGTGGGCCGAGCGCATCATTTCGATAATGGATGACCCAGATATGGGCGTGACCTTGTCCGTGACCTCTCTGGTCATGGCGTTGGTCCAAGACAAACCGGAGGAATACCGTGGAAGCTACGTCAAAGCTGCACAGCGGCTGAAGAGAATTGTGGTGGATAATGATATAGCACCGGATTATCTCTACTATCGCGTACCATGCCCTTGGATTCAGGTCAAGTTGCTGCGTTTGCTGCAGTACTACCCTCCCTCTGGTAATAAGCCCTACCCGCCTTTATTCAAGGCCGAAAACCCGTGTCAGACAAGCTAACGCGTCGCAGAGGACAGCCATGTCCGTGAGATCATCCGTGACTCCTTACAACAAATTATGCATGTGGCAATGGATACGCCGAAGAATGTCCAGCAGAACAATGCGCAAAACGCTGTTCTTTTCGAGGCTATCAATCTTTTGATCCACCTTGACACCGAGCACAGCCTGATGCTGCAAATTTCCAGTCGTCTAGGCAAGTATATCCAGTCGCGTGAGACCAACGTTCGGTACTTGGGACTCGAAGCCATGACGCATTTCGCGGCTAGGGCCGAGACTTTAGACCCCATCAAGAAGCACCAGAACATCATTCTTGGGTCCCTCCGGGATCGCGATATCAGTGTTCGACGTAAAGGATTGGATCTCATCTACAGCATGTGCGACACCACTAACGCTGGTCCTATCGTGAACGAATTGCTGCGCTACCTTCAAACTGCCGACTATGCTATTCGAGAAGAGATGGTGTTGAAGGTCGCAATTCTCACTGAGAAGTACGCCACCGATGCTCAGTGGTATATTGATATGACCCTGAAACTTCTCTCTCTAGCGGGTGACCACGTCAACGATGAGGTGTGGCAGCGCGTGATTCAAATCGTGACAAACAACGAGGAGCTGCAGGCTTACGCAGCCCATACCTTGCTTAATTACTTAAAGACCGATTGCCACGAGAGTCTCGTGAAGATCGGATGCTACGTTCTAGGGGAATTCGGCCATTTGATTGCCGACAATCAAGGTTCGAGCCCCATCGAGCAGTTCCTGGCATTGCAAGCCAAGATGATAACCAGTACCGACAACACTCGCGCGATGATATTGTCGTCCTTTGTGAAATTTGTCAATCTCTTCCCTGAAATCAAGCCGCAACTCTTGCACATCTTCAAGCTCTACAGCCATTCACCGGACTCCGAGTTGCAGCAGCGCGCCTTTGAATACCTGTCATTGGCGACACTTCCCTCCGATGATCTTCTCCGAACGGTCTGCGATGAAATGCCTCCATTTTCGGAGAGAGCCTCGATTCTCTTGTCTCGACTCCACCAGAGAACAGCGGGCACAACCGATAAGAAAACCTGGGTTGTGGGCGGCAAGGACGCCAATACGGACAAGAAAGAGATGCTCATGGCGCAAAACACGGGGCTTAAGCGCACGTTCACCACTATTGTCAATGGCACGAAGACCGGAACGAACGGAACGGCGCCGGCGCCGGCAACATCTCCCTCGAGTGCGTCGGGCGACCTCGCAGGATTGGACCTCAGCGCCCCATCAGCACCCCCTCCAAACCTGGCGAGTGCGGCCCATCTGACGCCAGACTGGGATCTTGGGTACAATCGACTGTACTTCGCTGATGAAGGTGTGCTCTTTGAGGATGCCCAGATCCAAGTCGGGCTGCGGTCTGAGTATCGGGCTCATATGGGTGTAGTAAAGATCTACATCACCAACAAAGCATCTTTCCCAATTGGATCGTTGACCACCACGGTGGACAACCGCTCGGCGCCAAATCTCAAGGCCGACACCAAGAGTCTTCCCGATCCCTCCGTTCCGGCGGCAGGCCAAACCCAACAGACGCTCTTCTTTGGGGCCAACGGGCCCTTCACGGAAGCACCTACCATTCGGATTTCATATCTTGCAGGTGCACTGCAAGCCTACACCCTACAGCTCCCCATATTAATGCACCGGTACATGGAGCCGTCCGCCTTGTCTGCCGAAGAATTTTTCAAACGCTGGCGGCAAATCGGGGGCGGTCCTCTGGAGTCCCAGAGTACGTTTGGCGCCATGGCAAAGGCTAAGGGAATCGGTGAATCATTCACACGAAAATCGGTCGAAGGATTTGGATGGAGGGTGTTGGATGGGGTCGATCCCAATCCCAAGAACATCGTGGGGTGTGCGGTCTATCAGTTTTCGACCGGTAAGACGGGCTGTCTCCTGCGGTTGGAGCCCAATTATGACAAGAAGGTAAGGCTCCTCCCCTTCGACTAAAGGTGTGCGCGCGAGGGCAACATAATAGGTGGCTAACGTTATTTGCCCTGACAGATGTACCGGATCACCATCCGAGCAACGCAGGAAGCGGTCCCGCAGGCCCTGGCAAAGCAGATGGAACAGAGATTATCGCAGGGAACTCTAGCCAATGATTTGTAAATTCCATGACGAGTGAATCTTTTGTAAATTTGGCAGGAGGCGAGCGAGGTTCCCTTCTTTTTTTTCCCTCTTCACTTATTTTCTTTCCTCACACATTTCATAATGTATTTTCTTCGATTCTCTGACCTAAAATCTCCCGGGACGTGAGATGATTAGGTAGATTCATTGATATCAATTACTCTATATATGAATACTTTTGAACAGTGACACCGTCTTTTTCCACAAACATCAGTGCATATTCCCGTTTATCCCCTCGCCCTATTCTTGGCCGTCGTGACAATGCAAGATCGTAAATCATCAAACTCTTCATTCGGTTTAAATAACCCTCGCCTGATCCTTGGGTGGCCGTTCGCCGAAGATGGTCGTTCCCACGCGAACCTCGTCACTTCCCAAAGCAATAGCACCTTCGAAATCCTCACTCATGCCCATGCTCAGCTCCAACTCGGCATCGGAGCCGTGCAGGCCTAGTTGAGTGACAACGCGATCGCGGGTATCGCGTAGACAGACAAAGTCCTCATTCTCGGTCTCCGGAGTCGTGGCCTTGGATCGCGCAATCGCCCCGATGGTCATGAGCCCTTGCAGCTTCAGGCGGGGGCATTGTTCCCGGATAAAGCGACACAGCGACACGGTGCCCTCGGCGGGGTCAACCCCGGACTTGTTATCCTCACCGGACGTGTTCACCTGCACAAACACCCGGAGTCGCTCGTCGGAATCGGTGGCGCGCAGATCGGCCGACCGCTCGCCCCAGCCTTTATTCAGCAGCGAGGCCTTCTTCTCGGAATCCACGCTCTCGACGGCCCAGAGCCCGCGCACGTCGCGCGCCAGCGCGGCGCACTTGTTCGACTGCAGCCCGCCGATGAAATGCCAGCGGATGGTGGGGGGCAGGAGCTTGGATTTCTCCAGGAGCTCCTGCATGTAGTTCTCGCCGAAGTGGAGGTGCGACGCGGGGGGTTGATGCAGAGCGAGCAGGTCGGCGGCGGGCTTGAGTTTCGAGACGGCCACGAGGCGGATCGGCTTGGCTTCGACGCCGTTGGCGACCCTCTTACTCGCAGCGGCAGTCACGCGCGAGCTGACGGCGCCCAGGTTGGAGAGAAGAGTGGCGGTTCGGGCGGGGGAGGCGGGCATGACGGTAGTAGTTGGGGAGGAATCGGTCTGGGAAGTCATGGCCAAGAGAGAGGGAGGGTGGAGAGAGTGACAGACAGACAGAGTTGAAACAAAGGAAAGAGAATAGCGTAGTGAGTAAACCGAGTAAAGCTTGTCGGTTGTCTTCCCGTTGACGATGCCTCAAGTCCCTCATCCTTCAGGCCCGCGCAGGCTAAACCCAAAGAGGACGACGAGATGCCGCGGTGCCACGTGACACGGGAGATCGGCTCCGAAACCCTCCGACCGGAGCGGCTAGCCGGAAAAGGTCAGGCGCGGCTTCCCCGGACGGCGCCGCGCATGCCGTTTTCGGCGAGGGTCAGAGTCAGGGTTACTAAGAATAATCGTGGATCTCAACTATTGCTTTTTGGTGCTGCCACGCTATTTCCCACGGTTCCTCCGACTATTTGCCATCCGTCTTGAGCGAGCTCACCCTGACTATGAAGAAAGACTACGGAGTGCAGAGTACGGAGACCAACTCCTCCCTAGTACGACTGTACGAGTTACCAATGGCACGCCGTGTTGGACACTGTGACGGCGGCTCCAGGGTCGAATCCACTCTGCCGTCCATCAAATTTCCTTGGGCTCCATCTGATTTCACCTTGATCAACTCGAGAAGAATCGAGGGCCTGTCGTTAGTCTTCTGACTAAGATCGTTGGCGCCAAAGGATCTTTGTTTCTTGCGTGATCGTCTTTCATCTCGGTCTTGGATTGTCGATTTGTTTCCTTCTTTCGGCTTGAAAGGGGGGTTTCGCTGATTCCTTCTTTCCCTTCTAGACGGCCCGCTTAAGAATACACATAATCTAGGTCACATCTAGGGTAAGGGGGCGCAGTTTAGGCTGAACCTTTTCGTGCACGCGACCACCACAGAGAGAGAGAGAGAGAGAGAGACAGACAGACAGACAGACAAGACAGTCCGAGCCAAGCCCAGGCACCGATAAACCTACTTTCGAACCTCGACTACGATAGGGCAACGGCAAGAGAGAGTCAGCGACTCAGCGGCTAGGCCGGTGGGATTTCAACGGCCGGATATTATTGGATTGGGATTGGATTGGGTGAATAATGAAGACTCCACCGTCGTAGGCGTTTCTTTGACGCCGGGTCTTCTCCACCGTCGCATTTCGTGCTGACGTCAAAGTAATTATTATGGACTGGGCCCCGTCTGCCTCCCTAAGTCTGCGCATCATCGTTCTCGCTCCATTAAGGTCACAAATCTTTCTGGACCCTCTCCGTGTCTTATAGCTACTACTACTAGTAGTCTACTACCTACTCCGTACTTCCGCTGCCATCCCCTTCCTTATCCCATCCCCCGTGGCTGTCATTATCGCCCCTCGAGCTGTCTCTACTATCTATTTATCTACCTGCCTACTATCACTCCCACGGAATCATCCTCCTGTCTCTAACGAGTCCGATTTCTACTCTGGTTTATCCTCCATTACTATCACCATCACTGCTACCCTCGTCACAGGGAGACCACCGTGATCTTGCCGTAATTTGGGGGGGTAAACGATCAAAAGAAGGATGGATTGAGGTGCTACGCAGCAACAGACATAATCCAAACGACTCGCAAGAAGACTCTACCGTTAGACATCGATTCCGATCCCGATCAGATTTCAGATTAGAATTATTTCGCATACAAATTTCTCACGATTTTGTTGGATTTCTGCATCTCGACCCTTTTTTCCTCAGAAAAATTTTCCCTTTCCTCTCTCTCGGTGTTCATCGGAAGCTCGCGGAGTTGCACGGTCCTTCATCAACCCACCACCCCAACAACCTTGAAGTCTCCTGAGAAGAGACCAGAAATATCATCAAACCGCATCATGTGTCGACAGTACTTCACTCTGTACGAGTGGTGTCAATGTGAAGAAGACGCCGGTCATCAACTCTGCCCCTCTCGCAGGCAAGAAAGCTGCCCCGGCACGTCCATTGAGACGGTGCATATGCAGTGTTTCTGCAACACTCATGCAACCAGAGGCTTTAAAACGGAAAAGAAATCCAAGCGATCATGGAAGGGATCCTCTATCAACAGCGGCGACGAGAAAGGGACAATGGCTCCCCGTCGAAGATGGTATCATCTATGTGGTGTGCGATCCCGAACATTCTGAATGGAATGGAATGTCTCTTTCATTTCCCTCACTCTTGTCATTTTTCGTTTTCCATTTTGCATTTTCTTTTCCTCCTGAATATTGGGTAAGCGACAAAGGACCGGTGTTAAATTTCTTTTTCAAAGGACGGCAGGACAGGGGTTGGGGTTTGAAGGCGTTTGATCTTTTGTCTATCTTTTTTTGGTTCTTTTTTTGGGGGGGTTCTTGTGGATGTGGAAACTCATGTTAGATATCATTTCTGCCAATGACTTTTTGGGCAGACTTTTCTGCCAATATTATTGAATGAATGACTACGGCCATGAGGGTTTGGGATTTATCCCATCGGTCCAGACGACGATCTTTCAGTCGTATGGGAAGATCGAGATCGTAGGTTGTAGTAGACAAGGTGAACCGGAGAATTGTGTAGGGGGAAAAGGGAGAAAGGAAGAAAGAAAGGCAGGAAGGAACCAGGGGGGAAAAGAATGGAGGATCGACGGCCCCCTTTTGCCGCGATCTCCTTGTTTGCATGTTTCTCCCCTCATTCAACCATTCAACCTTCCTCCCTCTTCCACTATCCTTTCTTCCTGCAGAACCGCCAATCTCCTTTGTGACTTTCACCATTCTGCCCGTTCTTTGGCGAACTCAATAATATCACTCACCATCACAGCTCCATTGTCTTCCCTCCGCAACGACCAATGCGACGTTCATCGGCGTCATGGACCCCTCCAACCGCGATGACCCTCCATCATTCACTCCCTCTTTCACTCAAATGTCCACCTCTTCTTCTTCTTCTTCTCCACCACCTCCCCCTCCAACCATCGATCCTACGCCTTGGTCCGACCACCTGAACTACTCCTCTACCGACGCGACTCCTCTGCCAGCTTCCCCTCCCGCTGCGTCCTCCTCGTCGCGACTATCCCCGTCGAATGCGCCCCCGCGTTCGGAGCTCTCCCAGGCGCATTCGGCCCCTCGACGCACTACCAGCTCCAACTCTTTGCGAGATGAGTTTCGTCGGTCTACTCCCAGTTTGAAAAAGCGCTCGTCTACTGCCTCGCTGCGATCGATACATCACGGAAGTGGGGGGTCCCCGCGTCCTACTCTGTCGCGACAGTCTTCGTCGTCCACTTTCGCGACCTCCCCTACCGCCGCGAACACCCCAAACATGTCGCTCAAAAAGCCCTCTTCAAATGCTCCGCATGAGACCCCCCATCCCACCGCTGCCTCCATCGCCGCCGGCCACTTCTACAAGGAGCTGGGTCTACACCAGTCCGCGGATCTACACTCCCAAACCGTCGTTGTCCTTCACAACGCTTGCTACGGCCACCGTTTCTCGCGTCCCCGGTCGACGCGCACAACTTTGAACTCCATCGTGGAGAGGCCGGAACGGATTCAAGCTGGGGTTCTAGGTGTTTCCGCTGCCTATGTCCGCTTGGCGCATAGGTATACCGGTGGCCGCTTTGTCCCGCATCCGGATCTCAACCCGAGCCATCTGCCCGTGCCACCATTTCAGATTCGGAGGACGGAGCGGACCATGTCTCTCAGCTCTCCCGCTGTCACACATGTGCATGGGGCGAAATGGATGGAAGACCTGAAGAGCATGTGCGATGCGGCGGAATCCCGTCTGGCGATGAATGGTAAGGAACTGACCCGACCCCGCAGTGCGGGCAAGGACGGCGCCGGCGTGAATGCGCCCGCGCTTCACGAAGGAGATCTGTACCTATGCTCGGAGTCCTTAAACGCGTTCGAAGGCGCTCTTGGAGGCGTTTGCGAAGGCGTCGATGCCGTCCTTGGTCCTAGTTCAGCGACGCGCGCCTTTGTGTGTATCCGGCCCCCGGGACATCACTGCTCGTCAGGCCATCCTTCCGGGTTCTGTTGGATCAATAATGTCCACGTTGGCATCTCCTACGCTGCCATGACGCATGGCCTGACGCACGCCGCAATCCTGGACTTTGATCTGCATCATGGCGATGGCTCGCAGGAGATTGCGTGGGACCAGAACCAGAAAGCGATGACCGCTCCCAAGAACGCGGCCAGCTACAAGAAAGCCATGACGGGTTACTTTAGCCTTCACGACATCAATTCTTACCCCTGCGAGGGCGGGGAGCTGGAGAAGGTACGCAACGCGAGCGTCTGCATCGACAACGCGCATGGCCAGTCCATTTGGAACGTTCACTTGGAGCCGTGGAAGACGGAGCGGGAATTCTGGGAGCTCTACGCTGCCAAATACACGGTGCTGATCGAGAAGGCCCGCGCATTCTTGCGTCTGCATACAGAGCGCCTTCTCGAGACGCCCCAGGGGCCTCGGCCCAAAGCGGCCATCTTCATCTCCGCCGGGTTTGACGCCAGCGAGTGGGAGAGCGCGGGCATGCAGCGACACAAGGTCAACGTCCCGACCAATTTCTACGCCAAGTTCACCGCCGACGTAGTTCGAATGGCGGCCGAGGAGGGCCTAGGAGTCGACGGGCGCGTCATCAGCGTCTTGGAAGGCGGTTACAGCAACCGGGCTTTGACAAGCGGCGTCCTGAGTCACCTTTCGGGATTGAGCGACTCGAGGATGGCTGCTGACAGCGCAGATGATCAGCAGATGAATCGGTTGGCCGCCGAGATGTCGGATCGTCTGGGAATATTCGATGCTGAATCAGGACCGAATCCAACTACCCCGTTACCACAGGCCGTCTATGACAGCGACTGGTGGTCCCCCGTCACGCTGGAGGAGCTGGAAACCTTAGTGTATCCTCCGCCAGCACCGGCCAAGTCTCGCGAGAAAGCAGCGTCAACTTACTTCGCACCCACGCAGTCATTCACCGCGAAAGTGGTCGCCACGCCGCGCGATCGCAGGTCCAACGGCTCGCAGATAAGCGTGGACCACGAGGCGCCACCATTACCCCCGGTGGGCTGGGCCACCGCGACGCATGAACTGTCGAAGATTCTCATCCCCAGCGATCGACAAACCACCAGCTGTCGGCCTGAGGAGCTCAACGCCGAAGCGTCACGCTTGCGGCGGGAGCGACAGACGACCATCGACGGCGCCGGCAGTGCTACAGCGCCAACCGCCCCCGAGGCAAACCGCAGGAAGCTCCGGGAGAGAAAACCCAAGACTTCACTGCCGAGCACTCCCAGGGTGCAGACCCCGAAACGACAAGCGCCGCGGGACAGCCGCAGGACGACGATCGACCCCGCCAGTGACCTCCCAGATGCCACCAAGGACGAGGCCTCGCCCGGTATGCGTCCGGTCCGCAGAAAGAGCGCTACTTCTGCTTCTACGTCTGCGTCGACACGACCACCGTCTGGGGACCACGTCGTTGGAGAGCCTGCTCCAAGGTCGTCGTCAAGCGGGTATGGTCGCCCCGGAACTGCAGCGAGCGGTCGCAAAACGAGCAGCTCGCGACCTACCACCCCGAAACGCCCCGCCAGTCCTCGCAAGGCACCTCCGGTTCCTCAAGTTCCGTCCAGCTTTCTTTCATCTGTGGGATCTGGCGAGGGAGCGCCAAAATTGCCGAGCGAGTCGACCGGGGCGACTCCGCCAAATGACATGGACAGTCTAGCGGCTGGAGTGCGCAAGCTGAACATTAAGTTAAAGGTGCCATCTCCAGAAGAGCACGCTGCTCGCGAACAAAAGGCAGCCGACGAGCGCAAAAAGCAATTGACCAAGCCGGCAAAGACCCTTAAGTCGCCCGGACTAACTCCAGGCATCAAAGGATCACATCCATCCACGAGTAAACCGGCCTCGCGCTCGTCCTCGGCCCCCACTAGCTCTCGGGTCGGTCCCCATACTCTTGCGTCGCAGCCCGCACCAAGTAACGCTGTCAGAACGGAGGAACCGGGACATCCAATGGCCTCGCCAGCCGTGGTTCCGGAGGCAACAATGGTCCCGGGATCGAACACTGCCTCCGGAGGGTTCGGGACGACCAGTGTTGCAAATCAGCATGGCTGGACCGATCTTGAGGCGGTATCCAACCCAAAGTCCTCGCAGGTGCCCTCCACCACGACGCCGGGGGACTTGGTCCAGGTCGACGGGTCCCATTCGACTCTATTTTCGCCGCCGACCTCTGCCGGTGTGAACAAGCACGGACTGCCTGTCTTCACGTCCAGCAGCCCGATTCCCTTTGCGTCAACGAGTAGTACTGCTCCGCCCAGCACATATGAGACCTCGGAGCGTTAAGTCATGGTGTCGTGTGCCAACTTGTCTACTATTGTGATCTTACATCGGCACCCCCACACTCTCTATCGTTCTACTCCTTGTTTTCTTTTCATACTACCTGCTATTTCTGTCGGCTATTCTGTGTTTGATATACCCCCCTTGTTGTCTTTGAATGAAATGATTCCATCTGCCAGTCTCGTGACCCGTAACCTACGGTGTACTACCTATAACTTACCATACGTATCGTATTGTCTTATCTCCGATCTCCGTGGCTGAGTCAGCCCTCCGCATGTGCCAGCGGTTTCCAGCGGCGTCTGCTGCCTTACTCATCTCTTGCTCTTTCTCTCTCTCTCTCTCTCTCGCTCTCTTTCTCCCATAGTTATACTTCTAGGCTGCCGTGCGGCCTTCTCATCCCCTTGACGCTTTGATTCTGTCACTGATCTCACTTCGTTTCCACTTTTTCTCTGCATCTCTCTCCGCCACCATGTCCCCAATCTCCGTCACCAAAGGTCAAACCCAAACCTCGGGCGCCGATCCCGCCGAGTCCTCCTTCACGCAGATGGCCGACAAAGACCTTGAATCGATCGGCCGACACTGCCAGTTCGAATACTGCCACCAGCTTGACTTCCTCCCCTTCCGCTGTGAGTCCTGCCGCGGCACCTACTGCCTCGACCACCGCACCGAGACCGCCCACCGCTGCGCGCGCGCCGGCGAATGGGCCCGCCGACGCAATGGCCAGACCAACTCCTCGAGCACCAGCACCTCCGCCGCCACGCAGAAACCCACCATCTACAACTCGGACCAGTGCGCCCACCTGCAATGCAAAACACTGATCAACACGCTAACGGACCCGGGCGTGCGCTGCCCCAACTGCACGCGACAATACTGCCTGAAGCACCGACTCCGGGAGGAGCACGACTGCGCCAAGATGGCGCCGCGCGGGGCCGGACTCGGCGGCGCGGGGACGACGGGCGCCAACGCCAACGAGACGCTGAAGTCGATGTTTGCGCGCGTACGCACCTGGGGCAAGGACAAGAGCGCCGGGCTGGTGCCGACGCCGAAACCGACCAGCGCTGCGGGCCGCACGGCGCAGCTGAACGCCATGAAGCGCGCCGCGAAGGGGGATGCGGCGGTGCCGACGGAACGGCGGGTGTATCTACATGTGGCGGGCACAGCGGAGACGGAGCGCGCTGAGGCCCCGGCCGGGGACTTCTTCTTCGATGCCCGGTGGAAGGTGGGCCGAGTGCTGGACGACGCGGCGCGACGGCTGCATGTTGAGAATGTGAACAATCGCGCGGGTGAGGAGGCTCGGCTGCGCATCTTCCATGTCGAGTCCGGCGAGTTTCTCGAGTTCTCCGAGACCATCGGGCAAGGGAAGGTCAAGTCGGGGCATACCATTGTCCTATTACGGGGGGCCGGGGTGGCTCTGGGAAAGTAGAGTAAGGGGTGTCATATTTTGCATGAGCGATTGCGCTTTCATAGAGGTGCGCATCTCTTTCTGATGGTAAGACTTCCTGACTTTTGCCGGCATTTTACGCATTTCCCGAAGTTTCTTTGTTATGTTTGTTACGATACTCCCCAGCGCGTGTGCCTGTTATTTCCGCAACTTGTGAATAGAAATTAAACACAAAGAAGATAATGAAGATGATATAATAATCTATGTACAATCTAAATCCTGGTATCATATAAAACCCCAACCCCTCATCCCAAGCGAAACGTCAACAGGCAGACAAACAAGACTTCTAATCTAAACACTCATCTGCATCTTAATCGCCTTATGAGGCTTGTAACCGATCACCTCAAAGTCATCCTCCTTCCACCCATCGACAACGCCACTGCCACGATCCTCGCGCTTGATCTTCAACTCCGGGAACTCCGTCGGCTCGCGCGTCAACTGCTCCTGCAGCGGCTCGACGTGGTCCAGGTACACATGGGTGTCACCCATGGAGTGAGTGAAGGTGCCCGGGTGCAGATCCGCCGCGTGCGCCAGCATATGCGTGAGCAGGGCATATGAGGCGATGTTGAAGGGCAGACCCAGCGCGGAGTCGACGGAGCGCTGATACATCAGGCAGGAGAGGTGGCCCTTGGAGCCGGGGCCGTTGGGGAACGAGACGTAGAACTGGGCGAACATGTGGCACGGGGGTAGGGCCATGAGCTTCAGGTCGGCGGGGTTCCAGGCGGACATGATGATGCGGCGGTCGTAGGGGTTGTGTTTCAGCTTGTGCACGACGTCGGCGAGCTGGTCGACGCCCTGGCCCGTGTAGTCGGTGTTCGCGTCGACGTAGGGCGCGCCGAAGTGGCGCCACTGGAAGCCGTAGACGGGGCCGAGGTCGCCGACCTCGCGGTGTTCGAGGCCGACCTTGTCGAGGAACTCGCGGCTGCCGTTGCCGTCCCAGATCTTGATGCCCTTCTCGGACAGCGGGAGGGACGAGGTGCAGCCGGAGATGAACCAGAGGAGTTCGGCGACCACGCCGCGCAGGAACACGCGCTTGGTGGTGAGGAGGGGCAGAATGGGGACCGGGTCGCTGGTCGGGGTGGCGCCGGGCTTGGAGAGGGAGAAGCGTAGTTGCTGGCCGAAGATTGAGCGGGTGCCGGTGCCGGTGCGGTCGGGTCGATGCTCGCCCTCGGTGAGGATGGTGCGGATGAGGTTGAGATACTGATGCTCTTCATGAGCGGGGTTGGCAGGGGTGGTGGGGTCGCTGGTGCGAGTGTCGGGGTTGGCTGCGGAGGGAGACATGGTCGATGCTGTGACGGGTGATGGGAATGTATGCTGATGATGTAAAGGAGTCTGAGTCAAGGGCAATGATAAGAGGAATTGAAGTTGAAGTTGGAGTCGGAGGGGCATCGCAAGCGCGCGTACGCGACGCGGCACGCTGTCACGTGTCTTTGTACTATGCGGAATTAACGTGTTTATCCACTATAACAAGCAAAATGTATAGAGAGGTATTCTAATAGAAAAGACTGTAAATCTCTGTTATAGATATATAAATATTGGCATTAATAGGTATTTATCAAGTGATAATGGAGAGACTGTTGGCCTATGCGGGTGGAAGTAGAAGATAATTACAAACTTGAGCTCTAGTAGTGAGCAGTAGTGAACTCTGGTTGTTTTTCCTTTCGATATCTTGATTTCTACCTTATCTACATTCGACTCAGTCTGGATTATCTCCAGATGATGTAGAGGGATTTTCACTTTGGCGCCTTAAAGGTAATGAATCCGTTCACTGTCTTATGATTTCCCTTCCGATCGAGTATCTGTCTAGGATCTACTCCGTTCCGTCTCCCTACTACTGTGTACTAAGAACATACAGTACATACAGTGCATAGCTCGAAGAGGAAAAGATAGACCCAGAGTAACCGGATTACACAAAGGATTAAGTAAATTAATATTAAGAGCTTTAGACGAAAATCCAATAAGGCTATATCCTGTATTCCCGCCCGCTCCAGTTGCCCTGTCGAAAGTTCCGAGCAATAATGCAGAGTAAAGTCAAATAAGGGAAATTAAAAAGGCAGAGGGCGAGGGACAAGCAAGAAGCTCAACCTCTCAGGCCGAAGCATAAAGTTTTATAAGTAATTGGCATAATCAAACGGCTGATTGCCAAACTTGGCCCGCAGAGGATCCAAGATCTGCGGAGGGTTGGCCATCCGGTCTTCAGATGCGCTACCGACGGTTCCGTGACCCACATTGCTCGGCTCGGGTGGGAATGAAGCCGGTAGACTCATGCTGGAAGCATTGGCCTGGCTGTATGGAATAGCGGTATTCATGCCGTAAGGGTGGTGTTCGTATGAGTACGGTCGATAGTCCGACGAGTCCGAAACGGGTATTGAATGTAGTGAAGGCATATGTCGTCCGTGTGCTTGCATTTGCGAGTTCATTTCCATCCCCCCAAATCCCTTGGGCGCGGGCATCGTAAGCGGAGGTTGATAATTTTGCGCTTGCTGGTCTGATGGGAGATTGCGGTCAGTCCAACCATAATATCGGTTAAGCGGGTTTCGAAGAGACCTACTGTGACTGTCCATATTATACGGTACAGAGTGCTCGGGTGGGCCAGTCGGTGATACCGAGCCCTCCAGTGGCCGATGATGGTCATATCCCACGATCATACCATTGGCTGGCCGGTTCATACCAAAATCCACGGGGCGCCGCGCATAGGACATGCCGGGAGGGTTGAGGGGATCGCCTGGTCTCGAAAATCGGCCGGGGAAGTGCAGCCCGGTATTGAATGAAGATTCCGAAAAACTGCTCGATCTAGGAAAGGGAAATGACCCCCGTGTATTCCTCTGCAGCTCCGTCATTGGCGCGCCGGGGGGTGCTCGGCCTGTCCCTTGGTAGGTTTCCATACTTCTGTCGGCCGCGGCTGAGAAGCCGTTCCCTGTTGTGGATGCCGAGCTTAAGGGGGAGATCACATAGTCGTCCTCGTTCATTCGTTGTAGACCGTCCGTGAGCAACATCTGGGATTGACGGTTAGCATCAAAACTGGGCTCATGTCGGTCGGTAGGTCTTGAGGGAGCACGCACCGGTGTTTCTGACGTTTTGCCGTCGAAAGGGGTCCGGAGCACCTGAGTTGTGTCAAAATCATCAGGTAGTGCTCTAGACTTTAGCATTCGCTCCCGATCATTGCTGGTAAGCCTTTTGAGTTTTGCACGCCTAATGAAAGTATGTTAGTCGAGTGCCATGGAAAGAAGGGGGGTAAAAAGAAGAACTGACCTGTTCTGAAACCAAACCTGAACCTGACGGGGCGTCAGTCCTGGAATTTCCCTTGATAATCGTTCTCGGTGAGCGGCGTCAGGATGTGCCTGACGGGTGAACTCGCTCATTAGGAACCGGGTTTGGTTGTGTGTCAAGCTACCAGATTGAATCAGCACTCGTCTTCATACCAACGCAGACCTGCCCGGTCAAACCACCATGAGCACCAACCGAAATCGTTTCATCTTTTTCTTCTCCGTTTTCGCATCAGATGCCCGCTTTTCCGTCGAGGATCCTGCTCCTTCATCGGACGAGGCCGCCATTGCATCCGCATGATCCTTCTCATACTCCTGCATCTCATCCTGCTCATGCTTCCTGAGATCGGGAGTCAATTCCCTCTGAGTGTTGGGGCTGACAGCGGCGCGTGGGGTGGAAAGAGCGGGTTCGCTGTGGTTGAGTTTGTCCAATCTCATCCGTGACAACGAATCTCCCTCCGCTTCAGGTTTTCGGTTTTCTGAATTGCTTAAGGGCATTTCTCCCCCTGAATACCGACCTTGAGCGGAAGCACCTGGGGAGGTCATAGTTGGAAAGGCATTTTCAGCCTTGAGCACAACCGGTTGCATGGCGGCAGGAGACGCCCTTGCTACGTCGGCTGGTTTCTCCCACGGTCCGGGTACCCTCGAAGGTATCACCCTGGGCCTCGATGGGACCTGCTCACTGTTCCAGGACGGTGCCTGCCAGTGATTTGTGATTGCAGATAGATGAGATGTAGATGGGGGTGACAGCGAGGACAACCAGACGCAGGGTCCACTGATTGACATGATAGTAATAGAATCACTCCCCCATATAGTCACGTTAGAAACGCCTAACAATGATTCGATAGACCTTTAGCTTTGAGTGTATCCCAGTCGAAAAATATTAGGGAATTGCCCTAGTCTCAGGATCACTGCCAAAGAACACGGGGTCTGAGCGAGCCTTCGGGGCGCTTCCTGAAGAAGTTCAGGGTTTCTTGGGATCCGCCGATTATTAGGTGAGAAAAAGAAAAACGAAAGCGGGGAGGGACGAAGAACAATGGCAGTCGGTTCTTCTTTCGACAATGCAAAGAATAAAAATATTAAAATAAAGTAAAAGATATCAAAAGAGGGGAAAGCTAAACGAGAGGAAAAGAGAAAAGGAGAAGGGGATGAGTAGAGAATGCAAGGTAATCTCTGGGACTCGGAACCCTCAAGGTAGAGATGGTATCCAGATTGATGGTAGACGAACGACAACGAGTCAAGGGGAAGTAACAAGATATTCAATGAGCTAAATGTTCTCACGAACCACCAAATTTTCCCCTGTCCCTCGAGCGATAAAGGAGAATCTCAATATCAGCTAAGGCCAACAGCCAGCGGCAAAAACTGAGGGTCGATCCCTCCACTGGGTCCTGGATACGGCCGGGGGCTTGCCGTATGGTGGGTAGAAGGTTATAGAAGAAATTAAACAGTGCTTAGCCAAGCGGGTGAGAAGGGTCAGGAAAATTAATCAGAGGGGGTGGGAGAAAAATAATAAAACATCACGGTAGTGGAAATAACAGCCAGAAAGAAATGGGATGACGGCCAAAGGCCCTGATGACGGCCAAAGGCCCACTAGATCTTCCACACTGGCCACCACAAGCAATAATAAAACTAAAAGGATGCAACAAATGCCACGAAGACGCTCCCACTTGTTGGCAGTCGTCACGAAAAACAGGGGATGGCTGGTTTACTCTTGATACAGGAAGCCAGTCCAAACGATAGGTAGAGACATCGATGCTAACGCGGAGGACAAACTTAAAAAAAATAATAATCGTAATAATGATAGAGGGAAAGGTAGGAAAAAGGAAAAAAGAAAACAAGAAACAACGGGAAAATAATAAAATGATTGAATAAAAACGGGTCCAGAGGAGAAATGTAAGGAAAAATATTGAAAAAAAAAAAAAAAAGAAAAATGATTGAACGGGCCACCGCTTGATAGTTTGGTTGACGGAGATCTTACACCATCCTGTGTTTGTTAACGATGCTCCGTAGCGGGTACTTGGTATACTCCGTATCCTGCGAATGATCATAGGGGCCAACGATACCACAAGAGAAAGGGGAGGGGGGAGGTAGTGACTTGGCTCAGGAAATTGGCCATTACTCCCAGGATCGGTTCCAGTTCAGCGTAGCGGTAGTAGTGTGCTAGAAAGCGGTACTAGCAATGGTGCTTGGTATCATTCACCAAAAGACCGAAAGATGATCACGCAGCCAGGGTTTATTTCCTTGACGCGTTGGAACTGACACAATCGTCCCTCGGTACATGCAGGCACGAACGAATTTCCTGAATCAGATTAGGGAGAAAGAGGGGGTAAACAAACCCACTCCATATACAATCAAGAAAAAGAAAAAAAAAATCACAGCATTTTTGCTGCGGAAGCGAAGTGGCGAACTGAAGCTCCACGGCGGCCAGGCAGTGTCAGACGGTCTAGGATGGGCCATGGCAGCCCTGTGAATGACACTAATAGGGGGTGGGAAGGGTTTGTCGTGGTTCACGGCAAAGGAGATGTGGTCACTACTGCTCCGTATAGCTACGGAGTACGGAGTAGATACTCACAACTCCAACGGGTCAACTCTTCGAGAGATGTTCTCACATTCCACAGCCATGATTGCACGCAAATTTTCCGACGTGGAGCCGGGGTCCCAAGACCATCGCATCACATCGGGCGGGTCTCTGGAAGTCTAGGATGTTCCTAGTCCGGCACCCACCGACCATTGTGCTGACCAGCCAACCGTTGTTTTGGAGGGTAAATGGACCCTTGTTGCCTGGCTGGAGCTGGACCTGACTCATCCGACGCCAGAGTCCTGTTACTTGAGACCAGTACGGAGTAGACCATGTGGAATGCCTACCGACGGCGCTAGTCGTGCGTTGGCTCCATAATCCGCCGGAGACCGGGCATAAGATCAAGGACGAAGTTCTGAACCTAAGAGCCACTTAGCGGCCTGCCCGCCACCGTTCACCCCCAAAAAGATAGAGGATTGACTTGGGCGAGGACAGCGTTGTGGACAAACAACTGAGGGCGCGAGGACGATACTTACCGTACGTAACTCTGAGGAACCAAAAGGAGGGGTCACCTACGGTGTAGGTGCCCTAGCACTGTCCGGACGTTGATTTTCGGATGGACGGGATGGATTGGTTACCTGATCGATCGATCGATCAACAGTGCTCCGGAGTAAGTTAAAGGGACGGCTGTCAACCACTCTCAGTCCCAGGGAGAGGTGTGGAGGGCAGTGGTTACCGTTGTATGAACGTATACGTAGGAGTGGTACGTAAAACGTCTCCTTACTATCGAGTAGTAGCAGGGCGAAATGGGGCCTCATCTAAGACCTCCATACCAAAGTCGGCATAGACCGCTGGATAGCCAGGGTTTGCGGAGAAAATGAAGAATCTTCCGAGTTTCGAGCCTCCTGCGGCCGAAAACGATTCCATGGCAAGCTCCGGACGGACCAAGGAGCGGACCATGCATCGAGTGACCTGGACGGGCATTGAACCGAGCGTGGCGCTAAATCGCGTAGTGAGCAACGGTTGAGCGTGGCGGCTTCGAGTGTTCTCCACCCTGACGAGAGGGGATGGGTTTTATTGAATAAGGATTGGAAGAGACTACGTGCCTGCGCTCCACCTCGAGATATTGCATGAAACAACCCGAGTGGAATCGAACAAGGATTGGAGGGGGAGGAGTGGAAAGGAGATTAGATTCCAGGGAAATGAAATTGGAGATGAATCGAATGAAGAAGCGGCAGAGTAATCAACATTGATGGAGAAATCAAGATTAAAAGGAAATTGTAAGTGATCATGCAGCAAGTAGATGAATAAGTTTAATTAGATGGGATGGGCCGAGTGAAGAGGAGGGAGAAAGTAGTCGATGATTGAATCATTCCTTGACGGGGGGAGGAGGAAGGGGAAGAAAGAGAGAAAAAAAAAAAAAAAAAAAAAAAAAAAAAAAAAAAAGAGAGAGAGAGAGAGAGAGAGAGAAAAGAAAAAAGAAAAACGGAAAACAAATCGGACAGGTGGGAAAACCACACACTGAGGTGGGTGGCTGGTGGGTAAGAAATCCTAGAGTACTCCGTATACCTTTTCGTATACCTCGGTATTATCCGAGTACGATCATTGATTTCTATTCAAATATACAGATGGAGGTATAACAGGATGATGTGTGAGTACAGCACAGATCTGCTTGAATAAGTATTACCCGTCGGTAGGACACCTCAGCTTTAGTTATATATTTCTTTACCTACAAGATTGATCAAGAGCAGAGCAGTAAAATGGCAAGAAGTGGACTAAGAAGGACTGTTTTGTTTGTCTTTTCTCTGTTTCTCCATATCATTGTCGGAAAAATTGCCCAACAGCTGCAGATGGGGCCTGCATGTTGTGCTTAGATCCATACATCTGGTAACTACAGTAGTACTGGATATGCATGTTGTCTACAGGCACATGCATCCATTGCATATCCATTTTCATTGCTCCGTATACAAGCCAGCCTTCTGTTGTATTAAATTGCCTAGGATTCCACCAGAAGATTTGAATATTACGTTACAGGTAGTCACTACGGAGTAAGTACCGATCTCTGGTATGGAATGACAGTGCCCAGGGATCGGTATATAGTTCCAGGCGGACCCATCAAGCTCTCAGCTACCTACAGTACAGAGTAGGGACCAAGGTGCTCATCCTTTGTATTAGCTTGGATACGGCAAGCGGCGAAAACAAAGAGACAATGAACGAATTTTCTTACAATGAGGAAACGAACCAGGACGAGAAGACCGAAGAGAAACCAACAAAGAAAACTCTGACGATGCCCATATGAAGCCATAGAACAAGAGGAAGAGGAAAAGATCGACCGGACAATGCTAGTACGCAATCCGTACTCCGTACTTCGAGATGGATATTGCAGGGCGACATCGCTAACGAGCTCCGGATTAACCAGTTCACATTATTATTCAATGATCACAGGCATAATGGAAACAAAGGTTCGCCTTGGTCTTGGCTTTCCGGGCCATTCAATTGCACCACGGATCCTGATGGGGAATCCAATCTCGCTGCGATATGAATGTGATACTTCGAAAAGTGGGATAATTACCTTCTTGGTCGAACTAGTGGCTCGTAGTGGCCACGGCTAGCACGATAGTCGCACCTCCTGTTTCGAAACAAATCCCTCGACGGATCACGTCGGAGGCGAAATTTCGGTCTTATCGCCCGGAAAGCCTTGAAGATACCGTACCTTATCGATTGTCATTGGTAACGACGGTATCGGCTCTTCATTTATCATCTTGCTTCTCCATGAAGACGAATCAACAGTCGACCGGTTACCTTAGCGAGTGCCCGCGCCTATATAGGTCATCGGCATTCAAGGCAGACCTTAACCAAGCCCTACCCTTAGTCCCGGACCCCGAAATCCGTACTTCTGGTCTTGCACTCTCGCAGGCACTCGCGGAGTACTAATACTACGTACACCGAAGTATTCCGGATTTCTCCTCCTCTGACTCGGAAGTTCCGAGGGCGGAGGAGGATTACCGATGCGTCCACCATCGGGTTGATAGATTAAAGGGCATGGGGAGGGGAATGGCTGCATGGCATGATCCTCAATTCAGCTGGACCGTGAAAAAGCCACGTCGTGGATACTCCATGGCTGAGAGGCTGAGAGACACCGCGGGTGGATCGTCGACGGGCTCACCTGAAGTCGATCATAACTCTAAAGAGGCCAATTCAGTATTCAGGATTCGACCATCCGGTCCATCTCGTTCATCGTCAACACGTCCATCCGTTGCAATCGAGGCGCACGGAGTAGTATTCACCGCCGAGTCTCCGTAGTGCGTTGCAACAACGGTGCGGGGAAGAAGATCCCAGGCAAATCGATGACGATCGAGGATGAAGTGGGCTGGGAGATTAGAGAGGAGCAACTTTAATCTCTTCCAAGGCTTCGCGTGGGCGCCAAGAATCGCCTTCGACCCCTTCCAATTTCTCGGGTGGTTGCGATGGATGCGATCAAGGATGACCTCCTGCAGTGGGTAAAACTGTCGGAGTATGCGGTCCCCGGTCATTACGCAAGCCAGGGACAGTTCGGGTCGGTTCTGAAGTCTGAGCTGAATCAGGAGTTCAATCAACAACAGGGTTGGGAGACGAGGAAAGAGAAGCAGGGAGACCCGAACAAAGATAAGTTCCTTACACAATTCAGTTGGAAGGGCATTCTGGGAGGCATGTCAACAATGTTTATGTTCACGGTTATGAAGAGAAGAGATACTCCGTACGAACCATCCATGGTTAATTGTTTGAAATGTCTGTGCGGGTCCTCGGATGAAACCTTGAAACGTTTGTCTGGGCCGAGACCCAGAAGCAGAGAACCCCGAGGTTTATCCTGTTTCTTTGTTTCATTTCAATTTCCTGCCCTACATGCCGTGTCTCATTGAACCGAATTCTTTTGCGAATGCCTTTACAAGGGTTGTCACATCTGTCCATGTCTGTCTGAGGGTCTACTCCGTACTAGATTCTCTCTCCCGTACTCCTAAGGTCGATGACCTCCTATGCCGGATTTTCTCACTACCTCCAACTAGTTACTCCAAAGTAACATAATTATTGCAATGAACGGTACCGGAAGGATGGAATATCGATCGAATTTCAAGCTCTCTAAACCACCTCGAGGTTAGGCCCTCGTAACTTCGTTCCGCCAGGAGCCTAAGGCCCAACTGCCCACTTAATTTTGATTAAGGCGACTTTTGGCACATGGATTGAGCTTCGACCGGCGTAGAACAGGTGAGACATGGCGTATCAATGGAAAGCTCTTCCTCTCGGCCCCAGCGACGGCACTGCAATCTCGCATGACAGCTAGCTAGTAGCTAGCTGTCGAGGATCCAAGGAAACTGATCCGGCAAACCAATCCCCACTTCCTGTCAAGCTGCTTGTTGATTGATACCGGCCTGTTGCCTCTCGCAAAATGATACCGAACTCGATGGTTATGCAGGAACACCCCCCCTCATGTTATTATTAAAGTTGCTGATCACCGACAGAGGTCGGGCCCCCATCCGTAGCTTATTCGCCTGGAGCCCTGGACCTTACGGAGTAAGGCCACCGAGAGGAAGTGGCCCTCTAGGTCCTTGGTGAGTTCATCCGGCTCCATGGTGATTCGCCCTAGAGACTCCGAGGTGGCCTCTTGCAGACGTTCTTCTCTTCCTCTCGGCCCCTCAGCTGAAAGTAGAATGGCAGAAGTTTCTCGGGACCGCCGCGGGCGACGCCTATTAGTATTACCTGCCTACTCCGGAGTATCCTACGGAGTATTATCTATCCTCCCTGACCCGGGCGACCCTCAATAATTTCCGATGGGCGGTACGTTCCGATGACAGCCTTGTTTTTTCGTGGCCAATCTCTCGTGCTTTTTCTTGTTCTTGTTCTTTTTTGTCTTTCTCTGGTTTGGAATGCAGACGGACCTGTCAGAAACAATGGGATGGACCGAATATAGGTGACGGCCATTATTGATTGACAATGAGCAGGGGTTTGAAAGATTCCCCGGTGATTGGGAGGGGGAAAGGTTGCCACATCGCCAGATATGCACTCCGGAGTAGGTGTAGGTGTAGTGCTACTGCCAGAGCCCAAAGAAGGGGAGGGGGGATGGATGGATGGATGGTAGTTGGCAGCGAATACCAATCACAATAATCGCGGTCCCCGCCGTAATCTCGCAGCTGCCCCGTGACAGCCACTGACAACAACAGGTGCTGATGCACACCCCCCCGAAACTACCTAATCTTCCGTGCCCAGTTCACTCTCGTTCGCTCTCACGGTCTCGCCCCGCCCCTCCTCTTATCCCCTCTCTCCGTCCAGCTGCAGGGCGTTCTCATTGGCATTATGAGTTGTGACATCAATGCATACCACTTGCAGTAACCAACCCAGGGAATGAGCCGGGCATCCAATGACCAACCAAAGATCGCGGTTGTTAGTGACGCCTGAACGCTAACGAGAGTCGGTAGACCTAGTTGGCTGTCTCTGCCAAGTCTGGTGGGGTTGGTTACTTCACGTCTCTTGCTCTTTGCCCGTCGCAATTGCGTCCGTCGAGTCGGCTGATGTCTGTTCGGTGGCAACGCTCGAGTTTTCCTTCTCGGTATTATTGCCAACCCCATGGCTGGGCCCCGGTTCAGTGGCCTGGCCCTCGGCTGATGTCTTTGTGGCCGCCTCCGATACCTGGGGAGTTCCCTCAAGCATCTGGGAGGCGCCCTCAGCAGGTATGTTCTTCTCAAACAAGACCCCGATGTTTTTACCGTCTTCGAGTTTCTGAAAAGCCGCTAGTTTACTCCTCGCAGAGAGCCGTAGGATCCGCCAGGACTTGCTCGCTTTGGCACGCGTTGCATGATCTTTCTCAGCCTTCGTTTTCGCCATGTCAATGTCCATGTCGTCATCCATGATGCCCATCAGAAATGAGTCGGCGGCAGGAACGGTGAACCTAGAATAATGTCAGCCAACGCCGTGCGGGATTAGCCATGATAACGTTTCACTTTACCTCTCAGACTCGGCAAGTCTCTCGAGACCGGCAGTTGACTCGCCTTCCGAGAGGAAATTGAGATTCAGCGACCCCATCGGCGAGGGACGAATACGTTTGTTGGCATACACTTTCGTCGCTTGCTCACAGGCGCCGGCATACTCGGTCACCGACACCGAAGGCTTCTCGATCAGCGGGCAACCCTCTGCTTTCCAGCGCACCCAATTCTTGTCCCTCGACAACACAGTATCCACCATGCGATAGTAGAACTTGCCACCGATTCCTTCTTGGAGATATTCTTCTATAGCCTTTCTGGTTCTTACGGCCCACCTGGTCTACTCAATTGTCAATATATTATCCACTTGAGTGCAAGGAACATTCCTGAGAGCTTACATCTTCGTCATTCAAAACGAACCCATAAAGCACCGATTTGTTGGTCATGTCGGACATCTTGGCTTTTGCTTTGGGCGTAAGGGAGAGCAAGAAGTCCAGGAGAATGAGGGCTTGAACGAGGACATGTCTCCTGAAAGCGGTGTCATTGATCTAGAACAAAAGATTAGCAACATAACCCAAGATCAATGGGAAGATACGAACTTCGAGATCGAACAAGTCTCTACTTGTTAGATATTTGGGGTTGAAACTGCTCGCAATCTCTTGACCGTCCGCAGTTCGTTTCCGTTTGAGAGATTTCCTCGTTTCTTCCGATGTCCTTGAAGCTCCTGAATTCTCCATATCCATATGTATTGATCGAAAAGTCGACAATGTAGCCTCAAGTCCAGACTTGAATTTAGCGAAGTGCTGGGAATCGAAGGTTTTCGTCGGCGCGGAAAAATAGGCTTGTAGACTCCAAAACATCGGATAAAGTCCATCCAAATCAATCTTCGCCTCCTCTTTCTTGTCGTCGCTTTTGGAAACGACTAGTTTCGGTGCTTTTGTTTCCTGCGCGGGCGCCTGGGAGTCCATGCCAGTCTCCTCCACCACCTGAGAACCCTGCCCACTGAAGGACTCCACATCCATTTCGTCGTTCTTATGGCCTCCACTCTCGAGATTCTCGTCGAAGGTCGTGACATTTTCGGTATGGTATTCACCTCGGAGATTGACGGCGCTTTTATCCCCGAGAGGGAAGCTTTGGAACAAAAAGATAAAGACACGGCCACAAAAAACGGTATCTTCGGCCCTCGATAATCTCCGGAGCAGCTCGTTGCAAGATCTAAGGATAATCAGGCTTTTCTGTTTGAAGTGTTTCTTCGGTACTGTTAGCGAGTTTCACATGTAAGGGAGCAGGCACCAAAATGCCACATACTTTTGTATTCCGCTCCCTCCGGGATTCCAAGTAATCGAAAACTTTGCGGCAGCCATCTATAGTCTGGCTATCGAGCAGCTCCTCGATGAGCCAGAAAATCAGACCTGGTTCGCATTGCTCTAGAGGCATATTAGGCCAATGACCATATGTTCAAAGACATCCCGAATACTGACCGTTATCGGAAAAGATGGAAATGATGTCGAGTAGGTTCCAGATCTGGATGAAGCCGGGATCGTCAATTGACGTATGAGCCTTCAGGGGGATCAATGATTAGCTATGAAATCTCCGACAATCAAGAAAAGCTCGCGAAAGGCAAACGGAGTCGCGTACGAGAATATGATAGAACTTCTCTCTGAAAGCTATTTCAACAGTAGCAAACTGTGTTTGTTGATTGAACCGCTTCGCGATCTGCCCATCCTCTCCCTGAATTCGCCAGAAAGAGTCGCCGAGGTGCGCCTCCGTCAAGGGGGGTTCAATCTGCTTGTCAGGTTTGACTTGTTCGGCCTGGGTCAAGAGACTGTCAACCAGTCGCCTATAAGCATGGGTTGCTTCAGCAGCGTCCGCCATATTCCGTTGAAAACCCGAGAAGGAGCAGCGTAAATGGGCACGCTGTCGTGGAGGACAAAGGGTTCTGGGATTAAAGAGTGAAAGTTGCGGCTCTGCGGGCTCTAGCCGCCGCAGTGACTTCACTAGACGCGCGCCAGAAGCTCTGCATTTCCGCCCGCGACGGACAACCTCCGCAGATAAATCCGCCCTCCCGCTCGGATGCGTTCTGAACAACCCCAACGACAAGGAATGGGCCTACATACACGTCAGGCAATGGCACACAGCCTGGACTCCAGGCCTACTGTGGAGGACTTTCGCGAAAACAGTCCGTGGGTGCAACTGGCAAAGACTCACTGGCTCGAGACGTCGAAGGTTCGCAAAGCTAAACCGGACACCATCAAGAAAGACATATGGGATCCTTTGGAGGCCGAAAACTTTAGCCTTCACTCTCTTCTCGCCTTGGAGAATTTGAATATACTAGAGAAGTATGCTTGCTACCTGGTACCAGCTCGAATGGTGTTGTTTCAGTCGACTGACTTTACAAAAGGTTTCTTTGGCCTACCTACTCGGAAGAAGCTTCCAATTACCATGTGTTACTGTTGACGCACATCGTGAGCATCAAGCAGCGCGAGCATTTGCCGATATGGAGTACGCAATGGGCCAGTACTAGTCATTGGGGGTATGCTGACACGGTTAATAGACATTTTTTCCGAGAGACCTGACGATTTCTCGAACCTGTTCCACCGAATCCTCTCCATGAGCATTGACCAATCAATTCCTACATCTTCGCGATTGTCCATACTCTCTTTCATCATTAGTGCCTTCCAGTCACTCGAAAACGTTTTAATACGAAAAGAATGTGCTCCTCTCGTTTCGATCTCAATCTGGCACAATCTATCTAGCGAGGAAGCTAGGGTGCGTGTACTTTCGAAGGGCCCGACGTTGAAAAAGGCATGGAGGGCGGCTGCAAAAAGATATGAAGCAGGAGATGAAGCAGCGAAAGCGAAAGCACGATTCGAACGATCATGGCTATACACGATGCTTCTCGACTATCTGCGGAGACTAGCCGGGCCTGAGAAAGACCAATCGGATAACTTGCACTACTGCGAGCGGTTTCTCGAGTTTTTGGTGGATCTAGAAGGCCAACTGCCTACAAGGCGCTACGTGAATACGCTGCTCAAAGATCTCAACTTGCTCTCTGTTACTCGCCTATCGCCGCTATATCGCTCTCCAGACAATACGCTTTTCCGCGATCTCTACGACCTCCTGGTGCATTTTGTAAACTTCGCCATCGACGATCATACGGGAGAGACTTTGTCTCCTCAGGCGGTGTATGAAGCACATTGCCAGGAGCTGTCACATCTGCAGAGAGTCTCAATGAAACTTTTCAAGGATAAACTAATGATTCTCGCTCTATCAAATTATGGTTCCATTGAACAACGTTCTGAACTAGAGGGGCAACTGGCTTCTCTAGAGGAATCGGAGCTGCAGAATCTTTGTTCTCACCTTGGCTTTCGAACAGTTTACCCCGGCCAATCTCAAGTCTCGCCCAGTCGGCAGCTGTATCTTGAGATTATTTTGGCTTCCTATGAACGGAAGACATCTTTCCAAGAGGCCTCCTCACAGCTTGCTATACTCCCTACGGAGGAAAATCTATATGACCCGGCATTGCTTCGGAATGAAACATACGATGGCTCGCGGCCGATTGCAATCCCGAAATTGAATCTTCAATATTTGAGTGTCGGTGATTTTCTTTGGCGTTCGTTTGTTCTGTATCGCTCCGAGGCCTTTTTCCAGATCCGCAAAGACATGGAAGCAATTGTCAAGCGAATGCAGCCACGAACCAGTCGGGATGGCAAAGGCCCAACTTTCGAAGGGTTTTCTCGCATGGCCATCCCCATTTCCAAGCCTGCGATCATTGAAGTTGCCCCCGCAAAGGTTGGTTCGGCAAATCCGGCTTTTGTGAGAGCAGAGATCACTATTGAAGTGGGGAGACTAGCCGACCACATCAGAACGGAGTGGGAGTCTCTCCGCACCGACGATGTGGTTTTTCTGTTGGCTGTGCAACCTGGAGCTCCCGACTCTACCTCGCCGGATACTTCCCGTATCTCGCACGTTCGGTCGGCAGAGATTGTGCAGGTTCTTGACGAAAATGGCCGCCCGCTACGCGAGCCTGCCTCGATCCAAACAAATGGGTTCAAGTCCAGACCTCGCGTTAGGAGGTTGTTGGTCAACCTAGATCCGGCTGCTTTCAAGGCCGACAAAGATCATACTCTGCAAGGAAAGACGGACATCTACCCCCTGATAAACGTTGTCGCCAGAAGGAAAGGCAGAGAGAATAACTTCAAGTCAATTCTTGAGACGATGCAAAAACTTATTGTCTCGAACATTGCTCTTCCCTCTTGGGTCCAGGATATCTTTTTGGGCTACGGCGACCCTGCGGGTGCCCGATATACGGAATTGTCCAGTCGGCTGTCTTCTGTCGATTTTCGAGACACTTTTATAAACTGGCAACATCTCGTGGAAAGCTTTCCGGGAATGGCTATCGAGCCTTCGGGAGAGCAGGCTTCAAGTTTTGGGCCTCCATATGTCCTTGAATATGTTGAACCCGCCCCGCCGCAGGCCTCCACCAATGCCTCCAAGAAACGTCGGAGAGATCAGGTCGAACGGCAGCAGACAGCTCCCAAGTCGCTACGTGTATCGACTTACAAACCACCGAACCGTGGGCCTTATCCGGTTGACGCCCCCAAGCTCAATTCCGTTCGCTTCACCCCGGCTCAGGCAGAAGCTATAGCATCTGGCACTCAACCTGGCCTCACTATCATCGTCGGCCCCCCTGGAACCGGAAAAACGGATGTCGCAACCCAGATTATCAACAACATTTACCATAACTTCCCAACGGAGCGTACCCTACTTATTGCGCATAGTAACCAGGCACTCAACCAATTATTCCAGAAAATCGTTGCTCTGGACATTGATGAGCGCCACCTCCTGCGTCTTGGTCACGGTGAAGAGGAGCTGGATACCGAGGCGAGCTATAGCAAGTATGGCCGTGTCGAGTCATTCTTCGAAAACCGGAATTACTTCTTATCTGAAGTAGCCCGATTGGCTGCATCTATTGGCGCACAGGGGGCTCACGGAAGCTCTTGCGAGACGGCAGGATATTTCAACACTGTTTACATCCAACCTGCGTGGGCGAAGTTTTGGGACAATGTCCGCGCCGACAATACCTCCCCGGAAGAGATCATTGCAGAGTTCCCATTCCATACTTACTTTTCAAACACCCCCCAGCCTGTTTTCGACCCTTCGGCGCCAAAGAACGTGGTTCTAGACGCGGCAGAAGGCTGTCAACGGCATATCTCCAAGATATTCTCTGAACTTGAGGATATCCGGCCATTTGAGATTTTGAGGCAGCCTAAGGACAAGGCTAATTATCTCTTGGTCAAAGAAGCACGGATCATCGCAATGACATCTACGCACGCTGCGATGCGCCGCCAGGAGATCGCCGATCTTGGCTTCCATTATGACAACGTTGTTATGGAAGAAGCGGCGCAAATCACAGAAATCGAGAGCTTCATCCCCACTGCTTTACAGAGCATGAAGGCCGGTGAGCTTCCCTTGAAGCGAATAGTTCTTTGTGGTGATCACCTCCAAAATTCTCCTATCGTACAAAACCATGCGTTCCGGCAGTACGCGCATCTTGAACAGAGTCTTTTCCTTCGTCTCGTCCGACTAGGGGTCCCAGTTATCGCACTCGACCAACAGGGACGCGCGCGGAGTAGCATCGCTGAGCTCTTCCGGTGGCGTTACCAGCAACTGGGAGATTTGCCCGTTGTCAAATCAGCCGATGAGTTCCAACAAGCAAATGCTGGCTTCCAATTTGATTACCAATTCATCAATGTCCCTGACTACCAGGGCTCTGGCGAAAGAGAGCCCACGCCACATTTCATCCAGAACCTAGGGGAGGCGGAATATGCGGTGGCCATCTACCAATACATGCGACTTCTTGGCTACCCGGCATCGAGGATATCTATTCTTGCCACCTATGCGGGACAAACGGCGCTAATTAAGGATGTTCTGGGGCACCGTTGCAGTAAAAACACTCTATTTGGCATGCCGAAAATTGTCACTACGGTGGACAAATATCAGGGTGAACAGAATGACTGTAAGTCTTTGGTGATCTGCAACCTCGGAAATCAATCTAACTTACATTTTGCAGATGTGATTCTTTCCCTCACTCGCACCCGTACAATCGGATACCTTCGCGATGTTCGTCGCCTGACAGTTGCCCTTTCTCGCGCCCGCCTCGGCCTCTATATCCTTGGTCGCCGCGAGGTGTTTGAGTCGTGCTACGAACTTAAACCGGCGTTTGATCTTCTATTCCAGCGACCAGACAAGCTCATGCTCACTACCGGCGAAATGTTCCCGACAACGCGGTCGGTTGTTGACGAAGCTCAGGGCACACCCATGGAAGGAGTTGAGCATCTGGGTCAGTATGTCTTTGAAATGACCCAGGCTAAGCTCAAGGCACTGGGCGATCAAGATATTGTTGTTCAGGACGCAGTGCCAGGCGGTGTGGATGAATTGATGGATGAAGACGAAGTCATGTTGGGAGCGGGCGAAGAGCCGCAGGATGATGATCCATTGCATGAGCATGTATTAGGTGCGAGGTAAAAAGGAACAATCGTTCCTTATTCAGAAGGACTAAAAGCCTGGAAGGATGCCTTCAGTTAAGCATCCACAAATCTAAAAGAGTGTGAGTCTGATGGGCTTGGGGACGGCTCTTGGATATTGCTATCGATGTTTCTCATGATTATGTTCATTTACATCTATGTATTCGGTTGGTGATTGTTGTTCACGGTTTGCAATAAGAGAACTCCGGAGTACTACTCACGGGAAAAAAGACAATCAAGTATCTACATTCAATTATCTAAAGGCTGCTCTGGCACGGTGACTTACAACGCACCCGATCATATTGACTTTATTTAGTATGATGATTGGATGACTCTGCGCATGTGTCTAGGTATATGTCATCTTCTCCATGGCGATCAAAAGGATCTATTGCTGTTTACGCCCACCGAGCTCTTCGACAATATTCTGAGGGTCTTTCCAAGCGAGCGCCACGTATCTACAAGATTGTCAGTGAAATGGTCCCATGACCAGGTGGGATACCACGGTATCCAAGGTGATTCCTACTTGGTGTGGCTTCCTCTTGCAACAACCTCGCCCTTGCTGTTGGAAAATTTGATGGACGTGTATGCAAGCGTTTTGCCAACTGCAACATGAATGGGTCAGTTGCCTTCAGAACAAATCGGCTGGTATCTACCACAACGACAGGCAGGGTGGAAAGGGCCAAGATACATTTGTCACAGCTGACCTCCTTGAAGTAGGTTAGCACACACATCCGGGTACACAAGATTATGGTCAGGAAAGAAACATACGGCAAGAATCTTATCACCAACTTTGCCTCCCGAGCTGAGATAGGTTACTGAATTTGGGAAGTAGTCAGAACCCATTTAGCATTATCCTCTATTAGACCTTGTCCACGCACCGTTAAGATCAGTTGAGACACCCGTGGCAAACAGCCCACGGGAGGCAACGGCCAATGACCCACCAAGGTCCACTACATCACTATAGTCAGTGATATAGCGGAAGAGAAGAGAAGGGGTTGATCAATAGTAGCATACCCATACTAGCAATGGTGCCGCCGTGGAGAATACTCAGGCGATTCTACCAGACAGTCAATCACCGCTCAACGACATCAGCTGGAGGGGATGAGCTACCGTATGCTCCTTCTGAATGTCCAGTTCGAAATTGACCGTTCCCGGTCTAGCAGCCGTCACACGAAGCTAGGGGGGAATATCAACCAGTGCACTCCGTATGCCCAAAGCGAGCGGAATAAGTATATTCGGAATGGAGGCGGATTGAACATATACATACATTATTGAGCAGACTATACAGACGCCGGCAGTATTTTATCAGCCACAATTGTCATCCGTGCATTTTTACAGTCGGATTGGGATCTCTCTTTTCCACCGAGAACAATGGATAAGGGGACAAGACATGGATTTTCCGGGAAATGTATATATAAACGATGCTACCTACCGAGGCTCCAGTCCCGAAGTAGCCCGAAAGGACTCCCAGACCTATGCATGGTTAGATTGCGAGGGAGACGTGGGAATTTAAACATCGGGACAAGTCCGTACCGATCGAACGAACCGCAAAGCAGTCATTCTTGGGAGAAGCCGCGAGTTGGGGGTAAAGAGAGAAGGACATAGAGAATATGAAGAAGAGAAGCCGGGGGGACTACGGGAGTCCTGTGAGGTCATGCGTCGGACTGCGCTTCGTGGCCGCTCGGGTCGCCGGACCGCATAATTTCTCATTCGACCTCCGTTCCCTCCCTCTTGCTCACGCTTTGTCGATCCTCCCCATCACCTTGAGGGAAACACACTATGCCGTGGAGGTGACGTTTTGGTGAAATCTGCAGGCAAGATGGTGGCCGCTCCATCCCGTCCGTTTGACTATCTTGAAGGCCTCCCTGGGACGGTCTTCTTCAAGCTTTACCAGCAGCCCTCCACAGCACTCGCTATTTTCAGGCGCATGTTGCCTGACCTTGGTACGTCAAATGGGTTGGCCGGCCGGTTGAACTATCAAACTGATCTGCAATCTAGCAAAATGTTTTGTCATGGCGCTTCTATACCTCAGGGACCCCCTCCCCGCGGCGGATCTGGAGATCTGGGTAAAATCCGAGAGCTTGAAGTGAGTGACGTTGTTCCTGTTCCTTGACTGTGTTTCTCTCCCTACCCTCTCTCAACCCCTGATGTGTACTGTTGGATCGATCGATTTATTGACCGCATATCTATCTTCAGGGAACGTGACAATGCGCTTTCGATATTGGGACGATTGCATATCCTATCAAATACGGTGACAGCAGACAATGTTCGAGCCTACATGGTCACCAATCCATTCTCCTCCTCCCTCCGACAAGCTCTCACGGGAGCTGAACAGACGCAATCATTTGGCGTTCTTTCGCACGTCTCTTCCGGGCCAACTGTGTCAATTGCCGATATGGACGAGTATGCGCGTCGGCAATGGGAGGGGGTGCTAGGGTACATGGTGGGAACTAGTGGGTTGGGGATTCAGCGTGATGTGAATCTGAGCAAAGGTGTGAAACAGTTGTTACAGGCTGGCCACCTTGTCGAGATCAAAGATCGTCGTGTGGAAATCACCCAAGATGGTTTCGCATTCGTCTTGCAGGACGTTAGCACCCAGGTTTGGCACATCCTCATCCTCTACGTTGAAAGCGCAGAAGCCATCGGGATGGATAGCGTGGAGGTCCTATCGTTCCTCTTTCTTCTAAGCAGCCTGGAGCTGGGGAAGGCTTATCAAAAGGAACACCTGACATCCTTTCAACTCCGGACATTGACCGATCTGGCCGACTTTGGTATTGTCTATCAAGATTCGCCCGAGGCCAACCACTTCTACCCTACGCGTCTCGCGACCACTCTCACCTCCGACTCCAGCGCTCTGAGCAATCCTATCTCGGGCTCCCTCTCCGGGCCCGCTGGCACTCCCTCAAGTAAAGCTGGTTCTGGCTTCATCATTATCGAAACGAACTATCGACTGTATGCCTACACTTCTTCACCGCTACAGATCTCTCTCATCGCACTCTTCACCACCCTGAAATACCGGTTTCCCAATCTAATCACCGGCAAAATCACCCGCCAGTCCGTTCGTCGGGCCATCGAGATGGGGATCACTGCCGACCAGATAATTTCCTACTTATCCACGCATGCACACCCGCAGATGCGCAAACATAACGTGTCTCGGTCCACGTCAAACCAGGCCGGTATCCCTCCGTCCGTCCTGCCGCCCACCGTGGTAGACCAGATCCGGCTTTGGCAACTGGAAAGAGACCGTGTCAAAGCCACACCCGGGTTTTTGTTCAAGGATTTCGTCAGTCTGGCCGAGTATGAAGCCCCGTGTCGATACGCCGAGGAGATCGGGGTTCTGGTGTGGAAGTCCGATCGGAAACGCATGTTTTTCGTCACCAGACATGAGCAAGTGGCGGCATTTTTGAGGAGTAGAAAATGACATAAGGATCGACAACAAGGAACTTTGAGGGAGGAGGTCAAGCTGCAAATTTATGGATATGTTCATGTCGGCGCACGGTGGTTGGATTTGATTCAGGCGTTTGGGATCTTTGGGAGAAGTTGGCACTCATGACAAAGTAAATTCAAGGCAGTCGATGATCATTGTACAGTAGTCTCTTGTGCCCTCTTCTTTTTCTTTCATTTTCCTTCCTATCAATAAGCAATCAAGGCCGCAAGACCTTCCGCTTTGACAGCCAGGGTTGTGAATCTGCGCATACTATCATCTGACAACGTCGTCCTTGATGGGAAATTAGCGCATCCACCGATCGCCGTGAACCCTGACATAGTCCTCGCGGAAGGCCCTAAGACTAGCACTCGCCTCTTCCGTCGTACAGACATTCTCGAGTACCATGAACGCTCGCTTGATGCGATAGTTTGAAAGATCGATATCGGAACACCCCAGGGGACGAGAATAACTGGACAGCATCCCAAAACCGGTGGCAATATCCGGCTGGTTGAAGGAGTCCTCGTAATGGAATGCATTTGTGAGGGTGACGAACCGTCCCAGCCAGTATTGTCGAGGCTGAGGTTCGGTGACCTGGAAGACAGGGCTCGTCGGGGCTGATCGCCTCAAGTATGAAGGTATCCGCGTGAGAGGGAACTGCGATGGTCTTTCTCCGGACTCGAATCCTTTCTGGTCCTTTCGACCCACGTTCCTCAGGTTTTCATATCGATTGGTCCATCTGATCCGTCTTGAAGCCATCGTCGGCTCCATTTGTCGTGCGCCGGGCTCGAATGACCTCGATGGCACAGGTGATGGGTGAACCTCTGCGATCTGGTGGTGTGGTTGCGGTATCGGGGGAGTGATTCGCACTTGCCGTTTGAAGCTCTCTGGTTGGGTTCCCTTCTCGAGGTTTGGCTGCCTCGTTCTCCATTCTTTCCGACTTATCGTTCGTCCTCCCGCGCAGGTCCGGACTTCTGGAGTACGGATTAAGGTAGGCCAGGCGTCGACAGGTGTCTTTGTGAAGGATAGGTTGTTGTGGCGCTCAAGTAGGGAACTGTAGCTGATGTCGGCGGAAGATTCACTGCAAGCAGCTGTTTCAGAATGTCAGTCGGTCGTGAGGTTGAAATCGGTGCTTCATCCAGGCTAGACACGACATAGAATTGATGTATCGTTCCTTACCATGACAAGGCGTGGCCAAGGAGCAACATTCCCCACCACTCTTCCTTCTATCCAGGTACCGTTGGCCAAAAGACAAGAGCACACTCCTTCTTCCCTCCTTTTGATAAATCCCACGAGAGTACAGCTCTCTTTCTGGGGGCTTGGATGGGGTTGGAACCCATGAGGAAACGTGGTTGGAAGTGAAGCCAGAGGGCGTCTGCGTGCATAGAAGTGGAGGGATATTTTCAGGCTTCAATCCCAGTTGACTGTGCTTCTGAGAACTACTGTCCTCCTTGACCGTATGGCGTCCACTTAGTGTGCTTTTGAGTGTTTGGAATGAGCTCACAACCGAAGACCTGCGGCCTTGTTTCTCCGTCATTATCGCTAGGTGAGGGACAGGAAAGAAAGTCTTCGAGATTTAGCGAGCCAGCGAGAATACTAAGGGGCAAGATGCCCAGGGTAAAAGGTTCAAGAGGTACCGGGTTTCTAAGGGGGAAGATGTTCTTGGGGAGTAAGTTTGGAAAGGTTCATGTTGGTCAATGTGGTTTAGTTACACGCATTTGGCCCGTTTGCCTCGCTCATCTCCAGCGTTTACTCCCTAGGGATTAAGATGGTGCCCTCGCTCACCGTCACTGCGGCTCCTTTCAGTTCGAGGCTCTCGACCTTTTCGTGGTCAGTTGTGATGTCAATTCCAATCTGACTGCGCCTTCCCATTTCCACGCCCTGTATAATGTCATACGTGTGTCTCCCGGGGGGTTCCTTTGTCAGGGACAGATATGCCACCAGTCCGCTCGCGGCGCTGCCCGTGGCCGCATCTTCCTCATTCCCTAAGATCATCCTGGTGCGGATTACGCGAGTCTTCAATAGCGCATCCTCGACGTTTCGCACGTAGAAGTATAGAACGCAGTGGCCAGACCTCCACCCTTCGTCCAGGTATGGACCGTGGACGGAGATCACCTCGCCACCGGCCGACGTCGTCACGGCGGCCAGCGCTTCCAAAGAAGGCAGCTCAACGTGGACCTGACTCATCCCATTGACGATCGAGACCACCGGAAACGACAGCATGCCGTGAACTGCAGGCGGGAAGAATGGGGTCAAGGACACATGGAGCCGGAGTAGCTCACTTAGCGGATACCGCGCGGCGTGGAAGCGAACATTATGTGCGACCCTTGCCAATACCCCCTGCTCCTGAGGTGGCTGTTGTAGCGAGATTGGAATCTCTCCGGCCTTTGTGACCAAGCATCGAACCTGCTCCCTCTCCTGTTGATTCGGAGAATGATACAAAAACCATGAGGCGGCGCCTATAGTTGGGTGGCCCGCAAAAGGGATTTCGCAAGCGGTGGTGAAAATATCAATGGTCCGTTTCTCGCCGCTCCCGGCATGCACGAAGACCGTCTCGGACAGGTTGAATTCCCGCGTGATTGATAGTTTCTGGCGCTCAGTCAATGGGGGAAGCGAGGCGGACTGCTCTGGCTCTGGGAGGAAGACGACAGCCAAAGGATTCCCTGCGTACGGCTGCGAGGTAAAAACGTCCAAAGTAACGAAGCGAAGTCGTTGACCCATCATGAGGGAGGGGTCTGGTTGTCGGTTGTAGGTTTTTGAGGTAGTCAGGAAGGATGCGCGTCGATGTACCCCGCGTTGTTCATTATTCGGAATCGCTATCGATCACAAAACCGGCGCGTATCCGCCGCCGAGCCGGTGGCTGCCTTGGCGCGTCCTCTTCGTCGTTGTTCGGCGTGATCTCACTATCGCCTTCAAGGCTGTCGCGCTCCACTCTTTGGCCAGGAGGAGAGTTTGGTCTCCGATTCCGATTCCGACTAAAAGCGAGGTCGTCATCGAATTGGAGATCATCGTCAATGGATGGACTAGATGAGACATTGCGATGTGACGCGGGAGCTCCCTCGCCCACGCCGTCCATGAGGACATCCTCGTCTTCATCTGCGTCGCTCATGCTGGCATTGGTGGCACGTCGCTGTCGTTTGTCTGGAACCTGGCTTGCGCCTTGCTCGGTCGGCCGTTTCTTGCGCCCATTCCCCTTCCTGCCATTACTCATCTCCGGCACAACGCCGGTGAGCAAGGCTTTTCGCACACGTTCCGCCTGCTCTTTCCTCCTTTTCTCTTCTAGCTCGAAAAACTGTTCATCCGCGCCCTCGTCCGTATCCTCGTCGCTGGCGTGAACATACAGGTCACTCTTGATCTTTGCTAGGCGGGCCCGTGTGTTCTCAAGGCGTGCTTGGCGACGTGCTTCTAGAGTCGCGTCGTCTGGAGGCGCATTGTCAACGTCCTTTTTCTGCTTTTTGCGTTTTTTCTTCAGCTCGTCGAGGGCCTGAGCTTTGGACCGGGGGTTTGGGGGGAAAAGGGGCCCGTCCGGAACATCCTCGCCCTCGGACTCCGATCCAAAGTTGACATCGAGGGTCGCTTGTTTTGAGTTACCGCTGTACTCATTGGGATATTTTCGGCGAAGCATTTCACGAGGGTCGTTCTCAAGATCTCCAACCATGGGACTATCAAGGCATCGATCGATGACAGCCTTCGTGGTCTGAAGATAGCTTGAGTCCAATGATGCGGGAACGATCCAAGATGCACCAGGTACGTCTTCCACCCCGAGACGCTCGAATTTAACCAAGGTCATTAAGAGACGGAGTTTAGCATTTGCGAACATGGCCTTTTGACAGCCATCATCCCGTGGCACAATAGCTGAATGGGCTGTTAGTTCTGTTATTCAGAATAAGGCGACAATACATACCAATCATAGGATTAGGCGCCGTTGGTCTTCCGGGATTCTCTTTCGCCTGTGCTTCATCCTGCGCTTCCCAGGATGCTCTCTCTTCCGCCGCCGTCTGGAGGACGTCACCCACCCATGCAACCAAATCACCCTGTTCGTCCAGGATCAAAGCCCCAATTACAATGCCGATCTTCTCCTCGGTAGTTTTCGCTTCGCTGGAGCTGACCTCAATCTCGGCCGGAGGTCTTTTGGCTGTGGATAACGTTTGTTTCTCGTAGCCATACTCTAGATAGGACACAGTCGAGTTAATTTTACTAAAAAGCAGCTCGGTAATCAGGGCGGGGCGTTGGTCGATCTTTTTGATAAGTCGCCGAAGAATCTGCTGGACTAACTCCTCCCACTCCTTGAAGATAGGCTGGCTGGAGTCCAAGGCCCCAGGGCCTTTAATCATGGTGTATAAAAGATGGACGATATCCACACGAAATAGCAAGACGGCCATCTCTTGCTTGAAAGCAATTCTGTAGAAATAGCGGTGCGCACGCTTCAACTGTTCCGTGTCGAGCTCCCTGTAATATTTGGTGAAGGCAACGAACGTGTCGACGCACTTCTGGTTGCAGAATTTAGCGGTGAACCGTCGGAAATCAAACTTGCGCTCTTTGGAGACCCGCTCGGCTTCGGCATGATCTTCTTCATCCTCGGAGACTTGGTCTTCATTGTCATTCTCCTCGTCGCCTTTCTCGGCCTGCTTGTTTTTACGCCTAGTGCGTCTTTTAGAGCGAACTTGCATGTCAACGTTCTCTTTTGAATATCGCTCCAGCATTCTCAAGAAGACGTGTGCAAGATTTGTGGCTGCGTCGAGGTATCCGAACCCTTGATCCTTGTATTCACGGATGATTGTCAGAATGCGATCATGAGTCGTTTCCTCGTAGAAGATCCGATTCTGTATATTCTCCGCAATTTCCTGGTCGTCCTCAATAGGAGACAAGGTCATTTCCTGAACAGTCAACAGGATTTGCGTGAAGCAACGCATCTCAGCATTCAGGTCCTCCCAGTCTTTATGGTCGAGACTGTACTGCATTGACCGATTGAGGAAGACAAACGTTTCCTGGTTGAGAACGCCAGCGACCAATCCAAAACTGTCCGGTTCTGCCACCTTATCAGGTTTTCCATTTTGTGCTCTTCTCTGGCGTTGGCTTACACGGCGTGCCCGTTCCGCCTCCAGGAACCAAGCAACGGTGTAGAAGTATTGGCGGGAATTTATGTCCAGAACACGATCGGCTTCACGCTCGATCGCCTTCCTGACATGCGTAAAAAGAGGATTGAAACCAGAGTCGAGAAATTCCTCCACAAACATGCGCAAATTCTTCGACGCGGCGGAATTGAGGTGCACGGGACTACTGAAATCATTGTTCAGTGTAGATAACTCTTTCCTCTGCCGCTGTTGGGGCTTGTTCCATTTCTTGGTTTGGTCCAATTTCTGTAGTGTTGCTTGGCTATCCCTGAGGACGTCCTGTCCCGAGACGGTGGAAACCTTGGCATCATCGCGCTTGACCCAAATCATTGTCCCGAAGCGACCATGCCGTGTCGGTGCATTCTTAGCATACTCCCTCCGCAGCGAAGACTCCTGCCGTAATAAAGTATCCAGCTCATCCGTGCCCTTGGCACTCCGCTGGGCATCATTCATAAAAAGCTTTTCCACGTCGACACCCTTGACAATATGGAACAAGATCTCGAGAAGGGCTACATCTTGCATGTTGAAATCATCGCCAACATTGGAACACATGGTAAGGAGGAGAGCAAATGCATCTTGATCTTGGAAGGCATTGAGTGTCGCGGACCTTGATGTCTCTTCCTCATCACCTTCCGCTGCAAGGCGAGCATGGGTGCTGATCACTGCAATATTCCGTAGCAAATAAAGCACGAGCTTAAGAATTCCTTCGTCGCGAGTAGTTCGTTCGGATCGGGGGATAGCCATGCTGGGTAGGCCAATCCGGATAATTGTTCGAAGGAGCGTGGCACTTCCACGGCTGAGGAGGCGTCGTTTATATGAGACCTGTGCGTGTTGCAAATAGGGCATATGTCTATGGTGATTAATGGTCATCTGGGCATGGATCTCCAATGGCCAGGTCAAGGGTACTAGTAATTCCACTGGGGGTTGTCAGAACAGGCAGTCTACTAACGGCACAGGAAGATACTCACGACAAGCCAGCGCAATCCTGGACATGTATTTACTGCTCTGTCCGTTTACGCTCCAGAGCGAGAGAATTGGCACGAGGTCACCATTGACCAAATTTGCTTCCCCCAGGCATCGTGCCACATCCATGCGATTTTGTTTCTCATCGTACAGCTTCAGCCAGCGCTTGATGTCTCGCAAGCAAGCCAGCGCATCGTCACCGAGCACATATTGATCGGCATTCTCCCCGTTGAATCCTCCCAGCTGTTGACGGGGTCAGCGAGGAAACGGGTGGAGGGATGGGGGATCTCCAACTCACCGCAGTCACAAGACTGTAGACATGAGCGCGGACATCCGGATCCACGACTTCCACCGTCTGGCCAACAGGTACAGTGTCCTCGTCCATGATGGCCAAATGTGCTGGTGTCGTTCTCCCCTGGAGCGGGCCAACTTCGCCGTCAACCCGCGGAAGACGCGTCGTTCACGCGTCGGCGCGTCCGGAGACCCGAAGGCGGAGGAACCGTTGATCCGCACAGCCGAGGATAACCGATGACGTCGGATCACATGGGAGCCCTTCCCCCAAATCGATTCGATTATATGGTCGGCCTTCCTCTCTGGCACTAAGTTACGTCTTTCATCGCTGTCAGCTCTGTTTACTATCCCGGATATGTTGCTCTCTTCTTCGCTCCCGTCCCTCCGCCGTGCTGGCTCCGCAATGGCCTTTCGCGCATTTAGCACGTCCACAGTAGCTCGTGCTGCCGAGGTTAACAGGCTGGGGGTTATCGGAGCAGGTCAGATGGTCAGTTGTGTTCACCCTCAGCGATGCATCTGCATGGCAATTGACCGAATCTTAGGGCTTGGGAATTGCCCTGGTGGCTGCGAACAAGGCTCAGGTTCCCGTAACTTTAATCGATAACTCTCAATCCTCTCTAGACAAGGGTCTCAAGTTCGCCGGTCAGTTGGTGCTACTACGCCTGTTCACCTAGGGCTTATTCGCTAACAGATTTCGCCCGCTTCCAGACAAGCTCTTGGAAAAGGATGTGGCCAAAGAGCGTCTGACTCGGGAGGATGCCGACGTCGTTCGCTCGCGCATCACATCCAGCCTGAAACTCGATGATCTATCGGCAGTTGATTTCGTGATCGAGGCGGTCCCTGAGATTCCCGACCTCAAGTCGTCCATCTTCAGAAAGATCGCGCAAATTGCTCCCAAACACGCTATCCTGGCAACGAATACTTCATCTATCTCGATCACCAAGATCGCCGCAGCCACGACGACTGATCCCAGGGACCTTCAGGCTCCCTCCCGAGTCATCTCCACGCATTTCATGAACCCTGTGCCTATCCAGAAGGGCGTGGAAATCATTGCGGGTCTGCAGACTTCCCAGCAAACCATCGAAAGTGCCATTGCGTTTGTCAAGCGCATGGGCAAGGTTGCCTCCGTCTCCGCTGACTCGCCGGGGTTCCTCGCCAACCGCATTCTCATGCCATACATCAATGAAGCAATCATTTGTCTCGAAACCGGAGTTGGCGGCCGCGAGGATATTGATAACATCATGAAGAACGGTACCAATGTCCCCATGGGTCCTTTGACGCTCGCAGATTTCATTGGTCTTGACACGTGCCTGGCCATTATGAATGTCTTGCATCAAGAGACTGGGGATAGCAAGTACCGACCCTCGGGGCTGTTGAAAAGAATGGTCGACGCTGGGTGGACCGGCAAGAAAACTGGAAAGGGCTTTTACGACTATTGATGGCGCTGTAATTGCTCTCCGCAAAATGTTGTTTGGAGTCCCCCCTTCATACACCATCTAACGCCTTAACATGTAGTCGCCTACATTCATTGTTCATAGTAGAAATTATCCATCCGAACCGGGGATCCTATTGACATTCGACAGTTACGTCCAGAGAACGAGCACATGTTCTCTCTCTGTGCATTGGTTGTTGCCCCATCAAGCTTTCATCCGTCATTTCTGTCAGCTCGTAAAACCGCGGTAATCACTGCCGCGAGTTCGGCTTCCTCGTCCCCATTTGGTGTGTTGTTGACTACCACTGAGAGAAAGTCGAGGGGTCGGTCTGTGGGATCGACGCAAGTACATGAACCCCATGGATTACCACACTTGTAGCTTTGTGTCGTTAGCATTGGATCACGCCCGCTCAGTAAACAGAGAGGCCCTACCAAAACTGTGCTTTGCAGATACATGTAATATGATTGCAGCCAAACGTGAGCTCTACCAAGGCCCCGCAGTTGTAACATCTCTGCCATTGCCGAATTCGAGCCTCCTCGAGAACCACGCCTAATTCGGGATCTGAAGGACAGTCACTTGAAGCATGGGCTGTATGACGGCAAAAGGAACAAATGATCAACCCACAATACGGGCAGGCATAGGACGAAGTGCCACTTTTCAAGAATTCCGGCGGGATCCACTCCGCGCAGGCAGGCGCCGGACAATAATGGCGTCTCGAGATCGGGGTTGCGTATTCGCGGGTTTTGGCAGTATAGGTTCGTTGCTTCTGCGGGCTCAGCGTTCGCAGTATTTTCTGTAATGGTACCTCTTTGGAACAACATTTAGGAGGGAAGGAACATTCGTTTTCTATGGCTATTGATGCCATTCGACCAATGCATTGACTGCAATACTTGTGCCCGCACGAAAGGGTATCGACAAGCAGGCTGTCGAAACAGCCCATACAGGTCCTGATTCCGGTTAGTTGCATGCTCTTTGAGAACGTCGGGTGGTGGTTTGGGAAGCAGACTCTGAGGGCTGTGTATGCCTAGAAAAGTGCCTTCTGAACCCAAGCCTCCGTAGCTTGTTACTAAAGCGAGTGATTCGTGCTCTCTTCCGTTGGATGTCCCTGAGGCCGGGTGCTTGGTCTGAGTTGCTCACTACAGGGTCATCCGAAGCCCAATGGGGTTTGGTGAAGCCCAGATCAACCAACAAAGATTCCAACTTAGGATATACCGGTTTTGCATCGAGGTCTCTGTCCTTATTCAACGCACCGTGCCGTTCAGGGTCGAATAGTCGGGCGACCCGCCATATGGCAGAGGGAAGCTGAAGTGAAAACATATTTGTGCCAGAAATGGAAAGCTGCAGCCCTCGGTAATTGGCACAGAAGAAGTCGGCTCAAGAGGTTGTTGCAATAACGATAGACCCAATAGACATCCAGGAAGCTGATTCCAAGGTTTAGAGCCATGTTTGCTGTTGGTAGGGGCATCACGCCAATACACACTGAGTGCAGAGAAGAATCAAAGTGTCGGGTTCATGTTTAATAATTCGTACAGGTTCTGCTTAAGGATAGGAGCTCGTGTAGGGTAAGTGATGGTGTTTGCGTCGTTCTAACAATCGGCTGCGCCTCCCTAGTTTATAAAGCGATGGCAAATCGGCAACTATCCACTATGATAATGTGTCCATGGTGTCTGTCGACGGATGTGTATGCCATGGATAGGCGCATTTGGTGCCACCTGTTCCAGCCCCATTCTCTCCAGACCAAGTTGCTCCTTGAAGCCAAGTTGGGGCCTTTGTGCCCCTCATCTGACACGAGAACTCCCAGTCTCTACTCGCCCAAGGATATACCGGATCAGTGACGATCCAATTGAGTGGGATCAGTCAAGGAATCCTGAAGTGAGGTGGGGGATTGCTGATGACGTGGGGATGTGAGTTGTTACATTGCGGGGGCATTGAATCTCACCGCAACATTTTCCACGCCAATCACCTACGCATCTATGATCCAAGGTAAATTTTCTCAAGTAGGCTCCGTCTGGAGCAAGGGCAGTACTGCCTGTCCACTTGTAACTCATGTCGATCCCTTGGGGTGCTAGAGCCATGTCTCGCATCCTTCCACACTCGCCGTGGGTGGACGTCTACGCCGGTAAACCGACGACAGGCTTGGATCACTTCCCTCCCCTTAGTTAGATTCAGGACGAGGGATGAGATCCTTATTTTACGAGCCTCCAGAAAATTTCCTCGCCACCCAGGAAGAACCGTTTTCCTGATACTCCTGTCGTGTGACCGCGACTCTCCGCAGTTCTTCTTTGTTCGTTGCGAAGCGCGATGCCCCTAGCCAAGTCGAACGAATAGGGCTGTTGTTTTTGGAACTCGTCAGCAGCCTGGATAGTGTAGGCAAAAAGAAAAAGAAAGGAAGACATCTTACTCTTGGGGGCGTCGGACTCGCACGACGCATTCCGCCGAGGCTGCTTGACGCAACTCGGTTTCTCTGGTGATTTTGTTAATAAGTGCAAATAGAAAGGGTCAGGCGCGATCGCTGCTTACAGCCTGTCTATAAATCCCGGCAAGAGGGAATTACCCCCGGTTGCCAGAACATTTGCCAAAAACGCAGGATGCAATCCCGGAGGTAAGACAGATAAGCTCTGCATGACCATATCCGCTATGCCAGCCTGCTTCATTCCAATATCACCCGGCGTGAAGAGGATTTCGGGGACGGCAAAACGTTCGTTTCCTAGTACCAAGACATCCTCCGATAGTGTCTCGGCAGTAGCACCCGAAAGAGCGCCTTTCCTTTTCTTCGCCTTCAGCAAGGGGTCATGGGGGCGCATGAAGCCTTGTTTTCCCGCGTTCGGGTCAGGTAGCACGTAGTCAACAGTGACGCCCTCGCCGATCTGGGACGAGCCACGCTTCCGATTCCCCTTCCAGGTTTCCTCCATGTCGTGGGGGAAATCCTTGCTAACAAAGCACACCGCCTCTTTGACCTCGTTCATGACATACGTCTCGTCCACCATGTTATATTGTCGCATCGAGACTATCTCCTTCAAGTAGTTCGTGAGGTGTCGACCTCCAAGATCAAGCCGGCGAATGGCGCGCTGAAGAGGCTGGCCTTTGTAGATCGGCGTTACCGTCGTGTGGGAGTAGCCAGAATCGACGACGAGCAAACATTCGGTCGGTGAGGCGGCCATGCCGGGCTGTTGTTGCGTAGGGTCCCCGAATAGAGACTGTACCTCATTCCAGGCGTTCATCGACGGTCCTAGAGATCGTTGTTAGCGAAGGAGTGGCCCCATAGTAAATCGCAGAGGGCATTCCGTATAGTCACCTATGGTTCTCAAGTAGCCGCCAAATCCCCACTCTTCCATCACGATCTCATCCGCATTCTTCTGTAACGCTGGCAACGCATTTGGGGCTTCGGTGAGCAACAAGGTGGTTTCCTCCGGGTTCGCAATCCGAAGCTCCTTGGTCCGGGCCGTCTTCTCGTCAAAGAACGAGTGTTCCCAGATCTCTTTCTGTACCTCCCAATTCACAATGTATCCCTTTTCGACCGGGCGGCGAAACATCAACTCATTCCAATCAGTCACGTGGCTATTGAGTTGCGCACCGATGTAGACATTGTTCCCGCGGGTTTTGACGAGTGCGTTTGGGATGGCGCTACAGGCAGAGCTTGCCGTACTTTCACTGTCGGGGGGTAGGAATTCGGGCGCGTAGCCGGCCTTCATTGTATACGCGCCATTGTCGATAATGAAGGTCTTGTCGGGTAAAGGTTGAGCTTTCGCGATGGATGCTCTCGGGGGCGGTCGCGGTTTCGTGGCTCCCATCTTAACTGAAAGACCAGGTGAGGGTCCCTTGGAGAAAAGAAAAGAGCGCACTGGGAAGTGCGGAGGGAAAGGGAAGAAGAAATTAGCAAAGAGCTTTGCAGTTAACACGGGTCAACAGAACAAGCGGGCGGAGATGAGAAACTGCCCGAAGATGACGCATAGGCGGTCAGAGAGAGAGAGAGATATATATATATATACTTCCATATAGTAATAGTAGTAGGACCCAGGCTTAGGGCAAGGCTCGATCAGGTTCAGGATGTGTTAGGAGCCAATTCCTTTTCAATTGTAGAGAAAGAGGTAGAATAATAATTATCTTTTTTTTTTTTTTTTTTTTTTTTTTTTTTTTTTTTTTTTTCGTTCTTGCGATGAACACATACTCTCTCCCTCGCAATATTTATCGCAAAGTTATTCCCTACAATCTCCCTATCTTCAGGTGACCCCACAGAGCCCTAGTCAGCAGCCCCGCCAAACCCGAAGATTTATCCTTGAACAATTCAGAAGCTCCGACTCTCCTGCCACAACAGACCCTAGGGATTGCGCCGTCCCCTTCCATTCCACGATCAAAATGTCGCAAAAGTTTCGCATAACCCTAGAAACCGCGATCACGCTTACACAGCAGTTTCAGTTAACTCTTGCTACACCCGTTACGCAAACGACCAATCAACTTTCCGGACAAGATGCCCTTCCCCTCCTTTCGGCCTCGTCTACGGCCTTGAAATCCCAAGTCACCAAGCTGTCGCTGCTTACGATAACCTCCCCGTTCACCCATTCGGCTGTCACCAGTGTTCTTTCTGACATCAACGAGTCGGCGCTGCCCTCGCTAGTAACTGCCGCCCTTCTGGTCACCCCGATCGAGCACACCCAGGCCTTTCAGACCGAAGTCTTGGTTCTGACGAAATCCACTCTGACGGAATTCGCATCGCTGCTCAAAGAGGTCCATTCTGTTGCAAACCGAGAAGATGAAGCAACGGACGCTCCCAAACAGAAGCGGGGATTGTCCCAATCGGAAAAGGACGTGGTTACTGTAGCTGCAGGGCGCGTGTGGGAAGCTTGCGATGCGCTTGTTGATTTCGCCGCCAAGGGAGTTGTTGGATTTGTGGTCAGACGCGTGGAGGAATGGAGGGACCTAGTCCGAGACGCGGTGGAGGAGATCGAAGAGTGGGACCCGGATGAGGAAGGAGATGAGTTTTTCGACGATCTTTTGAGCGACGGCGGACAGGATACCCCTGGAAAGAACGGGCCTGAGGAGGATGAGGACGACGATGACGAGGAAAGCAGCGCTGCCCTCCATGAGAACAAGAAGAACGCCATTCGAATTCTCAAACCCGTCGCGCAGATTTACCCCGCCATTATCAAAAACCGTCTGAAAACCGCCCCCGAACTATCACCGCCTCTCATCGGTAAACTGGAAAACTTAATGTTGAATCTGCGGCGAATTCCTGAGAATGTCGACGAAGTCGCCGGGGCCCTATATGAGGCCAACTTCACAAAATCCAATAAGTATCTGCGAACAACGAAGGACCACGCCATAAAGGCTATAGAGACCGTCGCTTCACCGTGGACGTCAATTGATTCTTCTGATCCGGGACATGAATCGAAGGACAAATTTGAGACCTGGTCAAAGACGTGGTTGAAAGTGGTGAGCGAGGTCAGCAAGACCCTCGTCAACACGGGAGATCAGGGCGAAAAATGAAAGGCATATGTACGCATTCATACATATGAATAGAAGAAATGAGCATCAGAGTTCTATACCGTTATCATAGTTGGGCTCACATTCACTAAATTTCAATTCTTTTCCACGATGTTTACGTGCCGAGCGCGATTTGATCCCTTCACCCCTCAAGGTCATTATGATGTTATCTCGTCATCCGATTCCCATGCACAAAGCTCCTCGGCAGGTATTCGGTCCTTCAACCATTCGAGAATCGTATCGGTCCCTTTCGCAACAATTTGCCATCGAGGTACTCGAAAGCTATTACCTGCAATTTCAAACCTCCTTAGAGCCGACCCGCCACCCCAGTTCTTGCTGGATCCTTCGGCCCTCAACAGGCCGATTTTCGGCGGAAGGGACCCTATGTTATTGTTCCCTACATCTAATACCTGGAGACCTTGTACAGCGTCAAAATCGAGACCATCAAAAGAGTTATCGGCTGCGAGGAATGTCATCAAATTTGGATAGTTCAGTCGCACTGGAGGAAGCGGTCCGGAAAGACGATTATTGGAAACGTCCAGAAACGTAAGTGATGGGGCTTTCAGGTAGGTGAAGACTGGAGTCAGCGTGGTCAAGGTCGTGGCGCTCAGATTGAGGTTCTGGAGACTAGGGAGTGCGAGGGAGGCGTTTAGCAAGGAATTGCTATCCAGTGGATTGTTGGACAGGTCAAGGTCGATGAGATTGGCTGCAAGCATGCTGAGAGCTGGAGCGGGCAAGGAACGTAATTCGTTGTGCTGCAAACATAGGCATCTGATTTCTTGGGAGTTGATTTCGTCGAGCCTGTCAACATGTAGTTCTTGCATGTCGGTGTATGATCTATCGAGGACCCCCCCCGGTTTGATCTGCCAAGCCGATGTCTGCGCGGGTGTTTCTGGCGCAAGCGTAAATTGAGTTGCCACCGAACCCTCGTCATCGTCGGTATCTTGGACTTCTGGTTCGCATCGATTACGTAGATCCCTCTTGAGGTCTTCCGTGTGCATGCCGAGGAACTTTCGCTCCCTCAGGGGGTTATTGGCGATCCGGAATGTTGACAGACTTTCAACCAACCCGATTCGTTCATCCAGTTTTGAAATATCATTGCTGGTGAAGTCCACATGTTTGATATTTTTCAACTCAACAAAGCCAGGCGGTATCTCGCATATCCTGTTGTCCTCCGCGGACAGAGTGAGGAGTTCGCGCCATCCAGAAAGGCTGGGCAACTTCTGGATACGATTCATGCTGATAGCTAATGTTTGTAGGCGGGGTAGCTCGACATCTCCATCTGCGGAAACCTGCACCAATGCGTTGCTGGAAACGTCGAGACTCTGAAGAGTCTCCAGTTTTGTTACACTGGCGGGTATCAAAGATCCACTCAGCTTGTTTCTCTGAGCATTGAGATCCTTTAGCGGAAGCTGGCTTAAAGCTTCAAAAGGTAGAGATGTTAGCTGATTGCCACCGAGAATCAAGGCCCGAAGGCATCTAAGCGACTCAACATCGTCGGGGAGTTCTGTGATGGAATTGTTGTGGAGGTCGAGAGTTTCCAAATTTTTGAGACGTCCGATGTCCGATGTCAATTTCCCCTCTAATTGGTTTTTGGCTAATCTGAGGTCCCGAAGAGACTCCATCTCCATGATTACATCCAATTCACGCATTGTCAAACTGTTATTAGAGAGATTGAGTGTGTGCAATCGCTGCAGTCGTCTTAGTCCCATTGGTAGAGAGCGTAGCAAATTTCCGTGCAGATCTAGAAGCTCAAGTCCTCCGAATTGGTTTCCCTTCTCGTCCATATCGGGGTCCAAGTCTTGCACGTCCTTATCGGGGAAAGCAGCATCTGGGAGCTCGATGAATTCGTTATCCGCCGCAATGAATTTCACAAGATCGACACTTTCATACCACTCCGTGGAGGACTCGGGGTCAAAATCGTACATCGTCATGACCTCCCTTGGCAATTCTTTCAAGGACATGGCGGCAATATTCAGGTGGCCAGATGTTCGCCCTGCCTCGATGCGTTTCTGAATAACCCGATTCTGAGGATCCTTAGGCCGCTGGTTAAACGGATCCTCGACGTCAAAATTGTCCCATGTGCTGCTGGCAGGCGAAGAATGGGCGGTCTGTGCGGCAGCCTTTCGTGCCGCTTTGGCCTTTGCAATACTCTCCCGTAGGGCGCTCGACGAGTTCGAGACTTTCCTGGTCTCCAGCTCAGATTGCTGACTCGGCGTCAGCTCGGACGCGGTTGGCTTTGTCGATGCTGGTCTCGAGGGCTTTGAGGCCGGCTTCAAACCCATGGAAGGGTTCACCGGCGTTTTCCGCGTTTTCATGACCTGAAGTGAGGGCCCCGTGTCCGAACTGACACGGGTGGCAGAGGGTTGACTAGAAAGCGCGCGGGGCTTTGGCTTGGTCGGCGTCGTTTCACCGTGGAGAGCGGTCCTGATGGAAGGCTGCTTCAATTTGGACGGGCTATCTACAGCCATCGGCGTAGCGGTCTCAGCGGATGCACCGTTCGTAGACACGGACGGGCGTGATCTGGATGGAAGCCTCATGGCAGACGCGGGACGAGAAAGATAATCATTTCCGCTCGGTTGGCGGGACGATGAAGACCTAGACGGCGATCTGGAGTAATTGGTCATCGACGACGGCGGACGAGAGGGAGAGCGCATTGGGCTGGTCGCGTTGAAAAAACTAGACTGTCTTCTTAAAGGTGCAGGCAAGGGTGGGATTTGCGACAGCGTTTCGATGGTCCGCTCTGAGAGGGAGGGGCGCGCCCGGCCTCGATTATCTGCATCATGTATTGAGATTGCGCATTCGTCACTTTCGGCTTTGGCGGCCGCCCTTTCGGGGTAGGCCTGTTCATTATGGGTTGTTCCAATCTGCGAGACCTCTCCCCTCCGCTGCGGGCCGTTTGAGAGTTTTTCAGGGCGCGTGTATTTGGGAAGCGGCTTCTTGAAAACAGGTTCTTCTGAAGGACGTCGCAGCCTGCCAGAATATAGACCTGGGTCGGATTGCAGTTTCTCGCGAGACGGAGAGGTGCGGACGGATCTAGACGCGGTAGAGGTGGGCAATGGCAATTTTGAAGCCGGGCGAGGAATTCCGCTGGGCTTGCTCAGGGGTTTCTGCTGCCGATCCATTTCCACATCAATGTGACAGCAACGGTTGATCGTTTGAGGTAGTGGTCGTTGAAGCGCTAATGAGCTCTCCGCATGAGATGAGGGGTTTAAGGGAGAGAAGGGGACATGATGCTTGGGAAAAAAATTGTGTGATTGTTGAAAGGTGAACAGCTCAAATGAAAGAAATTGGAACAGCTCGGCGAATTATTAGGGTTTGACCAGATTTGTAGGGGCTCCGATTCAATATCGCTGCGGTGGACACAAGGAATATTAATGGTGGTGCTATTATATTATTAACTAACGGTGGCTGTTGTTATTGTTTACGCCACCTTCTGCCTGAGGCTGCGTTGCCACTTGGCTTAGTAAACATCGCGAAAAGATCAGGACCCTTAAAACATTGGGGAAGGAGGAGCAACGTAATGATGTACTGGGGTCCATTGGAGGTAACAAAGGAGAGAAAGAAAGTAAACCACAATATTTAGGTAAAGTAGCCAACATCACATCGGAAGAACAAAGAGTGAATATAAGCTGAACAGAAAACGAAAGTACTTCCACAACAGACACCTATATACATACAATGCAGTACTTCCAGACCCTCAGTAGTAGAATGTTATCAGCAGGGCTACTATTTTGATTTACCTGGCAATATGTGCATAGCACATATCTACATAGGAACGCAACTGTGTCGGGAGAATGGGCTACGAGTACTCCGTAAGTACTCCGTACAGCATTTCCAGTATGCGCCGTATGCTGTGGTGGAGAACAGGCTGCTGAGGTACAAGCCTCTGGGTACCTGACACATATCAATCATGGTTATCACCCAACAGCTACGGAGTACTCCGTAGATGAAAGATGATCCGATTCAGGAACCATCGACCGTGGCCGGGCGGGTTGCCTGAGTGACAAGAGCAGCGACCCATGGGGTCCAGCTTCTGTTTACCTCGCCGCTAGCCTCATCCGGCATGGCGGCATACTGGCGCGCGGCTGGGCTCACGTGGGCCGTGGTGGCCGGACGTGGTTGGACGAGGCGAGGGGATCGCAAGCGACTTCCCAGCCTCCCGATGTGCGAAACTCCCGCCGGTTGCAACATCCTTAAGGCATCAAAGCACCCGTGCTCCTTGCTTTCACATCATATCCATTATTCCCCCATCATCCATCTTTCTCATTCCCCATTCCTCCACTCCCCCTGCCGCCCTTGCTTCCTTACTTCCTTCCTCCTTTCCCCTTACTCATTTGGCACTTTCTACGAAGCTTCCATAACTTTATCCTGATAAGTCATTTGGTTTCGGATCGCCTTCTTATCAACTTTCCGTATCCTGAACGTGCCCGCGCAGCCCCATCATTGATAAGCAGTCCGATCTACGGATAGCTGTCGTCGCAACCCATAGCACAGTTTCCCCTTACGATCGCCCCTACAGTCAGCCGTCTCAAACTCTCCGAGTTCTGACTGGAAATTCCGATCCTATCGCAAAGAGAGTCTCGGCCAGCCAACCGAACTATCGACTTCCGGTATGCGATTGACCCGCCTTGCGACAGCCGTCTCAATAATACCGATGATGCTAACTAATTCTCAGTGCGCCAATCTGCACGGTCGGGCTCTATTTCATCGCTGTCTCCCAGCATCGCTTCTCCATCCAACAGACCATGTCACAAGACAGCGAGGCCCGGCTTTCGCAGACGTCTCTAGCTCCTCCGGCAGAGATCTCTGCCCCTGCCACCCCTGTTCCCCGTTCAAACCTTTCTGCTTCTCCGGAGCTGAACGTAAGGGCAGAGAGCCTTGCTTCACACTCTGAACAAAGTAAATTCCTTTCTCCGCCAGCGCTGTCTTCATCGGACATGACCCCGCCACCATCCTCCCAAGTTCCCCCCGCCCCGTCTCGAGGGACAAGGTCGCGATCTGGCTCGTATCTTGCATCTCCACCCGATATCGAGAAGACCCTCTGCGTCGCCTACGGGGCTTCCGAAAACCTTCCAACTGCCGAGGAGATCGGTGCTGCGGACGAACCAAGGCTCCGTACAATTGCTAAAGAATTGCTGGGTGTGGCTCAAGAGGCCCGGATGTCAGCACTGCATTTCAAGCTGCAGAATAGTCTCTTGTCTTTCACGAGCAATGAAGCCATAAAGCGGGCCGAGGTTGAACATCAGTTAGCCCGAAGAGAGGTCGAGATCCTCCAGAGCTCGGAGTATCGCAGTCGTCATTCTGAAAACAAACCTCCTCAACCAGTTACCAACGTGGAATTGGAACTTGCGCTCAAACGTAACCAAGATCTCGAAAGAGCCAATGCTACCTTGGACCGAAGACTTCGGCGGTCGAAGAAACTTATCGAACAGGAAAGAGAAAGGTCGGACCAGTTGAGCGAAGAGAACTGTTTGTTGAAGAAGCGCATCAGAGACAACCGTGAACACTTCTCGTTGATGATTGAGAATGGATCGTTGTCACCAAGCCCGCAAACAGAAAGCCAGACTCCTCACAGAAGGCCCTTGCCCCTTTTCACGGATGACGGCCGAGGGGAAAGCAGCAATCCATTCGCAGCTCTTCTAGCCGCAGATCGGGTTCTCAATCGAGAATCTTCCAATATCACCTCTACCCCTAACCGGACTCGTGTCTCGAAACACGATGCAAGTGGGCATGTTCGTGGATCGCATTCGCTGTCGTCTCTCCCCATGACACCCGCTCGGTCTCGAAACAACCGCCACGAAAACCAATACCACACTCCGGGCAAGGAGTCATCCGAGGCAAACCGGGACAGGGATAGCACGATCTCCGCATCCGATATTGAGGAAGCTGAAACCGAAGAGGATATTCCCCTTTCTCAGGCTGGTAGTTTGGGGTCCCATACGTTTCATCGCAATAATATCCCGATAAATCGCGGGGATGTTCGAAGCGTGGGGAATGCACCTAAATCCAGCACTCTCCTTCAGACGAAATTGTTTGGTCAGGTCAAGAAAGCCGGCATTGAGCGTGCGCCGGGCAATCTTAAGCGTAAATCAAGTTTTGACGGTGCGGTGTTACAGAAGAAATCGAAAGCTGAGGAAAGAGTGGGTCTCGGTATTGGCACTTGGAACAGTAACGAGACGGCCTAGTGCATACCAAGTTCTTGAGCCTGTTCTGCCGTCATGGCGCTGGAGACCTGGGGTTTCGAGATTGGATCATTCACGTTCAGTTTCTTCTTGGGCTTGCGCCTATGCTTTGTATACCTGGCCTCGTTTTTTGTTTTCAGCAATCAGTTACGAATGATGACCCGTGAAGATGATGGACGAAATGGTGTTTGGGCGTTTTCTCCATGATTGATGATTTTTCTTTTTGTTCTTATTTTGAAATGGAATCTTCCGATGATATAAGGGTTCAATGATTGTGCTCGTTCTTCGAAATTAGGAGCCCATGATCAAGGAGACTGATTGCTTACGAGAGGTAGGGCAATGCTGACTCGTGCAAGAAAGAACATGAAGAAAAAGAAACAGAAAAAGGTGGCAGGGAACCCCTTGAACCGGGACGGGAAACCGATTGTAGACAGCAGGTCTAGAAACAAGAACGATGGAGCCGTGAGCTCCAGCCATGAAATACTCCGTAAGCATACGATGCGCCACACGTGGCGGTGCTGACTGGACGGCCATTCCGCATTGGGCAGGCAGGGTAGGGCTCGCTAAGCGAGGCGGTGCGGCTCTGCGCGGCCACACCAAAAAAGTTCCACCCCAATATTGAAACGAGGAGTTTTGAGATCCGACCAGCAACCACCCACGACGACGACGACAATCTCCCGGCTTTGATCCCCATCCGTCACAATGGTGCGTTCATGAACCCCCTCGATTCGGTTTTGGATATATCGATATGTCGAAATCTTGGATATTGGATATTGGGATATTGAAGAAATTGGATGCTCGAGAGGCAGGATGCTAACGAGTCTTTGGTGGCGTATATAGGCGATCAAGCACAACAACCAGATTCTCAACCAGCGTGAGTACACGAACCAATTCAGTTTCTCCTCTGTTTTCCCTCTTCTCTGGCAGATTGAAACATGACAATTTGGCATCAAACTTGGGTCTGACAATCTTTTCTAGACTTCCGCAAGGACTGGCAGCAGCGTGTGCGCGTGCACTTCAACCAGGTACGAACTCGAACCAACCATTTCCCATCCGAGCCGCATCGCAAACGATTAGTTGCAACAAGACTTTCGGCGTCAAATTTTGAGATTCACGTTTTCGCATTATGAGAGACTGACTGATTCCGGACCTATAGCCTGGCCGCAAGCACCGCCGTCGTGAGGCCCGTCTCGCGAAGGCCGCCGCCGTCGCTCCTCGTCCGGTTGACAAGCTGCGTCCCGTTGTGCGGTGCCCTACCGTCAAGTACAACCGCCGGGTTCGTGCTGGCCGTGGTTTCACCCTGGCCGAGCTGAAGGTAAAAATTCGCCCTGCATCTTGAATGGTGCAAAAAAGGCAATTGGTGTGGAAACGAAGGCTCACTGGTTCATTTTTCGTCAACACAGGAAGCTGGTATCCCCAAGAAGCTCGCCCCCACCATTGGCATCGCCGTCGACCACCGCCGTGTCAACTACTCCAAGGAGTCTCTGGCCGCCAATGTCGCTCGTCTCCAGGACTACAAGGCCCGTCTGATCCTCTTCCCCCGCAAGAGCGGTCAGTTCAAGAAGCTTGACTCGTCCGCCGACGAGGTCAACGCTGCCAAGGCTGCTTTCGCCGCCGAGGGCAAGACCGAGGGTTACGCCACCCGCGTTGGCGCTACCTTCCCCGTCAAGAACCTCTCTGCTGAGGAGGCTGTCACCGAGGTCAAGCGTGACACCCTTCCCAAGGGTGAGGAGGCTGCTTTCCGCCGTCTGCGCGAGGCTCGTAGCGAGGCTCGTCACCAGGGTATCCGGGAGAAGCGTGCTAAGGCCAAGGCCGAGGAGGAATCCGCTGCCAAGAAATAAATGTGATTCTCAGTTAATGATGAATGGGGTCTGTTTTCACGTCGGGAACTAGTGTACTGTGGCATGGCGTAGCGCCGCTCTTCTCTTATAACCTTTTGTCCTTAAACCTAAAAAGCTCCGAACCTCTCGAAATGCAAATGTCCCAATTTAACGTTACATGATGGGAGTTTGATGGCGACATTCGGGTAGATTTCCGGCTTCCTGAGGAGTATCATGACATCGCATCGCGGACACTTGGGAGATTGGGGATGGAGCCTACGTGACTGTAGGCTGCTACGACTTTCTTGTTTACTTGAAACCTTTGTGTTCTATGGATGACTACTTGGTAGACGCTCAATCAAGCTTACTGGGCGAGGAAATGGTATAATCTCTGACACCACCGTTACCGGGGCTTTGATGCTCGTGAATGTTAACCATGTCATTTAAATTTAACCAAACCAAATGTTGACCGGCGGTGATCGCCAATTTGCGCCAAACCATAAGCACGACCAGTTTGATTCGGGTCAACTCCGTGTAGTCATGATATCTTAAAAGGAGTAAATGATCCCCAGCGGCCTGGGCCGGATATTGAGTCAAGTAAAATGCCCTCTCCATATGTAGAGACAGTGTCTGTGCTATCGCTCTTCATCCTTGGAGGGCGGACTTGCACCAACGCCAAACAGAGCGCCGAGAACATGATTGGTGGCCTGGATAACCGCATTGGCATCAAGACCACCTGCCGATCCTGCCGGACTACTGGTGTTCTCATGGAGGACGGCATTGAATAGATCCTTAGATTCCTGTTCTGTTTTATCTCCAACAGAGCCGTTGGATATCGAGGAACCCGAGACGGTAAGACCTGGGGTCAATTGAGGTTCGCAAGCCCATTCATCGATGGTGATTTCGCATGACAGCATGACTTTGATTCCTCCGTCGTCTTTTTCGAAAACCATCGATGTGCGCTGAAGGTGGGGTAGGATCTTGCGCAAGTTTGTTACCGTGAGGTTTTCCGTCGCGCTCTGCAATGCTATGTCATCTACGCCCGATTGGCCGTCGAGCAAGCCCGTATGATAATTTTCAAGCTGCAGCCATACGTAGGCGCGCGATAAGACTGCCTCCCAGTACCGATTGACACCCCAGCAGAGGCCCGACACGTCCAACTTCGTCAAAGGATTCGCTAATCGGGAATCGATCCAAAGCCGTAAGTATTGGGGCATTGGGTCAGGTGCTGTTACCGACACCAAAGCTTGATCTTGGAAGTTTGTCTCGTAGACCAAGGATATACTGTATAGCTCAGGTGGGAAGGGGGCTGGCGCGGAAAACATTAAGCTATGTCTCTCCAGAAAGACGAAGTTCGGGTCGGGTACAATATCCGAGTGAGTCTTAAGAGATAAAGGAGCAAAGACCGTCAGATGCGGTTTTCCTTGCGCAGTTCCATTCAGAGCAAAAGGATTTGATGGAGACGATGGTGCGGGAGTCTTTAAGGGGGCGGTTGAAGAAAACGGAAGCAGTGTCGAGATGAGTGAGGACACGGGTATATCGGTGGGACGCATGGCAGCATTTGTGGTGGCAAGGCATTCGGATACCAGCAAGGAACTGCCTAGAGTATCAGCGAGCCATATCAAACAAAAAGGATAAGCATCTGGTCGCACTTACATGACTTTGCTCACGTCAGGCTCTACATGATCATCATTTTGGCCAAGGTTCGCCGACCAAGACTCGAGGTCTGCAATATGCTCTTTCAGCTGTTGCGCGTCGGCAGTAAGCTCCTCCCTCAGTTTTCGCTTTTTGGCCACAGGCTCTGGAAACAATGCTCGGGTGACTGCCTCGAGCGAGCCCTCTACGTTTGTGCCATCGTCTACATTTCTAAGCTTCGAGGGGCTTTGCCCTAGGGGATCGGTCGGTCGTCGTCTTCCGAATCGTTGGGTCGTAGGGCTGCTACTTAAAAGCCTCCTTGGGCGCCCGGCGAGCTTCTCAAGTCCCAACTGAGTAGGGGTCGGGGGCAAATCGGGCTCCTCAGAATCCTCTTCCAAGGCCGCCGATTGCCAGTCCCTGTTCGGCTCGTTTCCACCCGTGGCGCTACCCAGCTCAAGCGCCAATTGATCCTCCGGGGTATTCGTGACCCCCGGGTCCAGCTCAGCTCTTTTCGTCCCTACTGGCGACTGGAATGTTAGGTCCGAGGGAACAATCCTCCTTGAAACTCGTCTTGGCGGCGCAGCAAGCGCTTCTAGCCCGCTAGATCTTCGATTCGAGATCCATACGGGTGACGGCTTGTCACGGTTGGAACTTCCCATGGGGCTCGCAGTTGAAGACAACGAGGGGCGGAGAGCTTTTCGGTCGCGCAAACCAAACGTTTTCGATCCAGCTTGAGATTGTTGGTCGTTCAAATTGCGTCCACTAGGCGATCTTCGCGAAGTCAAAGGCGGTGCCCTATTGCTGCGACTTTGGGTGGAATCTTCAGTAGTATGAGATTTCGCTCGGCTGGCCTTGGTCGGCGCTAGGTATGAGGCCCGGTCAAGGGAGCGCCCTTGGGGCGGCGGCGGGAGCGGAGGGGGGTTCATTTATAACGCGGCGACTGGAGGAACGGCATTCGTCTGGCCGGGGTTTTCGCTGCTATCATGGAGGCGAGCACGGCATCAGGGGCGATCCTGGAAAGAAGATGGTCGGAGGAGACATGCGAATGCGCGTTTGTTGACCTCCCGCTGAGGGTGAGGTTTGCACTGTTTGCACCATGACATAACGGCCCCTCGGAATCGTCGCCGCACATCGCCGATTCTTTCTTTCGCAAACCCTCTCCTCGGCCATTACCACGATGAAGACTCGCTTGATGCAGTCAAGTCAATCGCTAGCCCGAAGGGGCACGTCTTTGGTAGATCCAAGGCGCCTTCAACCCAGATGTCGACGTTTGTCCCTCCCCTGGCCCGCGTTTGCCAACCAACGATATACCTCCGCTCCGTCGCTCCGTCGCATGGCCAGCCACGCAAATGCAAACCCCCAGGGCAAGTCGCTGGGTCTGGGCGACTCCGAACCATCGCAAGCATTCCCCTTGTCCGGCTACTATCATGACATCCTTTCGAACAGTTCGCCATATCAAGGGCAAGCATCTACTTCGCGACCCGTTCCTCGACAATCGACAGAGCAATCATCCCCTGCCGCTACGGTTGAGCCTCAATCTCCACAGGACAAAATGTCCATTGTATTCGGCACGCGACTAGCTGGTCCTGGTCGTTCTTCACGCTACGATCCCGGGAACACGGCACCGGAATCCACTTGGAAGACCGTGAACGGAGTGGCGATTCCCCCACGACCCGAGGAGCCTGATAATTGCTGCATGAGTGGCTGCGTTCATTGCGTATGGGATGACTTTCGGGATGACATGGAAGATTGGGCAGCACGACTCGAGCAGGCCAGGGCCAAAAACACCACCCCCAGTCCGGCGAAGGAGATGCGTCATACTCCCCGGCCGGAAGTCAAGTCTGCCAGTATCAGCATGGATGACGATGGTGGTGGCAGCGACACGAACTGGCCCATCCCGGATCAAACCGAGGATGTCTTTGCCAACATCCCAGTGGGAATCCGAGAGTTCATGAAGACGGAGAAGAGATTGAAACAAAAACACCAGCAAGAGAGTGCCTCGCCCTGACTCATCTCATTCTACATCATAGTATATTATACCCTCTCATTTAACTGGTTGATCAAAACAGCTCCTTCCCTTTGCTCATTTCACCCTGTCATTCCATGTCGCCCTTCTTTTTGTTTGTGTCTTTGTGTCTTTGAATCTTACTTCACCCCATCCATTAGCGGGGTGGATCTGTACCGTTATATAGAGAAGATGGTTGTTATAGAGTCGAATAGATGTATATAGTTACTAGCCCAATGAATGATGCAACGACTTTACATGAATCCATCCCAGAGGCGGAACCCCTAGCAGGAACCAAGAATGAGAATAAGTAGGTGAGTAAGAACAAGATCAAGAGAAAGATGAATTCACACTAAGCCAGTAATACTGCCATAGAAATATTCGACCATCACTTCATCAGATGGGTTCATTCTGCCGTCATACGCCGCCTTTGAGGGTTCTGGGCCCTCCAAAGTCTGGATCTTTTCACCAACTACAACAGCAACAAAAGCGACAGAATCAACATGTCAATATCAAAAAGTGAAACCGACATTATCCTTAATAAGGCTAACGTCTCCCTAGCACGCAGTCAACGACTCGTTGCTTCGTGGCTCCCTCCGCCGACTTCAGAGGAACTCGCCAATGTTAAATCGGAAGAAGAGCTGCAGCGGGAAGAGGATGAGATTTTTACCGCGGTACCGGAAACGTACGTTGTTGCCCCATCTTTGCTGGTGTTTGTGATGCTAATCAACGCGTGCTTCCCTTCCGCTACAGACTAGGAATTGGTGCCCCGTTGCCGACCAAGGCGGCCGACGGAAGTTGGAATCGCGCCGAACTGGACTCCAACGACAAGCTACGGAGACAGCTTCTCGGCAAGAACTACAAGAAGGTCGTCGCTGCTAGTGCAGGAGCTTCCGCTACCGGAAATCCCGGGAAACCTGGGCTTCGTGCAAATCTCGGCCCTAGTCCGAAGGAGGCGGACGACGAGGATGAGGACGACGGAGATGAAGGGCGGACGACAACAGTTGGGACGAGCAAACGCCAGTCGAGAAAACGAAAGGCTACTATCGAGGCCAGTCAAAGCTCCAATGAGACGGCGATGAACTCGGGCGAAGGTCAGGGAGAATCCGCATCACTACAGGAGGGGACCTCATCCCGACAACCACCAAGGTCTAAATCAAGCAAGAAGGCCACGAGTTTCTTAGATGAGCTCCTTGCAGACCGATCGAAGAGGAGGAAGAAGAAATGAACTCGGTTATCGGCCCCTTGATTTTATTCTGTGTTATTATTATACCCAGTGAGTTTGTTAATAAGCTCGTGAAGGGCGACAGACAAGTCACAAAATCCGACATATGCATATGTCCTTTGCGTGTATATATATATTTATATATAGAAAGAAGTGAAGCTAATCCCCATTCCCCTGGCAGCTGATCAAGAGAGATTCAGCCTATCAAGAAGAGTCTTGAGTTGGTACCGTTTTGCTGTATCCAAAAGACGACTATAATTTGACAGGATGTGTACCCCGTAAGCAGACCAAGCATTGCAATGCCATTTCTTGCACTTTCCATCGTGCAAGAACGATCGTCGTTGTAAACTCGACACCTATGTTGGCCCTCCCCCGGCCCCGAAAAGAAAAGAAATTGGTGATAAGCGTTGTCCCAAAGTGTGCAGACGGGGACCAAACCGCCAAAACGAATTGTACAAGAGGTACCCCATCCGGGGGAAAAAAAACGAACAAATACAAAAGGACGGTCAATTTGCATCCTGATGCAATGTACCACACGACAAGATAAAGGAAATTGAGCAGATAGAGAGCGGGAAGGGGAATGGTGGTAAATGGGGAAAGAAAAAGAAAGAGAAAAAAAAGGATAAGGATTTAGTTGTCTGTTTTTCTTCCCAATGTTGCGCCATGACTAGTAGCCAGCGACACCATTTTCCTTACCATCACGGGTTTCCTTTATGTGCTTCGAATTAATATTAATGAGGTGTTTTTGAGAAGGAGGAACGAAAAAGAAAGAAAAGTCTGATAGGGAATTGAGGGTTATTCCAATCGCTTCCGTTTTCTGTCATCCGCCATCGCGTGTTGGTCTTCGTCCGGCCTTTCTGCGGTATCGGCCGGATTCAGTAATGAATGCACGTTGCTAGCCATACTGGAACGTCGGGTTGCAGGCAAGGACGATTCGTGGCGAGGGAACCTGGGGCCTCCCAATGACCAGCTATGGTCAGCATTGGGGGTCGAGACGATATGGTCCGGATTGAAAGGTGGCGTGGCATGGCGCGATGTCTCCTGAAAACGGCGAGGCGCACCCATCTCATACTGTGCTAGGACATCCCTAACCTGCTGCTCACTTGATGTTGGGGTCCGGTGCGGCGACGGAGACCATGGTGCCGCAGCTGGCCCAGGCTGGTGAGTCGACGGGAAGGGAGACACGCCAGGTGGTGGCCAGCCGTGCTGCCGAATATCTGCAGAGGTATGTCGACGAGCTAGGTTGGGCCCCGGCGGGGAAGACACGGATGAAAGAGGATGAGGCATCGGCTGCTGAGGGGGCATGGCAGGAGGGACGGGAGGTCTATTGTAGCTCGGCGAAGAATTTCCCGCACCAATCGAGCCATAACGACGGGGGGAAACAGCCAAGTGTGGGGGGACTGGGGGACGAATCATGTTAGGCCTGCTAGCATCCATCATCGAAGGCCGGCGAGAATCTTCCTGGGGCATTTGGCGCGGGGAGAGTGGCGGACCCGGATCGACCGAGACAGTGGGAATATAAGGCGGACGAACGGCAAGATACGGGTCGGGTGGCTGTTCGAGGGCTCGCACGGTCTCAAGATGCTTCTCCAACTCTGCTTGCATGCTTGACACATCCCGATATAACAAACCTTCACGGTCAGGTATCATTCCCTGCAGGAAGCGTGAGATCGAATGGGTCCAATGGTAGCATCGGGCTAGGCTTTCCGCCATGGATTGGTATCGGGCGTTTAGTGCCACATTTCCTTCCTCTGCGCGACTCAGGCGATTATGCATGTCATATAAAGAATGCTCTAGGTTCATCAGTCGCGCCTCGGTGGCATCAGGAACAGGCTCGGCGGGGGTGCCAGGCTGAGACACGGCCGTCTTATGGCCAGGAAACGAGTCGCGATGAATCAATGCGTGCCGGGATGCTCGCCTTTTAATCTCTCGGAGTCCATTGAGATCGCCGCGTTTGAAATTCCCGTTCCCATGTTTGAATTCCCACAGCGCAGAGTCCGGGGAGCCGGTATGAAAGACATCGCTCACTAAATGTCACTACCATTAACAGCGGTCTAGGTCCCAACCCAGGGTGTAACATACCTTTATGGAACCCATACATGTTCAGTTGCCGGACGAAGGACGAAATGTTGGTGTGCTTGAAATATTGTCTATGGGAGTCGGTCAGCTGAGGCTAGCTGAGGCCAGAGGGGAAAACGCACGCAAGAACTTTTGAGAATTCGGACGTAGGAGACATGACGAAGCTGTCGTGGGTGTTGGACCACGAAATCAAATGTTGGATGCTAGGATCCTCTAGCATACTGTCAGGTACCATTAGCAAAGCCTCTCTTCGTCATAAAACTCTTTCCACTCTGAATCTGTATGGACGGACGTACTTGTAAAGCTTGTGGATAAAAGCGGTTTGCACCACCTTAGGTTGCTGCGCAGCAGCGGCAGCTCCGATAGCCTGATTTGGGGTGGCATAATTATTCACATTCCCAGTCTCAGTAGAGCCATTGGAGGCAGCAGCAGTGTTTGCGCCTGCTCGATCACTATCGGGGCTGCTGCGGATCGGGGGACCGGCGCCCGTCGCCGCTGAAGCATGTGGAGTGAGTTCCATCGGATCGCCCGTGGACGGAGCGGACGAAGGAGGGACGGAGGAGGAAAGAACAGGAAGTTTTCGTGTCTTGCCGGGCGCATCTGTAGCACCAGAGATCCCGGTGTTTCTCGACGGGGGATCGGCGAGGCCGCTCATCTCGCGCGGCGGAACAGGGGGGAAAAGGGTAATGGCCGGGGGGGCCGCAGGAGTGGACGGAGGAAGCCGGTGCGTTCTTATTTTCTCTCTTCTTTCCACCCCTTTTCTCTGATTTTCTGATATATAGATTTATTGAGGGGGACACTTGGAGATAATCCCCCTGTTTGAAGCGGAACAGAGGGTCGATGGATGACACGAAGGGGACAGGTAAGGAGGGCAGCGCGGTCGAAGAGCACTCGTGGATGCCAGGCGAACGTGGGAAGGTGGAAGATTATCACGGAGTCTGGGCCAAGAGGGCGCTGATCAACACCCAAGAGTCTCCGCTTCCCGAATCATGGCGAGGCCGTCGTCCAATTTAAAGACTCTGATTCTTCTGATTGGGTTGATGCTCACTTTGAGAATTGATCATTTGATTTTCCTTCTCTCAAATTGTTTCCCTCCCTTTTCTTTTTGCTGTTTTCCCTCTCGCACTGGCTTCGAATTTTAATTTTCTCTGTCGCTCAATCTGAGACCGGAAAGGCTGTCGTTCTCCGATAGAAGATTTGATCGGTTCGGCCGCACCAGAGTTGCGAGACAATCGCCCTCGCAACCGCAGTCGCAATAATATGTCCAACGGAACACTTGGTCAGGATCGGGTGCGTTGGCGTGTGTGAATAGTAGAACTGCTTCTTCCATGGGCCGAGTCTCTGTGCTCCGTGCCCAATAGCCTGTAAGAATACGGAAATAAAAATACAATAAAAGAAACGGCGGAGAAAGCCGAAGCTGGAGGGGGGAAGAAAAGGTAGAGGAAGGGAAGAGAGAGAAGGAGAGAAAGAAAGGAAGACAAGCAAAAGATGCTGCGGCATGGATCACGAGGATGGTCTGGAACCTGCATGGAACCGCCCTCTGTCTTCCTTTCTCTCTCTCTCTCCCTCCCTCCCTCCTTATCTCGTTCTTTCCTTCAGCCTTACATTCCCATCGATTTACTTGAGCAATGGATCTGGATGTTCGAGAGATTCTCAATCGGTTTGAGAAACTCAACTCCCCTGCTCGACGAGCCGCGTAAGCGCTTGATCACTCCCAAACATTGTTTTGATGCTGAACTGATCTTGCCCCAGCTATCGCCATATTCTGATGCAACTGCGCCTCCACGAATGGCGCGATGTGCGTGACCATTTAGACCACATCTCCTTCCACAAAGATATTCTAGGTGCACTGCCTCTAGAGGTGGCCGTGCAAATTACAGGATATTTAGGTCTGTCCGAAATACATGTCCTCCAAAGAGTATCTACATACATTCAGCTTCCCCTCCCACCAGGCAATCAATCTTCGAAACTGATCTTGATATTGGACAGGTCTCGAAGAAGTGGTATTCGCTGCTGTCTTCTGATCTGGTTCGCGACGCTGCGCTTCGCCGTTATGCCGGACGCAAGACCGATCCCGCTGCTGTCGGGGCACTGGACAAATTCTCCGCGTATGCACGACACCGGACTCGCTTGGAGCGTGGGCAACCTGTCAAGAAAGATCATTACCCAACCTACCAGCCGTTGCCAAAAACTTCGGAGGTGTCGACCCTAGATTACTGCAAAGGACGCGTTGCATGGATCGACGAAGGCACAACGCTTGTCGTCCTCAATCTGCACTCCCAAGCGACTCAACAGTTCTGCACGCAGAACCGAGATTTCTTCGTTGGGATGCGACTTTCGGACCGCATCATAGCGGCCATTAGTCCACGTGGGTAAGGATTGGAAGTTTTCGCACTGCACATGACCCCATGTACAAACTGAACTGACTTGGTTTTCAGACACTGTCACATCTGGGATCTTCACTCCGAGGAGTCGGCATGGTTTCGCCTGCCCTCATTGCAGTACGGGTTCTTCGTAGCTAGCGAAACAAGCGTAGCACTTTCCTTTTCTGATGGACTGGCCAACGGGGGTTACATTCTGCATTGGGATTCGATGTCGCACACTGCTCGCACGATCGCTGTAGCACCATATTTGGGTTACATGGCCTTGAACGCCGCCGCTAAGACCCTCACTACGGTCCACCTTGAGGCGCGTAATCCGGACTTTCGGACTGATACTGCTTTTGACAGTCAGCTGCGAGTCGTAAGACATTTTCTTGATGGTTCTAGCCACCCGGGACGATTGTCATCGTATACCCTCGATCTACCGACCGCCCATGACCGCCGAGATGTGAAAATCGGCTCTCCGGACGAAGGTTCAAGCTTCAGCGACCGAATCGGTATCTTTTCTATCCTAGCAACTGATAGGCAGCCTTCGGCGTCGTGCTCTGTTGTTGCCGTTTCTTATGATGCACCCACCGATCAAGTAGACTTGCATGTCTTACATCCTGAGCACACACCCTTCTTTCCTTTATGTATGACCGCAATTGGCCAGAACATTCTTTACTATTTAAAGAATGATAACGGAAAACCTCAGATAGCAGTCTCCAATCCTGTCGCCACAGTCCCCCATCGGCTCTCCAAGCACATGAACCCCCAACTACCGCGCGAGGCAACCCACCGAGTTTACTCCCATACCACTCGCTTTGCTCTTCGAGGAGATAATGAATGTACTCTAATGATCGATGAGAATGGGTTGAAGATGTGGTCGTTCAATGAAACAAACGACCCGAGTGATGCAATAAAGAAATCCCTTGACCTCAGTTGACCTCAGTTGTCCTTTGATGATTTGCTATTATCAACCGCCTGTGGTATCAACATCGAGTCTCCATGGGGATCCGAGAGTTAAAGAGGAAAGAATACATTAACACAAACACACAATACAAAAAGAAAAAGAAAACGTAGTAATGGACAATATACAGAACCATCAATGCTCTCTATGACAATGCCTCCAGCTTTCCCCCAACCTTCCGTTTAATTCATACCATCGCCATGATTATCCTGTTCCTGCACCCCTCCTAGTCTGCGGACTGGTTTCTTGGCATCAGGGCATGCTGGCACCGTGATTATAAGAAAAAAAACAAAGTAAGCGAGAGTGGCGAGATGGATGAAGATTGCAAGATCACATCAAGTCCAATCTCCCCTACTCGCTTTGTTGTCTCCCTGGTCTGTACTGACTTCACGAGGGGGAAAATAATCATGGACATGCTTTAGATGCCGCTTTAGATGCCAAGAGTGAACTCAACACCGACGTCGATTTCACGGGCCATCTTGACGACTTTCGAGAATTGAACAGACTTCTCAGCAGCGTTCTGGAGGTCTTCGATGGAGAAGATCTTCAGACCAGACTCGTTGATCTGAGAAAAAAAAATTAGTATGATGTCCTTGTTTGAAAATGCGAAGAAGGTGGCTTCCATACCAGCTTATGTGCGTGCTCCATGTTGGTACCTTGCAAACGAGCGACGATGGGAGTGCGGAGACCCATCTCCTGCACGACATTGATCAGACCCTGAGCGATGGCATCGCAACGGACGATACCACCGAAGATGTTGACGAAGATGGCCGACACCTTGGGGTCGCTAGTGATAAGCTCGAAAGCAGACTTGATGGCGGCCGGGGTAGCACCACCTCCAACATCGAGGAAGTTGGCGGGGCTGCCACCGTTGAGCTTGATAATGTCCATGGTAGCCATGGCAAGGCCGGCTCCGTTGACTGCAAAATTAGATAAGTAATCCAGCCATTACGAAGGGTAAATGTCAACTAACCCAAACATCCGATGTCACCGTCGAGCTTGATGAAGTTCAGTCCGTGCCTAGTCGGGTCAGCATCCATTGGTAATGATTTCAACGGTAAATGAGAGCATACTCGGCAGCCTTGACTTCGTCGGCATCTTCCTGGGTGGTGTCCCTCCAGGAGAAGACCTCCTTCTGTCTGAAGTCCGCGTTGTCATCGAAGCCCAACTTAGCATCCATAGCCATGACCTTGTGATCCGAGGTCTCCGACAGAGGGTTGATCTCAATCTGGGTAGCATCCTTGTCCATGAAAACCTTGTACAGCTTCTGGATCGTCTCCTTGGCCTCCGGAATGCACTGCTCAGAGAAGCCCAGCTCGGTGGCAATCTTGAGGGCAATCTCGTCGGTCACGCCAACATTGATATCAATGGGGGTGGTGATGATGGCCTCCGGGCTCTCCTTGGCAACAGCCTCGATGTCCATGCCACCCTGCGACGACGCAACAATCACAGGGGCCTGGGATTGCCGGTCCATGAGAACAGCAAGGTAGAATTCGCGACGAGCGAACTTGCGCTCGCAAATGTACACGGAGTTGCAAAGACGACCAGCAGCACCGGTTTGCTTCGTAATCAATTTGTGTCCAATCATCTGGCCGGCGAACATCTTGGCTTCAGTAGGGCTGTGAGGAATTTACGCGAATTAGAAACAGAAGATTTTTTGAGACAGAGAAGGCAGAGAGAATACTCACGAATAGATGACGCGCACACCACCTTTGAGACCGTTATCGAAAGAGCCCTTACCACGACCACCGGCGAGGACCTGTGCCTTGATGACCATGTCATCGTTTCCTGGTATACATCTCAGTTATTTGAACCCTATTGATATTACGAAGGGAGTTGTACCGAGAGACTTGGCAACGGCTTCAGCCTCCTCTGCGCTGCGAGCAACCTCGCCCTTGGGCATTCCAACACCGTACTATGTAGTCTGTCAGCCATCACCGCGGCGCGAATATCAACCCGGCCTATGCCATCCATACCGACTTGAGGAGGTTTGCGGAAAGATATTCGTGGATCGACAGGTTTCTCTGTTGCTGGCCCAGGCGGGACGGGACGGAAGTCTCCTATAAGGGCAGAAGTGTATAGTGTCAGTGACAAGCTCTATAGGAGCACGACATTCAGGGTATAGGTTTGTAAATAAAGTCTTACCGTCGCGGCTCTGAGAGCTGCCGCAATGGGTCTGCCGCGGGCGAGCTTGAACATGGCGAACAAGGATTTGATGAGGGTAAAGAAAAGAAGAGTGGAGATTCTTCAAAGAGTGCTTCTCTTCGAAGGGACAATATAGCCTAGGGAGAGGACGTGTCCTGGGGGGTGACGTTTTGCCAAGGGGGAAGATTGAGGGAACAGCTTTCTTTTTGCGCTTCCCGAGATGATATTGTCTTTTTGCCTTGGGATTACGGCACGTTCAGGGTCACCTGATTAGCCAACCAGCGTGAACGCTCGGGATGACTAAACCGGGTTCGGGTCCCGGCGACGCGAATATCACGGAACGACGGCGGGTAAAGGTAACTACTCCTACTCCGTATTAACTACTAATTACTATAGTTCTGGTAGACGAAAAATCATGGCGTAGGCTGCCTCCGGTGTCCCTTCCCCCTCTCCAGCAATGCTACCGGCCGCCAATGCCTCGACTCAATCTGTTTAATTTGAACATTCTCGTCATGGCGTACTGGAATAGGCCAGTCCAAGCCCAACCCCCAGTCAGCAACCAGACCACCCAGCTTTTGTTTCCTTCCCAAATCCAACTTTTTCGCCCTTTCGCCCACGGCCAGAGCCACCGCCATGGTGCAGACCCATACAGGACCTGGGTCACAACGCTCCGTGCATAAAGAGCGTGCGGCATGGCACCGTCCTGACTGTGTTTCACGCGGCGACTGTATTCTTCCTCAATCGAGGCGTATAGGGAATTAGGCACTAGCGTACGTTCAATGCGGGCGATGCGAGACTGTACGCCGCCGGTAATAACTGTAGTGACATGTACTCTGGCGGGGCTGCTATCAACTTTCAATAGGTTCAAAATCTGAAGGGTGAAAGGACTTACCCGAAAGGCGCTAGTTCAACACGCAGAGAGTCACTAAATGAATGTAGAGCGGCTTTCGAGGCGTTGTATACTGAGCCAAATACGTAAGGAATAACCTATTTGGCGTAAAGTCAGCGTCATTGAATGTGTCGAGAGTCTGTAGAGACCGCGGCGCATCAGAGTACTAACCCCCGCAACAGATCCAATTTGCACAATAGTGCCCTGGGATCTTATAAGGAGCGGAAGGAATGTCTTGCACATGCAGATGACTGCGATGAAATTGGTTTCAAAGGTTGCTCGGGCCTCCGCAAGGTCTGCCTCCATTGCCGGGACGGTATAATCTGTAGTAAGTTAGACCTCTGTCAGGTTGGTGAGGGTCGGGATGCATATGCTAACTTACTTCGTCCCCTAGATAATAGATTCACCAGGAGAGTGAGTGGCTGTCTTCTTCTCTTCTCTTCTCTTTTCCTTCCCATAAATCGCAATGATAACTTACGCGTTGTTGACCAAATAATCCAGTCCCTTCTCCGCAAGTCTCTTCTCTACTTCAGAACAGCATGCCTTGACGCTGTTCTCATCATCTACGATGAGGGTCAAGGTCTCTATGCCGAGAGCTGATAGATCTTCGAGCGATTTGGCATCGCGGGCGGTTGCAAATACGCGCAACCCATTACGATGAAACTCTCGTGCAAGCGAGTTCCCAATGCCTCCTGGTGAGCAACTAGGTAGTTAGAAGGCCAATGTTAGCAAGAAACAACAGTATTTGCTGTAAAGCGCCAGATGTCGCATCTTTGTATAGGCAGAACTCCAGCGCAGACTTACCCAGTAATCAATACCGATTTTCTTTGGTCTTCTGTGGCTGCCATGGCAGACACTTGACTGGTTCTATGTGGACAAACGGAAGAAAAGTATTCCGCAGGTACTACCTGGGCATGTACTGGATGTACTCGATGCCTCGGGTAGGCGGCAGCTCTTGTGATTGCGGGTCTTCCGTCACCTTATGTAAGTCTGTCTCTAGGGTGCCGATCTGGTCAAGGAGATAAGAATTAATCTGTACTCCGTAGAGTGGTTGATACCTTCCTGGACTGTACATACATGCCTAGGCATCTAGATGCTACCTACCTTACCTACCTAGGTTTCTTCCATGGTTCTTTCGCAGTAAATTGACTAACTACGGAAGGAACAAACGGATCCGACCTACGGACTAGCGAGTCTATACTTGTAGTGGTCTAGATCCAAAAGCACTGTTATATCCGATAGGCTCTTACCGCCCCAGTCCAAGCCCCATGCGGTTAGACCAGGGTGTGCTCCTACAGAGTGCGGAAGGTGGGATGTACCTTATCATACAAATTATGCTGTGTGGCACTGGTGGGCTACAACCTTAACTTGTGTGACTGGAATTTTTTTTCCCCTTCTAAATTTCTTCTTTCGACTACCCCTCGTGTGCCAGTTTATTTGTTAGATCGATCGTCCGAACAGTCACCACTTTCTAGAATTACAACCTTATTCTAGACATAGTCCTCTTCTGCAATTCACGACCTAGACATTACTATACTATTTTCTCTCTCCCTCACAATCCCTGCTCAATACATCTGTTAGCAGCCAACATGACGCAAAAATTTTACGTTACCTATAATCAGGTCTGTTCACTTATTTGAAACCCCTCCTAATTCCAACGCCTCAGAAGCATCATTTGCCAACAACTGTTCCTGCATGCGCTTCAGGCTGCATGCAGGCAGTTCTCAAACCTCCCCAACTATTGGAGAGGACTCCTAGCATGCGATGGCGCTTGCTTCGCTTGAAATCGGATCGCTGATATCGTTAAATTTGCAGGTGCACAAACTGTGCCAGGCATCTGCTGATCAGATTCTGAATACCTTTCACCCTAACCTCATGATCGCTATTGGTGGCGGTGGTTACGTCCCGGCTCGTATTTTGCGGTATGCTACTTGATCAAGATTGGCCTCTCTTTACTCTTGCGCAAAAGAAACGACAGGTTCTAATCTCCGCCTCCTACTAGGTCCTTCCTCAAGCAATCTGGCGAACCCAACATCCCTATTCAGGCTATCGGTTTATCGCTCTATGAGGACCTCGGTCGTGGTGACCCAGAAGAAGTTCCTGGAACCAAGGTTACTCGCACTCAATGGCTGGACCTCAGCTCTCTGGAAATGGCAAACCTCATTGGCAAGAACATTCTCATCGTCGACGAAGTTGATGATACCCGTACGACACTAGAATATGCTGTTCGCGAGCTCCAAAAAGATGTGGAGCTGGCCCAGAAGCAGCTCGGGAGAGAGGGCGAGAAGACAAACTTCTTTGTTTTCGTCCTTCACGTATGTTGTTTTCTTCCGCGCTTGTCAACTTGCCACTAACATCCAGTAGAACAAGAACAAGTCAAAGAAGGGTGTGCTACCCGCCGACATGATGGAGTCGCATCGGTATCATGCCGCAGTCACGACCGACGATGTTTGGATTTGTTACCCATGGGAGGCTAAGTATGTGATCAATCTACCGCCTGTATATCCGTTTGATCCCGGTCAATTAACCTCTTTTTCTTTTTGTTAGGGATATTGACGAACACGACCGGCTGGCCGAAGAAAATCCGATTATTTAAGCCGCTAGAGATGTCCTTGGTTAAATCAATCTACTTCTCCCTTTGTCGCCTTGCTAGAATCACAAGTTTTTTGGAGCCCTAACTACGCTCACCCACATCTCTTCTAATTGCTTTGCACATATTTCACTTTCCTTTTTTTCAATCTTGGCTTTTTTTTCTACTAGACGGAGCTTCACTGGGACATGGTACTTCACGAACAAATGGTGTTTTTTTAAAATTTCTTGACTTTGGTGATAACATATAGATAACTATAAGAAATAGCTTGCTTCACTCAGAAAACGTGCGCTTTGGTTGGACAGAATATGTCTTGATTGGCAATTACTTGGTCACGACCTTCTGTTTAGTATTTCCTTTCCTCAATCCACATGGGGTATATTAGTGGCGGACCGGCAATATGTGGAAGTGGCTTCAAAACTAGATATACAGATATATGCAACACATTCAATATCCCCATGATTTCACATCTCGGTCAGTTTGATGTATGCGATTTGATTAAACAGCATCACTTAGCGATGCGCAAGGAGCTCAGACCCCAGGTAACATGCGTGAAATCCACCGGTTATGGTCTCAACGTGTATCATACAATAGCAGAGAGCATACTAATCGACGTCGACATTTTGTGTGCGCAATTCGGCTTTGGCTTGCTCAATCTCCTTTTGCAGCTCCTTGTGGGCCTCCGGGACGTCATTGAAGGTCAGGATGGCTAGTCCCAACCGACCCAGCAAATAGCATCCGAAAGATATCAGTGCGTAGAATGGAAGCTGAGTCGGAAATGTCAGAGACGAAAAGAGAACGGGTATATGGGCAGACGGACCACAGGGATGACTTCTTTCTGGACTGTTTCGTTCAAGGGGACGAGGCCCACGTATAAGACCATGTAGAGCTGTCGCGAGAAAAGAGAGGCACTCAAGTCAGCTAACGCAGGATACGGGGTTTTGTGACCATGGAGACTCACGGAAGAGACGAGCAGGAGCACCGAGAGGGTCTGCTGGGCGCGCGTCATGATGGATAGCTAGTTGGCGGGTTCGGCAACAACTACCGGGAGGGAGGAACAAGGGGAGAATGGAGATGCAAAATAAGCAAGTTAAGATGATGAAGGGTAGAAGTGCGCAGTAGCCCAAAGGAGTGGTGGGGTGGGGAGGGCAGGCAAGGAGGGATGAAAGGCTCTAGAAGGTCGAATGATGGAAGAGTGTCCTTCTTGAGGCCAGGTTCAACGGCCGTGTAGAGTTGGTGCCTTAATTCCCGGGTATCCGCCGCCCATCTTGACCGCCTTGGGCTGACCGCCTGTTTGGTCCGGCCATACCTGATTTTGCCGCCCCGACTCCTCCAAAAGTCCAAACAGAGTTGTTGGTCCGGTAGAATATCAACTTAGCTTCTTTGGACTATTCAATACTGCGCACGCCGGGTGTCCTGCCAACTCCTGCATAGCTCGTGGCTCGACCTATATACACCGCATCCTGGTCTAGTCCCAAGGACCGTCAATCATCTGCTGATTACCTTCAAAAGAACTATCATTTATCTAACGCGATTCGTTGTTGTACTTACATTGGGTATATATATACCTGTATCTGCAGCTCAGAGTGGACCGAGTGGTATTGATCAGGTCCGCCACCTGTTACAAGGGCATCTTCTACCCGTATCCTTGTTCTGGGACGTCCGCTGTCGGTCGGAAATTTGGAGCGGAGCTGTTTCACATCTTATCTGCTGGCCGAGCTGTGCTGGGAGGAAATGACTTCCGTCGAAGGTTCCTCGAACCGGCATGACAGTGAACGGCAATGCAAGGAGTTGGAGTGCCCGTCTTTACATGAACTCGTGCCCGAGCTGTACCCGTCGGCACCTACAGGTACCTCTCCACGCGATGTGTCGCTACCACCCGAGGAGCAAGAGGCATGGTTCAAGTCTCTGCAGGAAACCCTCGAGGCAGCAAACTGCACCCAGGACATATCGTCCGGCGAAGACCACCCCTCGTTCCAGCGAGTTGACCTGCCATTTGGAGAAATAAACGACATATTACACAAGTTGCTGAACAGCAGATCGCATTATATGCAACAGGCTGCTGAGGCGTTGGCGAATGGCAGTAGGAACCGTATGTCAATCTACAATTGGATTTATATTGTGCATGTCTAACTGGAATGCAGCATTATGGCGACTCCCTTTTGGACAGGCTGGAATCTTGGACTTCTTTCTTGGATGTGTTGCTTCAAAGGAAAATGCAGACGTTGTTCTTCTCTTACATTCCTTGCGGTTAATTGGAAACTGCTGTGCAGATACTGGTATTGTCCACCCCCATTACCTTTAAGAACAAAAACCGTAGAGGGGGAAGGACAGGGGCCCAGAAGATGCTGACGTTGAATAGATGAAAACAGAGCCATCGTTGTGAAAGGCAATTACACTGCTGCAATTCTCCAGCACCTGCTTAACCCAGAGCTCATCAAATTTGTGCTACCTGTTATATATAACCTTTGCATGGATTTTGGTAGGAATGTCATCTTCCCGAATGCAGCATTTTGACTAATTGAGTTCAGAGCCTGCGCAGTCTCAGTTAGCTGCGAACAAGATCGTTTATATACTTTTACGACTCGTCAAGGACGGGGCGCTCAACGACAACCCCTCTTTGCTTGATTTCGCTTACGAACTCATAGAGCTAACTGCTGAGCAAGGTAAGTCTGTTCTCGCCTCCAACTCGGGAATCCAGTCTGACCTATTTACCTAGAAAAAGCCATAGAAGTGTGCCCTGATGGAACCATCTTGCTCATGATAGAACTTGCACTCAACGAAGGATTTACTTCTACCATCGCCCACTTTTCCTGCATTACCAACTGTCTTATGAGTATGTTGGACAACAAACGATTCCAGGATATTTGCATATCAACGCGCATGTTATCGACGGTTTTGTCTGTTCTCACTCGAGCTGTAGCTTTGGGAATAGGCGCCTCTGCAGATGATACCCAGGTGCTAGCTCAATTGCAGCTGAAGATCAATCAGACCTTGTCAGAGGTATCTGCCTCACCGCTGTTCGCAGAAACATACCCCATTGGTTCTGATTTATCTCTTTCCTTGAAATCTTGGCTGTCAAGCACTGATGAGCAGCTTCAAATTTGCTCTTGTGTCATGCTGGGAAACCTGGCGCGTTCGGATGACGTTTGTCAGCTCATGATTGAAAAGCTAAAGATACACGAAGAGCTGATATCGATCCTGAAGGGCGAAGCTAGAGGAGCCGTTTTACACTCGGCACTAGGGTTCTTGAAAAACCTGGCAATAGCAGGTGACAACAGACTGCATTTGGGAGCCGCGGGAATCGTACCTGTGATTTCCCGCCTATGGAACTACGAGACCGTTCCCCAGGTTCAATTCGCCGCAACAAGTATTGCAAGACAATTGGTTATATCGTCGGTCGAGAATATAACGCTTTTGTTGGAGACGTCTCCAGCAGATCAGGACAGAACATACCTATCTCTACTCCTTTCGCTATTCAAGAAAACGGACTCTGTTCCCATAAAAACAGAAACCGGGCGCCTCGTCGCTTCGATATGCCGCACCCTTGTACCTAAGGCTCGTGCACAAGAGGGATTAGCCGAGTCCCTTCTTGCACGGCTCTTCACGCATGAGGAGGTGGCGCTCCCTGTTGGGGGTATGGTTGTCCAGTCGCAGTGGCCCGTCGTCAGAAGCGAAGGTTGGTTTGCTCTGGCGTTGATGGCATCCAGCAAGCAGGGCTCCATCGCTGCCGGAGATTGCCTGCAGAAAATGGAGCTATTCTCACCACTCGAGGAGACTCTGGGCAAGGACTTGAGTGGCGAAACCGAAGAAGTGCAACTGGCCAAGGATCGGGAAAATGCAATTGTTCTTCTTCAAGAATTATTGCAACACAATGTAAGTTGTTATCACGTCCCCCCACCCCTCCTGGACAGATGGGCTTTGTGCTAATTGGTTTTCCAAAGCCCAACATACTTCCTATGTCGCTGAAAACCACCGTGCAGGATCTGATGAAAAAGCGCGTTTCCCATCAATCAAACCACACCCAGGGCAATTAATATCACGGTCTGCTACGTTTCTTATTGGCTATCTTGATTGGACCGTTGTTAAGTAGGCGTTGATATGTGTTTCAGAGCACTGTTTTCAAGAATTCCAGAACACAATTGAATGAAGGATAGGAATAGGGCGAAGAAAGAAAATAAAAAAGGATAACATTTATTTACAGTCAGCAATGGTACATAAAGATATCGCATATCCAATCAAGCAGTGTCCAAGCAAACTTTCTCCCTAGCGTATGCGCGGTAGCGGTGGAGAATATCGGTGGCTTCAAGCCCTTTAGAGTTAGTGTCCATGGTGTAATGGACTGCCAGGCCTTTCCCATCGATTATCAATTGGTTTGTGTCACGGATCTCCCCTGCGACCTGCAACAGTCGAATATTGGCGCGCTCCTGTTCCTGAAGGAGGTTCTTTTCCTGCGCCCGGAAACATATAAAGCTCTGACTGACGGCCTCGCTAGGATTCTTCCACATGGGAAATTTGTAACGATACAGGTCGCCTGCTTCAAGGTGATGTAGGAAGGAATAATGCTGTTGAGCATGAACACTCCAGTGATCCAACCCGGGTCCGTGGTCTGTGTACACGGAGGTGCTGATAGGCGTCCGGTCCGCATTGTCATCACTTGAAAGAAGCCAGCGGTGGCTATCAGAGGGCGGAAGGAAGTCTTTCAAGACACTGAAGTTTGCGGGGCCATCCCATTGGGGGAGTCTCAAAACACGCCAATCTTGGGACAGGGACGTTGCCGAAGCCACCAGTTCCGGAAGATAGGGCAGAGCGACACCGGAGTGACTATGAAGCGCTTGTAGAGCTGCCGCGTTGATGACATTCGCCGAGACCACGGTTGAGTCCGGGTGGTCCAGTGTGGTTTTGACAACCGTAGGGATGGTATGGTCTTCCAAAAACACCATGTCCCCATCGATCCAGATATACAGTACTTCTTTGCCCTGGTGCGTTGACACTAAACTATCGCCGGGTTTCCAAATAGAGTACAAGGGTGTTTCGTCGACTAGTGATTTAAGCCATTCTAGGCTGTCGGGGAAGTTGGTCTGAGGGACGAAGATTACTTGATCAAGCAATCCATGGTGGTAGGCCATGTTTCTCTGGAGGATCCATTAGGACCCGAACAGCTCGGACGGGGCAAGAAATCTCACCTGCAAGTAGCATTCCAATATATCCGTACGCTCATGGTCATGAAAGGGGACTAGAGCAATGATATCCACGTCCCTGGGTTTTTGGAACTGTCCCGAGACCCGCGAGAACGCAAAGAACGGGGGTAGGGCAGTCCCGCGGAACAGGAGTCCCAGTTCCAGAAGCGAGGGTCGAGAGAAGCAGACTCCGACGAAGATTGCGATCAAGCAGAGGTAGCCAACCGCGCACCAAATCACCATGGACGCCCAGGAGCGGTATCTCGAGTCCTCCTCATCCTGCGATTCGACGTGATGGCAGCGCTCAAGGTAGCCCATGGTTGATGGAACTGCATGGTCAAACTTGGTCGGCAAACAGGCCTGAGCGGACTACATATGTCCAGCTATTATATTTTCATGCTTTCCCATCCGCTTTCGTTGTCATATTTGGCTTGAGAGCATAAGAATTGGCCGGAACCGGCGATGTTCTCTGGTACCTTGTTGAGGAGCATGTGGAATGTGAACCCTTGTGAGTGAACCCCACCAGATTGGGTGGGCCCTATGCTATTTAATACTTAATACGATCGATAAGACTACCGCGGAGGTGTCGACAGCCACTAGGCGCCGTGCACTCCGGGTGCAGTGGTAGGGGTTCCCCGGGCATTCACTCATCCCCAACACCGCCAACTGCGACTAGGTAGAGTAGATGCTATGTAGAGGTAATAGGGGGGCTAGAGGATAAAGTAATAAGGAACTGTGTGAAATTAGGATGTACGCCGTGAAGATAAAAGAAGTATCACTATAAAGGAAAATTGATAGTGAATCAGAAAGGAGGCTGATTGAGGAATCTCCTTTCCTGCGTTCCGCGGCAATGACGTCGCCAACACGTGCGTCGTTTCGCTCGCTGACCTTCCGCCGAGTCTCCGACAGGCTTCATTCCGCATTTCATCCATTCCATGGCCCGCTTCACTATCGTATCCTAGGCTACGCGACCGGCTGATCCCTCTCTTATACCATGAGGACGGCTGTCCTGTTCGGCCGGTTCTGCTTGAGACGTGGCGCAACTTCACGGTCACTGTCCCGAGTCGCGCCGCCGTGTCGATGGCACTCATGGCCGCCAAGCCATTGGAAACGACCTCCGGCCAGGGGTCCAACTTTACGGGGGGTCTTGCTTGCTGCTTTAACCCCCGGCGCCTTTCTAAAACTCGCAGAAGAACAAGACAATGGCGCGAAGACCAGTGAAATGCAGATGCTGGAGATCTCAAGACAGGAGTTGCAACAGAGCGCCACGGAGAAGGTCCAGGGGCTTCCTCGTTTTTTACGATCTCTTTTCATCTTCTGGAAATACTACGTCTATGATACGGTAGCCACTGGCTGTCGATTTGTTCACTTGGTGGCGGTCTTCCTGCCTGTCATCCTCACGGCGCCGGCCGTATGGTTCGGTAGGCGGATCGAAGGTCGCCAAGGTACACGCACGGGAACCCTATGGTGGTATAAGTACCTTGTCAGGTCAATGGAACGCGCAGGACCAACTTTCATCAAGGTAGGTCATGCCCCATTAGATTTCACAGTTGATAGACTCACCAATGCAACGCCCGCCTTCCAATAGCTTGGACAATGGGCGGCGTCGCGAACCGACATCTTTCCCCCGGAAATGTGTGAATACATGTCCTCTCTGCACTCGAATGCTCCGGCCCACTCCTTAAAAGTTACCAAGGAGACTATCGTCAAAGCCTTCAACGGATTGCCATTCGAGGATATATTTGAGGAGTTCAACGAGGAGCCCCTAGGGGTAGGAGCCATTGCTCAGGTCTACAAGGCAAAGTTGAAACCGGACCTGGCAGCTACCCATGACCGGGACCTGATCTCTCAACCTCAGAGCTTACAAAACAAAATCCGAAAGAATGTTGATGTGTTAGTGAAGAGTACGCCTCAGCGAGTTCCATCGTCTTATGTTGCCATCAAAGTACTTCATCCTCGGGTAGAACGAGTGATCCGCCGAGACCTGACGATTATGTCTTTTTTCGCCTCGATGATTAATGCTATCCCGACCTTGCACTGGCTGTCATTACCAGATGAAGTCCATCAGTTCGGAGAGATGATGAAGTTGCAGTTGGATCTTCGGATTGAGGCGAGTAACCTGGTCATCTTCCGAGAGAAATTCCAGCAGCGGACCACCGCATGGTTTCCGTATCCCTATCTGGACTACAGCACCCGTGAAGTCCTTGTTGAAGAGTTTGCGCAAGGGATTCCCCTGTCGAAATTCTTAGATGCCGGAGGCGGGGTCTATCAACAGGAAATTGCCAACGAGGGTCTGGATGCATTCCTCCATATGTTACTAATTGATAACTTTGTCCATGCCGACCTACACCCGGGTAATATCATGGTGCGATTCTATAAGCCGAGCGAACTAGATATCTCATTTCGCAAGCATACCCGCGCGTCGGATGCGCCCACCACGGCGGAGGTGGATGTGACGGAGAATGTCCTTGCACGCCTGAGACCACATGCCCGCCATCAGGAAGACTGGACGAAGGCGTTGAGCCAGCTGAATGCGGAGGGCTATCGCCCTCAGCTCATCTTCATCGACACCGGCCTAGTTACGCAGCTCAATGATTCAAACCGGAAGAACTTCCTAGATCTCTTCCGCGCGGTGGCGGAGTTCGACGGCTACCGGGCGGGAAAACTCATGGCTCAGCGATGTCGTCAGCCAGGAGAGGTCATTGACGAAGATGGATTCGCAATGAAGGTGAATCATCTCGTGCAAAACGTCAAATCTCGAACTTTTGCTTTGGGTAATATCAGAATCGGGGACGTCTTGAGTGAGATACTCTCAATAGTCCGAGGCCATCACGTTCGACTGGAAGGTGACTTTGTTAACGTCGTCATATCGATCCTTTTGCTTGAGGGGATTGGGAGGAGCCTTGACCCCAACCTTGACCTTTTCAAGAGGTGGGTAATTCATTCGAGTTCTTTTTTTTCTTGCCCTCTCCCCTACTATTCCCGGATGCAACAACTGATAACTCCTGATGTAGCGCGCTCCCCATATTGCGGACCCTCGGATCCAACGCCACCTTCTTGAAATCCGTTCGATCGGGTGACACTTCAATGCTCCGGGTGTGGGTTGGACTTGAAACACGCGGATTACTTCAAGCCAGCATCGAAAGCGTGGAGCAATGTGTCAAATATGATCAACTCTCCCCTAACATCTAGACGGCTCTTTACCAAGTGCCCGTCCACTTTGGTAAGAACACACTGGAAGTGGTAGATGGATCACCACCCATACTGCCAGCTTCAATGAGATAACGATTTGTGGAAATCCCATATCGTGTTCTCCGATCCCTGGGGAAATACATGTTCTTTTTCGAAAGAGAAAGGTATCCTGTGTACATATAAATGTGATATTCTACTTTGCACAGAGAATAAGGGAGCGGGGGCATTTCAATATCCCAGCGCAAGCTCCTAATCGGTACAGGAGGATCAATTAATGAAATGTTGAAAGTCGAGGTGATGACTTTCCTTTTAAGCAATCGTGGGTATCATGGTGCTTTCATTATGGATAACTAGCAAGTCACACAAGGACAATCAGACGCCTGCGCCTCTATTGAAGTTTACATTGTGATATATATGGAGAGGAGAATTAGTATTTCCAGAGGCGCAAAGATATTATGCCGCGCCATTACCCCTTTCAACTCCGGCCGTTCTCTCGAACCGAGCCGCCACTTGCTCGCCACCAAACGTCCCCTCCCCATCTCATCAACCGCTCAACAGCAGCCGTTGGGGTGTCCAATGCCGGTCTGATATCCAAGTAGAAAACAGGTTCGCCCGTTGGCTCGGGGGGGCCTGAGTAGTAGTCGATCACATAGCGCACTTCTTTCGGGCCCGAAGGTGTTTGCCTCATAACGAACCAGTCATGTCGGTCAAAAGGTGGGTTGCTCCTGTGAACGATGTTAGGAATTTTGGCTCGAGACAGACGCTGACAAATGAGGGAACCACTAACTCAAATTTGGCCGGATATAGCCATCCCAGAGCCTGGAGAACCGTTGCCTTTGGCGAAAGCTCTTGCGGGCGACCCTGGAATCTGATGAGGCTTGGTGGATTGGCGGGCGGATCTGCTTGAGCAGCATCCAGAGCAATGTTTTCCTCGCCGCGGCGACACTTGTTCCAACCTTCCGAGAGGCCTTGGGCGAATATGCGCTCCCATCCAACAATTTCATCCCAGGCGCCTTCGTTCAAAAAGTTATGAACTGCAACCATGGCCTCAACAGCATCCTGTGGGGTATCGGTGTGGCCTTTTCGAAGCATTGCGTTGTACATTTGCTGGGGGGATGGATACTCCCAATTTCCGCTTGCATCGCCCCTGGGGATGGAAGAAGTTTCACGGTCTACTCCGAGGTCGACGGTCTGGTTCGGCGCCCGGTCCTGGGAGATTGATGAGAACATGTAATTCAAGGGGTTGAGTTTCGACAAGGTCGACTGAGTGTTGTTGCTGTTGTCGTTGTTGTCGGGAGAAGACGCGTGGACGTCCGAGGACTTCGATTTGGGGGGAACATAGAACGGGGAGTCTGTTGAGCGGACTGGACAGGCGCCAGAGGATTCCGAGGGAGAGGACGCCGCTGCTGGAGAAGATGGAGGAGGAGGAGGCGAGGAAGCAGACGCGTGCATTGGACATCCCGGCTATGAGCAACTGTCAGAGATCACAATCAATTTGGTCTGGTTCAATTCTACTAACGGGAGGAGAGGCTTCTGACGAAGGAGGGTTTGGAACAGCGGGCGCCGACTGGCGTGGCTTAGATTCTGCCCAGAACCAACCCATAGCGAGCGCGGCTTGAGTCTGAGTCGATAGAAAGAAGAGTGCGAGAGAAGGACAAGGACAAGTCGTACGAGATGGGGCAGACTTAATGCGACAAGCGGAAGGAAGGAAAGGGTAAAAAAGGAAAGGAAAAAAGAAAAAAAAAAGAACCCGATTCGGGCCGATGACATAAGATTGCGAAAGGGCGGCCAATCAAACCTTCGGAGTTGCGGAGGTTGTACGGAGAAGTACCCGCTACCTACGAGCCTACCGCCGGAGGTAGCAGTGTAGAAGTACCCGGTACACGACAAGTGTAACTGTCTACCTAGGTGTAGTATGTACATGTTCAGGAAGGTATGTAAGCGTACATAGAAGCAAATATTATGAATTTCCGCTCGGAATCAATCGCCATCCCCCATTCTCATACAGAAACCGATGGAGTATCTTGAGATAAGAAGAAAAGAAAAAACGCCTTTCCCTTCTCTGGACGCCTGAAGGTCTCTCTGGACCTGCACAATCCCACGTGACCTGTCTGAGCCACATTGCAGAGTAAAACAAAAGAAAGAAGTCAAAAAAAGAAGAGGGAGAATGAGGGATTCTAAGAATGAAACAGCCAAATTGAGGATAAGACCATGGCGCCAAAGACTAAGGTTGCATAGCGGCCAGCCAACTTCAACCCTGAACATCATTCACGAGTCGCGAGAGAAGAGCATACCCAAATAAGACCCCGAGACCGATCCAGACTTTGTTCCGCCGAGCCCAGCTCTGGCCTGCCTCTCGGGCCACATGTCCACCCTCCATGACGACCCCGAGCCGGGGCGCACTGCCGTTGGGGCGTCTGCGAAGAGCACTGGTTTCTGGCGAGCATTTCGTGGCGGCAGCATCGGGTTCGGGAATCAGCTGACCGGAATTGGTATCAATGCGATTGTCTTTCATCCACTTCCAGTTTTCTTGGTCCAGCTCTGGCCATTCCGAGCGGAATTTCAGGCCTCCATCCCCGGCCTTGACGTTGTTGAATCCTTTGGCGCTAGGGGTTACGCCCGGCGTAGCATTGACATGAGAGCCTCCGCCAGTAGAATTCCACCATCTCGATCTCGCTGCCAATACTCTTCGTTCCGCTTCTGATGCACTGACACTACCCGTCGTCATTTCCTCGCTCGTCATAAAGGAGAGTAACCCGATGAGAATTGTCGAAACCTCCCAAGCCGGATTGAAGGACTTGGGATGGAAGTCGCTGATGCTTAGACATAACCGAGACGACGGTTGGAATCGGCCACTTGGGGTGTGCATACGAATCGCGGGTGGGGCAAAGGGATATTCGGGGGGAAACATCAGTGTCCCCCAATACTGGCCATTTTCGTACGGAGTGCCGGGCGGACCAGTAAGGATGTAATGCCATCTAAAGCGCAGGTTAATCTTGTACGGATAGCGTTTAGCATCGCCACGGCGGTATCTTCCAGTTCAACCTACTCGAGGATGTTCGACTCTGAGGGATGCGCCACAATGAAGGGCGGGGGGTTCTTTTCGATGTTCTGGTACTCGCGAGTGAGCTGCGTTATGGTTAGCATTAGTTGTTAGCATCAATGATGATTTGAATTTCGGCTGGTTCTCACCCTCTTGAAGGCTGCCTTTGTCGCCATCTTTTCTGCCTGGATGTCTAGATCCCCTTGGGAGTATGAAGGATAGACGATTGTGCTGGGGTGGAGGGTAGGTAGGTAGAAGAAGAGCCCGGTCGAGACTGGAGAGGAGGGCCGGGACGACGCAACCGCAGGTCACGTGACCGATATCGTCCTCGCCGTCCGAGCGCCAATCGAATTGATACTTCCCTTCTCTCTCCAAGCCATTTTTAGGCCATTGCCGCCGCCCGCGATGTCCTCTACAATCCCTGCCGAGGATGGCGATGTATGTCTCTTTCCTGCGAACAGGTCTTATCGTTCGTCCGGCTAACCATCTCGCGCTTTGTCTTGCCTCCCTAAGATATTTGAGCGTCTCCAGCAACGCGCCGACCCGAAGGTACTCGAGGAACGCCAGGACGCTATCAATGAACGGGTTCATGCAATTTACCAGAAAGCCCAGGCTCGGTTGGGAGAATTGGTCAGACGGCTCTCTTTCATTCTATTCCATGAAACTTTCCTCTCAGGGAGTATTCGGTTTCAAGCGGGACTCCTAGTGGCTGACCAGTATACATCCAGATTGACCAAAACTCCACCTTGCCATGCACCATCTCCTCAATTCAGGTCCTCAACGCTCATCACACGCGCAGGGGCTTCCTCGAACGCATATTTGACCCATTGCTGAGCTCTCACCAAAAAAGACCCTACACCCTGTCCGAGGCCTTGCGGGAAGTCTCGGCACGCGCGGACAAACTCGGCAGATTCGGTTTGTGAACCTGAAGCAATCCGACGACACCACCGCCATGTATTTCACTGTAGATCTAACTTATGCACCGCAGACCTCTTCCAGCAACCCATTTCAGTGTACCTGGACCAATCACCCGAAGTCGATGCCCGGACAGGTTTGCCGAACCTCAACGTTTTCGTCTCGGTGAAGGAAAAGCCACGCGTGCTGCTCAAGACCGGAACAGACCTTGGGAACACGGAAGGATCTGCTTACGGCAACCTCTTGTGGCGTAATGTGTTCGGTGGTGCCGAAAATCTCAATCTCAATGCCTCCCTGGGAACTAGAACGAGATCTGCTTATCAAGCTACATTCGAGACGCCCATTCTTAGCGACCCCGATTTCCGGTTTGAGATTGGTGGACTTGCCAGCTCCACCCAAAAGTCGTGGGCTAGCCACGAAGAGGTATTGAAGGGTGGTTGGGGTAAACTCCGCTGGATGAGCCAGTCCGGACACCGCCACGAAGCTGGCTACAACGGCTTCTGGAGACAGATGACCAGCCTGGCTGAAAATGCCTCCTCCACGATTCGGGCAGATGGCGGGGACAGTGTCAAGAGCAGTATTTTCCACAGCTGGGTCAAGGATGGACGAGACAACCCCCTTCTCCCGTCCCGTGGATATTACGCCAAGACATTCAACGAGCTGGCTGGGTTGGGAGCTTTGAAGGGTGATGTCTCTTTTTGGAAATCCGAGATCGAAACGCAGGGCGCGGTACCGATTCCGATCCCAGGTGTCAAAGGTGACAGCGGCGTTTCCTTTACTGCAGGGCTCCGCGCCGGGCTTCTTTATCCCCTCGGAGTTGGTTCGGATTCAAGGCCGCAGCTCTCCCGTACCAATGATCGCTTCCTTCTTGGAGGACCGACGGATGTTCGGGGGTTCCGTCTCTGCGGCCTCGGCCCTCATGACGGGGCAGACGCCGTCGGCGGCGACGTCTATGCTGCAGGAAGTGCCAACTTGCTCCTTCCACTGCCTCGCGTTGGCGCCGAGAAGCCCCTGCGCCTACAGGCCTTTGTGAACGGTGGCCGGTTGCTGCCTCTCCGCACTGCTCAGAAAAACACGCCCACCACGAATGCCGAGGTGAGTGATGCGGTCACGTCGACAATCTCCGAGTTAGGCAATGGCCTGCCCAGTATCGCCGCGGGAGTTGGGCTCGTGTACGCCCATCCGGCCGCCAGGTTTGAGTTGAACTTTTCTCTCCCCTTGGTACTACGGAAGGGCGAAGAAGGGCGAAAGGGATTGCAGCTGGGACTTGGCATTAATTTCCTGTAGATGAACCGGTCACTGGTGTAGAGGAAGAAAGAGCGAAAGGACCTGTTCTTTGTTTGATATAGTTAGCCTGAGTTTCCTGATAAGATATTGTACTATCCAGCTATCTACACTCCACTATTCTACCTTTGTATTAAATGTTCAAATCTTACTGTTTAAAGTAGAACTTAGTAATTTTAATATGAATCTATAATTTAAATATTCTATATTGTCTACATTTTCGTATGTATCAAATTTGACAAGACTGATCAAATAAGGTGGCTTATGACATCACAAACGGTACTGTACTATTCATGTACTTCGGAATACGTAATGTACCGTAAGGTATCTTACACTGTACAGGACATACCGTACCGGGTCACCTGCTGTCAGTCTCGCGATCCCCGAATTGATGCCAGTTCAACAACTTCCTCGTTCTCATTGTATACCCATCCTTCATCTTGGCCACAATGGCCCAATACTACCCGCAGCAACAGCCCTACGGTGCTCAGGCCTCCGCACAAAATCTCCAGTTCTACCCTTCCTCGTACACCTCGGTCTCGGGCCATACTACACCCTCTCAGGCATCCTATGGCGGCTTCAGTGCTGCCCCGAACCCAGGTGCGCCGGCTTACCCCATGGGAGGAGTTGGCAGCGGCTATGGCGGTTTTGGATCTCCAGCCTCTGGAGTCAGTGGGAGGATGGGCGAACAGAGTGGGCTGCGAACCGGCTGGCTGGCTGCTTTTGGGACGGAGGGTTATGATGGCGAGCCCCCGTTGTTGGAAGAATTGGGGGTGAATTTCGAACATATTCGAACAAAGGTCAGTTCGGATCCTTCGACGAGGGAAAAGGGGAAAGAGGGAAATTAAAGTATTGAAAGAGAACTGACTCAAGCTCTTGCTCATCAGACCTTGACTGTGCTTAATCCTTTCGCCCGCATCGATCAGCACCTCATGGACGACAGCGATCTCTACGGCGCCCTCCTCTACATCGTCCTTTACGGAACGTTTCTTCTTCTCTCGGGCAAGGTCTTCTACGGCTACATCTACGGCGTGGCCGTCTTCGGGACCGTTGCTTTGCATCTCATCCTCAGCCTCATGTCTCCGGCCCTCGACACAGTCCCCACACCCAACGCCGCGCACCCGACCAACTACGACCCCCATCATAAGCCCACCCTGTCCGACGCTTCAGCTGCCGGTCACTTCTCCGCCACTCTTACCTTCCCTCGCTCCGCCAGTGTCCTGGGCTACTGCTTCTTGCCGCTGGTTCTGACCAGCTTGGTCGGAATCCTCATCCCTATGGACACCATGTTCGGGTACCTCTTAACGACAGCCGCCGTGGGCTGGTGTACCTTCAGCTCCTCGGGGATGTTCTGCGCCGTTGCACGCATGCGTGGGATGAGGGGTCTCGTTGCATATCCGCTGGCGCTCTTCTACGTCGTTTTTGGTATCATGGGCATCTTTTCTTCACGGGGGAGTGGCAATCTGGCAGCCAAGACAGGCGCTGTTTAACGATGAATTCCCCTAGCGTCTGGCATTGATACATTCACGGTGGCTGGCATGCTCCACTGCGCCTGTGGCGACTCCTACAACAAGCACATGATTCAGGCAGTTGATGATTCCGAGCCCCTCACTTCATTAACGGTCAGTCTCCAGTCTCGGTATGAGAAACATGATTAAGGTCATAAGGGTTTGCCAAGAAGTGTATTAAAAGCAAAGAAAAAAAAGTCTAGATCTAAAACAAAAGCTAGCTACGAGTCCAAATAACGGAGTATGGCGTATGTGCGATGATAATCAAAGTCTCTCTCTTGTCCATGTGCAATATCCTATTCAGTTCGTCATTTGAAGATCTCCCTTGTTTAAAAGACTGTTCTTGACATCGCATGTATCCGGAAATGACTTGCTCAGGTCAGGGCGCCAGAAGAATCTTCACCCTGGGCAGGAGCCCAGTTCTCCAGCCATTCTGGCGCCTTGTCCATGTTGCCCGCCGTGGCTTCGACCGCGGCAATGCACCATGCCAAATCGTATGTTTTGCCGCCAGTCGCCGTGCATTCCGCGGCCAACATCTCTGCGAGAACGCGCCGCTGCTGGCCGACCTGGTCAGTGCAAAAATAGAAAGGAGCAGTTGTGTTTGGTCGCCCGCTCTGCAGGCCAACGGCGTTAATCAAGGGCCGTACCGTGGCCAAGGCAGTTGCCGCCGGAAGGGCGTTGTTGGTTTGGGTATCAATGCTACGATCAGACGTGGAAGATTTCTTGGCTTGTCTGCCATTCTTGCAGTACTCATTTTGACACCAGGGTTTCCCGCACCCTGACATCATTTGGGAGAGATACCGTCGTTCGATGCGGCGCCGGAGCGCTTTCCCCTCCGGATCGTACATGTCCACGTAAAGGGGTCCAAAACAGATGCTGCAGAGACCCAAAGTGTCGGTTCCTGGGATGGCTGCTGTACCTTGCGCGCTGCGGCGGTCAAGGGTCCGCCCGCAATTCTGGTTCCTACAGATGCTGGGAGGCGGCCTGGATAACCGCTCCAAATCATGGTGGCGCAGATGCGTCCTCATATCTCGCAGTCGAACGATTTTACCGCATAGGTGGCATTCAGTCGTCCGCCCGCCATCTACCAACTCGTGGGGAGTGAGCCCAGACATCAAGACTTCCGGATCATGCATCTCGGGGTCCGAGTCGCCCTTTTGGGGGACCACAAGGTGGCAAAACTGGCACAGAATCGGCTTACTCGGGCAGTCCGTGGTGCGGTGGCGAGCAAGCTGGGAAAGCCCGTGAAACTGTTTCTCGAGGCCGCAAGCACGGCAACTCCACGCGGTGTGGAAGATCGCCTCATGTCTGTGTTTGCTTGGCAAGTCATTGCCATGAGAATCATCGCGATGGCAGTGCCAGTGGTGTTCCCATTCCAGGGATCTTCTCTGAAATACAGTGTGGCAGTGAGTGCAAAATACGTTGTTCCGAAGACAAAAGTTCTCGTGTAGCATCAAAGTCCGTTGGGGCACCCATTGATGACAATTCTTGCATTGCACATCATCTTCCGGATTTTGTGAGGTAGGGGTGGTGGCTTCTGTCTCGTGTTTTCCCCGGTCATCGACCGGCGCGCTACCGGCCACGCGCAGACTAAACTGCAAGGGCGTCGTGGACGGTTCCAGATCGGTGGAGGCGGCAGCGAAGGCATATACCGATATGTACAAAGCCTCTGCTCCCTCAAGCGCCATGTTTGTCGGCTGGACCCTGATTCGTTTCGACGGTCTACCTGAGAAATCACTAAAGACGTGCTCATCCCCCCTTGGCCGATTCCGCTGTCGTGTGGAAAACGGACTGATCAACGGATAGGCATCCGCATGTTCTACACTCTCGACTTCGAGTTCGACCTCTATTGGGCAATCTCGGTCCCAGTTGTCAAGCTCATAGTCCACATATTCGCCTGGTATCACTTGGCCAGCGACAGACACTCCCCATGCAAGTGCGCCACCCATCGACGAAGCTTTTTGAGTCCCAGGCGCACGCGAGGCTTTCTCCAGCCGTTTCCGCAACGTCTCCTTGGCCTGGTCTTCGGACAGAGCCACGATATCAACTTCAAGGTCCGTATCAACGACGCATATTCCATCGCCCTCCGGCTCCACCCTGTCGACCAAGAATCTGAAAGACCCGTCCTGGCCGCCCGGCACCGTCAGATATTCACCAGTTGTTAGCGTGGTGTAATTATCGCGCAGATGACGCTCGAGCAGAGCCTTCCAATCTTCCGGATCGTAGCCGGCTTCCAAGGGGCGCAGGCGGACGTAGGTGCCCTTCGGCAGCTGTTTCGCGTGGATTGTGACCACAGGGCGTGACGGCGGGGCGCTCGAACCGGGTGAAGACGGGGATCCTGGCGGGTTTTTAGGGTCAAATTGCGTCGAGGATTCCTCCTCTAGCCCAAGAGCAGCACGGATGAAAGCGCTCATGCCCACTTCATTATCCTCGGCGGAGAACTCCCGGATTCCGGCATAGATCGCACGGCCATTCTGCGGGTTGATGACGCGAAATGTAAGCGGTTGGGGCAGTTGATGCTGACGAACCCTTGCCTGCCCCCGCGCACTAGACTCGGCCGCAAAGGTATATGGGTTGAACGGATCGAAGGCAGCGGTGTGCGAACGAGGAGAGGGAACCCGAGGGTTCGTCTCTTGGAGCGGAGCGGCAGCCAGGAGCTGTTCCAGGGCAGATTGGGGCAAGATGATCTTATCTCCGGGCAGTTTAGGTGTAAGTTGGGACGGGGTGACGTTGAAATCCGACGACCAGCGCAACGGCTCTGGTGTCATGGCCATGGTCTGCAGCCAGTGGAGTCGTGGAAGGGGAGATCAAAAGGAAGTGCATTTCTCTTGAATGAAAAACGGAATTAGAAAGACTCAACGACGTCTTCTGTGGAGAGATTAAGTGGAGGTGGAGGAACCACAACGGCCGTTCTGGAAGCTACGGGAGCCGATTTGTCATCCAGTTGCAAGTCACGGGACTGGCAGATATACTGTATGGAACTATATGGGGATATATATATATATATATATATATGTTTATATTTATATGCATATATATTAGATATGCACATATATGGTACAAGACGGAGTGGAGTGCGAAGAATCCCGTCCTCCTCGATCAACAAATTTCTCTCAATCGATGGCGTGTGCTTGTGTTACACCAGTCGCACTAGATAGACGGCCTCATTAGCATCGGACTGGGGACTCGGGCGAGGCAGACTATGTTTACCATCGTTGAAGAACATCCTTCGTTGTGCTCAATACAATACTCTCCCCGACAGCTTTGGCAAGTACGTTGGCATTCCACCTTGCACGCAGCGCACTGGAACCGGTTATCAGCTTAAGATTGACTGGACAAAACAATCAAGACACTTACGGTCGGTCCACACTCCCAGCAATCCTTGCTCACGCCGGGTCCGGTCCTCTATGGCACTCAATGTTAGTGGTTCCCCTCTGTTAGACCGTCTGGTGGGGGATGGGGTCGGCGGGTCACACACTCTTGATTCCTGGGACAGATGGCCGTTGCCTCGACTGCGCACCGCCGTCTGGTGTGGGGACAGGTTACTGCCCACACGCTCAGGATGCGGTAGACAGCTGATACAAAACCACTTATTGCAGCGATGACACCACCGATCATTCAGGCAGTCCGCGCAGCGGGCAACCATAGCGGGGTGCTCGTCGGGGAAAAGCGCAGGGCGCTTTGCCGCCGCAGTTGACGATGAATGAAGAGGAGGCGGCGTGAGCAGCGGGAATCGTTCGGGCGGAGATCGACCCCAGATTGCTGGCCCTTCGGGAGATATTTTTTGACAGCCGTCGCACCCGTCGGGGCCCAAGGCAATGGTCGCAATTGCCGGTTCCCGTCCTAATAGTTGATCTTCTCCGTGAGGCACACCCTGTTCTTCGATCGAGGGCGTGCCAGAGAGCCCAGAATCGTGCCGAGGTCCTCGACATAGTACCGCATCAAAAGCAATGATACCCTCACATCGTTGAATAGTCTGTGCCCAGCCATCCTCGATGCTTCGCTGGAACAGTCTCCCTGACGGACGATACCATGCGTTCTGGCAGTACTGCGGACTCTCCGGTTGCTGGTCGAGGGCAGGCGAGACGACGTTCTCTGCAGCCGTTGCGCCACGGAGCGCTTGGCCAGCGCATCGTGAGCTCCACCAATCGCGATACTTGCTCCGCACCATGGCCCGAGCACGATTTACGGGGGTAAAATGATAGATGCCCTTGATGCGTGGGGTACCCCGGGGACGCGACGGCCGGACGGCATATTGTAGTACTTGCATTAACTTGCGCTCGTTTAGGTGACGACAATCTCTTATAGACAGAACGTTGACGTTGAAGCGCTCGGTCAGGATAATATCAGCCACTAAATCGGCAGGGACGGCGAGACCATCCAGAACCAAGGTGCGCACATCTTGCAAAATCGACCTGTGTTCTAAGTTTGCAAATACGCGCCTCAAAGGGGCCGAATAAAACTCGTCCTCGGTTGACTCGTCGCCCTCGTGGGAGTCAATTGCGCCCTTGTCGGAAATGTAGGCGCCGCGAGATTGGGTCAGGTCGAGGTGGCGGAATACGTAGGGTGTTTCCATAATAGTGGCTCGAAGGAAACGTGACGTCGACGCCAAAGCGAACAGGGACGAGACCGAGAGGTAGGGTGCCATATGATCCAAAATCAGACTGTTGGACAGAATCTTGACCAGAGAAGCCTGGCTGCGGTAGATAGTGCCGGGGCCTTGTCCACATAGCTCCTGAGCTGCGGTATCATCCTCATCTGGCAACACTTCTCGAACGACCGGAACCAAGCCCACTTCCTTGGGTGACAATCGACGAGAGCCGTAAAAGAACTCGGGCACTCGACCGATGAGGTTCTGGCGGTAGGCCGCCACGGCACCTACGGCGATCTCATCTCCGTGCACCAATGCGGGGGCGGCGTCTGGTTGGATATCTTGGAGAGCGGCCCTAGCCTTGGCCAGTTCGGTTTCTAGCAGATTTATGGTGGACTGGAGAACCACGGGCATCGTTTTGATATCTCCGGAGTCGATGGTAGTTGCTAAAGAAGACCACAGCTCATCTACAGGTGTGGGTATAAATACTGATGTTCTCGATGGTCGGGGATAAGGAGAGAGAAAGAGGCAGAAGATAGTATAAGGAGTGAATGGAAAGGGAGGAGAGAGAAGGAAGAGGGAGAGAGCTTTTATAGATCACCCGCCAGAGGGGGAATGCTGGGGAAGAAGAAAGGAACAACAAGGGAAGGAAGGCCGGCCGAAAAGCCGAGTCGAGATACTTTAAAAGGGGAATGCATATGTGGGATGACTAGAGGCGTGCAATCTACACCGTAGCGAGTAAGTGTGCTGAGGCGGTTAAAAGGGAGCCGAACGAAGGAAGGGTAACACGCTGTACAGGACTTACAGGTACTCCAGTCCAAGTGGAACCGGCGAGGAACAATCAGAATAGGCCCGGGAACGACCAAAAGAGCAAGTCCGGGGGAGGAGAAGGACAGGGGCAAAAATTCCAGAACTTTGGTGGAAGATGTCATCCGACTTCTGACCTTATGTCAAAGTCTATCTCATTCTCCATAGAGTACGGAGTACTAGTAGTAGATAGCAGCATAGCTACGGGAAACCTACCCAACTTGACGGGCCGACCTCCGGACAGTCTATCGACTCTATCTACTAGTATCTACGGAGTACATTCTACAGTCAGTAAAACTAAACCATCAGCAGGCCCCACCAGAGCCGAGACCCTGGAAAAGATCCGCGGGTCACGCGCCCCGTCAGACTTCCGGCCACCGTGCCACGATTTTCCCCCCGGCGATCCTTCCCTTCTCCAGTTCTTCCGGATCTTCCACATCTTCATCTTCATCCCTACCCCCCCTACACCGTACTCGGTAGATCCACCTCCTTGATCATTGGGCCAAGACCGCTAGCGTCTTGGTCCGGTAGCCTACTGTGTACACCGTACTCCCTTTGTAGAATGTGTGTTCTCCGTGCTCTGGGTGATTGATGACTTGGTACTTATAGCATCGGCTAAAAGGATTACACCTCAGAGCGGAGTTGCCTTCACTCTCTGCAGGCCTGTCCTACCCCCTCTTCCCCGTCTCACGTACATAGGTATGTAGTCGGCGAAATTTGGCTTACGGGATAAGTGATTGGCTTGGTACGTTGTTTCTCCATTCTCCATACACGACCGTCGTTGCTCCTCGAAAGCTTTATCTACTTGAAAAGTTTGGAAACGGCCACCTCCTTGTCATCGTGCTTGTTGAGAATCTTGGCAGTTGCCAGATCGAAATCCTCTTGCGTAACATGCACACGTCGTTCTCGGAGTGCATACATACCCGCTTCAGTACACACACCCTTCAGTTCGGCTCCGGAGCATCCATTCATTTTCTCGGCAATCTTCGTTAAATTGATACCTCGTGTCAAGTTCATTGATCGGGAGTGGATCCGTAGGATATCCGCACGAGCCTCAACCCTATTTGCCGCGAGAGAAGAGAGAGTCAGCAACCTGCTTACAAACCGATCCAAGGGATCTGAAGGAGGGGGACGGGGGAGATGGGGCGCTTACGAAGGCGGGGGGAACTCGATCTTTCGGTCAATTCGTCCCGGACGTAGCAAGGCTGGGTCAAGGATATCAAGTCGATTGGTAGCCATGATGATCTTGATATTTTTCGTAGGTTCGAACCCGTCCAGCTGATTGAGCAGCTCCAGCATGGTACGTTGCACCTCTGAATCACCGGAACCTGCCGAGTCTATGCGGCTGGATCCAATACTATCGATTTCGTCCATGAAGATGATACTAGGGGCGTGTTCTCGAGCCATCACGAACAACTCGCGCACCATACGGCTACCCTCGCCAATGTACTTTTGCACAAGCTCGGATCCACTCACCCTAATGAACCGGCAATCCGTATGATGGGCGACGGCACGGGCAAGCAGCGTTTTGCCAGTTCCGGGTGGTCCATATAGAAGAACACCTTTGGGCTGAGCAATACCAAGGGACTCGAATAGTTCCGGGTGTTTCAGACCGAGCTCGATGACTTCCTTAATCTCTTTGATTTGCTGGTCTAAGCCACCGATCATATCGTAGGTGCTGTCGGGGACCTTTTCGACCATCATCAGTGACACCAGCGGGTCAACGGACGAAGGTAGCATCTTCTCTAGTTTGTAGGAATCAGACAGCAAGGCAACGCGCTTGCCCACGGTCAGCTTCCCGATGTCGACGCCATCGGCGATGTCCACGACTAGTATCACGCGAATAGAGTCAGTCAGCTGGGGCGTCAAATATGACAAAAGGAAATAGATGAGAAATGCGAACCGTATTTTCCTTCCGGGTGAACCTTGACCAAGACCTTCTTGGTGCTCATCACCTTCACTACCTCACCCACGTATGAACCAGGCTGTTGTAGCAGCCCCAGCTCCTCGCGGAGAAGGCGCACTCGGGAGTTGTAGTCATTGCGTTGCGCTTCCAGTCTTCGCAAAACAGCTTGTCCTTGGATGATCTCGAGCTTCATGCCCTCGATCTTATTGCGATAGTAGTTGTCGAGCGCCATGACGGACAACTTGACGGTGACGCTCCCACGGAATGGTTGTCCACTAGGGGGTATCCAATGATTTGGAAACAACTTGATCCCCAGAGCGAAGCGATGATATAAGCAGAGTAAGCGGTAGTGGAATTATAAAGGGGGGGAGGGGGTGAAGAAGAAAGGGTAGTTCTGGGGGTTAGTTGAGTTGCTGTCAAGGTAGAAAGAAGCAAGTTACGTAGGGTCGGCGAAGCTGATCAGCCACATTTCCTTTGCACGGCCACGCAGTACGGTATGTTACACCGATAAACTGCTGCCTTAGGTTCCCCTACGTACTGTACCTACTTAATCCGTACAGGTATCCATCTCAATTACCTCCTTCCTCATCCTCCCAGCCAAGGTCCACTTTCTCTACTCCCTGCCTCGGATTTGACTTGAGACTGGCATACCAGACATCTACTTCTATGCCCAGCACGATCAACCGTGCCCCTTTACCTATAAATTATTTTCGTTCCCATTCCCAAATATTCCACGAGGTCTGAGACCTCAGCTGACTGCGGGGACCGAGAACTTATCTCATGATCTAATTCCTACTACCACTAGTTAGCTACATACATAGATCTTGCGAAATCCCCTCCCTTCTTCCGTACTTTGATCGACTTTCTGTTCATACGCGTCGTTGTCGTCTCCCTTATCCAGGTCGGCGAAACTTTTTGAAAAAAGTCTTGAAGGTCCATTACACTATGTAATTTGGGACTTGCACCGACCACATATTTGTCTTTGTTTCGAGTGCAGGCCACTTTTTTTCATTTTATTTTTCTTTTCTCGCTCTCCCTTTCTCCTTGTAAGAGGAAGAAGCGAAGCCGAAGCAAATCAAATCCAAAATATAAACCCCGAAAAAAAAAAAGGAGAAGACAAGTTCAATCGATTAATTTCTTGGGCCTTCTTAATTTTTCCAGTCCACCTCTGCCCGAATATACACGTCAGAGCACCGAACAGGAATAGAAAGCATTGAAAGAGAGAGAGAGAGAGAGAGAGAGAGAGAGAGAGGGACGAGAAGCATCTGAGAACAATTGGACCTAATGGACAGTACACAAGGAGGAGAACGTGGGTTGTCGCGTCCCTCTCAAAGCGAAAACCGATCAGCATTTGTCTCGAACGCAGAGGGCGACAGCGTGCCTTTTGGGACTACTCGTCAGTCGAGAATGGCTGCCCAAACCAGAAGAAGCTATGGTGCGATCCCAAAGTATCTTCTCAAAAAGGACTCAGCACCCATGTACTTACGATGTTTGATTTTGTGTGTGCAGGTACAATAGACCCCAACGACAAAACGAGCCCCGATTCACGCCCAGACGAAAGTCTCCCTGAAGCCTCAAGTCGCGCTCTTACGTCTCAGTCGCCATCCGCTGGGGCCATTCAACCTGAAAAACCAAGGAAGCCACCTGTAACCCGCCGCATGTCTTCGAAGCGCCAGGTCCCTCATAAAGGCCAAGAGTTCTCTACAGAAGATGATGTTCAAGAAGTTGAGGAAGATATAGCTATGCAACAAGCAACGCACCCGCAGCCTTCCCCGAGAACTCGCCCCTTGAGAAAGCAGAATTCGACTATCCGACGGAGAGTCAATCCTCGAGTCACCACTCCGTTGACACGGACAGAGGTCGATTCTGACAATGGTAAAGTCGACGAATCAGGCTTGCCGGATTCTAGTCTGGAACAGTCGGGGCCGGACAATACTAGGCAGCCAGACCCCAGCAGTGGCGGTGAAGATGACTATGGTGGTGGTGGTGGTGATGATGACGACAACGACCAGGACCATGACGGTGATGGTGATGATGATGATGATGATGATGATGATGATGATGATGATGATGCGAGCAATAGCGAAGAGAATAGCAAAGACAACGATGAGGACGCCGAGTCAACTAGTGATGCGGAAAGCTTTACACTAAAGGATCGTCAGCAAGCCATCAACGAAACCCACCCCTTTGGAATTCGGATTTGGAAACCTGCCTTGTACAAGAAGAGTCGCTCGGTGGAAAAGACCGCAGAAGGCGATATTCACTCGTCCCCCGGGGGTCGCGTAGGGAACTTGCTTCTCTTGACCAACTTGCTGTGGACCGTGTTCTTTGGGTGGTGGCTCGCCCTTGCAGCTCTTACTGGTGCTGTCGCATGCTTCATTTTCGCATATTATTCGTCCAGTGCTGTGGAGTATGGGAGAGTCTTCTCAGGGCTTTCTTGGTATCTTATCTACCCATTTGGTTCCTTTGTACGGCTAGACACCGATGAGAATTATGCAGAGGAAGATGAAGGCGAAGGACGCAGTATCAGTGAGTATGAGCAATGGCAGAATGGGGACTTGGAGCATGGCAGGCTATTTTTTGGCCCTCGCCGCAACCAGTCTCTGGTTGGGAGGAGAAGAAACAGTGTCGATTCGGCCAGTGAACAAGAAAGTCTTCTAGGTCGAACTCGCAGGCCTACTTCTTCTTCCTCTTGCCCTACAAGTCCCCTGGGTCACTCTAAGCGGCGATTGTTTGGTCGTGGAGAATGGACCCTAGGCCGCGTTGTTTTCTTCATATTCTTTTATTTCCTCGTGGGACCACTCATGCTTCTGGTGTCGCTCCTCTGCTGGTTACTGGTCTTCTGGATCCCCATGGGACGCGTAACCATCATCTTGTTTGACCACCTTCGCCGCCATCCACTGGCCCTGTCGTATCATTCAGATTCGTCATCTACGAGACACGGCCCCGGATCTGCTTCGTCCGTCTTGCTATGTACCTACCGCGCTGCTGGCTTGAGATACTGGAAATACACGGTCGGCGGCACAAACATCTTCTTAATCAATCTTCTTGGAGTGGTCTTGTTCGTCATCGTCGATTACTTCCTTCTCTCTCAAACCTTGGGCTTCCAAAATGCGTTGACGCATCCTGGCCTGATCTTTACCCTTGCCCTTGTTTCCATCATCCCTCTGGCCTATTTTATTGGACAAGCCGTGGCCTCAATCTCAGCACAATCATCCATGGGCATGGGTGCGGCCGTCAATGCATTTTTCTCCACCGTGGTTGAGGTTTACCTTTACTGCGTGGCCCTGACTGAAGGGAAAGGCCAGCTCGTTGAGGGCAGCATCATTGGTAGCATCTTTGCCGGTGTCCTCTTTCTTCCCGGGCTGTCCATGTGCTTCGGTGCGATCAAGCGCAAGACCCAACGTTTCAATGTCAAATCTGCTGGAGTAACGTCCACAATGCTAATGTTTGCTGTGATTGCTGCATTCGGGCCCACGCTTTTCTATCAGATTTATGGCAGTGTATGGTTTAATGACTCTCCCCTCTTTCCATCATCTGGCCAATGCTAATGGCTTCTTTATACAGCATGAACTCAATTGTCGCCCTTGCCTTGTTGGTGTGGAATCTAGCAGCAGTGATTGCCGTCGTTGCTACTTTTCCCAGATTCCGGCCGTCAACGATAGTTTCTTCCGAAAAGCAGTACAGCCTTATTCTTGGTTTGCGGCGCTGTTTTTGTTTCTGTCGTATATCATTGGCCTGTGGTTTACATTGAGAACCCACGCAGCCCTTATCTGGGCTACAGAAGCTGAGGAAAAGAAGGCCGTAGCGCTTGCTCACGAGCAGCAGACGACCCCATATGATTCAAGGCATCTTCTCTTTCACAATGGGTCATCCGCGCTTGCTAGCGGCGGAAGCATCGGACCGAAAGGCTCTGTTCGCGATTCTCAACTCTATAAACGGATTCTGGGACAGTCTCTAAAACATGTTGGCCTGTCAGATATTGCAGCCGAGTCTACGACAGACCACCACTCCGAGCCTAGCTTTAGGCGTAAAAACAAGGGAACGACAACCCCCTACCTTGTTCCGCCCCGTGCTCAGGAGGATGAAGATGACGACTCGGGGTTCAAGAACTTTGGTGTGCTATCTGGCAAGGACAACGAACGTTTAGTCCGCCAAGTAACAGAAGTGGCGGCAACGGCAGCCGCAGTTGCTGCCCGAGATGTCGCTCGAACTCGGAAGCCGTCTGTCCAACATTCAACGCCTCGTCACGATAGCAAGAGCCCTGCAGATCCTGTAAAGGCCGTGCTGGAGGAGCACGACGATATCGGACTCGAACATGGCCACACCAGTGGTGGACATGACGCGCCGAACTGGAGCAGAGCCAGAAGCTCTATAATCCTTCTGGTGGCGACAATTCTCTATGCAATCATCGCTGAAATCCTTGTCAACACCGTTGACGTGGTACTCGAGAGTGTTGATATTGATGAGAAATTCCTTGGTATCACTCTCTTCGCTCTGGTACCTAACACCACGGAATTTCTGGTTCGTTCTCCCCCTCCCTTCTCACCCCCAACTTAACCATGAAACTCATGATGCGATAGAATGCTATCTCCTTTGCTATGCACGGAAACATTGCGTTGTCGATGGAGATTGGTTCGGCGTATGTGCTGCAGGTTTGCCTGTTGCAGATACCGGCCCTTGTCCTTTTCAGTGCCATTTATGCTCAACTAATAGAGCCCACGGAACTCCTTACACGGTCTTTCAAGTGAGTCAGCCCCCTGTGACCCCGGCGGATTGGCTGTATGATGTTAGAAAGCTAATATATCTTCAAGCCTCATATTTCCTCAATGGGACATGATCTCGGTTATCCTTTGCGTTTTTCTTCTTTCATACGTACATGGAGAAGGAAAGAGCAACTACTTCAAAGGTTCTATCCTAGTACTTACCTATCTAGTCGTTGTGATCGGCTTCTACCTTTCTGGATATAGCAACATGGACACCATGGGCATTGACCGCTTCGATACATTGGCGCTTGGCTCTGAAACCTCCGAGAAATTCTACACTATCGGAAGGTCAAGAAGCGGTCGAGCTTATTAGTTGACCGAGGGTCGAGTAAGCTGCGAAGAATAAATGTCATGCGATGGTTGAACGATCATCGAGACTAATTGGCTTGGTATGTTCACTTCGATCGCGCTCAAGAGGTGGGGTATAGATCTGGGGTGAAGGGACTTTTGTTATTTGGGATGTTCTTTTTCTTTACGAATGGTTGGAAATCATCAACTTGTCCGATTACCTTCATGAGATCAATAAAAGACCCAGAGCTATAATATAAACTACCGAAAGTATGCTCTGCTAATAATGGAAAGATCATTCCAATTATTCACGCTTGCTTCCAAGTATTCACAACTTGATCAACCTGGGCGCGGTATTCTTGCTGTTTGTAGCACTGCTCGAGGAAGACTTTGTACTTGACATCAAGCAAGCGCCTTTCGTTCACGTCATCCGTGGGGGCAATCTTTTTCCCAGGCTTGCTCATACGGTCCATAATTTCCCACAGATCTTCTGTGCGGCCGTCGGCGTCGGCACTGGCAGCCTTGGCACCAAGCATTGCTGCACCATGGCAAACAGCAGCGTGAATGTATCGGGGAATAAGAACAGGCATGCCACACGCAGATGCAATCAGCCTCACCAATATGTCATTCTGGCATTGCGAGCCAGACATGAAGATGGAGGTTATGCTGTGACCAGCCTGGTTCATGGTCTCAACAATCTGGCGAGTTTGCAGGGCAATGAATTCGAGTGTTCCATAGTAGTAGATTGCCAGACCATCCACGGATTTGTCGCTCGAAAGACCGACCACGGAGCCCGTCATCGCAGAGTCTGCGATGGGAGATCGATTGCCCCAAAGGTCACCGTAGAAGAAGAAGTGGCGCCCCAAATAGGAGACACTGGGAGCTTTTTGCTCATGGGCCATCTCTTTCAGGTGCTCATTCAAGTATTCATAGATATTCGAATTGTACGACTCTGCAATCGAAACCGCCTGGTTGAAAGCAGGATGCGTTTCGATAACATGCTTGAGCAATTCGCCTGTAGCTGACTGGCCTCCCTCAGCCATCCAGTAGCCCGGTTGAATCGTGTCTCGATAGGGGCCCCATACACCCGGGACAAAGACTGGATTTGGTGACATTGCTAAATGACAAGTCGAAGTCCCGGCGACCGCAGCCAGACGGGAGAAGGCCTGCGTCTTATCATTTTTGGCGACGTTGGAGCTCAGCTGGTCCGACTCCAGATTAACTTTAGCCCCAACGGTACCAATCCAACCTGCATATGCATCAATGACGCCGCTTCCTATGGCAATTCCTGCCGGAAGACCGAGTTCGGCAGCTGCTTTATCGCACAGTGTTCCGACTAGTTCACCGGCACTAAGATAATCTCCGTTCTAGACCTCTCAGAATTGTCAGCCATTCAAGATTATCTTGTTTTGTTGGGGGGAGAGGGGGCAAGATTGAAAGAGACAAAAAGAAACGGGGCTCACCACCCCATCAACACCTCCCATACGCTTAAAATCGTCTTTTGAAAGATCCTCAAGACCAATCTCGGTCAGAAAGTCTTCTTGCCATCCCTTGACACTTCCATCAACGCCAACGGGAACATAGCCTTGTTTGCAAACAACGCTACAAAAGCTCCTCTTCTCATTGCCGGTGGCGATATGAGTTAATGCATCGGCCAGATCATAAAATTTGCACTGGTCAAACAGTTCCTTAGGCATGTTATTCTTCAACCACAGAACCTTGGGGATCTCCATTTCAATGGACATTCTCCCACCCACGTAGCGAAGCAGGTTGTGGTTCGTGGCATTGACCTTTTCTGTCTCATCCACGGGGCGATGATCCAGCCAGAGGATGACATTGCGGTCCGAATCGAAATTGGGACCGGTCACAGAAATAGGCACATCAGTAACATTGGAAAACACCGACAATGAGCAAGTTGCATCAAAGCCGATGCCCCTTACGGTATCTGGGTCGACGTTGTGCTGACTGATGGCACGCTGAACAGCAACACAGATGCAGCGCCAAATGTCACCTGTAGATTGTTCCTAACCAATTGTCGTTAATTCCCTGCTCGGGCTACTGTCAATGAGAGATCCCCACATAGTATCCTTGTTGAGGCTGCCAAAGCCCGATATTTTCAGATGCTAAGCCCACAATGTCACCCTTGCTATCAATGATACACGCACGAGCACTTCCTGTTCCAACGTCGATACCAATGTAGTGGTCAATCTGAACTTGAATATCGTCTCGACTGTCCCTGGCAGCTTGCCTGGAGCCCTGCCGAGATGGACGGTGATAGGGCAACTGGGTCGAGGAAGCCATGGCGAGAGATTTAGGAAGAGCAGACTGGAAACGAAGACCGAGTTTGAGAAAAATAAATAAATAATTAGGCCTGGGAAGTCTGAAAAGAGCAAGGGAAAACCCTAGAGGAGCCCCAGGGGGTGGCTATTATGATCAATATGTCTCTATATATGGGTAATGGTTTGTTCTTCGTAGACCAAAACAGCTTGGCGATGGTATGTAGAAGAAGAGAAAGGACATAAGGTCTAAACCAGGGGATTGGGGTAAATATAGGCAGCCCAACCGCCAAGCGGCAGGACATGACAGCCCGTCTTCACCGCCTCCGTACAGGCATACTCCATACAGGAACTACATCCAATGTTTCTGCTCTAACTACGGATACCTGGTAGCTCCTTCGCCCTCCTCTCCTCATTCATTCAGGATGCGCTCCTCAATCATCATATTTTCCGTCGTACTGGCCATATGCTCTGGCTGCCTTGCCAGTTCTTCGTTCACTACTGATATCTTCTATTGGCCTCTATCGTCTCCCGAACCTTCACTCCTCGCGTGTATCTCTTATGATCCGGCCACCATCTCCACGCCTGACCTAGTATCTTACCACCCTCCGAACCCTACGAACGATGCCGAGGATCAGGATATGGTCCGGATCGGCCTATACACGTCAACACCGGCAAATCCCAGCCAATGGATCGGTACACTCACCTCGCGCTCCGTTCTCTCGAAGATCACAGCCAACGTCATTCGGCTTCACCTGGACCCCTCAAATGAAATCTATCACGTCTCCCTAACCCCGACATCTGCATCAACGGCTTCTTCAGCTTCTCCGGGGCCCGTCATTGAGCTGGTCGCTAGCGACACAGGTCCGCGCCCGCACCTTAACCGACCGATTGTCCTTAGCCCGGACGGTGGAAACCCCGATGAGGCTGCCGAAAAAACATTGTTCCAGAAGTAGGTTCTCTGCTGCTCCGGCGTCGGACGTCGAAATGCTAATTTTAACACCTCGCAGATATTGGTGGGTATTCCTCATCATCACTTTCATAGCTATGTCTGGAAGCGGCGAAGGGCAATAGGCAATACACAGACCCTGCGTGACCTCCTTTTACCTCTTCTGACTTGTCTGCTACTGATAATCGCATGCTCTATCCGCGGTTGCTCAATCATGACCAGGAGGATATCTTTCCTACCTACACATATTCTCCCATCACACCTCGTCGCGGCCAAGTGGCTGTTTCCGCAGCCCTTTCGAAGCCGGGCTAGTAAGGTCTCACAATAGATGTAAATTCCGAATATCCTGTTCTCGCTGCATAGACTTGCTTGTGCCAATAGTGATGCCTTGGCCTTTGGTCGTGAGCATGGACGGAAATGTTTAAGCATAGGTATCCAAGCAGGAGATAGCGCTGCCCCATTTGCTGAGAAGAACCTTGTCCAGGCCAAAGACATGCTCGGTGCGGCCCCCAATGGTTTTCTGTTCTTGGTCGTTGCGCAGTAAGACATTTTGCGCACTTTGAGATATATAGTTTGTACAGTACTTCTGCGGAAGATCCGGATGATTGAACCATTCCGCCAAACCTTGGCTAAAGGCAAGTTTGGGAAATCTCTATACAAGAGAAAGATATTATAAAGCAAGCGAAATACCCCATGAAATGAGTTACAAACATCACGTAAAGTTGGAGATAAAAGGGTCTCCTTGTTCGACCCATAGATAGTTGACCACTTCGGCAGGCCACCCCTTGGCACCGCAAGTCCCCACAGTTTCCTTTTCCCATAAGCTAGGTGCCATGTCGTTCGACACAGCTGAATGTCTCGAATGGGTTGGTAGGTTATTGTCTTTATGTACAAGGTATTGTGTTCTACAACACATCACGATAAGAAAGAAACAATGTTTCTCTCAGCTCTTCCTTTCTCTCTTTCCCTTTCGCTGCGGACGGACAATTCACCATCCACACCATATCTCAAGCCAAGCATACGCTCTATTTGATATCAAGCTGTTTGGTTAATCGCAGACCGCTTCCAGATGGGCGAAGATCCCAATGCATCACTCCCCGATCCGTGAAAGCTATTAGTTCGTCTTCGTTGTGCATAAACTTCAGCTTAAAGCACACAGCGTCCAGGGGGAGTACGATTGGTCGTAACTCAATCGTCTCGCCAGATTGTGACGAAGGCGGATAGAATCCGTTTTTATTCTGTTGTATGAGCGCCGTGGGCTCTAGCGCCCAGACGTAGAGGACCTTCCAGTTGGCCACAGCAATCCGGGTGCCGCTTTTCGAGGCAGCCACGATGCAACCGAGGGAGTTAGTCGAGCTTTGAAAGCCCCAGAGTCGAGCGACTATGGTCCAGTCGGGAAATCGTCGGCCTCGTTCCAAGTTCAAAGCATGCCCACAATTGCGAGACTGGCAGACAGATTCGGACTTCAGCAAACAAGCGACGGTCCAATCCTCCGCACGATGGGTAGCTATGCCAAACGCAAGGTATTTCCATTGACAGAGGGAACGGCCATTCTCAATGTACGTAGAATGCGTCCCAAAAAAGGGGATGGCAATGGAGAAAAGAAGATTCAGGGAGTGCGAAAACTTCACCAGACAGGAATTCTCATGCAACGTGGGCTGAACAGGGAAAGATGACATGTTTATTCTTTGGAATGACCCATATAAAGTCTGCGCACGATAGTAGTAAAGCAGTTGGCTTGACCTGTCATTGAACGCAAGATCGATTATTGGCCCTCTGTCTAAAAGACTGGTGGTCAATCGCGATTGGAGGTAGTCACTGGCAGGTCGTTGTCTAGCCCCATCGACCAGGACACATGAATTATAATTGAGCTCTAAGACCTGTTAGATGAGCATGGAAGTAAGATGAAGAGAGGATAGAATACCGATTATTCCCGAGGTCTCGTCGCTTCTTAATTCGGGCAACGCGTTGTAAAGAATCACTTCATAGTCATCGTGTTCGCGGGCATGCTGCCAGGATATCGCAAAAGTATCCCTGTGGGCAACAGAGAGAGCCAGAGGCCGATAGTCCGTTTGATCTGGGAATGCACATATTTTGACTGGATCATGAGGGGATTGATACGAATGGCGGGTAAGGTAGATGTGACCACCACCGGCCCTTGACTGCAGAGCTTGCCTGACGAATGGATGATCAGGCTCTAGATCATCTTCGGCCACAACAGGGTCAAATCTGTGAAGAACATAGACACCGTCTTCGCCGTCGAAGGCTGTTCTGAGTACTTGGGCTTTGCCTGGTTGACCTAGAGACAGCTTGAATTGAGCCTTGTGTCGAAGGTCGCCATTTTCGGCTTGGAAAATGTGGACACCTTCTTGGCCTTTGAGAGCAAGAGCGAGTATTTGGTCATGAGGAGCAAATGATGAGGCCTGGGCATCAAATGTAGTTGCATCGGCCTGGAATTTTGTGCAATGTGCACGGAATTGGGCGCCATATAGCTGCCGGTGGGCACGGCCCACAAGCACCCCAAACAACTGCTTCGACTGGAGCGATTGGATAGCAGGATTCAAGCCTGGGGTATGGCGGAGATGATGTAGGATAACCTCTCGGCAGTTTGACGCAATTTCATACAGAGTGCGACAAGAAAATGCAGCCTCTAGAAAGGTGGGTGTGCTGGAGTGGTGGAGAACAAGTTCAATCAATTCTGTCGGGAGATTCAGGAGCATGGCACCGATCAAAGAGGCCCTGTTGACCAGAGGGTTCCTTGGGAGTGTCTTTCACAAAGGCAAATCAAGAGAATCTGACTGAAGTTTATGTTTATGCAGCAAGACTCGTGAGACTGAATTGAACTAAATACATCTTGATCTCCGATTTGGTGGGGAAGACAAGTGTTGCGGCCTGCAGGCATCCGCCGCCGCTGCCTGGTTATGCCTAAGAGTCACGCCTGTTTCAGTAGATCTTATTTCCCATCTACCAAACGCCAGCAAATGCACAGTGTACTTCTAAAACATGTCCTACAACTAGCCTAGAGGAAACCCTCGCACGCCCACACAAGAAAAATAATACGAACTGGATAATTCCTTTTATATTGTCAAATGCTGCCACCTGAAGCCAAGTTGGAAACACTCCATTCTAATACACTCTCGTAGCACAGAACGAATTGGCTCAGATTCTGTACCATGCTGGGTCTTTGAGTACGAAAATCGGCAACAGCTTTCGCTATCAGGTCTAGATTCTCATTGTGTGTCCAATTCTCATGGGCGGGGGCATCCGTTGCGACATGTTTTCGATATGCAGTGCCCTCCAGGGGGTGCTTAAGCATGCCCAAGACACTATCGACAGTGCAGAAAGAACCGGTGCGGCCACATCCTGCACTGCAGTGCACCAGTATAGGTTGTGCCACCATGGGCCGTGATCGATTGGCCGTTGCATTTCTGACCTTATCGCATTGTGCGATCAATTTCAGGAGATGCGTTGGCTGCGAGGTAGTGCCGAAATCAGGCCAGTATGGGTATTGTAGCTGGGTGACCTCACGAAGCGGCTGGAACGGGTGAGCAGTATGTGATAGGCTGAAATGTCGCACAATGATGCAAGAATTTTCGGAACCTTCATTCGAGTCCGCGACAGGCTTTTTCGGTCTGTCAACTTGCTCTAACCCGGGATCATCCATGTAGATGTATTTCTGAGCAAAATTATGGATTTGAAAAGGCCCATAAGACCCAGATTCCCAGTAGGGATGGCACTTGACCTGGCCTCTTTCCACCTCTGCAGTTAAGGAAACGATGAGTCTTATGTCTTGCTCCCAGATCACACGCCAAAAGTCCTGTCCTCGTCAGTCCAATCTTTGCCCCGCCTCAGATGGAACTTACATTAAATGTATCCGGCACAGGGGCCTGTGTGGCAATATAGCATTTGTCACTATACTCCGCTTTCATGTAATTTGCATTCACATAGTCACAACCACCAGGGGGCACGTCCTGTAGTTTGACGCGGGTATGGTCAAAAGGATAAACATCGTTGTATCTGTTTTTCGTGCCCTTTTCGATTCCCGCGACTTTAAACCTGGATGCATCGGCAGACTTGTTGTATGACAAGGCTTGCTTCATGCGCTCCAACTCTCTTTTTTCGAGATCTAAGAATTTTTCAGAGACATTCAATCCCTTATCTGCCGGATCGGCTACTTTACGAAGCCAGGCAGGAAGCAGTTTCCGTTTAGACTCGGTGAGCCCCTTCGGAAGCTGCAGGGGTATTTGGCCGACCCCGCCAAGTAGATCCATGTGCTGACGAATGTTTCCAAAGAACGGGATTGCAGGGCGAGAGGCGTCCGGCAAGGCACACCCACCCGAGATTGGAGCACCAGACGGAAGGTTGATATGCATCGACGTAGGCTTTTTAGGAAGTGGCGACTGTTGTTGTATGAACCCGGGAAAGCGGTCGGAGAAAGCATTGAAGCCACCGAGTAGTATCAGTCCTTCACCATTCCATCCTTCGGCAGTGAACTTTTTCAGCACATTCGCCAGAGGTACGGCGTCTTTGATGTCAGATGTGGCTGCATCATACACGGCAATGTATCGACACTGTCTCCATTTGGCGAAATGTCGTCTGTCAGATTCATCCGTAAACGTGTTTTCTAACTTCTGCGTATCAAATGAAGGACGCTTGAGTAGGGTCGTTGGAATGCAAAGATTTAATGAGCCTTTGATGTTTCTTTTGGCGAAGTGTGCATACGGCCGCACGTCAAGGAGCATGACGTCATGCTGACATGAACCAAGCAGCTCCGCACAGCGCTCAGCGGATATGGTGTGACAATTTCCGACCTTGGGCTCCAGGGAGGTGGCTGGGTTGAGAGGGCTCTTATGCGTAGATGGTCCTTTGTTTTCCTCGGACTCAATCGGAGTCTTCCGAGGGCTCATAGCATCCAGCATTTTGCTGCTCAAAAGCGACCCCGGACCGGGAGCAGTAGCCTGAGAGAAAGATGGCGGACCGCATCTGGTGCTGGCAGAATTGTCCACGCTGATCGAGAAATAACCCGAACCGGTGCAATCGGGTCCTGCATTATGGGGGCGAGTTCCAGGACTGCGCGGGGACGTGTGAAACGAGTAAGGCGCTGTAGATGAATGGCCTGCAAGTTGCATGTTTGTGGACTCCGGAGGCCAGGGAGAGGAGGGCGATCTTGGACCCGTCATGGCAGACATAACTAGTTTCCAAGGGCAAAATAATCTCTGCGCTTATATTCTGATATACCGGATACCAGAATCAAACATATAGGTTTCTTGCCATCTCGAGATGATCGCAGAGGACGAAATCCGTAGAGCTCTTCGTATGTATATCACTCGATTTGATCGGAGGTTGTAGAGGCAGAGGAGAGAGTTGCGCCGATTGGAATGTGGCGAGGGAAAGGAGTTCTGAACTGGAGAGCCTACCGAGTGTAATATGCAATGCTGGAGGCGCTCAACCCGCCACGGACCAGTACTGAACTGGCCGCGAAACCTCCTAGAAGGGAACTCAAGTTAAGGGAATGAGAAGTGGTGGGCACCCAAGATCACAGCGATTTTGTATATATAAGAAGAACAAGTGGTTGCAAGGAGAGCAGTAACAAGGTGGTTGTACTCGGCACGTAGTTCTGACCGATCCGACGGTTGTGGCTCACACAAGTCTCTCTCACTTTTACGGATAAGGGGGGCCGAAAATGATGGCAGAAAGGCCTTTCGAGTACGGAGTAAAAGTGCCTGGACCAATCGAGGACGAAAGAAAGGAATAGTGGGGGTATGAGGGGCCTCACTGATATCACTGATCCACCGCCATCTTGGGGCACGAAGGGAATCGGGGCAATGATAGATAAGCGAGACTTTTTTTTTCTTTGGAGGGGCGAATAGACCCAACAGAAAATGGGAGGAAAAAGTAGTGCTGGTAGCAGTTATCCGGATATGACGTTATGGGGTGGGTAGCCGGCTAGACAGCGGCAAAAATTCAAAGGAAGAAAGCGAGAGAGAGGGAGAAAAGAGATGACGGTCTGGATCGACGATGGCCACCATACCATACCTTACAGTACATAGTGTAAGGTAGACACGTACATGTACCTAGGTAGTTACAGTATAATACATCCATGGATACCTAGGTACCTACACCGTAGGTACTCCGTAGGTGCCTTAGGTATACCAGGTATGGCTCAGTTACCTTATCTATGACGTATGTATGTATGTATGTATGTATGTATGCATGTACGGTGTATATCCAGTGTCCCACAATTCATGGAACACATGACCTCCGCCATAAAAGCAGGCCGAGTAGTATAGAAGATATTCGGATTTGCTTGTAGCCTGTTGTAGATCTCGTTAAGGTCTATTCAGCGTAGGCGCATAGGCGACAGTACGTAGTCAGCTGGCCATGAAAGGTTCTAGAAAGTTCTAGGCTACATAGCTTGAGACAAGGTTTACCTGACTCTATCCCCCCCTCAAGTCTGCTTCTCGAAATCCGGGGAGATGCGGAGCTGCAGGGGTTGTAGAAATTTCACCTATCGTGTCCGGTGGGTCTAAAGGAATGTCAGTGTATCGAAGACAGGAACTGTACGGGGTAGATATTCTAAATGAATCCTCGAGTTACAGCGTCCTCTTCAGAAGCACCTACTCCTTTCCCGTGGCCAGACACGTGGAGCAAGTCACTGCAGCTAAACCTCAACTTCTTAAGTCTTCTCTCTTGCCGAGCGGCTTGTTACTCCCGCTGAATCTTATGTTACTTTGCCTCTCAATCTTCTGCATCAGCCAAGGCGTCTGTCTCCTGGGAAATACTAGCTAGGATATCTCTGGCTTGGCCAAGGGGACAAAGATGACCATCTATCTGCCTCGCGTTATCCTGCAAAAAGACTCTGACCAAAGACTTATGATAAATACAGCTCTCCCGCCATGCGAAAACTGACCATATTCCAATCAATTCACAACGGACGTTGCTCGATCTTCCCTTCTACCAAACATACCAAGCTGGATGGATTGCCCGCATAATTGCTGACTATCCGTGAAAGAAACCCACAGGTCATACCGGCACATGTGCCTTGTCTTCTTGATAAATCGGGACGAGTTCATAATGTTCGACTATCTGGTGATATGAACCTTGCTTGGCTGTCGTGGGCATCCTGATGCTAGGTTCGCGAACGGGTGGATGTTAAATTGCAACCGCTTGACGACTTTCTGCATGATGCTGATCAGTATACCTGAGCCAGCCCTGAACTATTGCCTCCCCCTACTAGGTGAAAATGCAAAGGCATCTAGGAGAAACGAACCTACTATAACGAGGAGACAATTCCGAGATCCCGGAGTTCATATTTTCCCGTCTGGCTCACCCTTAAATCTTTGAACGCGCTTCTGCTCCCAATTATCTAGGTCCTTGGCCATGAGCCTCTAATAAGATAGTTAGACACTGGAAAACAATGCGGCCAAGCAGACTTCAGGACTCACATAATACTCTTCTCTTTCATCTCCGATGATTCTTCTGCGGGGGTTCCTCTTGATACCCTCTTCACCATCAGGTCCCTTCAGGCCAAGGTTCATGGCCTCCTCTTGACTAAGTTGCTTTACTTTGCGATCGTATCGTTCATATCTAAGTGCTGCAGCTGGAGTTAAGGCAAATGAGCCGGCAACTATAATCATCACGAAAGGGAGGCCGAAAAGAAGGAAAGGATGCCGAGGAAGAGTGGCTCTGTACGCAGCGCCAATTCGCTCGCCGAGCGAAGATGACGCCGTTGTTGTGCGCCGGAATGTTTTGGCCTGAAACACAGGCATTTTATGACACAAATTCAGTTAACGGCAAGAGCCAGGTTGCGAGAATTCGGGGTCCATTAAACTGCGTAACGGTGGTTGGTTTGTTTCGGAGCAGATGGAAAGGCCAACCGGCGAAACATAAGTCCGACATAGCTAGATTGGGTAACTGACCAGGAAAAGTGATTTTCGTAAACATTGAGGTTGAGCGCAAGAAGGTGAGTTCTCCAGTATCCAGGCCAATACTGGCCAAGCACTTAGCAACATTTACAACTGGTAAGACTATTCTGAATTCCTTCGCCTCGTCATTAGATACTGACTTCTCAGGCACCATCGTCGAACGACAGAACTGGAACTCTCTGCTTTCCCCATATCTCCTCTCCTTCCTTTTTGCTTCCATATCTTCATTTGCGTGAGGAATTACAACCGCCCGCGATAGAGAGTCTCTCTCAATGGCCTCAGCGAACCCAACTCCTCTATTTGGCGGCCTAGGAGCTTCCACTCCGTCTTCGGCTCCTACCGCACCAAACAACTCAGCAAGTGTTTTTGGGAACTCATCTGCTACAGGCACCAATGGATCTTTATTTGGAACTGTTGGGCAGCAGCAGCAGCAGCCGCCGCCCGTCCAGTCTTCAATCTTTGGACAAAGCCAGGCCCAAAATACTGCGGCGCCATCGTCGCAACTTTCTGGTCAAGCAACTCAACCTGCTTTCTTTAATAGCTTATTGGAGCGCGGCAAAAAGAGACCACTTTCTGCCCTCGGGCAAACAAGTAATTTTGAGCAGCTTCCCAGCCTCCAATTGGGCCTTGATGATATTCGAAGAAAAGCCAGAGAACTTGGGACCGGGAGTCCTTCGACCCAGGGGCAAGCCCCAAACAGTAAAGCGTGAGTTCTGCGCAGTGCCCCTTGTGATCGCCGTGCTAACTCAAGATCATCCTAGTCATTATCTACTCGCCGCTTCAGGTGTTTCTGCCGGGCATGCTTTGCGAGACCTCAAAGCGTTGGAACCTTATGAGTCAAAGTCGAGGGAGCAAGAAGCTACCTTCGATCCGGATAATCAGAAGTTCCTCAGAAACATACAACAGCGCGGTCGTCAAGTTATGATCGCCGAGAGTCTCACCCGGACAAACAAGGATTTCGACCTCTTTCTAGAGGGAAAAGTGGACTTGAATTGGGAAGAGCAGCGCCGTAAAATTTTTCAGCACTTCGGTCTGACTCAACGAAGTGAAGCCACTGGCGATACGAAAGGATCGTTTGGCCGGTCGATGAGACAATCGAAACTCGGCCCTAGTTCAATTTCTAACGCCCCCTTTTCGTCTCGTCGAAGTGTCTTTGGACGTTCGGCTTTGGATAAGTCTGTAATTGGAACCCCCGCGGCTGGATCAGCCAACCAGCAGCTGTTTGAAGACCCCATGGAACGAACTGAGGGTTCAACTGCTCCAGACATGCGACACCACCGGGAAAGAATGGGAAATTATGCGGCCAAAGTACAATTGTTAAACTCTGCAAGGCTCCAGTCGCACACTTTCCCAGTCCTCCATGAATTCTCGAGTGTTGAAACAGATGCCGGTGGCGATGTACGTTACGATTCCTTTGGATTTGATCTCCAGAACTAATTGCCTTCAGGTCCCTCGTCAACTTGTCGATGCTTACCGAGCCTTGATAAGCGTTACTGGAGAATTACCGCAAATCATGAGTGCATCAGAAACTGGGGCGGCGAAAGAGCGACAGTTCGCCGAGGACTATTTGGATGAGGCTCCGAATTCTCGTCGCGCAATGAACTTAAGAAAGCGCATCGTTGAAGGCTCTAGAGTTTTCCTTGAAAACACATTTTATACTGAGGTCGAAAATGTGATCTCAAAGAATCCTCGCGAGGCACAGCTTGGAGGCATCCCAACAGTGATCAACAAAATTCGCGCTTACATCAGGCTCAGAGCAGCGAGAAAGGACCTCGCGCCTGATGGAACTGAGATACAAATGGTGGGTCAAGATTATTGCTGGATTCTCATATTCTATCTTCTCAGATGTGGGTTTGTCACCGAGGCTGCCGAATATGTTAGCCAGGACCCTGGTTTCCGATCACTGGATCACAAATTCGTGACATATATGACGACCTACGCACAAAATCGGCGACTGCCTAGGGACATGCAGCAGAAGATAAACGGGGAATACCAGCAGCGGTCCCGCAATGCCCCTGACAACACAGTGGATCCTTACCGCATGGCCTGTTACAAAATTATTGGACGCTGTGAACTCAGCCGCAGGCGTCTGGAAGGCGTGAACCAAACCGTCGAAGATTGGATGTGGTTGCAGTTCAGTTTGGCCAGGGAAGACGATCGTGCCGAGGAAGTAGCGGGTGATGTTTTCGGGCTTGAAGACATTCAAACCGATATAACCGAGATTGGACAGCGGGTGTTCGGTAAGGGCCAGGAAGGACCCGGTGGCTACGGCACTTTCTTCCTTCTACAAATACTAGGAGGGATGTTTGAGCAAGCGGTCTCTTATCTCGGGGTCTATGCCCCAGTAAGTGCCGTGCACTTTGCGATTGCCTTGGCTTACTATGGGCTTTTACGTGTGTCTGACTTTTACACATCAGGCGAGGAACCATGTAAGTCCGCCTTTTCCTCTTCAGATGGCCTCGAGAGCTAACATCACAGTATCCTTCACTGTCAAACAATATCCTCAGATCAACTTCGGTCACCTCATCACCCAATACACCCGGGAATTCCGCACAGGCTTTGTGGAGGCGGCCATTGATTACTTCTCTTTACTTTGCCTCAATGCTGATCTTCCGGGCTCGTTGGGCAAATCCCAGGCTTCTGTGTGTCACGAAGCTTTAAGAGAGTTCATCCTGGAAACGCGTGACTTTGCCAAGTTGCTAGGCGACATACGATCTGATGGCACAAGGATAAAGGGATTAATCGAAGAACGCATCAGTCTGATCAAATTGGACAATCAAGATGAATTCCTGAAGACTATAACGATGCAAGCGGCTGCTGTTGCCGAAGACAAGGGACTGATAGCAGACGCAGTACTATTATACCACCTGGCTGAAGACTATGACCGCGTCATTGACATCATCAACGGCGCACTGTCCGACTCTGTGGCCGTTGAATTGGGCGACCCTGCGTTAAGATTGCAGCCTTTGCGGCCACGATCCCACCCGGAGTCCACTCCTGCTGAGCCAGGCAGTAGTCTCAGCTTGACTACAGTGGAAGACCCAGTGGTTCTGGCAAAGAACATGATTGGACTTTACAATATGAATGCCATGTATTACCAGCGAATCCGTCAGGTGAACCGGGATACGTGTGGTCTGCTTCTCCGCATGATGGAGGCAAAGGCAGAGGTCCAGGCCGGCAAGTGGACCTCGGCGCTCGATGTAAGTCCCCCTCCCCTAAAGATATGCAATATATTTACTAACCTTCTAGGCCATCAACGCACTGAATATTCTCCCGCTCCGCGCCAAAGGCTCCGTTCCACACATTCGCAGCGCGGCGCAGGCTTTCTCGTCGTTCCCCCCAATAATCTCCCGCAATGTCGGGCATGTGATAATGTGGAGCATTACATGCATCGGGCACGAAAGGCAGCGGTTGGACTCCGGGGCGTATGAAAATGAAATGAGACAGGGACTGGCGGACGAATTGCTGGTCATGGCCAAGGACCTAATGATTTTCTCCGGGATGGTCAAATACAAACTGCCACCCAGAGTGTATGAGACACTAGCGCGGGCAGGTGCAGACATTGGCGCGTATTAGGAGATCCTGATTATCCTGCTAATACTAGAAAATCATCTCGTCAACAGTCCAAGTGACCGTCGTAACATATAGACAGGGGTTGGTTTAAGCCGTAGAACTACAGTGCTAGAGTAGGTAAGTACTCACTCAGTAGGGCACCATGCCAGATGTGGGGCATTCCCGTTCCGGAATTTGCACGTGCATCTCTGGACTCGCCTTGGTCCTGCCAACCCAACAGGACGCCGATGGACTGCCCCCAACCAAACATTATTAACACTGGTTCAGACGCCGGATGGACTAATTCGAGCTCGGGTTCACCTCATGCGCATCTCGATCTTCTTCTGAAGGAAAACCCTAGGTCCTCCGAACGATAACTTAGCCGCTGCACATAATAGAGAAATGGAAACCGACGGCAGCAACAGCGGCATCGACGACAACAGTATAAATACACCACGGCACTCCGGGTTTGATGGTCTACAATCATCCAGCAGCAAGCTGAATAATGCATCCACCAGCTCGAAGGATGAAACAATCTCGATCAACGAACCCTCAGACAAATCAACTACTCCTACGAAACCGGCAGAAGGAGATATCATCCACAACCCGCCCAATCTTGCCAGGATACGGCAGGTAATGTTTGAGTGCAAGGACCCGATAGAGATCAATCTTGAGGAATTCGAGACATACTGGCCATTCATTGACAATGTCTGGGTCAAACAAAGGTCCAACTCCAGCAAAGAGGGTCACTGCACAACAGATTATTATATGTGCCGTCTCCGACGTCCAACTCACCGCACGTCAGAAACACGCCCGCTACCCGAGGGCAAACGACCCCGCAAAAAAAGGGTGCGCGAAGGAGGCATATGTAATTTCCAGATCAAGGTGGTGAGGTTTGAGGGTGCATACTCCACAGTGACTATTGCCAGGACACCGGGAAGCAGTCACATTCACTCGCACAACCTTGACTACATCGACAAGGTGAAGCGAAATTCGGGACTCATGGAGTTCGCCCGGAAGGAGGCGGTCAAAGGTTATCTACCGTCGTCTATTTACACGAAGTTCCGGGAAGAATCCGAGAAGCTTGTAGAAGCGGGAGGCAAGTTCTGCACCGTCACGGATGTTCGCAACGTGTCTGCAAAATGGAGAATACAAAATCCCGAAGTCAAGCTCATGCCCCACGATGGTTATGAATATCAACAAGGGCATGGCATCGTGAGATCAACAACAGCCACTGATACAACATTTGATACAACGGCGGCGGCGGAGGCGGTGCCGCCGCCGTCGCCCCTGCCACCAGATACATTACCGTTCCCTCAATTTGCTTTGGATTTTCTTGATCCCTATCTCCCTAATCAGAAGGGGGGCAGCAGCAGACCACATGTCACTCTGTCCTACGCATCTTCTATGGATTCTAAGATATCACTTCTCCCCGGAATGCAGACGGTATTATCAGGCCCAGAGGCCAAATTGATGACGCATTATCTGAGGTCACGTCATGACGCAATCCTGATTGGGGTTGGAACTGTTCTTGCCGACAATCCCGGGTTAAATTGTAGACTGGAGGGGGCAGGCGGCTTTGGAGGGCTTGGGAGAATGTGGCAACCGCGACCAGTAGTGATAGATCCCACGGGGCGATGGCCCATTAATTCTCAATGCAGGATGCTGCGAACCGCAGTGGAAGGCAAAGGCAAGGCGCCGTGGGTGATCGTATCACCGGGTGCCCAGATCCATCCTCAGAAGTTGATGATGTTGAAAGGATACGGGGGCGATTTTCTCCGCATTGTGGAATACAACCAACAGTGGCGCTTGCGCTGGGAGGCAATCCTACGTGCACTTGCATCCGAAGGCGTGAAAAGTATCATGATAGAAGGTGGTGGAACCGTCTTGAGCGAGTTGCTCAACCCGGAATACACCGAGTTTATTGACTCGATCATTGTGACCGTCGCGCCGACGTACTTGGGCAGTGGGGGGGTAGGGGTGAGTCCAGATTCCAAGAGTGACGAACAGGGGAAACCCAATGCTGCGCTCAACCCAAGGGAGGTGAAATGGGTGCCATTGGGGCAGAATGTCATCATGTGTGGTAAGATTGGAGCTGCTGGCCTGGCGGAATCAGCAACTAGAATATCAGGATCTACATAACTAGTGCGGATGTTTACTGTTTACTTTTTAGACAGTACCTTTGGGGCCTGGGGTAACATATAAGTACTATACTTATACATGTAGGTACTAGTTAATTAAGGTATACTATGTATGTAATGTATGTAAGTACATACTGTATGTACTGTACATAGCCGGTTGAGGTAAGGTATTTTGCATTTGGTATAACATATGTAGGTACGGTACTTCATATGGCGTACTGTATTGTAAGGTATTATGCTTCTCGCCTCTCGCAGTACATGATGGTACCTAGTGATAGTACTGTACTGTACTGTACTATATACAATTAGGATCCACCGCCTTACGGTACGGAGAAAGTCGCGTCACCATTCTTTCCGCCTAACGTAATCGGACAGCGAACCGCTGTTTCTCACTATAACTACCACTATAAAAATTGGAACTCTATCATTTATATAAAATAGAAGATTTCCTTCCAAAGGCTATTTTAACTATATAAACTGAAGATATTTTACGTCAAAATAGATAAAATAGTCCAAAGGTTACTTAGTTTTACAGATAGTAAATCTTATATTACAATATTTAATCCCCGAATGCGATAGTTCCTATACTTAAATATAGAAGTATTTTATATTGTAATGAGAGTAAAAAGAGACTATTAAAATTGTAATTTTCTATAAAGTCTTAATAGAGTGATTTAATATGGTATAACTTACTATTGTATCCTTATTTTTCATCAATATCTATATCTGTTGTAAAATTCCAATTTTTATAGTGGTAGTTATAGTGAGAAACGGCGGTTCGGTGTCGCGGCGGTTCGCTGTCCGATTACGTTACCTACGCTGGTCTTTCTGTTCTGTTCTGTTTTGTTTTTTTTTTTTTTTTTTTTGTTTTTTTTTCTTTTTTCCCTTCATTGTTTTTTTAATTTGTTGTGCTCCCCCCGATCTTCCTCCTACCTTTCCAGATTCCACACACACTGCATGCGACCTTGGTTACGACTTTCCATTTTCAGCTATATCACTCTCTGAGATAATCGGTTTGCTCCTTCCAAATTAACATTATCATGCCCCCCAAGAAAAGCGCGTCCAAGGCTTCTACAAAAGCCTCGGATGCATCCAAAAATACTACGAATACCACGGTGTCTAAAACTACAACCAAGGGTCGCGCTTCAAAGAACAACCCGTCCAAAACATCCGCCGCGACCACCAAAAATGAAGCTACCAAATCTTCCAAGAGATCGGCCACCTCTACATCCACTACTATAGTGAAGAAGCGAAAAGTCGAGGATGTCGATGAAGAACCAGCTCCCCAAGCCAAAGAAGCGAAAAAGCCCCGTGTTGCGAAGCCTCGTGTCACGAAGGAGAAACCCAAAGTGGTCATCAATCATGCCCCGACAACTCGTCTAAACGTCTACGTCTGCGGTGAAGGTAGTTCTGGCGAGCTGGGGCTTGGACCGGAAAAGAACGCGGTGGATGTTAAACGCCCGCGCCTCAACCCCCATCTGCCAGCTGACCGCGTCGGCGTTGTGCAAATTGCTGTCGGTGGCATGCACTGTGTTGCCCTTACATACGACAACAAAGTACTTACCTGGGGTGTCAATGACCAGGGCGCTCTCGGGAGAGAGACCGCGTGGGAAGGAGGCTACAAGGATATCGAGGACAACAAGAGCGATGCCGATTCCGACTCCGACTCCGATGAACCTGCCTTGAATCCACACGAGTCCACACCAACTGCTATTCCATCACAGGCGTTCCCTGAAGGCACCGTCATCGTAGAAGTTGCTGCAGGCGATAGCTCCAGTTTCGCCCTCACAGATGATGGCCAGGTTTATGGATGGGGAACATTCAGAGTAGGTTGTCCCACTTTCTTTCCTTTTCTTGAGGTTTCTAACATACCGTAGAGCAATGACGGTATCTTAGGTTTTGACGCTAGTCACGAGGTCCAGTCTACCCCGGCTCTGATCCCGTCATTGAAGAAAATCAAACACCTAACATGTGGAGATAATCATGTTCTTGCTTTGAATGACAAAGGTGCCGTGTTTTCGTGGGGATCCGGCCAGCAGAACCAATTGGGTCGTCGCATTATCGAACGGAACAGACTGAACGGTCTCCAGCCGAGGGAGTTTGGTCTCCCCAAGAACATCATTCACATAGCTTGTGGCGCGTTTCACTCCTTTGCTGTCCATCAGTCTGGCAAAGTCTATGCTTGGGGCTTGAATAGTTTTGGTGAGACAGGCATTCGTAACGGTGCCGGTGACGACGAGGCTGCTATAGTTCATCCCACTGTTGTGGACTCCTTGTCCGGGAAAAATGTCACCCAGCTCTGCGGCGGTGCCCATCATTCGCTTGCTGCCTCTGATGATGGCCAATGTCTCGTGTGGGGTCGCTTGGACGGGTATCAGACAGGCTTGAAAATCGACACTCTCCCTGACGAAGCGGTCATCAAAGATGAGCGTGGACGACCTCGCATCTTGATTGAGCCCACGCCTGTGCCTGGGATCAAGGCCAATGTCGTAGCAGCTGGGTCCGATCATTCAATTGCCATTGACGCTGATGGTCGTCCCTGGTCGTGGGGATTCTCTGCTACTTACCAAACTGGCCAGGGCACGTCGGATGACATCGAGGTAGCAACCATCGTGGAGAACACTGCTGTACGCGGCAAGACGCTTAATTGGGCTGGAGCTGGTGGTCAATTCTCCGTATTCACAGAACCCGTGAAGTCGTGAGTTCGGACATTCGTCATATGATCAATCGTGTCCCTTAAACAGGACAGGTGGGACGAGCGATAGTACCGATTTCGCCAATCTGGTTTCCTTGCCGCTATTTTCTTGATGAACAAAGTCAGCTATCTTTTGAGGTTGGGCATGAGTGTAATAATATCAACTGTATCATTTTTCATTTTCAAGTGTTATTTCCTAACCTATCACAGAATTCATTTTCTAATGAAAAATAAGACCGTTGGCTCCGTTGGAATCGTGGTTTCTTTTGAAGGATTGATCTTTGCTACTAGATGCCAAACCCAGTTACCGGAGCATATTTTGACCCGGCAGATTCGTGTGCAAACTAGTTACTAATATCGCATTTTTCTATTCCTTATGCTAAGAAATGGCAACCAACACCCTTTGACCGTCGAAATTTCAATCGGACCAGTTATGGGTCCTGGCTATATATTATGTTCATTCAACAACGCTTCTAGCTCATCGTCATCGGGGGTATCTTGGCCAGGGACGTGTTCGGCATCGTCGTGAGAGGGCATGAATAGTTGATCGAGATCGTCTGTTGGTTGGGGAAGTGGTGTATGCATGTGGTCTCCGGTTCCTCCTTGTGTTTCATGGGATGTGTGGTGAGTGTTGCTTCCAGGCTGCTGATCGTCTCTCCCAGGATGATGTGAATCATGCGACTCGGGTATTTGCTCGGCATCTGCCTGCATTCGTGGCTTTTCCTCTTCTATCCATTCTTTGCGCATGTTCTGCAGGCGTTTGGAATGACCGAGTTTTTCTATAATAGCCAGGCCATCAACAAATTTGGCTCGGGGAAATAGGTCATCAAGCCAGAGCTGGTAAAAGTTCAGCAGGCGGGCTGCGTCAGAGAACTATTCTGCGTCAGACAATCTCGCAATTATCATGGGACTCGAAAAGTTGACTTGAATACCTCATGTCCCTTTCCCTTGAACTTCAACCTATGCTTCGCGGTGCGACGTAGTTTCGGGATTCCGGCTTGTGACAAAAGCCTTCAATTGGGTCAGCTCTAGATGTTATGGTTAAACATCACGAACTTACCGATTGTCGTCTAGTTTGGCCACAGGTTGCCTTTTCTTGGTTACCTTCACCTCTTCATCGAGCCCTAACTTCAATCCCGAAGCCTCGGGAGTGAAAGACGGCCTAGGCGCATTAGCACTTGAGCTCGGCGGAGGCTGTTGTAATAATTCGTCCAGGCCAACATCGTAGTCGAAGAGATCATTGACATCAACCGGTGATTGATCGTTCAGAGCCTCAGAGAAATCTTTGTGCTCCATGGTCGATAGATCAATCCCACATTTGCGCTTTAGAGGCATAAGGTAAAGTCGCGCAAGGTGACGCGACTCGCGTTGCTCCGGCGGTACCAGCTGAGGTAAGCAGTAATATAACCAGAGGTGGCTGATACCGCCTCCATGTAACTAGCCATCCCTATCTCCGTGATTAGTAATATAGTGCAGGCGTCCTGCTTGGCACAACTCAAGTTCAACTTCACCCAGACAGCCGGCCAGGATTGCGCCTCACCTGCAACTCGAATTAAACACAATGGCGGCAGATCCGAAACAGGCGATTGTTCCCCCCAAGCGGGCGAATACTGACTATCCCGTGAGCTCAATTCCCCTCTCTTTTCCAGTTTTTTTTTTTTTTTTTTTTCCTTCTTTGCCATCTGCGGCTGGTGGCTAACTACTGTGAAAGCTGATTGACTCTGACCCGTATGGTATCCCCCCAAAGCGTGCGGGCTTGGACATCGAGCTATGTGAAGAAATACTCACTTAAATAGGCATCTACGACGGGTTTTCGGGTATGCGAGACCATCTGACTATGCAATTTCTGGGGGTGCCGCGGCTGCCTCTCCTCTTGCCTTCTGGGCTATGGAAAGAGTGAGCCCTTCGCATGTGGGCAGAGGAGGCTTTGCGCCCGTGATGCGACTTGCGACAGCTATTGGTCTCGTCGGAGGCTTACACATACTCTACCAACGATCATGCAGTACGTGGTCCTTCCGATCTTTCCGACCGATGTATGTTTCGACTGACCTTGAACACAGATCGTTTCTACGGTTTCACGGAAAACTCGAGGGAGGTTGACATGGATATGAAGGAAATGGTGGACAAAGTCAAGAAGGGAGAACCTCTCTACGGGTCCTCTCAGGTGTCGACTTATTTGCAAGGGGTTGCGGCTCGGAACTCTCGGTTCTCGCAACTCTTCATTCACGTCATTCCTTGGTTCAACTTTGTCAACCACGACCAGGTATGTCTTTGTGTCTTTTTACTCTTGTGTTCTGTGACCTATTTGTTAATTGGAAATGATCCTGATATCTTCGCAGCACGGCATCGACACTGCCAAGTACTATCAACAAGCTGAACGAGAGTTGGAGGCCGATCGTTTGGCAAGGACCGGATCTGCTTGAGCATCAGATTCAAGTTAGTCCGATCTGAAAAACTTCGAGAAAGAATAATATTCCACGGGCGCATTGAAGGCTCTCGCGCTCCAAGAATCCTGCTTACAAGCCAAATATGTATTCGTATTTAGAAATTGACAAGTTTCGCCGTCTACTCACTCCCACTCAGGCTCCTCAATCAATATGGCTCAACATTGGTTGTGAATTCCGTTTTAAGTTCTCGGTGCTTTTTGGGGCGGGGTTTGGGTGCTGCAGATTCATTAATATCAATCTCAGGAACAACAAGGATATCCAACCTTTCTCATTCTCCTGTATATAGAACCGCCGAAGCAGCATGATAGCTTCCTTGTAGAACAACCCCCCTTGTACAGGGTAAGGGGGATCCTTCGTAATACTAGTCAGAGGTTAGTATCGTACAGAATATTGGAGGCGCCCAGTGACGAACTCAGCATGTAATGACAGAATGCTCCCGGTGCCACCAAACCGCTCATTGCCGCAGCCAAAATAAACCTTTCTAATTTGGTACTGCCTTAACGCAGAGGCACACATAACACACGGTTCGACAGTAACATAGAGGTCCGTGGAGCGTAATGCGGACCGGGAATAGCTCTGAAGCATTTCACTAATAGCAATGAACTCGGCATGTCGCGTACCCTGGAAAGGAGATCAAAATATTGTCAGCAGTGACGATGGAGACATAGAAACGATTCGCGACATCAGGTGAGGAAGGCGGCCTAGTCATTGGGACTTCATCGTATGTCTCTTTTTACGGTCACTACGCTCTTCCCTTCCTGATCGTTTGGACCTCGTGGATGCCAGACCACCTACATTCATTGACCTGTTGGTGTCATTCATCCCAGACCCAACGATTTTGTTGTCATATACCAGAACACATCCCACTGGTGTTTCACCAGTCTCGAGGGCTCTTTCTCCCTAGGAGAGTTATAAGTACCAAATATCTGCAAGATCTCTAGCAATGGAAATGTTTACCATTAAGAGGGCTTGCTTCATGAAGTAGGCATGTTTTGAGTCCTGTTCAGAAGCACATATGCGCTCATGAGTTTCTGCGTGGGACATGTTTCAGCAGCTATCGAGCTGAAGAGGGCTGCAGCTTAGGAGGGCTGCGAGCAAGTTAGAATGCGACAGTTTGTTAGCAAAAGAGGGACCCGCTAACGCTCTATCGATAAGGAGGTCCTACCTAGCTAGTTAGTTAGGGAGCTACTCCGTAGAGTCAATAATTGCCCTGTGGTCGTCATCATACCTTCCCTAGTTACCTACAGGTTTCTTCTTACAGGTATGTAATGAATGTACGACAAAACAGTACCTACCGCCTTACAGGACGGACACAAGAAATGGAAGATCTCACCGCTTTCTCTTTAATTGAATATTCCGGGGACCACGACATTCAACAATATTTCCAAGATCAGACTTTCAGGGGGGTCCAGAATGATGGGCCAGTTAGCCTCTTGTCATGAAAGTCGATGACTCCAAAATGTATCCTACGGCAGGGCATTGCGGTCGAGGCTCTGCAGAGCCAGTGTCATCTACACTTGCAGCGCAACTGGCACCGCGTCTCTCATCGCAGGGAACACAGGCGCACAACCTGAGCAGAGAAACTTTTTCCCAGCTCCGACAAGAACTTGTTGGGGGGGAATACAATCAGCTACGCCTTGACGATAGCATTACCGATGTCAGCAAATTAATTTGCATTGTTTTGAAAGCAGGTCTAGCACCGTCTGCCCAGAATGAGGACCCTCAAGGCCAAATCCTGGACTGCCTGGACATTATTCAGACTATAGTTGAAAAGGCCCCCCAGATGTTGACAGTAAATCCCGACTTCCTGTTCCTTGGGGAAAAGACTTCTGCGCCCTTGTATTCCTGGCTGGTGGTCCGACTGCTTCGCCTGCTTTGTGACTGGGAGAATGAAAGCATGAGCCAACGGATCGGTGCCATATTCTCAACCCTCAGTTTCGCTCAATACAGACATACGAGGGTATTGTTATCTCACTCGGTTCTGGGGCTTCTGCGAGCTTGCACAACCGGTGAGTTTTCTTTTTCATCTTTGTTTTGAAAAAAAGTGGACTGAACACCCGTTCCACTAATCTTAAATCTAGAGATACTCTCCTGTCTTGAAAGTTTAGATCACTATGAGCTGCAAAGTCACTCCGCAATCCAGTTAACCGTGCCTGTCGCCGGCGGGCGACTTTTTGTAGATTTAAACAGCCTTGGTCTCCCTCACGCCATTTTCGATAGAAAACTCAAGCTTGGGTCAATCTCAAATGCCATAAATCTTCTTGTCCATTTGCTCGACTGCTTGATACCGGATCATTCCAAGAACCCACTCTGGAAATCCAAGTCTACCACTGGCTTTGTTCGACACAATCTAGCTTGGGTTCTGAATGGATATCAGCGATTGTGGAGTTTCAGCTTTCGTTGGCTCCAGCGCGCCGACTTAGATGGTTATGAGAGGCAAGCACGCATCTGTCTGCAAATCTTGAGCCACATTGGGAGCCTCCATGACTGTGGCGCGTTCTCATTGCTGGAAACCCAGTGGGCATACGGAATAATTCAAATATTGGATGAGGTATTAGCTGTGGAACATTTGAGCCAACTTCAAATATTACATCCCGAGGTCAGTCGGCTCATTCTTGGAGTTGCTGGCTGTGTAGGAGACTCAGGATCCCTTTCGAGGATAACGAAGCATACACTTTCGCCGAGAATTTTTGAACTCAAGAGGGTACCTTCACTCTTACAGTCCTTGGACCACCAACTCCAGGTATTTCATTTTTCTTTCCTTTTTGCGCAAGCCAAAAGCCAAGATTGATGCATAGATAGACTCATCAGATGACAGGCGGCGATTGAAACCTTCACTGAGACTCTCACCAGCGCCAGTGTCCTGCACGACCATTCCCATCCGTCTGTATCAAAATCCTGCAACGCAGATACGTTTGAGTTGGCAAGGCTTACCCAGTGCCGGGAATCCAACAAAGGGCAAAACTATGGGATCAACCAAACATCGAACCGCTTCCTTAAACCACGACTTCTAAAAGAACTCAACAGCCAGGACTCGGCTCAAAAGTTAATCCAAGCCTGCCTAGCATTGCTCGAATGCGGCAAACCTGGAAACCTGAAAGAGCTTCGCAAGGTTATAATGTAAGGATTCATATTAATCTAACATTTTCTTGTTTCTGTCTTGCGATGCTAATACACATTGTAACATAAATCTATAGTGTTCAGTTCTTACAGGTTTCAGAACAGCTTCAATGCGAGTTGCTTGGTTTACTAGGCAACATATCGTGTGCAATGGCTGGTGGCTTATCAGAAATACCTCGTCCTGGGTCAGAAGCCGTATATATCTGCCGTGTGTGTGATTATGATGCTCATGAGCATGATCTCGAGCCAAACTGGGGATGTTCAGAGACGGATGAACTATACAAAATTATGGAATATATCGTCCCCAGGCTCACGCGTGCTCCACTTCCGAGGATAGCCTCAATGGTTGCACTACGGCGAATCCTCACGCATTCTCCAGGTTCTCTCGATCTGCGGCTTTCCTCATCTTTTTTTGGCGACTTCTGTTTGCATTCACTTCGGAGCTCTATAAGAGAATTACGAGTCGCCACGGGGTATGTCCGGTCTCCTCTACGTCTGTCGCTTGTTTCGTTCTACAGAAAGGAAATTGTGAGTTTTGGTGTGCTGACATGAGTTTAGGCATTGTGTCATTGCAGTTACTCATAAAAGGCTAGACCGCGAAAGTCGCAGAGATAATTTCATAATCGTGCTGGAGTGGCTAAGAAGCCTTTCCGAGAAACAGGAAATATCACTGCACGAAACCTGCATATTGACATTATGTCAACTTGCAAAGTCGGTTTTCCTCTCGTTCTTTCCTTAAAGTCATTATATCGTCTAACCCCGTTGGCTTGTCGCAGACTTTCCGGCGACGAAGAAATGAATATCATATTACTTCGTTTGCTGGAGTATCTAGGGCATCCGAACCTATTCATATGCGCAATTGCATACACCGAAGTATGTGTCCATCCTATATTCAAACTCCTGCTCCTTGCGATGCAAGTGAAACTTACTTGAATCAGCTTTCGAAACTTGCTCAACAATTGTCGCTTACCCCTGCTGGCCTTTTTCGGCCTTTCTGGGGAACACTTTCTGTCGCAGTGGTGAAGCATTTCCAATCTCGCCCTTACATGGCTGAACAGCTTTGCAGTTTATTAGGGATGAAAGTAGACGACTTCCTTAGGTTGACGGAAGCTCATGTGCTACCTTATCTGGTGCTTACACGGAAACGCGATTTCATTGCCAGGATAGGAGCAACTTACCAGGACGTCAAAACGCCGTTTGACATTTGTTCCGAGAAAGCTAATTTGGCAGCAATACTTGCTTTCTTATTGAGTCAGCCTTCATCGGATCCGGAGCACATGATCATGTCTACTTTATCTGAGATAGACAATGCTTTTGAGTGTCGTACCCTTGCCGAACTAGTAAGAATCGAGCCGATCTTGATTGCTTGCGATTTGTTGAAGGGCCTTGGTGACTCCGGTGATGATAAAGGTGCCAGGGTAACGTTAAAGCTGGTAACACATATCTGGTTTTTGGGTGCTAACAAGTGAACAGTTTCATAGAGCTCTTCATCTTCTGGCGGCACTTGTTCCACGAAAATCTAATCATGGACCAAGAAGGGTGGACTTAATTGGCCACTTTATTGAGGAACACGTGCTTGGAATAATTACCCAATTCGCTCATGTCATCAATGATTTCCAGATCCGACAGCCTTTGCTTGAGAAGAAACGAAACATCATGGCCATAGGAGCGATGGTGAAAGTGGCCGGGGGGCATGTGGGTAGTGCATTGCCACAGGTCTGTTTATCTATGCAGTTTTCTGAAGGGACTAAGTACAGCTAACAGCACAGCGAAGATATGCGCTTGTCTGCGATCTGCTCTCGACATTGAAGACTTATGCAATCATGCCGTCACTGTTTGGAGCGTATTGATCAACTCCTTAAACGAAGAAGAAGTCGAACCTTTGGTTGACCAAACCCTGTCAATTGTGATAAGGTACTGGGACAAATTCACGGAAACGACTAGAGAATGTGCCTATAACCTCGTCAAGTTCATCCTGGAACACCACAGCAAACTAGTGGAGGATGTTTATCAGACCATGCCCTCACTGGCCTCAATCCCAATGATGTCTGAATTCGAAACCGAGATGAATAAATTGAAAGGGCGGATGGATACTCGAAGTCAGTTTTTAGCATTCATTCGTCGTTGCCAAAGTGAGAATGCCACGGTGGTTGAACAGGCATTGACGGAGTTGGTGCCCTACCTCTCGAAACATGATGAGTTCCTTCATCGAACTGTTCTCAGCGAACAGCCAGATCCGGTTGTTGCACAGTTAACGCGAGTTTTACTTGACTGCTGTGTCAAATTCAGCATGAACTCAGACGTCATAACACTCATGTCAGCCCGATGTCTAGGTCTTGTTGGTTGCTTAGATGCTAACCGAGTGGACTCAATCAAAGAAAAAAGAGATATTCTTGTCTTGTCCAACTTCGAGAACATGGAGGAGACCTTTGACTTTATTCTCTTTTTCCTTCAACATGTCTTGGTTGAAACATTCCTTTCGGCCTCCAACACTAGGGCTCAAGGATTTCTTGCGTATGCTATGCAAGGGTTGCTAAGATTTTGCAGTCTCGACTCGGCCGTCACCCAACGCTCTCGTGATGTCCAAGCGGATGAAAAGTATGGTCGTTGGCTGAGACTCCCCGAGACTGTTCGCAACACCCTCACGCCTTTTCTCACATCGAAATATACCGTGACCGTTGGCGCCATCGGTTCAGATTGCAGATACCCTTTATTTTCGGCGAGTATGACGCATGGAGATTGGCTGCGAGCTTTTGTGCAAGATTTATTACAGAAAGGAAGTGGTGACAATGCACGGCTCATATTCAGCGTATGCAGCCGTGTTGTCAAGGGCCAAGATATCTCGATCGCGTCCTTCCTTCTACCGTTTGCAGTTTTGAATCGCGTGGTTGGCGGAACTATGCGAGAGCAGCAAGATTTACTAAATGAGCTCATAAACGTGCTATCTCACCCTCTTTCGGATGCAAACAATCTTGTTTCTGAAGCGGTGTTGCTATCTAGTCAGGTAAGTCTTCTCCTTTTGCCTCCCTGCGTCCTCTTTCCCCCCATTATTTGCCAACCAGCATAGGCACTAACTTTTGCCCCTATAGAGTGTTTTTGAAGTACTTGATTATCTTTCAAGATGGCTGCAAGGGAAAAAGAAGCAGATCAATGGCCTAAAAAACCATGGACATCATGTCGGTCGCATTCACAAGGGCACTTCCCGTGATTTGCTTTTGGAGACTTATTCGTCTCAACTAAAATCAGTTGAATCCTTGTTGGCATCGATGCCGCCAGAGATCATCTCCAAAAGAGCTGTTGAGTGCAAATCTTTCTCGAGGGCACTCTTCCATTGGGAACAATACATCCGCCAGTACAAAGCCTCTCCGAACAAGAATCCTGGGGTTAACGAAGAACCTTTATATCAGCGCCTTCAGGAAATTTACAGTCAGATTGACGAGCCAGATGGTATCGAGGGTATTTCTACTCATCTGCATGTACTCAACATTGACCAGCAGGTTCTCGAACACCGGAAAGCGGGGAGATGGGCTACGGCCCAAAACTGGTACGAGTTACAACTTGAGGAGGAGCCCGATAATAGCGATGCTCAGTGGAACTTGCTCACGTGCCTTAAGGAATCTGGGCAACAAGGTGAATCAAATCCTCTCATTAAGGTTTCATTGACTAAAATCTCCTCCCCTTTCCAGAAGCAATTCTCACGAGGTTTGAAATCCTAAAGTCAACACCCTCTGTTACCAAGTTACTTCCGTTTGCTGTTGAAGCGGCCTGGATAACTGGGAAATGGGACAAGCTACACGATTATCTTCAAATTTCCCCGCATCAGGGCACAGGGGAGTTTAATATCGGGATTGGCTCGGCATTCAATGCCTTTCGCCATGGAAACAGAGGGGAATTTGAAACAATCATCAATAACTTACGTCTCAATGTCGCCAAGTCGTTGACTGCTAATTCCGTGACATCATTGCAGTCGTGCCACGATAACCTTCTCAAATTACATGCTTTGGCAGAAGTAGAGTCAATAACGAATCCCCAGACCGAACAGAGTGCTGTGCGCTCAGAATTGTGCAGTGCTCTAGACCGCCGTCTGAACGCTTTGGGGGGGCATATCTCCGACAAACAGTACCTCCTTGGTCTAAGGAGGGCTGCAATGGCGTTGACGTATGTTTCTTTACCCTCCGCAAAGGGTGGCATTGGCCTGTAGCTAATATAAATCTCTCAGCGGCAAATTCCCTGATTTTAGCATAGCTGCTGCTTGGCTTGCTAGCACACGCCTGTTGCGAAAGGGCAACTTTACCAATCGAGCGTATCAGTCCATGCTTCATGCAGCACGCCTAGGAGATAAAACAGCTACTATTGAACATGCTCGATTGCTCTGGAAAGATGGTCATCACCGAAAAGCAATACAGACTCTGGAGAGCGCAATAACTGCCAATGAGTTTGCCCTTGACCGATCCTGCCCCGCGGACCTTCATTCGGCTCGGACTGCTTTAGATCAGGAGAAGAGTCATGATTTACTCACAGCCAGAGTATGCTCCCCCCCAAAACCCTTGCAAGGTTGCGCACAAAAGATGCATGGGGACTAAATATGACTAGGCTCATCTCTTGTTGGCTAAATGGACGGACCGAGCTGGGCAGACGCAATCAGACATTATAGTTCAGAGATATCGCGAAGCCATTAAGCTCCATCCAAGGTAAACTTTCTTTAGAGAAATCCCTTCCTGGACGCGCTAATCGATAACAGGTGGGAAAAGGCTCATTATTATCTGGGTAAACATTACAACAAGATTCTGGAATCTGAAAAAGCAAAGCCTCTTGGGAAAGAGGCGCAGATCTAGTAAGGCCTGTTCTCCAAATCCAAGCTAACCTTGGCCACTAATGCGAAAAATTAGTTTGAGTGGTGAAGCCTCAAAGCTCGTCATTGATAATTATCTTCGTTCTCTGGCTCACGGGAACAAATACGTCTTTCAATCACTGCCCAGGATCCTGACCCTTTGGCTAGAGCATGCCTCCACTGCAGATCAGCCATTCGACCCCAAAAGAGGAAATAACGAGTACGTCTGTCTCTGCCCGATCGTTAACAGTTGCTTATGCAGAAGAGCAATAGGGAATTTCAAATACACACCTTGAATCAACGAAAAAAGAGCCTTGACGATATGCATTCACAGCTGAAGAAGTACGTCAATCGAATGCCAGCTGCATTGGTGCGTATGAAGGCTTTGTGTTGTTCTCTCATGGCTATTCGATTCTAATATTTAGTAGCTCTTCACCATCCTCCCTCAAGTAGTGGCTCGAATCTGCCATCCAAATGCTACGGTCTACGACTTGTTAACGAAAATCGTGGCCAAAGCGGTGAACTTTTTCCCGCATCAAGGACTCTGGACAGTACTTGCTGTTGTGAAGTCTTCGTCCAAAGACCGGGCATCAAAAGGCATTAACTGCTTACAAAAGATCACGGTAAAGGTCAACCCCGCCCTCGAATCGGCACAATACTAAGAAGCAATAGGAAGTGAACAAGAAGCTCAAAGCAGACTCGCCCTCTGATATGCGGGGCATGATCAACCAAGGACAAAAGTTCTCGGAAGAGATGCTTAGACTATGCATAGTGCGGATTGAGGATAAATCGTCCAGGATCAACCTGGCACGGACTTTGGGCTTCAACCATAAAGTGGCTCCCTGTCGACTAGTCGTGCCATTTCAAGCAATGTTGACCCCAACCTTACCTGCCAGCCATGATTCTGAGTATTTGAAGGGGTTTAGAGCTTTCCCTAGAGACCCGACTACCATTGAGAGTAAGTTTTCCGTCTCCATAGCAAACATGCACAGTGTTATTGACGTCAACTAGCCGTCCTCAGCGATGCGCAGGTCCTGAACTCCCTTCAAAAACCTCGAAAGATCAGTATTCGTGGGTCTGACGGGAAAATTTACAACATCCTGTGTAAACCAAAAGATGATCTCCGCAAAGACCAGCGCCTCATGGAGTTCAACAACATGATAAATAGGTTTCTCAAAAGAGATGTTGAGTCGAGCAAGCGACGCATGTGTAAGTTACATAGTACCTGGCGTACCTATTATCGGTGCAACCCTTTATCTGATCTCCAATGGCAGACATTAAAACTTATGCTGTTACGCCGCTGAACGAAGAATGTGGACTCATTGAATGGGTGGACAACCTCAGGACCCTGAGAGACCTAGTCATTAAGTTGCTGCGAGAAAGAGGTATCGCGCCAAATGTAAGTTAATGTTTCAACCCGGCGCCAACGTGGTAGTGCATACCAGCGAGACTAATCCCCAACACAGTACAACGAGATCAGACACTATCTGAATGAAGCATGTTCCGAAAGCACGAAGCTTCCTCTTTTCAAAGCTGAAATTTTATCGAGGTGAGCAACCACAAAAGCTTTCAGCTACATTGAATAGCCATGGCTGATAGGCAATTTAGGTTTCCACCGGTCTTACATGAGTGGTTTGTAGAGATGTTTCCAGAATCAGTGGCGTGGTTTGCAGCAAGGCTTCGCTACACTCGATCCTGTGCTGTCATGTCCATGGTTGGATACGTTTTAGGGTGAGCACGCAAATATACGCGCTCAATTCTTCTCTCTCTAACATTGAAATTCCTGCAGACTTGGAGACCGTCACGGTGAAAATATCTTGTTTGAAGAAGGAACAGGTGGTATCATCCATGTTGATTTCAATTGTCTGTTCGACAAGGTAGGGCGAGAGACCAAATTTCCGTTCTATTGGGAAAGTCTTTGGTTAGTTAACTGTGGCAGGGATTGACATTTGACAAACCTGAGCTGGTCCCCTTTCGTTTAACCCAAAATATGATCGATGCGTTCGGAGCTTATGGCTATAACGGTATTTTTCTCTGCCCCCCCAATCTTCCGGTGAAAGGACCATGAGCTAAAACTTCAATGCCATCAGGCCCGTTCCGAAAGACTTGCGAGATAAGCCTCGGCCTCTTACGACAGAATGAGGATGCGCTCATGACAGTACTCGAGACCTTTTTACATGATCCAACCGCTGATTTTATCGGGAAAAAGGTAAATTCCACTTAAACCCCAAAGAACCCTACTACTGAGGCTAATCCGGGCGTCTCATCTAGCGTCGCACCCATGTGAGGGTCCCGGACTCTCCTTCTGGCGTTCTGGAAAATGTTCGGAATAAGCTGCGTGGTCTACTGCCCGGGGAATCCGTTCCGTTGTCGGTAGATGGCCATGTCGATGAGCTTATTACGGAGGCCACAGACGAGAGCAACCTCGCCGCGATGTATATCGGGTGGTGTGCATTCTTCTAAGGTCGCAAAACGGCACATGCTCCTTTCCAAGCATGTGTTGCTAATAGCTGAGCCAGATGTGGGATAGACGTCCGCACACGAAAATAAAGTATGCATTTGTATTAGTACCATTAATGATCGATATACTGGAAGTTTTATTTCCCACCCTTGGTTCCACGTGATTCGTTACATTGTTCATTCTACCTCGAAAGGCTGAAAAGACTAGCCAAGTCCGGAAGCATAAGAGGCAGCGACCCCTCCGCAAGCATAGATAGGATTCTAAGAAACCACCACCATTAATTTACCACTACTCTCCTGCAGAAATTATCTTCTTCGTGAGCCATAGTGATCGCGTCCTCTCGTTCTGCTTGAGCTACGGCTTCTATCACTCTGGCTGCTGTAATCATAGCTGCTGTAGCTAGGGCTGCGGCGGCGGCGGTGGCGGGGCGGGCTCCCCCTGCGCGAGGGCGACTGTCTTCTTGCGGGTGGCGATGGTGGACCGGAAGATAATGAACGAGAACGACGGGGAGATCGGGACCGAGACAGGGATCGCGGGCGATAGATATCATGCTTTTCCATAGCCTTGGATCGACCATATCTGCGCCGGGGGGGTGAAGATTTGCGCGAGTACGGAGAAACGCGAGCACGACTGTCAAAAGGCTGGCTACGCCCATTCGTGTGACGACCGAAGTTTCTCGCACTTTCTGGCGGTGGCGGTGACTGAGAAAAAGCTCTTCTGGGGAGGACAATGGACACATTCAGCAAAGCACCATCAAGTTGGGCTTCATGCATGTGGGCGATTGCTGCTTCTGCATCTGCCGGGTCATGATAGAGTATATAGGCGGTGCCCCTGTTCGTCATAACTAGAAAGTACGTTAGCCAGCCCCTTCCTTAAGTCTGTGTGGACTTTGTTTGTTTTTTTCTGCCTACAGGCTTTGTTTATTGGAAGCTCCAGACTTTGGATGTCTCCGAATCCTCCGAAAATCTCCCGGAGATGAGACTCTGTGACGTTTTTGGTTAATTTTTCGACTACGATCTGTAATCAACGTAAGCTTTTCGACCGAACTGACACGGGGATCAAGGGGGCAACTAACCTTCGAGCTCCTCGGGGAACTGTCAGGAGAGCTCAAGTTTCGACCATTATCGCGGTTTCCGTGCGATCGGGAGTCACGACTCCAATCTCGAGTCCGGCTTGGACTTCGGCTTAGACTTCGAGATATTGGCCGCGATCGGGACAAAGAACGGGACAGGCTCCTTGGTCGACGATGGCCGTTGCGGCGATCAGATGGTTGGTCATAGGATGGGCTTCGGCTTCCTCTGTTTCTTGGTTCGGAACGAGGGGACAATGAACGTTTGGTAGAACCGCTTCGATTATAATTCATCGCACGAGGTGAGCGGGTTGGCGAGCGCCCACGTGAGGAAGTTGTAGACATGGTGTGCACCCTAGGCCATCCACTTTTGTGAGACAAAGATGTACATATATCTCAGTCGGGGGGGAGTTAGCACATGTAGAGCTCTCGAGACAACTACGGATGCAGGCCGCGAGAGCTTTGCGACTAGCAGACTGAGGCTAGCCCAAGCTGGATTAGCCCAAATGTCGAAGTGCGGAGAGTTACCGCTGGTGTATGGTAAGGTATGCCTATACATCCATACTGTACCGTATGATCTGTATTGTGTCATATTGTTGTGTTGTATTAATATATACGGTATGGTATGTATGCATGTACGGGGAAGTTCGGTTATTTACTGGTTTCGACGGATCGTCCCCATTGCTCGTATTCCTCACGGACCGCATCGGTGATCTGCCTCTTGACTTGCTGAAGGGCGATCTCGAAATGCTTCCACCGAACATCTTGCTCTTCGCCTGTCTCTTCTTCCTCGTCCAATGCAGCATCCCCGGCCGTCTCACAGATACTCACAATCTCAGCCCCCGAGTAACCCTCGGTTTTCTCGGCTAAGGCATCCAGTCCTACTTCGGGATGAACCACTGATTTGCGACACCAAATATTCAGAATCTCCCTCCTTGCTTCCAAATCAGGAGGCCCTATGTAAAGTAGATTGTCCAGGCGTCCTGGACGCATCAGGGCTGGATCAATCACGTCAGGCTTGTTGGTTGCAGCGACGACCAGGACACTCCGTAACTCTTCGATGCCGTCCATTTCATTGAGCAGAGTCGTCAGTACATTTACCCCCCCCTGGGTTGTTTTACTCCGTTTCGCGGCAATCGCATCAATCTCGTCGAAGAAGATGATACTAGGTCTCGCGGATCGGGCTTTTTGAAAGATGTCTCTTAATGTTCGTTCCGACTCGCCAACAAACATACTCAAAATCTCGGCGCCTTTGACGGCCAAAAAGTTTAGCCCGGCTTCCGTAGCAAGTGCCTTGACCGTCAAGGTCTTAGAGCAACCCGGGGGCCCGTAGAGTAGGACACCTTTCTTGCTATTTACATTGAGTCTCCTCATCCGTTCCGGGTGCTACATTCATCAGCTTTCGTGTCGTTTCGGTATGTGGAAAGGGTTACTTACTTTCAGAGGCCTTTCAACCGCCTTTTGAAGACGTTTTTTGATATCATGCTGCCCACCAATATCGGTCCATCTCACTTTCGGGGTCTCTAAGAATACCTCTCGCATCGCAGTAGGACGAGTTTCTTGTAAAGCCGACAAAATGTCCACGTCCTGGATACCTAACGGACAGGCTGGGCCCAAATTAGGGAGACTGTCAGAGGAGTCTTTCTCCGAGACCTGTCTTAGCCGCGCCTTGCGACATACCAGTTGGAGCAAGGCAAATAAATCGGCCCCAACATAGCCATGGGTTTTTTCTGCCATCATATCTATGAGTCTATCGCTCAAGTCAAAGGAGGGGTGTCCACATAGCGCGCGCAATATTTCCACGCGGTTCTGCGCTGAAGGGACCTGCAGCTCAATCTCGAGTGATAATCTATGGGGCGTTCTCAAGGCATCGTCAACGTCATTTGGGTGGCGAGTTGCACCCACAACCATGACAAAAGCACCCTTCATAGCCTCTATACATTCGCATAGCACGAGCGCCAGAGATGATGATTCCATTGATGTTCGCTTAGGAGCAACGAACTCCAGCTGATCAATAATCACAACACTGGGCTGGCAGCGGATTGCATCTTTGAAGGCGTTCCGAAGTTTGGCTTCGCCATCGGCGATGTTCCTTGTGAATAGAGAAGAGCTGATATTAAAAGATTTCCTCCATCCTGCTTCCTGAATTTGGGCCAAGAGTTTCGTTTTGCCGGTTCCTTTCGGGCCATATAGAAGGATACCTTGGATATGCTCATAGAATGATGGCATGACTAAGTTTTCAGACCCCGAATTGAAGTCGGCAAGGGCCTCATTGATGCTACCAAGCTGACGAGCCATCCCCCCAAGGCCGGCCGGTCTTACTTGAAGGTGCCATGTTCGGTCTTTCTTGGTACCTTTTTCTTCGCCAACTAGAATGGCGGTGTCTTTGGTGAACTTGAACAACGTGCTTTGAGTGGTTCCATTGAAGACTTGTATATCTGACACTCGGAAACTCCGTCGCTGGCCCCTCAGTTCTATTTCGAAAGTTAAGCCGACCGCAAGAGCATCACATTTCGATAAAGGAAATTCCAAGGCCCATGCCCAATGGCATCTCTCCGTATGGGCAAGAGGACCATAGCTTGAGAGTTTTTCGGCGTCCGAGCATTCGGCGAAAGATATGGATTCGATGTCCTCCAGGGCGTTTTCACTTTTGCTGATCGAGACCTTTTCTCCCAGTTTAATGTCATAGCAGTCCTGAAGTGTTCTCGAAGTCTGGACCACCGAGTTCTGGATGTTTTCGGTTGCATTCCAAGCTATAGCTGTTTTTGAAATTCCTCCAGGTGGCCCGACTATGCAGATATCCCCGGCTCGGAGCTTCAGTGAAGCTAATGAGGAAGAGGAAAGATAAACGCGGAACGCATCTCGGTGATCATTTCTTGATTGTTTTGACAATGGCCGAACTGTAAAGAGACGTGTCTCTGCCATATCCCTCGAAGAAAGAGAAGAAAGAAAGAAACAGTTAAGAGAACAGGTATTTGACGAGTGATAAGGTGGGGGAGGGGTTCCTTTTTTTTAGGAAAGAAATTAAACACATCCAGGTGGCCGTGATAAGATAACGAGAGAAAAAATTGTGGAGCTTAAAGCCGCGCTGTGCCACCTCTGCAGCCTTATTCTTGGCATGGTTGACGATAAAAGCCCGCAGTTGGTTCGATTCTCCGATCAGGGAAGTTATTTCGAACCGATGGATGCCACCACCTCAGATCTTCGACTGGTATAAGCCATGAGTAGACAGGTCCATTCCATACCGAGACTATGCGTCAAACAAGCCGATTTGGGCTGTGAGTTCCCTCACTTACGTTCTGCTGTCGGTTTCCGCCCGCTTCCGCACCACAGAGATCGTAGGACGTGGTGCTCTGCCGGGGTCTTCCTTTCTTTTGTTTCTTGTGTAATGTTCTGCATGAGAGCTCAGATATCGTTCTAATTGCCGTTTCAATAATCAATTCCTCTGGTTCCTGGTATGGCTGCGCGTGGTTACCCAGGGAAGGAAGGGGATGGGGGATGAAATAGACTACCCAGTACATGTACGTATAAGGATATACTAAGCAAGAAAAGAAATTTGTTTATATGCGTTGAAACTCAAAAAGAGAAAGAGAGAGAGAAAGGGAGAAAGAAAGATCATATCCAGTAAACATAGGCACCATGATAAGAAATGAAAGAATAATCAGCAACGCCACCTAACGAGTCAAGTAACATCAGAGACAAAGCAAGTGCAACTGATAAGAGTTGGTATAAGAGCAATCAGGTAATCAGACCAGTCTTGGGACAGTTATCAAGAACACCAAAGTCCTGGTTTGTATAGCCCATAGGAGGAAGAGCCGAGGGGGGAGTGTAAGGAAATTCTTTGCTGGACCAAGTGCAATAAACGGAAATCTTCAGCAGCATTTACCCCCCGTGTTACCATTCAGCCCGGAGCCTTGTTGGTCTATACTGACACCCTGCGGACCGGCCTGTTCTGCCTTTGATGTATCCATGCCCTTCTTTATTTCTGAGGCGAGATCGTAGAAAGCTTTCTCGATGTTGATATTATTCTTGGCCGAGACCTCCAGAAAAGGAATCCCAAGCTCATCGGCAAGTTGCTGGCCTTGTTCGGTTGACACTGCTCGTTTTTCCTCCCAGTCGCATTTGTTCCCGATGAGAATCTTATGCACGCCTTCGCTGGCATGTTGCTCGACATTTGAAAACCATGTCCGGATATCTAATTGCAAATTACCGAGCAGCATTAGCAATGTGAGGATCCGACATGAAGCGAGGTGGCCTTACTTTGGAATGATCGTTCATCTGTGACATCATAAACAAGAAGAATGCCCATTGCTCCTCTGTAGTATGCAGTCGTGATTGTTCTAAAGCGCTCTTGTCCAGCGGTGTCCCATATCTGAAGTTTAACGCGCTTGCCGTCCAGCTCAATAGTACGAATCTTAAAGTCAATACCGATAGTAGTAATGAAAGACGGCGTGAAGGAGTCTTCGCTGAAGCGCAAAAGGCAGCATGATTTCCCCACACCGGAGTCCCCGATCAGGAGCAATTTGATCTGGGACACCAATCCTTAGTTTGTATGTCCGCATATGAATGATTTATATTAGGATAGTTACCGGTACTTACCAAGAAGTCATAATTCCTTGTACCGGCCATTGTGCAACAATTCAGCGCCTAGAGGGAAATGATGTAGTCGTTTGGCTGTTGAACAGATAAAAATAATTCTGGCGGCGGGGGGCGTAAGAGAAGAACGGTCCAGTGAAGAGAATGAGGAACCGACAGAGGTAGATTGATTAAGACTAGTAATGTCGAGGTCTCTTCGTCGCGCGTGCAGTGTATGTTTCCTCGTCTCTAACTGATCTGGATCTTTTTCTCGTTGGAGAGGGAAGGGGGAGGGGGGTTGAGAGGGATTCTCTTCTTCGTTCGGATAGTTGGTACACTTCTAGCTCTTTATGCTGTGTTGTTTCTTCTTTCCACCAACTCTGCCTGCAGAAAACCTGCTGCCACCTTAGGGTGGCAAATATGTTGGTCGTCTGAAGAAACCTCAACAGGTGGCTAGAAGTCAGGGGAACAAGACGGGAGCACTCGGTGTGCCGTTTGATACCAGGATACGGGTTGAGACGTAAGATATGATATAGCCTGGTTCTGGGAATCGAGAATTAGGCGTAAGACAACTGAGTGCAGAAAAGGAGTCGGTGGTGGCAGCGCGTAATGGGGGGGGGTTGATGACAGACGGTTGGTGTTAAGCTAGGGATGCAACAATAATATGTCCCGTACGGAGAGTGTAAGGTGTAATAACTTGTCTCGTGCCTACCCAGTATTAAAGTCACCGGGTTTCACCCCACATCCTCCCCTTTACCAATATCAGTCAACGAGCTACTTCAGAACCTATTAATTTCCACAGACTTGATCAGTCTTGACTAGGATAATTACCTTTTGTAGGTCTCTTTGCAACTTTGATGATTTACAAATCACATCATTATTAGCTATCGTGGACTTCATACAACAAGATTCCCCTCCCCCCTTCACGTCATGATATGTATTTCGTACTTCTTAGAGGTCGTAGCAAAGGGATCAGTCCAGATCACCTCCGAAATGGATATTTCTGCGTGGGTAGCCATATAGTGAAAAAGTGATGCCGTTATTGAAGCCATTTTGAATACACCCACCCCATTCGCGCAACCACATCAAGTTGCTTGCCAGATCTATTCTGGTCGACCAGATCACCAACATCTTCTTGAAATGCACGAAGATCTGCCCCTTTAAGGATCATTTTGGCCTTTTGAAGGAGGACTTCTGAGTCACAAATAAGAAGACCAAGGTCTTTGTATGCTGAGAGGCCGACTGCTGTTAGGGATGATGTTGCGGTACGGTGAACATTCCTATATTTGAGTTAACAATAGAAATCCTTGTAGCAAATGCGCCTTGCTCGTGGCTTTACCTCATAGCATGTCTGAATTCATCCTTCCTACCGACTTTCAACCCCTGTCTGGGGCTGAAAATCCCGCAGATCCATCGCAGGAATGCATACGACACCATGATCCCAGGTGTCAGTCCAACGAATCTAAGGATCGTCAGCTTCAAGCATCGTTATGCAGAGAATCACCACGCACCCAAAAACAAGCTCCTGGCTCTTCAGGAGCGAATCGATACCGCCTATAGCGATTTCGACATCGACTTTTGTTTTCTGAATCTGAATCAGGAGGGCGCGCACAAGATCACCTTTGATTGTTCCAATAAAAGGATTCCGCAGGTCTTTCTCATATGCCCTTAGAACTGGTGTCAAATCCCCTTCTCGGACCTTTTCAGTAATTGCATTTGTGTTTATGTCAGGATTTCCAATTTGCGACTCTCTCTGATCGAGAGTGAAATCGACAACCATTCTCTCAAGACTCGCTCGATCAGCTTCTAGGCTATTCCTGCTCATCAATGCGATTTCGCTGTTCTCGTCGTGCCTAATAGTTCTGATTAGCCGTTGAATTGGATGCACAACCCAGTTGTTCCAAAATTGTACGGTTGTTGATCCAATATCTACGACCCATCTGATGATCTCCCGGTGTCGATCTGCTAGAAACTTGAACACGGTACTTGTCGAAAATATGGCAACAGTTATGGGCAACCAGTAGCGCACGATGCGAGGGGGCCGTCCCGAGTTAGTAATAGTACGCGCTGAAAGTGTAAGGTGTTTCGGAAGGAGGTTCTCATGTATGTGCCTGAGCCGTTCGATCACAACTGCGGGTGGCTGACAAGCATGATGAGCGCCGCGGTGCAATTGGCGAGAGGCGATTGATTCGTCGGTTTCCGAGATTAAATTCTTGCGAAGTTGTGGGTTGTTTTTTTCTTGGGGTTGTTCAAGAAAGGAGGCCATCAATGCAACACTCCTGGATACCTCATCACGCCAGAGACCGTCAAAATGACCACTCAATCTGTCGTCAACGTATTCGCGCGTGATATGTTGTGATATGCATTCCTTCATCAGGATCCCAATGCCGACTGCATTGAGATCCTTCATTTCCCTCAGAGAGTCTCGCTTTCGGTATATTCCAGACCTAGATGCGAGAAGCGGTGAAAGAAGCATTGTCTTTGGTAAGAACTGCCAGGGTTGGCGCAAGCACCCACGAACCGAATTGTAAAACCCCATCCATGTTTCTCTGAGGGGGGCAGGAGAACTCGTGATGTCTTCATGAGCGCTGGCGATGAAAGCGCTCGAAGTTTTATGCCAAACCCTCACGGGCAATGTTTGGAGCGTATAGAACCCGATATTGAAACGGGAGCTGAGGACATCCTCCCAGTAACTAATTTCGCCATTCAATTTGATGATTTGCTCTAGAAGAACGTTCAACACCGCCCCCGAAGTCTGCACCGCTGCCTTCGCCGCTAAGAGCCACAGTAGGTCTGCCGTATGTGCGCTGAGCGGATTAGAGGGGTCGTCTGGTTCAAGGGCGGCATATGGAATTGCCGAGAGCAGGGCTGCAATCCGATCGGCTTGGAGTACTGGATGGGTCTTGGAGGTGACTGAGAGAGAATCGATTGTTCTAGCCAGTGAGTTGATTTGCGACGCATGGATGCTATTTTGGCCAGTCTGCTCGGCTATGTTTCTGGTGTTGAAATGCAGATCATCGACTTGTTGCTTGAGCTTATCAAGGGCTGTGTCTACAGCACAGATGTTGCTGGTTATGTCAATTTAAACAACGCTCTTAGGATGTCCAAAGGTCCCGTCACTTACTTATGTATCACTGACATGATAGGCTTCTTACTGCCCGGGTTTGGTTGGAATCAGTCCATCAAAGACAATCAGTCGCAAGGGGTGGGTCGACCAGGAGGTGGCACCCACGGAGGTAGTACACCTATGTATCCTAGCTACACCGTACACAGTAAGGAGTACTCCGTAGTCGGTATTCCGTAGACTTGTACGGAGTAGGTAGGTAGTGGATCGAAGAATGATAAGTGCGAGTGGGTTACTGGTAGATAGATGGTTTGCATTATTTTTGCAAGCCCACTACTCCGTAGTCCGTACACAGGGGTAAGTTACTACTAACTTACTCCGTACGGTGTAGACTGTAGACAGACGATGCCGATCTAAGGATCTTCAGGAGCAGGTATTTACTATTTCCCCTCGAAACGTTTCCACTTTCCACACAACATAAAACTCTCAATTTTGTTGGAGCAGGCTTATAGTATATCGGCACTACTCCGGTGTAGGGTATGTCAGAAGTAGTGTACCTACTCTGCGCGACGGTAGACTTGGTTCTAGTACATATATGTACGGAGAAAGTACCTATCTCTATATGTGTACAGTAAGGTACCTAGGCTATAGGTTCTGTACCTAGTATCACCCCTGGCAGTAAATATCTGCCTAATATTCTTGCTGACTGGTTCAACCCGGCTCTCTGAAGAAGCAGTAATAATAGTCAGCTTATCAGTGGACAACAACGAGTGGCCTGTGGGACTGCGCTGTGGAGCCACAGTATCGGCCCCGATCGGCTAGGCAGTGGTGCCAGAAAGAGTGTGAGGACAGGGGGGAAGAAGTCTCGCCACCTCGGGAACGGATGTCCTGATCGCGCGGCCTTTTGCTCCGGTCTAGTCCATCCCTGAAATATCACCCACACACTTTGTCCTTTCCGGACGTCTCTTCAAACATCCTTTCTCTATCAAGTCGGCCCTCTCTCCTACCATCCAGGATTGCGGCAATTGGTTAGATTTCCGGACCAGAATTCGAAGCATTTTGTTCTGTTAGATCTGCAAAACCTCCCCAACAAAATGTGAGTGTTTGTTTTCTCTTTTTTTTTTCCCTCCAAGGTATCTTCCCATCGGTTCTGACCAGGTCAGGAACTCGACATTATTGTCGCCCCCCCCAGTTACGTATTGGGGCCAGTTTGAAGAGATATCCAAGTACAACACTCATCTAAATTTCATCGAGAGACTCTGGACGACATGGTATGCTTGGATGCAGAACGATGTCCTCGCAACGGGTATCATGTCATTCGTAATGCATGAACTCGTTTACTTCGGACGTTCCCTACCCTGGATCTTTATCGACAGTCTTGGAATACTGAAGAACTATAAAATTCAGAGCGTGAGTGGAATTTCTTGTTTGAGGGGATTATATTAACATGTTGCAGAACAAAATTCCGTCCTTGCGAGAACAGTGGGATTGCGCGAAGTTTGTGCTACTCAGCCACTTCACTGTCGAACTGCCCCAAATCTGGTAGGTGTGCTCGTTGCTTGCTGCTTCGTTGTAACTAACGAGATATCCTCAGGCTGTTTCACCCCATGGCTCAGTTTTTTGGTCTCTCGACATCGGTTCCTTTCCCTTCCCTGTGGACAATGGCCTACCAAATCGCCGTCTTCTTCATCCTCGAGGATACATGGCATTATTTCTCCCATCGTGCACTCCACTGGGGTCCTCTTTACAAAGCTATACATAAGATACACCATCAATACTCGGCCCCTTTTGGCATGGCAGCCGAGTATGCATCTCCGATTGAGGTTATGATCTTGGGTTTCGGAACTGTTGGCTGTCCAATCCTCTGGTGCGCAGTAACTGGGGACCTGCACATATTTACCATGTATGTTTGGATTGTGCTCCGGCTTTTCCAAGCCATCGACGCGCATAGTGGTTACGAGTTTCCTTGGAGCCTTCATCATTTCCTTCCGTTCTGGGCTGGCGCTGATCATCATGATCTGCATCATGAAAAATTTGTGGGCAATTACTCGAGCAGCTTCCGGTGGTGGGACTACTTGCTTGACACTGAATACACCCCCGAGGCAATCAAGCGTCGCAGGGAAAACAAGGCTGCGAAGGGGGTAAAGAAGAACCTCTAATCTGGGAGATGGGCAGCATACAAATAATTAACCTGCAATGGGTCCTGTTATCATGGGAAACTCACTGTATTGGATGAATTCCCCAGCAAGCTGTGGGCGTCTTGTCCGTTCTTCGTTATGCTTTTTTATGTGCTTTGTACGCATTTTATGGTTACAGACATAGCGCACTGTATTAGTTAGATTCTATAGTACATTTAATGATATGATTGAATAATTACGTGAATACGCAGGGCCTAGTGCTGAAGTAGTATTAAGATGTGACAGGGTTGACCAGAAGCCTGTCAACGGGATAATCTTATTGTCAAATATAAAGCTTCATTTTAATTGTGGGTTTCTTATTATCTTATTTTTAAACTCAATTACCACTTATTTCGCAACATTTTTCTCCATTATAATCTATCTTTAACAATCACAAACTTTTTTTCATCATATCTATTTCAATGCATCTGTATCCATCATGAAGCTTATCCAATTTATAATAAAATGCGCCAGAATGTGACAGTCTATAAAGAAGCCTAGTAAAAGACAAGTCTGTTTATGACTTATAGTTAAGCAAAAAAAGAAAAAGATTATTTAATAAAAGATTTTAAAATCTTTATATATCAATGAAGTCTAATTATATATAAGAAATTTTTATTTTTTATTTAGAATTATTTATAAAGAATATTAAAAAAAATTAAGATTATTAAAATAATTTTTTATTTAATTAAAATCTTTTTTAAAATCTTTTTTAAAATTTTTTTAAATAAATAATTAATTATATTATATATGTAATAGAAAGCTCTGCAATGGATGGATTCTTATTCGGACATTTGATTTCTTTAACTAGAAGTATCAAATACATTAAAACAATTTTGGATATATTACGATCCAAATGTAGAAACAAATATAAGTATAATAAAAAAATATTCATTAATTAAAAAGAATTAATTGCTTAATCTTCTAAATAATTAATTAATCAAATTATTATATAAAAAAGATATATAATTGTTGATTTTATTATTTGAATTATTTGATTATATTGTTGTTAAATTAATTAAATTATAAAAGTTTTAAAGATTTTAATATTATTATTTTAAATGATGCAGTGGGCGAAAACGCGATGAAAACATCGACATTCATTAGTATTGAGATGGTTGTTAAAACGGAAGAAAATTGACTAAGTCCGACCACTAAAGTGACTGACAATTAAAATAAAACATATATATTATAACTGCAATCTTAAGATTATCCGTAAAGATCATTTTCACAATCTGTATTTCATCAAAAAATAATATAAAGATGATCGATAAACAACGCTGCAACAAGATGATAGGATTTCAAATGCAACGTTTTTATGAATTAGTTATATATTATTAAAGAAAAATATATTAATAAAAACAATGAAATAAAAATGTAATAAATGAAAGAATGAGATAAAAAAAGATAAAAATAATAATAAAAAGATTTAATAATAAACAAAATAACAATACAATTACAATGATGTTTTATATTCAACAATAAAATTAAAAACATTCAAATTGTCAACATAAATTTTTTTTAACAAAATAGTCACATCAAAAAATAAAATATTGTGTATAAAGAATTTGATTATATTTAATGTGAATAATATGTCGATTAATAATACGTTCAATTTTATAATAATCTTTTTTGACAAAAATATTATTAATTTTATCATTTTTTATTTAAATAAGACCGAACCGTTTATATTGATATTTGAAAGAATTAATATTAACTTATGTAAATTCGAGTTAAATAATAAAAAATATGAAATAGATATAAAATGTTCGAAACAATTTTAAACAATATGCGAAACGATTGACACATTTGAAAATTTTAAAAGATTTTATATATTGTTGAAAAAAATAATGATCAAATTAACACGTAATAAATATAATATAGTCTTGATATAAATGAATATAGATTTTATTTTTAAAATCAAATTTAAAAAATGAAATATGATATTAATTATAAAAATATTTTATATATATTTTAATAAAACAAAGAACTTCTTCGGCATCATATTTTTATAAAAAATCTTGTTGAATAAATAAATGAAAAAAATTTTATAATTTTTATAAATTAATGTTAAACAAGATTTTATATAAAAAAATATCAATAATAATATTAAAAAATTTATTTATAATGTTCACAATAAAAAATATGAATAAAAATCATTATTTGTTCATATTAAAATTGATTATTAAATAATGTTGCAATATGACTTCGACAATACAGATTATACATTTTAATTGATTATTGATTTAGAAATAATAAATAATAAAATAAAATCATGTGATATTTATATGAAAAATGTGTTATTTTAGAATTCAAAAATAAAAAGCCGATTTCGATTAATAACAAATTGTTTAAAAAATTTTCAATTGTAAATGTTACGAACCCCTGCTACACCAAGAGCCGCGGGGCAGAAATGATAGGCCGACGGCAACCCAGGACCCGTGACATTAAAAGAAAGAATTCAGTCACATGACATGGTATGTCGATATCATATGATATGTTGTATATTATCGGATATATTGCGATCAAATAATATAAAAAAAATCAGATAATATGTCAAATAATATATTCATAAAAAATTATATAAAGACACTCGTTTATCTATTTATTAAATAGTTCTTGTTTAATTCTTCATGTTCAATATAATCATTGTCTTTGATAATTACTTTTCAATAATTGTTAATACAATTCGTTCACATTTTATTATAGAAAAATATATATGCCGATCTGGCTTTATTTCTTTTTTAACTATTGAAATTTTTTGATTATTACTTTAGTTTATTAAAATCTTAAAAAGATTCATCCGAGATCTCGTCGATCACATTCGAAATTTAAAATTTTTAAATAAATATTATCTGTTTTTAGAAATAGTTGAATTATTCATTAGAAGACTCAAACTA